CGCAGACGCTGAGAGAAGTATGCTGTCGAGGTTGAAGATCGGTATGTATCCATGCAATGGTTATCTGCTGAGATACTAACATCCTACAGAATGCGGTGCTGGCTTTACTGCCAACCTCGAGCAAATGTTCCGCGACATCGAACTCTCGCGAGAAGAGATGAGTTCGTACAAGAATATTAGCGAGGAGCGCAACGAGAAGCTCAGTCTCGACCTTAATGTCAACGTCCTCTCTGCGTCAGCTTGGCCTACGTACCCCACCGTCCCTGTAATTTTGCCCCCAGAAATTCAGTCTGCGATCAACAAGTTTGAAGCACACTACAAGATCAAGCATTCTGGTCGTAAGCTGGAGTTCAAACACGCACTTGCCCATTGTCAAATCAAAGCCAGGTTTCCCAAGGGACTCAAGGAGTTGGTTGTGTCCTCCTTCCAGGCTATCGTCCTCTTACTGTTCAATGGCCGTAAAGAGGATGAGCACATCGACTACGACTACCTCAAGCAAGCCACTGGACTGCGTAAGTCATGCGATCGATTCAACTTATTAGTATTACTAACACCTGACAGCAACGGCCGAGCTTAACCGCACTCTGCAGTCCCTTGCGTGCGCAAAGGTCCGGCCTCTAACCAAGCACCCCAAGGGTCGAGAGATCAACGAAACCGACACTTTCACACTCAACGCCTCATTCACGGATCCTAAGTACCGCATCAAGGTCAACACCGTTCAACTCAAGGAAACGGCAGCCGAGAACAAGGAGACACACGAACGCGTTGCTGCTGACCGTAACTACGAGACACAAGCTGCCATTGTCAGGATCCTCAAGGCGAGGAAAAGAATCAGCCATGCCGAACTGGTCAGTGAGACCATATCGGCAACCAAGAACAGGGGAACACTGGAAGTCAGCGGCATCAAGAGGAACATCGATCGCTTGATCGAGAAGGAATTTTTGGAAAGAGAGGACGACGGATTGTATGCTTATATCGCTTAAGCTCTTTATATTGCCAGCGGCTTTGGATCTCAAGATATGCGAGGCATCTTTGTATAAGCAGGAATTCAGTGTACAATACCGCTGTTGTTATCGGGGCTCGCATTCGACCACGAATATATCACGATCTTATCTTTATGCACACCTTGCTCACTCGAAGCATGTTGGGTGAGTTGCGTGGTCATTAGTACTAGAGAACAGTCAAGACCGCAACCAGCGCACGGAGTCCAGCAATCGACTTTCCCTCGACAGCTAGCGGCCGGCTTCGCTCTACTCACCACCTTCTATCCGCCCTTACCGTCGTTGTAGTCGATCTCCTAGTCTATCCCTCCCACACCCAAATGCCCAGGCCCACCTTCCAGATTCAGCACTAGTTGCCGAGTTTCCCTGTCGATCCCTAGCCGCACTCAGCCTATCGTACACCCACATGTGCCCGACCACGAGATTTCCGGCGATAAGCAGCTTGAAACACATCATCTTAGTCCCGGGAGATAACCGGCGAATGGTTGTCCGTACCTTCCTGATCTGCGGAAGTCGCATGTCTTGGAGCATGGGATGGCGCGAGGGATGTCGACGGTCCGGTCATATTGGTAGCGGCTCTTCATGCAAGATGTTACTATCAGGACGAATGAGAATGAGCAACGTGAGAGGGTGGTTGATGTATGGAAGGACCGAGGGTCTATGCTTAGTATGGTGTCGTAAGTGCCACGCCGGAAGTGGTAGTCTGTGATAGGCCGTTGTACCCCAGCTTAAGAGACGCCCATTGCCCGTTGTCGCGGAGCAACTGTTCCTTTCGGAAGGATGCCAACGACGTCTGCGTCCGGAGTTAATTAATTTCGAGTTATGATCTTCCTTTTTAGGGTCGTGATGGTTCGGAGGCGACCGCTGGACTACCACTGGACTACTTTTGTGACAAGCAGAATGAGGGTATAAAGGTAACATCTTGTACCATTCATTTGAAAGGCAGGTCCAACAGCCCCCGTCGATCCCTCGTTACACAGCTTCAGACAAGACACTCGCTCGTCGTCTCATTCTCTCCACCCGCCACCATGAAGTTCCTCATTAACGCCCTCCTCTTGATCGCGCCCGTCGCCCTCGCTCTCCCTACTTCAGCACCCACTGAGGAGGCAGTTGAGATTGCCGCCGTCGAGGCCAGACAATCTTGCTACGTCCGTTGCGGCTCAACATGCTACACCTCCGCCCAAGTTACTACCGCACGCAACGCGGGTTACAACTACTACCGTCAAGGTGATGAGGCTGGTAGCTCCACCTACCCACACACGTACAACAACTATGAGGGCTTTGACTTCCTCGTTTCTGGACCCTACCAAGAGTTCCCGCTGAGGACTTCTGGTGCTTACACTGGTGGTAAGTTGGTCATCAAGTTTATCACATAACATATGCTGACCATATCTTCAGGCTCTCCAGGTGCTGACCGCGTTATCTTCAACACTGCTGGACAGCGTGCGGGAGAGATCACTCACACTGGTGCAAGTGGCAACGCCTTCGTTGCTTGCTCTGGGTGGTAGATGTGTTTTTGAAACATCTCAATAGGGATTTCGAAATGAATTGTGGTGAAGCCCATGGGCGAAGGGCTCGCCATGGCTTCAATATGCTGTCGGTGGGCGAGTTGTAACGAGAGATCGATGTGTCCTACGAGACTTTCCATCCCAGAGTGAAATTTGTGGTCATGGAAGTAGTTTGTTCATGTATATATTTATGAAACGTTTGAACAAGTCTTGCGGTTTCTTCCAGCACAGTGATCAGTCGAAGTCGGAACGCCTGGAACAGAAGATTTGCCCAGATGGTGTCTTTTCACGTGGTAGTACGTATCAAAATCACGCCATCTCAATTTCGTACTATCTTGGTAGCAAGCGATTCTACATGATCCGCCGTCTTCCTATCAAAGAAGACGCGTGAGATGCGTGAAACCCGCAATTCATCTACAACTATATCATTCCTTTATAATGTAACGCAGCCAAATGAAACTACGCACTGTTACCAAGATGAATCCTCCAGTGGATGTAAGGACCTACCAGACATAAGTTTTCGGGAGCATTACGGTCAACTACGTGGGCAATTCTAAATGTAAAGGTAAGCACCTGCAGGATTTTTGACTTACACCCAGACGCAGTAAAGGCTGAGTCAGGTATCTTGCCATCATGCTGACACATGCGCAGTCAAAACGTTCTCAGGTCTGCAGTGCACAAAAGATCTTACCTCCTACAAGTTCATACTGGGCAGCACCCCATGTCAACCTGTTACTGGAAAAGTGAGCCACAAAATCACCTGCTAGACTCTCGCTTTCGTTGTATCAGTGGGGGATGGTAATAGAAAAAGAGTAGATGGAGCTGGCAACGACGTGGGAACATGGACAGTCATTACTGCTTCTTTGGTAGTACTCTGCTTGACCCGCTGAATGAGTTGGATTCAGTATGTCTTGCTGTCTGTTCAACACGAGATAGAGGCGTACCTTAAACAATCAGATCAACTTTATCAAACGCGTTTACAATGAGCTGGATGGCCAGACATTTGCTAGACAACGTTACTCAAATGATGACTCGTGAGGAAAGATGCGTAGATTTGAGGAAGACGAAGTCGTGAGCGTTCGAGTAAGATAGCCAGAACCGACTACTTTCGTCTTTATGTCCTCCTATCCTTTGCTTCGCTTAAACCTTTCGAAAGTCGAAGCTCCGGCGGCCACAGGGTCAGACGCGGAGCCATCTCTCTCCTAAAAATGCAGCCACAGATTATACACGACTTCTCATGGCCAGATGCAATACTCACGCACTCCTCCTCCATGCATCAGCCAAGTTTGCTCCACCAGCAACCATGCCACAAGCCCCAACACCCCAGTCACTCAACAGTCCTTTTTCCATCGACCAGTGGACAGTCATGGGCGCATATGCCAGGTTGGATGCGAGGTCTTTCCACCAAAGCCAGTTCTCCAGTTTCTGCGCTCTCATCCGCTCTTCCGCCTGGATCTTATCCTCTTTCTCCCCGTCACCCTGACTCGCTAGTATTGATGGCGATGACGAAGAGTAATACCGTTGGACACCCAGACGCACAAGCTCAACGCCGACATATGCGGCCCAGAACCTCGAACTCCACAGCCACCATGTGTTCTCTCGTGCTTTACCCACATCTCCCGTCCAGCTCGCTGTCGTCAAAGCTCCTTTTGAGCTAAGATATGCGCCATTTTCTAGGACTTGGAAACCAACACACGATGTTATAGCCGACCACGTCAACACCCTCAGTATCTTCTCTTTCCTGCTGGCACCTTGTGGTAATGGGTCCCGATAGGTGTCTCGGGCCCAGGTATACAGTCCCAGCACTCCCCACAGCCTCACAAATATCCTGAAGTCTGATATAACATCGGAAAGAGCTTTCGAACTTCCGACGACCTGGGCGATGACTTTTGTGCTGGTGGGTGCTGGGAGGGTGGCTATAAGAGTTTCGCCAGGGAGCAAGACACCCTCTGCTTTCTCGGCTATCTCTGTGGCTATAGACGCGAGACGTCGTTCAAGGACGCGGGAGAGGATGGCATGTACGAGAGTCAAGGTATAGGATGTTGTGCAGAGAAGGACGTCGGTGCCGTTTGGGGTAGAGAGGAGTTTTGCGAGGCGGACGAGCGTGCGGTCTGTGGTGCCGGCGGTCTTGGCGAGGTATTTTAGGAGAAGGAACTGCAATCTTCGCAGGAATGTAGGCTGTGAGGGTGGTGAGGGTGAAGGTATCGCATCGGGTTGTGGAGTCGGTTGGCTCGCAGCGGTGGAGGCAGGAATTGTGGTGGTATTTGGGTGTGGGTCTTCCATTTTAAGGATATAAATGTGTGGTAAGACACTTAGAGGAGGCTTGGAAGCGTGTGGGAAGGACAGTCGGTGCTATCGAGGCTGCATGGTGTTGGTATTGAGCTGTAGAAAATAAGTCACACACGCGTTTGGCCGAGGTGTGCTCGGGAAATGCTTATCGCGTCATCGGCCCGCACGTGGGTCTCACGCTGTCAACCCGTCCTCACATGCAGCATGTGATGATAGACCCTGAGAAATCAACACTCGCTTCAAATTATCCATTGCGTCTCGTGGACAGCCTTAGCGCATCTGTGCTGGACACCAGAAGCTATGCGCGCCGACGCATGCCATCGTTTGAGTTTCGTATAGAAAGCTTCGACTCGGTCCACGGCGCGCATCCCTGCCATCTTTACGTCTTCCCCATATCGTCCCCACACTTACCGCCTCACCTCTATCGTGGGGAGATACGAGAGCGGGCTCTCTTTTCACCTATATCAATTCGTCCTGAGCGCGCAAAACACTGTTTCTCTAGCTCCCAGCTTCAAGCCGACACCATCAACCATGTCGTCGCCTACCCTCCCTACGCGCCGACCCACTTACCCTCTCGCTCATGCTTTCCGCCGTAAACCTCGACGTCTGCCTCTCGTTCTCCGCTTCTCGAAGGGCGCTATACACAACATAATCTTAATGCCAGTACTGCTTCATTCGCTCTTCACCGCCTTGATCGTCTACATCGACACGCGCTATGTAGACAGTATATCCATCCCTGCTACCATTATACCGTCGCTCTCCATCGTGGTTGGTCTAATGCTGGTCTTCAGAAACAGCACAGGCTACGACCGATTCTGGACCGGAAGAAACTGCCTCACGACAATCGGAACCTCCGTACGAAACCTTGCTCGAATCTGTCTGGTGAACTCGCGAGACAAAGACGGACATTCCACAGAAGAGGAGAGGAGAGACACAGAGAAGATAGTACGGGTCCTCGTAGCAGTTCTCTACTCCATCAAGCACAACCTGCGCGCAGAATTCAATATCCCACCTGCGAGTCTCGCTTCTTTGCCTCCACAACCAAGCGTCTACCCGCAACGCTCCCGCCCCGTATCCAGGCGCCCCAGCTACATCGACCGCACAGGTTCCAATTTCGGCACGGTTTCGTTCCCGCCTACTCTCGTAAACAGCACAAGTACCACACCTCTGCTCGGGTCATCCACCGCCACGCTAGAAAACGGCGATGGTACGACCCCCATGAAGAAAGATGAATATGTATCACTCCTTCCAGAAGGCCTGATGGGCTACGAAGACCAAGGTCTCGGTTTACCCTTACAACTTACAATCCTCTTGGAAGGTTACATCCGCCGAGGCCACGACAGAGGCTGGTTCCACGCGCCCCTCTCCTCTCAAATGACCGTTCAGCTGAACACTCTTGTCTCCGCGTATGGCACCATGGAAACTATTCACAGCACGCCCATTCCCGTCGCGCATCTAATCCACCAAAAGCAGGTCCTGGCACTCTATGCTTGTGTTCTGCCGTTTGCCATTGTAGATGACTACAGGTGGTGGAGTGTACCTATTGTGGCTATCATCGCCTTCACACTCTACGGTATTGAGGGAATTGGCGTGCAACTGGAGGATCCATTTGGATATGATAAGAATGACATCAAGATGGACGGCATCATCGAAGATACGAGACAGGAGGTTATGGTGCTGTTGGAGGAGTGGAGGGCGAGCCATGAGGGGAGGGCTATGGGGGGTATGTTCGAGTGTGAGTGATGATATGATGACTGGGAATATTGGAACAGGTAATGTGTGATGTTAAGACGTTGAACCCATGTGTACATACGTAATGATCGTTATTGGCCTTTTGTGAGTTATGATCTGCAGTCTTATAGCGTAGATACCCAATAGCACAACTACCAGAAGATTGCATGTTTCACGCGGACACGGACAGAGACACAGATGTTTAGTTGACTTTGGTACAATACATTAGTTACCGGTCTTCCACCACCTGTATATCTTGCTTACTCTTGAAGTATATCGCATTGCAACATGATCCACCATTCCATCATAACATTCGCTTTGATCACGCCAGAACTCCCGAAAAGATGCAAAAAGACCCCGAAACGAGGGAATAAGAGAAAGAGTTGGTCAAGGCACCTCGCCCACTTAGCGATTGACTAGTCGAAGCGTACAGGAGGTAGAGTCGGTGCACCGTTATTGCTTCGCGCTCCACTGCTATCGGAGTCGGACGGAGATGTGTCGCGCATTCGACTGCCTGCTGCACGTCCAGCGCTACCATCGAGAACAAACGGCCCAGCATCATTCCTTGGAGTCATGGGACCATCCTGTACGCGATCAGGCGTTAGGCCACTGCCGTGAGGAGGATGCAGAGGCGACAGTCCCATATAGTCGTTCGCTCCATTGACGTTGATAGAGACCGGTTGTGTGACGGACGATGTTGGAGGTGTAAGCTGGCGATCGGGAGTCTCCAATGCCGATTGGTTCTCAATGTTTGTGATTTGGTGATGTAGATCCGTAAGATCAACACCGCCATCAGAATCGGCACCGTTGAGAGGGGCAACAGAGGCACGAGGTGTGACGTGGCGGTCTCCCTGCTCTGCGCTGGCATCAGGAATTGTGGCACCATTGACTACTTCCTCATCGCCTTCCCAGTCTTCGAACTCGCCCATATCTTCTACGTCTTCTTCAAGGTCCGCTACCGCCCTACAGTTCGGGCAGAGGAAGTTGGGCCAAGTGGGACCGTTTAAGATGGGACGAATGCACTTGTAGTGCCAGACGTGGGAGCAGGGTGCTACGAATAGCGACTGACAAGGCTGTATACTGATCAGTACAAGTCGGCTGTGAAATCAGGCAAGACCTACCGCTATTGACATCAAACAGATGGCACACTCGGACGTATGCGTAGATGAAGCATCTCCTGTGACTTCCTTCTTGCTCTTGGCAAGTGCTCGTAGTCGCTGATGGGTTTGTTTACTGTGAGAGTCAGTGGCAAGCTTATAGCACGAGTAGACAAGCTTACTTGAATGTGTTCAGCCCCTGTTGCCAGCCACGATTGCACTCAACACGAATCTTGACACATCTGAAGATCATCTCCTCTCCCCCACGGAAATCGATGCCCAGTTGGATGATATCGCCATCCTTTATCCGGAATGGTTTTGACTCGACGTTGGGCTGACTTAGACGAATGTGATTCAAAAAGGTGCCCGATGAGCTCTTGACGTCCTTGATATACCAGCTTCCGTCCTTGCACCACAGTTCGCAGTGCTTCCGACTGACGACCTTGGACTTGAATCCGATGGCGGCAGCCGATGGGGCGTTGGTCTGGACTTCGGGTATGTTGTCGCGCTCCGAATACCTTCCTACGCGAAGGATTGCACTCTCGTCGGGCAGCGTACGGTTGATGGTGGGGAAGATCAACGAAGGTCTTCCGGCTCGGGGATCCTGGTGCGGGATAAAGCGAATCGACGGCAGGTGCTTGGCCGCGCCTGTGCTATCGGAGGCGCCTTCCATTGGTTGTGCGCTGTTGGGTCCTGGCGTTGAGGTCGGCGTTGGCCCCGTGTTGTTGCGCACCTGGAGCTGAGGTTGGGCCGTCTCTGAACGGGTTCTCGTCATGGTCGGTTTCGGAGAGGCGGGTGGGGAGTCGGTCGGCGGCAGTTGACTGTCGGCTGTCTGGCTCCTCGATAGCAACTCTCGACGGGGGACAGTGGGGTGGGAGGACGAGGAGGCAAAGGCAGGCGAGGCAGGTGGAGTGTGTGTTGAGGCGCGTGGTCGTGTTCCCGTTCGGGAATCCTCACGTGGAGGGTCGCCTTGGCTGTTTGAGTGCAGGTGTAGATTGCGCAGGAAGCTGATGCCTCTGTGAACGCCCGTGGGCCGTGGGGAGGTGGAATTGGGGGATACAGCAGTCGCAGTTGGGAGAACTGGCGTGGTTGTTGTGGTGAACATCGCCTAGCGGCGCAGGGCGAGGGTATAAGCGTTCAGCTGGGGTATGGTATGCGGGAAAGTGTGAATGCGCGAGTTTCGACAGCGTTTGACAGACGACACGGGAAACCCGTTTACAAGAGCTCACACGGGTGGGTGTGTGAGGCACTGAGGCACTGAGGCAAATGCAGCAAATGCAAATGCAATGCAAATGGCGCACGAACGGGGCCAGGGCCGGGGGGCCAAGCAACCAGAACGAGCTCTGTGAGGAGTAAGCCACCTCTAGACTTGCGATGGGGTCTTCCAAGACCGCGGGCCGTTAACGTATACGGGTAATAGGGTTCTAGAGTCGCGATAATGAAGTCATGTCTTGTTGGGCCTCTCGACCAAGATTCAAAGGTCATGTGGAACGGTCCGGTTTGATACCTACCCTCGGACAAGGCCGTCGACAGCTGCCAGAGATCCATGACATGATGGCCCACCGCACTCTCCTAACCCCCATGTCTGCATCACCACCGCAGTCGTCGTACTAAATATAGTTCCCCACAGATATATCAAAGCATTGAAACCAACATGACAGTTCAGAGCTCATGCTGATGCGCTCATGCGCTGATCGCGGGGTGGGGCCGCTCTTGTTCCCGACCTCGTGGGAACGCCCACGTGACGCAATATTATGTCAGGGCCATGATTGCCAATGGAATTTTTCCGAACGCCGTCACGGCAGCATACACCACCAGAAATGTTAAGACCACACACGTACCGACCATTGTCCCGGGGACTGTCCAAGACGTCTGCGTCGCTCACACGATCAGCAGCATGCGCAGGTAGAAGGAATCTCGCCACGGCAGTTGCAGAAGAGAGGGTTAGCACTGAGTTCACGTAGCACGCCGAAGCCTTTCTAAACTGCCATCCAGGACCCCACCGAACTCGACCAGATCACCACCCTCCCCAATGGCATCCGCGTCGCTACCGAAGCCCTGCCGGGCCACTTCTCGGGTATCGGAGTCTATGTCGACGCCGGCTCACGATATGAGAACGATGCACTGCGCGGAGTCAGTCACATCATCGACCGTCTCGCCTTCAAGTCCACACGCTCCACCACCGGCGACCAGATGATGGAGAAGATAGAAACACTGGGCGGCAACATACAGTGCGCCTCCAGCCGAGAGTCGCTCATGTACCAGTCTGCCACCTTCAACTCCGCCGTGCCCACCACCGTCGGTGTCCTTGCAGAAACAATCCGCGATCCACTAGTCACCGAAGAGGAGATACAGCAACAGCTTGAGACAGCTGACTATGAGATTGGCGAGATCTGGAGCAAGCCAGAATTAATCCTGCCCGAACTAGTACACATGGCAGCTTTCAAAGACAACACTCTAGGCAACCCACTGCTATGTCCCAAGGAGCGCCTACCATTCATCAACCGCGCCGTCGTTGAGGCATACCGAAAGGAGTTCTACAAGCCCGACAGGATAGTGGTAGCCTTTGCTGGCGTAAACCACAACGAAGCCGTCCGCTTGACAGAACAATACTTTGGCGACATGGAGAAGGGCACCGGTCCATCGCTCATCGGTCTAGAATCAGAAAGCACAGCTTCCAACTCTGCACCCCAACAACAGGTCTTCACAGCCGACCACCCCACACCCACCGGCGCACCGCCGCAATCCTCGAAACTCCTTTCCAAGATACCCTTCTTCAAGAACATCTCCACATCCGCTACTTCCAACGCTTCCGTCAATACATCACTCGACTTGAACTTCCCACCGATCGACACATCACTACCGTCGCAATATACCGGTGGCTTCCTCACCTTACCTCCGATACCGCCACCGGCAAACCCTATGCTCCCCCGCCTATCGCACATCCACCTCGCCTTCGAAGCCCTCCCCATCTCATCGCCCGACATCTACGCCCTCGCAACTCTGCAAACACTCCTCGGTGGAGGCGGTTCCTTCAGTGCAGGTGGGCCTGGAAAGGGAATGTACTCGCGGTTATACACCAACGTACTAAATCAGCACGGATGGGTAGAATCTTGCGTTGCATTCAACCACAGTTACACCGATAGCGGCCTCTTTGGCATCGCGTCATCATGCGCCCCCTCGCACGTCGCCCAAATGCTCGAGGTCATGTGCCGCGAACTCAAATCGCTAGGAGACGAAACCGGATACGCCGCGCTCAACGAGGTTGAAGTCCAGCGCGCAAAGAACCAACTCCGCTCCTCGCTCCTCATGAACCTCGAAAGCCGAATGGTAGAACTAGAAGATCTCGGCAGACAAGTCCAGGTTCACGGCCGTAAAGTCGGCGTCAAGGAAATGTGCAAAAAGATCGAAGACGTTTCCGTCAAAGACCTGAGGAGAGTAGCTCGTCACGTCTTTGGTGGACAAGTCAAGAATGTTGGAGGTGGATCTGGAGCCCCGACTGTTGTGCTGCAAGAGGGTGAACAGGAAGGCCTCAAAAGGAAGGAGTTTACCTGGGATGATATTCAGACCCGCATCGCTAGGTGGAAGCTTGGTCGCAGATAGGAAATTGCAACCCCTCTGAGCCGTTCGCTGGTGACGTGATTGTAAATGTAGCTTATGTATTATAGGGCTGGGAAAGAAATGATGAAATATCATGATTATGTATTAGTGGACCAAAGATAAGTGTCCGTAGCGTACGAGCCCCTTACTCAAGATACTCCATTACCATGTCCGGGAAGAGCTCCCCATTTCAGCTAAGGATACTATCCTAACCATCTTTGAATGCATCGGACAGGATGCGGGTATCAAAAGAAGAGCTACCACGTACAGATGCCATTACTCTCTTGCTCCCAATCTTCGTTACCAAATCGTGATCCTCTTTGAACGGGCATAGTTCGTCTGCTATCATCAAGTCATGAAAACGCGTCTCATCCATCTTGTGGTTCGTCGCCCTTGCATATGTTCTGTCCAGAGTCTTCCGACCCGTGATCCTCACACCTGTGCCATGATGCTTTGCAATCCAATGTCCGCATGCTCTTTCACCTCTGCGGTTTTGACCATAGCCCCCATCTTCTGTGTAGCCGGAACACTGAGAGCGACAATGTCAGCTGTGTGCGTCTCGACTGCTTGCTCTGTAATAGCGACCCCCTCGATTTTGATGTTCTCGTTCTCATCGGTTGTGAAAGAGGATGCTGAGAAATCAGAATCGGTGCCGTTGCTGTTTCCTGCTGATCCATCGTCGATCGCTGTGGTATTTGCAGCGACATCTTCGAATCCACCTGCATACGTCCCGTTTCTAAGTTCATTGCGCTCTTTTTCTTTTCTAACGCGGCGCAAGGCACCGAGATCGAATTCGCCGACGGTTGGAGAACTGGTGTTGTCACGAACTGTACCGGTTCGCGGGAGTGGAAGGGTAATGTTGGATCCTTCAGAGCTGGATTCCCGGCCTGGCCGGAAGATGCCCTGAACTGCTGACTTGAGACCTTGGGGTGTAAGGAGGCTGGGTGCACGAGAAAGAGAACGGGCTATGTCGATGGAAGAACGGCGTCCCATTCTGTAAAATCTACGACGAGGGCGGCGCTGTGCAGAGATCTCATCTATATCGGTTTGCGTGGTCTTGAATGTGATTTCACTGGAATCGGTAGTGTTGGATGACGCTGTGTGCGGAATGCCTGTAGACGTAGCAAAGGAATCTGAAGTGGGCAGCGTCGAGGGGGTGGTGTTTAGGGTCATGGAGGACTGAACCCTGGTGCCAATGGTACGCATAATCTGTGCAGATTTGACCGGGAGTTCTTCTACATCATCTTCTGTCAAGGGCGAGAAGTCCCCATTGACAACTGCTTGAAACGCGATGTACAGACGTTCTCGATAGTACGGGCGGCAGCTATGACAGGCTCTGAGAGCGCATGCTCGAGAATTCTTCGTGTCATTAGCATCGCCTAGTGGGGGCCTGCTGCTTTCACTATTCGGAGGATACTCACTGAATCTGTGACGGGCAGGCTACTGAAAGTTCCATCGATGCTGTACGTCGCTCCCGCCAGAGCCGTAAGCCTAGCCACGACATCACTGGCTTCGGTAGCCTGACGCGTGTCCGATATGACCTGCTTCAGCTCTAGCTTGAGTTCCTTGAGCTTCTTCAGTTGCGTGGCCGTGTAGTGGCCGCTCTCCGCATTACGAATGATGCTCTCGCTCAACCCAATCCTCTCCAGCTCCTGTCGCAGTGCCGACTTGACCGGCTCGATTCTTCCATGCTCTTTTGATAGTATGGTGCGAAGCGTTGTGATTTTATGATCCTGTCTGCATTCGTAGAGGAACCCGATGGAAGGTGAGCGCCCACAAATGCTGCAGTGCTGATCGTGGCCGAAGACGCGATCCATATCTAGGTGGGTACAGTTTGGAACTCGCATGCGTTTCCCCATGGCGGCGTGGTGTTTGGTATTTCCAGCAGGCCCAAGGGTACTGGGATCGACTGTTGCTAGGACAGGGCGAGCACGCGACAAAGAATCTAGAAGGAGGAAGAGAGCGAAAGGTGTAAGAGTGTAAGGGCGTGGTGCAGGGTTGATGTTGCTGTTCTGAGACAACGACAATGACGGCACCTAGGTAGGCAAGTGCACACACGCTTAGCCTGTGAGAGCAAGTGAAGGCGTGGAAGGAACAACGTAGAAACTCGAGGCAGTGGCAAGACGAGTACTCTAGTGAGTTTCGGTATGTCTCCAACAAACGAGAGATTCACGAGTAGAGGCGAGGGGAAAGAGAAGTCGGACCCAATTAAGACCTCGAGGAGGGTCAGTCTACAAAAAGGGTCTGTCACCTGTCGGGCAATGCGGATTCTGGCAGCTTTGCACGTTGCGAGTTTGGTCTGGCCGCGTGATTAAAAAATTACCAGTACTCGAGGCCTTCTGACGGTCTCTGCACATGTCTCGACTGTTTGTTGTTGTCTTGGGATACAAACGACGAAATGAACAAGAACGCTTTGACGACGCTTTGGAACAAGACAAAGGAAAAACAGACAGAATGAGGAAATGACATGCGAGGCAATTTCAAGCCGACGTAAACAGCAAGATGGAAGTGTACCATGTATAGGGGGACGATTGCGTGTAGTTGCATGTGGTGAGGAAGTTGAAGTAGTACACACAAATGTGTCCAACTCCATCCTGTGACACGTCAAGCTGTCGCAGTGAGCAGACGAATGATTATCATAATATCAGTACCATTGAGAGATTGTTTGATGTCTCGTTGAAGCGGTGCATAGTCAATGCAAGTCCATACGTATCGGAGAGGCTGAGGATGTAGTCGGCGTGAGACGATGTCAAGATCACCAGGCGATAAGAGGTCGATGGAAGTGACTTCAGGATCGCGCTTGCCAGAGTAAGGATACCCTGCCATGACGACGCTATCAACCTTGTGCATGACTGTACTCGCCATCGCCCACGAGAATCACAATCTTGGTTGGGGAAAGAGCCGGTAATGGGCCGTGTGAGCGCTGGAGCGAGTCTCAAGGTGGCTCGGTGCAAGCAACCACAGGCGGCGAGTCCCGACGCGCTCTTATCCGCTGGCAAAAAGCATCAGGGCGAACAGGTACGCAGTTTCCAATGCAGCTCAGGTGTCTCGCATAGCACCACCGTACGCAAAGAGTCTGTAGAGACAGCAGGCTGGACAGCAAGAGGTTTAATCATCCAACCGAGGTCGTTGTTGTTGTCAGATCACGACACCTGCTTCCGCGTCTTGTCGGCGCTAAAGCTTGGACCCGAGGTGTTTACCTCCCCAGCCATCCGTCGCCGTCCAGCTCGTCGACACCCGCACTCCCCCACAAACATCTCGTCGACTGCAGCATCATCTTCTACACGCGCCCATCTGCCGTTTGCTGCTGTCGCATCGCATTGAGGCGCCATGTCGGTCAAATTCGAGAAGGAGACGACGACCAAGACGACAGCCGCTGTTGCCGACGCTCTGGAAGGAAAGGATGGAGTGATGCACAATCTCGGGCAGGCTCTGACCAAAGGCGGCGGTCCCAATGGATACCTCGCTGTGAGTGTGGTGCGATTCAAACATGTGATGAGCCAATTCACTGACTGTGGGCGCGTCAGGCATACCTCAAGCAGCTGCAGAGCAACCCGTTGCGCACCAAGATGCTAACTTCGGGTACTCTGTCTGGTCTCCAAGAGTTCCTGGCCTCGTGGATCGCCCACGACAGGAGCAAGTCGGGTCATTACTTCACCTCGCGTGTCCCCAAGATGGCTATCTACGGTGCCTTGATCAGCGCGCCCCTTGGACACGTCTTGATTAGCGCCCTCCAGAAGGTCTTCCAGGGGCGCAAGAGCTTGAAGGCAAAGATCTTGCAGATTCTCTTCAGCAACTTGCTTGTAAGTCCAAGCGCGGTTGGCCGTTATACGTCAGCGCGTCGCTAACGAATGCAGATCTCGCCCATCCAGAACAGTGTGTACCTCGTCTCCATGGCCCTCATCGCAGGCGCTCGTACCTTCCACCAAGTCAAGGCGACGGTCAAGGCTGGTTTCTGGCCTGTCATGAAGGTCAGCTGGATCGTCTCGCCCATCTCTTTGGCATTCGCTCAGCAGTTCCTGCCTGAGACCACCTGGGTGCCCTTCTTCAACATTGTCGGTTTCATCATCGGCACATACATCAACGCGCATACCAAGAAGAAGAGGTTAGCTGCTCTCAGGCGAAAGCACTACGGTGACGGCAGCGGCAGGAGTCAGGGTCCGGGTTCGCGCCCTAGTTCGCGCCCTGGCTCGCGTCCCGGCTCCGTCAGTGGAAGGCCTGTCGACGAGTATGGCCGTCCCGACGACCGCCCACGCTACTAAATGACAGGCCTGGTAATGACAGCGCGATTGTCCGGAGTCCTGTTCGCTGTTATATACCGATCGACCGTAGGAACCCCAACGGTCAGAATGAGGCATCACCCGTCTTTGCTCATGTGTTACGACAAACTCGGGGAACGAGATTCGGCTACCAGTCAGGCGCTTCACCATCTAGTGCGCTTTCATGTTCGGTCCCCTTTACGTGCTTTGTATATCCCATCTGTTTTTCTGTTAAATCACTGGAACCGCGACTGGCGTTCGTTGCGGTTACCACCAAATATACACTATTACTTCCACCTACTATTCGACCGCTCCCACCTGTATTATGTCGCCATCACGTCTAACCCATACAAAAACACGTCTCCGTTGGTACTGACATTCGTTAGGCTGAGCGAAGAGGCGGCGTTGGAAGCCGTCCGCCTATCAGAACCTCAACTTCTGTCCCAGCATTCGCGCTGTGCAGCCATGTATTACATTCGCCTACCTAGTACCACGCGAAGTTGACCCTACGGACGTGGTACAGAGTCGTTGTGCCAAAGAAGGACTCTGAAGTGTTTAGTGTTGATCTAATGTTGCCCCAATAGGATTATGCCGATGAACCGCGGGCCCATGCTCGCGGATTGTCCACGACAAACAATACGTGATAGCGCATGTGTTACGCTAGGGTCGGTGATCATTCGTGCTGAATACAAAGACTCCGAATGAAGATGCTGTGAACGACTATGCCACGCCACATACCAGCTGCGGTGCTCCCGCCTTACTCAACTATAAGAGAAGGACGGATTCAACCTGGCGCAGAGGTCCACTAACTCATGACGCTTTTGACGCTCTGTCAAGACCATCAGCCATACACGTAACCCATTCTGGTCAATCATGACTCTCGATTCTGCTGATCAACTTGCGTTGTTACCATACGGTGATCGCCTCTTCGGTGGAGCAGGGCTTGCTCGATCCAGATCTTACCCCTCTGATTCAGAGCCAGATCTTTACGTCCCCTTCGAGTCTTATGACTACCGGCGTCCGCTATCGAGCGTTGCTGTGCGACTTCAGGATCCCTTCCTGAGGTGCGAGAGAGATCTTGGATGGAACATCGACTGGGCAGTTGCTTTCGTCGTTGACCGACTGGAACAGAGCTGGGCTGATACAGCTGATCAATTCAAGAGCATCAGGATACGGGCTGCAAGTCTCGAGAGAGACGGACTAATCCAGGAGATCCCATATCGTATCTTCAACAAGCTGGACGAAGTATTCTTTGCCGGCCATTTGAAGAACGCTGTCTTTCTCGATATCGGAAGCCTGGGCTCTGATGTCTCGGGAGCTACCTACGCCCACAGACTGGGACCGAATCCTGATGTCAAGCGCATCTCAATCGTCCTAAACGTTGACGCGCTCGAGTACGCCGACGCGAAAGACACTATTGCGATTCTGATTCACCACATGATACACGCATACTTCCTCGTTGCTTGTGGTGGACAGAAAGAAGATGAGGTGGACTACGGACGGTTGAATCACGACGTGCATTTCGGAAAGATTATGCTCACTGTCAAGAAGCTCTCAGCTGTACACGGTAGAGAGTTGTCGCCACTGAACTATGGGCACAGCTTGTTCAACGTCCGCTACGTCGAGGATGAGTATCACAGTCCACGAAGAAAAGAAGCAATTGAGCGTGAAGATCGAGAGCAGTGGAATTGCAGTCACTGCCATAGCGATATGCAGGGGCCGTCCGAAAGCGAAGTGCATAAGTGGTACGGGAAGGTTTGCAAGCCTTTGTTCAACCAACCTAAGTGTGCGCGAGAGCTAGGAGTTCAGACATATAACGATCGGTGCCACGAGCTCGAGACCAGACGCCGCGCACGTCTCAGACCGACTGCTAAGTCGGTCGAGTTCGTGTTCAAAGACAGGCCTGTCCTCGTCGATGCAGACAAGTTGGAAGGCTTTCTAAGTGTTGCACGAGCTTTTGACAGAGTAGGTAGCCGCTTTCTCACGATACACAAGGAGGTATCGGAGGACACTTTCGTCCGCTTATTGGAGTTTCTTCATACCGGCTCCTACCGTCCTGACCCACGCCCATTCACCGCTGCTGCTGCCGGGTTAGGTATCGCGCGTCGAGGGTCACCGATCATCAAACCTCAATCAGCCACTACTGACGCTTGTGTCCTTGTCGATGTGCAATTTGCCAAGCTTGGCACATTGATGGGCTTCGACGACTGCAAGAGCTATGCGTTGGATAGGATGAACGCCTATGGCATACTCAACGAAGATCCTGTCGCCATCCTTAAAGAGATCTACCAGGGGTATGAGCCTGATTCGGACCTCAAGGATTGGGCACGCAAGTTCCTCGTCAGAGCACCAAGTACTTCAAATCCAGAGTGCTGCACTACAGCGATTAGTGTCACCACCGTAGAGCCACCGAATCTTATCAAGCTCGAGAGTGAACAGAGCTCGCACCGCGCACGCTTTCTCGGCGCCGTTGACGCAAGTGGAGCATTAGAGAACGATGTCAACAAAGCTCGTGCTGAGCTCAAAGCTGCTGGTTGGTACAACTGGTCATCACTTCTGCCTCATGACGCGCCTAGGCTCCTCACCAACCGTTCTACGAGCTACCTGAATCATCCACTGGCACTTGGTTATCGCTCGTCTACTTCAGTCCCCTGGTCCAGCGTCCACGACCTCACAGACCAACTTTCCTCGCTGGATATCGAGCGCCTGCGTAACTTGGAGCGTGAGAAAGCTCGCGACCGTGAACGAGAAGAGAAGTTGAGAGATTATGAGCGAGCCAAGTACAGTGACATCGAGCGTGATCAACTTAGGAAGTTGCGTCGAGAGAAGGAGCGCGAGCTGGAGAGGGAGAAAGAGAAGCTGGGGAGGTTGGAAATGGAAAAAGAGAAGGTTAAAGAGACGCATGCGCAGTTGCAGGCTAGCGCTGCGATTGAAGCGCTTTTTGGGCGACGTGGGCATGGGTTTGTAGAGGACTATAGGTATGAGTAGACTGATGATAGACGCTTGTCGGAGGAAGGCTAGGGTGTTGATGTTAATGTGATGTACTACAATGCCGATTGAGTTTTAGCATATCCTTCTGAGACCGCGAACATTGCATCTACGACATGTCCACATATTTGGTCTATCCATTTTGTTCTCATCAAGCACTCGTTTTTGCTCGACTGAAGTTTGCTGTCAAGTTCCGACTAACTGCGCCTTCTCCAAAGCCAGCGATGAGACCTGGACCAGATTATTCGTACAACTGATATCTATTGCCTTTAGTCCTATGATATACATAACCCTGCTGCCTATGCTCATGTATACTATCGATCGTTGAATAGACCCCTCGCTCACTACTGCCTCCCCCATCGCTATGAGCTCGTATCGAATTGGATCATCTGGATCGCCAGAGATTGCAGTGAGAAGTCAAATACTCTTTCTGGTGTAATCTAGCTGCCTGTAGCTCAAGGGCGCCATACTACTCCATGATCTCTTGTGCGAGAGTGCCGTGGAATAGTACTTAACCTGCAGTTTCGTTGCTGATCATCGCTTCGCGATGGAAACTCAAGTCCGATAGGGCTGTCGACTTCAGAGGACGTACATATCGGAGAGACAGGATATCTGTGAGATGAGAGTGGACACACTGGTAGGTTGGGCTAACAACTCGCTGGTTGGTTTTCCTGAAGAAGGTGTCGTCACACAACACATCCTGGGCGGTGGCTGAGCTTTCAGGCCTGTCAGATGCATGCTCGTGCTTGACTCCACGGGTTATCGGCAATTGGGAGCGTATAGAGAGAATGCGGGTAGAATAAGACAGCATACGCATGTAAATGGCTTGCGACTGTATCGCACGCCAGGAAAGAAGCCGTTACTGGCATTAAACACGGAAGTGCCCCGCAACCCCGCACAGCATCCACGTATGTATATACCGAGACTGATCGCGAATAACGCACATTGGTCTTGTCTTAGAACAATCGATGTATAAGTCTTTCGTGTATAATTGTTAGCATCAATCGATCCACTTCAAAAGCACTCAAACCTCACTATACACTTTTCAAACACCATGGCCACCAGTCAAGAGATCAACAATGCGCGTTTCAGTAAGGAGGCTCTGGAATGGGATTCAAACCAGAAGCATGTGGAATCGACTTCGAAAGCACTTGAAGCCATCAAGCGCTACGTACCTGCGTTCAAAGATGGTCGTAACAAAGGTATAAACAGCCCATCTACCACTAGTCGAGGACTAACAAGCACCACAGAACTCGACGTGCTAGAAATCGGTTGCGGCACTGGCCTGCTATCCTTTATGCTAGCTCCGCACGTACGCAGCCTTATCGGCGTCGACACAGCAGACGGCATGATAAGTGCCTTCAACACTAAGCTGGCGGATCTTCCAACAGATCACCCGAACCTGTGTTCAATAAACCACTTCCTAACGAACCCAGACTCGCATGAATTGCAAAGCGCAGCAGCACTCCTTGCCACGCATCGAGGGGAAGCCACATCACCGCCCTACTCGTACCGATTTGATCTCGTGGTTTCTCATTTGACCCTGCATCACATTCCTTCGATGGCGGAGATTCTAGAGACGATGAAGAAATGTTTGAAGCCAGGGGGTGTTGTTGCGTTGACAGATTATGAAGACTTTGGGCCGGAAGCTGTGCCATTTCACCCGGTGAGTAAGAGGCCAGGAGTCGAGAGACACGGAATCAAGAAGAGCGAGATGGAGGATTTGTTATTAGGGACAGGGTTCAATGAGATTAGGGTCGACGAAGCCTTCGTTCTGCGAAAAGAAGTTGATGCTGAGGACGGGAAGCCTGTAAGAGAGATGGATTTCCCGTTTTTGCTGTGTTTCGGCGTAAAGAGCTGAAATACTCGGTCGTATGTAGACGTTCACGAATAGTGTTCTGTGGCGTCTGCGAATGATTCGGAGTAGCGGCAATCAATAATCTTTTAGCAGATCGTTCACTGCTTTCGCAGCGAAACGTTTTCGCTCGGCCTCTTCCATGCCCTCGCCCATCTCCTTGATAGCAACCATTTTCTGCATCATCACCTCCAGCTCTTCAACCTCTTTGTCCCCTGATTCCTGACCTTCATCGTCGTCAAACCCAGCCAGCGCACCTTTCATGCCAAACAGCTCCATGTTCATCTCCGCCTCTTCTGCTGCAAAACTGCCTTCGAAGCCGTCTTCGTCGCCGCCCATGTCCAGATCTGCCATGCTCTCCCATTCCCCAGCCTCGAGCGCTTCCCGAACTCGGTGTACCCCTGTCGCCTCCCCAAACTCGTTTTTCCCCTTCTTCTCAGAGTCGACGTATTCAAAACCATAGTCCATGGCGAGCTCTTCCCATTCTTCATGACTCTTCTCAAGGTAGGGCGTGATGGATTGCGGCATCGCAACAGCCAGACACACCATGTCGCCGCCGTAGCCACATGCACGCTCGATGACATCGGATACGGCCTGCATGGTCTCTTTGATCATATCTAGATCCTTTGTTTCGACTGGCTTCTTGAAGCAGTATATCCATGCACCGAGCGCGGTGACGACTTCGCGAGCTTCGGGCTTGGTGAATTCGGTGCGCCATTCCGCGACGTTGGCGAGCTCATCGATCCAAATAGGAAGGGTTGCAGTGTAGTATTTGGTTTCTAGACGCCATTCGTGCGTAAGGCCGGCAGTGGTTTCGGACGTTGGTTCGGGGGCGGAACCGGTGAGCTCTAGGCAGAGTCAGTGAATGCGCGCCATGTGGGAAAACAAGAGTTACCTTTCAGCAGTGGAAGTACACCTGCCTCGGGCGCGCCGATGGCAAGAATACGCCGTGGGTTCTTGATGTCCATGTTGTGTCGGTGGAAAAAGTGTCTAGTTGCGGAGTTCTCGGGGGTCTCGCCATTCAACGTGGGGTAGATGCCTGCGAATATCAAGAACGTTCGCGACTACGCCTGGCTGTATTGTGGTCCTTCGTATGCCGCCGAGCAAGTTTAGATAACACAAGGTATCTTCGACAATGTAAAAAATTGTGCATTCATCCCATTCAAAGGTATCATCAATTTTGGAGCTATCCCAGTTCTCAGCGTATGTCCAGCAAAATGCGATCTGGTTGCATACCTGTCCTTGCCTCCATTGTCTATTTCCCGCAGCCGAGGGCGCGCGTCCTCGCTGGTGTCGCGCTTCTCGTAACTTGCTCTCTGCTTATGTCGTCTTTCCGCTGCCATTTCTCAACTCGTTCAACGACCACCGCCGCCACGAGTGCTAGCCCTTGCCCTGTTGACTGTTGCCCGACCACGCGCAAGACCGACACCGCGACCCCTTGTGCCTCTCGATCGGAACATGGGGGCGTTCCTATATTCTGTTAGCGCCTTTCTTGTTCGACGGGTATAACACATCATACCTCAACATGTCGGGAACAATGAAGTACCGCACGTGGCTTCCCCTGATGTACACTTGTTCGAGATGTGAGACGCGACCGTCGCGAGCGGTGACAGTGATGTCCTTCAGCTGTACGTTCATGTTGTCCTCGGCTACTGTCTGTTAGCACGAATGCAAGGGGCTGGGAGACGAGTACAGTGCGTACCTTCGATTAGCTTGCCACGGTAGACTTCACCCGATGTGATCTCAAGCGTGACAATGTGACCCTGCGTTCTATTAGCGCAGGTTTAGAGACCAGTATCCAGCGGTGAACGTACTGCTGCCTCGTTGAGGAGCTTGATAGGGATACCGATAGTGCTCGTCATTTTTTCTGTGTAGACTCTGAACCAATATGTCGAGTATGTCTAGCTCGGTCTCGCGGTGGGACGTTCGTGTAGGTTGCGAGAAATAGGGCTTCGTGCCGTAGGCGCAAATCGCACTCGTTGCGCGGATCTGCTCCAAAGAGTTATTTGCCTGTGTTCGTTACGTAGTGGTTGTCGACAACAACAGAAAAGAGCGCAAAGTTGGGCGTCGTGGTTGCGAAGCGCGTGCGCGATGCTAATATCACTGTCTACAGAAAGTTGAGGTTGAGCTCGGACCAAATCTTAGTCATCATGCCCTGTCTCCCATACTATACTCAATGTTCCCTTACCTTTGATCACCAGAATCACGACCAACATCTAGGCGTCACTGAACCCTTCTCACAATAGCATTTGTTAACTTCTATACGAAAGTGTGCATGGATGTTGCTCATGCCACACGTTGCGTTCATCTCAATGTACATCACTGCGATATTATGTTATGTCAGCGAAACCCATGAGCATTTCCGATGTGAGAAGATTGTGGTTTATAAATCCACTTGAAGCACATGCAGGTAACAGCCAAAGTCTACGGATGCTCGGTCTCTGTTGTTGGCGTGTCGCAAAGTTCGGAATAAGATCGGAATCATCGGAAAGAACATCTTTCGAAAAGCGTCGCGCCACAAACGCGTCACCACTCAATCCCGCCCCTGCAACCACGTCGACTAACATTCCCAATGAATATCTCGGGTACCCTAAACGTCTTCCGACTACTGAGAGATCCAACTCTGTGCCTGCCTCAACATACTGTCTCAACATTTAATCATCTCCCAATTCCTTTGTCCAAAGCTTTCAGAAAAGATGGGGTTGCTGGGCAGAAAGAGGTAGACATTCAAGCTGTAGTACTTGACAAAGACAACTGCTTTGCTGTGCCACATACCGATGAGATTCACAAACCATATGAAGTACTGATACACGTATCACCTCGCTCAGAACTTCGTTGACCACCTTCATAGGACCATTTCCAGCGCCTTCGACGCGCTTATCCGGGTACGAAACTTCTAATAGTCTCCAACACGGCTGGAACGTCTTCAGATAAGGACTATGCTCAAGCTGCTGTCTTGGAGGCCAATACCGGGGTCAAAGTTTTGCGACACTCCACCAAGAAGCCTGGCTGTGAGGAAGAGGTCATGGCTTACTTCAGGGCACATCCAGACTCTGGCGTAACTAGGCCGGACCAAATCGCTATTGTAGGTGATCGCTTGTCCACGGACATCATGATGGCAAACATGATGGGTGGATATGGATTGTGGATCAGAGATGGAGTGCAGGGACGGGGATTTGTAAGTGCTTCCGCTCGGAGAGAACATCGTGGAGAGTGGCTTCACAGAATCGCATGTGAAACATTTGAGGCTAACGAAATCACAGTTTGCGAGAGTTGAAGACAGGCTACAGAACTTCCTCTTCCGAAGAGGTTATGCTGCGCCTGATCCTAGCCGAAATCAATTTGAGTAGTACATCAAATGGATTGGTCGACCTTAAGCTGAAGACATTGGTATCTGCTTCTTTGGCAGACAATCCACTCTGGACGGCAAGTCACTGTCTCGTCTGCTACAAGTTGTACTGAAACCATGTTTGTTCTGTATCTCTACGAGATAGTCATTTTAACCTAATGACATGTCCAAAACTTCGATCTACTTCTAATCCATGACACGCATACATTTTCAGAGCTTTGCTGTAATGTGGAAGCCCAAGGTACGATTGGCGGGCTCTGCCCCTCTAAGTGACGCGCTTTATAACAACAACCACTAAACGATGTTGTAAGGAGCATCCTTTAATAGGCTTCGTCAACCGTTAACTATTGGATGCATAGCCGATCGTAAAGATGCAAGACTACGGTTAATGTCAACATCCCTGTACGCTCGGCTTCGAGATAATTCTATAATCGCAGACCTTCCATCCCTAGATCTCTCTGTCAACGCCAAAACTCAACGTAGGCAACTAGACAATCCAAATTCGAGACCATCTATCATAATGTCTACCTCGCTCCAACAGGCTTGCCACATGGGGTCGTGGCTGCTTGCCACTAATTCGCCTCCATCAAGCTGCGCCGCATAGTAGCATAAACGACATTACACATACTGCCTCCCCCTCCCTTCCAAAGTTTAGTCTGCAGGTAATATGATCTGATAGATGGCTGTGACGTGGCTAGCAATCAATATACCTGGGCGACCTACATGAAAGGATATGTTCAAAGAGGATCAAATTACTATGAAAACAGCTCTTCTTCACCTTCAATAGCTCTACTCCATACTCACTCACCGTCCGAGCACATAACGACTCTTTCATCAATCCGAAGTACCTGACACAAGCTACTTGCTCCTATCAGTCCTCATCAAGTATGTAACAGTACTGAAATGTTTCCTTTAGTCCAAACTGAGATATACAAATACATCTACTCACCTCTCCGATCGCTGACTTCCACTCGTTGTATACAGTCAACACCATGGTCATCTACTCCACGATTCTCGGCGCAATCATCGGCTCCGGCGTCCTCGCAGTACCAGTACTTGGCGCACCAGCAGCCCTCGCGCCAGCATCTGTCCCAGCGGCAGCTGGCGCAAGACTCGGCGGTATAGACATGAACCGGGCCTGCCGCGACCAGTATGGCATGGGTTACCCCGCTGGCACGATTGGAAGTTCATGCAACGACTGGCAGTGCATATTATATAACACGAATTTTGGTGATTTATACTATCCTGTCGATACTCCTGCAGCATGTAAGAGGCAGTATGGCAACAATGTGTATGCTTATTGCCAAGGCGGATGGGACAAGTGGTCTTGCTATAGGACATAGACGGACATGAGATCAACATCCAATTTGAGAAGCAAAGCCCTCCTATCGTGCTTGATTGATATATCGCTTTCGAGTTGATACTTTCACGTATTACTGCTCCATGAAACATATTTAGTAAGGACTTTGGGAGTTTGCAAGGCCTGCCGGATATCTCAGGACGTGCGTCCTAACACCACGTTGGGCATCGATGTTTAGCGAGCGTTCTTGCTCTTCTCTACTTCGTTTTTTTTTCTGCATGTCCATTGAGTTTATCGAATTCAAAGGACGCAACCGTAAGTAAAAGTCTTCCACGATACGCAGTCCGATAGTTGAGAACTACGTGCCACAATGGGATGCTAGTGGGTCAACATCTAGGCCATTCATTTGAACTTGTTCAAGCAGATACATGAAACCGACTATCGCGAAGTCAAGCGCGAGGATGTCCGCTGCTGGACTAATAGATGCTGCCTAGGTGATATAAAGGATAAGTGATTTCTTGACGAGACGATAGATTAGGGTATCGAAAATCATGTTCGTACGTGAAGTGAATTTTGTATGCAGAAGTGCGTAATCAAATATAAATGGATTAGGACAGGCCATATTGGATATCTGGATCTAATCATCACAACGGTCAGCACATATCTCTGACCACGTCTCTCCCTCTGCCTCCACGATCTCGCGATCCTCTCCCAACCAGGAGGTGTATACTGCTATCGCATGAAGCACATATGCCTCAGGATTTGGGGCGTCCTTAGGTCGTATGTTGTCTTCGAACCAGGCTATCCTAAACGTGTGCAATTTAGTTCTTTTCTTCAAAATGAATAGAGCATACCCAGGTACTCACTCTACTTCTTGCAAACCCTCACGAAGATCTAGCGCCTTGTTTGTAGCCGGGTCTGTTTCGTCACAATGCCATTGCTTCGTAACACGCCAGATGGCTTCAACCTTGATGTTACAGGATTATCCCGCATGCCAGTCTTCTAGAGTGTATGCAAGCATTGTGAGGTATCTTATGCGGTGGTATCTAGAGATAGCGTATTCGGCGAGTAATTCGCGCAATGCCTCAACACAATCATCGAATTCCTCTTGTTCATGGAGCTTGATGTGGGGGTGTGTGAGAGACCGTTTCGGAGGCTTGCGAAGTGTTGGGTAGCGTAGCGATCCACGGATACCGGAATCTCTAGCTGCACGTGACAAACAAATGCGCAATGGATTCTTCAGTGTGTATGTCATTCCGTGACAATCGACATTGTATTTATGGTGGGCCAGTCAGACGGTTAGCATACGTCACAAGGCGATCCTCACCCAATAGACAAATCTAACGCGTTTGCTCACTTGTGCGGCATGAAACATCTAGATGTATCGCATGCATCCAACAGCATTTGCACATCACTACGATAGCAATCATGCTTTTACTGTTATATAATGAGGCATGTTTCCTTGATTTATCAAGTTTAATCGTTATACGTGAGGTCTCTTCGTCCACTGAATTCTCCTTCACCTCAGTCCTGTCTCATTTCCGACCATTGGGCGTTCTCAATTTGGGCGTCGACATTGCCGCCTGCTAACCCTTTGCTACCTTTACTACTGCTAGTTTTGTATAATGACGCAATGTATATATATGTGCCTGATTGCAGTCCAGTGTTTGGAAGGAACACCGCGCCAAGCAAACTTACCTAGGTAGTCACTGCAAACATCCGCGGATTACACCAACTCTGCTAATAGAACTCTCCGCTCCGAACATCGACTCTGTCTCTCTGCGTATACCAGCAGCAAGTTGACTGTTTCAGAGCGCGATCACCAACAATATGCCACCGAAGGCGGTTTAGACTCCGGCTCCGTCGACGGACACTGGCGACAAAAATCCAGGCCGGCCTGCTAACAAAGCAAAGCAAAAACCCACCTCCAAGGATGAGAAAGGACTACGAGCCAAGAGGTTGAAGAGTGCCGTCCAGCCCATTCAACCTTTGTCATCTGATCTGACCAATCGCGCTTTGGGACCATCATCGCATCTTGATCTGAGCAATCTTGGTATCATAATCGACCAGACAACGGAAAACACCTCCCTTTTCGTGGACGTGTTCAAGAACAAAGGTTTGAAGCTTGAGGATACTGCGCGCAAATCCCCATACGTTCTACCTACGATTTGTAAGTGCATCAGGACATCGAAAGGCCACACCAGGGACTCGCAAATGGAATAACAAATGCTGACAACATTACAGTTCACGTACAAGGCAGTAACGCCTTGTCTAGAATCAAGAAATTCCCAGGTTCTTCGTCTTCCTATCACCACAACTCAGCTTGGTCAATCAAACAAGTTGCCTACCTGGGATTATCACTTGTGTTACTCAAGTAGCTTGGTATATCTTGTTGAGAGAGATGATGTCGATATCTAGGCCTACAGTAGGCAGATTGTACGACTCAAGCCATCACGCGCATGGATTGACTAGTCGACTGCGGGCGTGGTAAGAATGCACATGCGATTCTTACTGTTATCTGGCTCGATTGTGGCGCAGTAGAATCGTTGACCGGCAATTCACATACCTTGAAGATACTTGGTCAGTACCTATATGGTTGCCTGGTTGTGCCCCGCTCGTTCGTGGCGCTATACCCTGCAAACGCAGAACGCATTACCGGTTTTGCGACGACACGCTGAACACAGCCACGAGCGTTTCCACAATTCATAACAAACACGCGGTACGCAAATGAATCATAGCTAGGTGGCTTGGACCAATGGGGACGCGATAAGGTCATCAGGCGGTGCAGCGGGGCTGGGCTGAGCTTCACAGCTTACTTGTCATCTTTCGGGAGCTCCTTGTTCCAACGAACAGCGCAAGGCATACATTAAACCCATCTGACCGGCCCTTTCTCTACACTCCAACTCTATCTCAAGAATCAGCCTTGTCCGTTTTCTTGAATAATCGATCTACTACTACAACCTCCACACACAAACAGTAAGATGGGTGTACGTTGCGGCCAGCTCCTTGGCTGCCCCTCCATGCCCCGCTGCGTCATAATTGGGCTGACATGTCTGAAATAGCTCGCATCGAAAATGCAAGCGATGAACGCTGCTTCTGGTGGCTACGTAAGTTTCCAAGTGGAATGTCGATGCTGGTGATGATTCACTAATGCAACGTAGCCTGGCCAGCCACAGTATCAAGCATATCCAGGTGCCCAAGGTGCCGGTGCTCCCGGGGTAAGCCCAAAAAGCTCCTTCTTTCTCTTGTCACTTGCTCTGCGTCGTCATCGCCCATTCCCTACCCGCCACCTAAGACTAGGCATTCGCAAACCTTTTACCTAGTCTCCACTCTGTTTTTGGCTCCCAACTGCAATAAACCCCGCGCCCGCCTGGAACAAATCCACTCTGGACTTGACGCGCCACACTTTGCTCCTGGACCTAGCCACACATGCCTCTATCAAGCAAAATGGCCTCTAGCTACAGCGCCTATCAGCCCAACGCCGGGCAGGCGCCAAATCCTTATGCGCAGCAGCAACAGCCTGCACCTCCTATGCCCCCGCGTCCTGGTTCGTACGCGCCGCCACAGTCACCATTTGCGCAACCAACAGCTCCAAATTCCTATGGCACATCTTCACCGTATCCTCAAGGACAGTCGGGGTATAGCAGGCCTCCTCCGCCACCACCAGGACAACAGCCTCAATCTCCATATCCCCAGGCGCAGTCTCCGTATCCTCAATCACCATTTCCCCAGTCGCCACAGTCAAATCAGGCGCCTCCAGCGCAGTGGAATCAACCCCAGGTTCCACCGCCCTATGGACAACCACCTCCTCAACAGTACCAGCAGCAAAACCAATGGGGCCAACCACAACAACCCACTTACGGACAGCCGCCGCAGCAGTATAGCCAACCTTACGGCCAACAGCCCCCTTATCAGCCAAATGTTCGTACTAATCTAGACTTTCTCGATTTTTTGTCTCCACCCTTGAATTTTCAATACGTACGAGCAGAGACGCAGAGCTAGTGATATTTGTTCAAAGTTATATACATACTAACATAATGTCAGGGTGGTCCTCCAGGACAGCCTCCGCAGGGCCAGTATGGCGCACCTCCACCACAGGGAGGCTATGGCGGCCCCCCTCCTCCTCAACAGGTTCAAGCTGGGCCAGCTGAAGTTGCAGGCTACAAACAGTTGCTGCAAGCTTGTATCCAAGAAAAGGGTCTTCAGAACTTCCCAATCTGCCAGAACCTCGACCGGATCGCCCAAGATGCACCCTCAAAGATCAACCAAGTCATCCAGCGCTGGCGTATCCAAAAGGAGATCGCCAATGACATTGTCAAGCTGGCACTATACGACATCGTTCTATACATCGGTAGGTCGCAAAGAACTAAGCTGCTGATCAAGCTGACACCTTCCAGACGACAGTGGTTCCATGCAGTTTGAAGAGGAAGGCAGCCGTATCAAAGACTTGCGCCTTATTCTGGAACGAGTCTCCTTTGCTGCTACGCTCTTTGACAACGACGGAATCTCAGTCCGGTGCATGAACACCGACCTCTCTAATGCTCGTAACCAACAGGGTCGACCTCTCCAAGATGGCGTCGCCACTGAGGCTCAGATCGAAGAGATCATGCGTGGTGTGAACTTCAAGGGCCTCACGCCCATGGGCAGCTCTATGGAGACAAAGGTCATCAATGAGATAGTACTCCAAAAGGCACGATCCGGACAGATGCAGAAGCCAGTACTCGTCATCGCTATAACTGATGGACAACCGGCAGGTGAACAGCCGAACAAAATCTTTGATGTCATCAAAGGAACATACAGACAACTCCAGTCAACGCCCTATGGCCGTGGCGCTGTCGCCTTTGAGTTCGCCCAGGTTGGAAATGATACGACTGCCAGGGCATTCCTCGGTAAACTCGATGAGGACCCTGAGGTTGGCCCTATGGTTGACTGCACATCCAGTAAGTTTCCCTATTTACGGATCGAATTCGTGCTAACACGAATTTAGACTTTGAAAACGAACAGGAAGAGATGATGCGTGCCAACCCACCTGTCGATCTCACACCGGATCTTTGGATCATCAAGCTTCTTCTTGGTGCTATTGACCGAAGCTACGATTCCAAGGACGAGAAGACCAACCCAGCGCCCGGAGGCTACGGTGCACCACCTGGTCAATATGGCGCGCCTCCGCAAGGCTACGGTCAGCAGCCACCGCAAGGCTATGGCCAACAGCCGCCCCAAGGCTATGGCCAACAGCCACCACAGGGTTACGGTGCTCCACCTGGTCAGCAACCCCCTCAAGGCTATGGTGCTCCTCCACAAGGCTACGGCCAACAGCCACCCCCACCAGGTCAGTACGGTCAGCAACGACCGCCTCAAGGTGGTCCCGGCGGATATCCAGGTCAACAACAGTACGGCCAACCGCCGCCAGGTGGCAGGTACTAGGAGTGGATCCATGTATCAAAATCCGACGGTCTGGATTCTGAGTCAGATGAGGGCACGGTATGGGATTTGAATAATCCTCAAGATCTGGGAATCATTGCTAGTATTGAACGGCCTCATGCCATCATGCCATTACGATTTCCCTTCATCGGCGAGAGTTGAGCAAGCTTCATAACTTTTCGGTAAGGAAGGTCTCAATGAAAGTCTAATGATTTCTCTTCATTCTTTTACGTGGATACAAGTATCACGTCTCATCGCGCGTGATCTGTCACATGTCAGCAATTTTTTGACGTTGATCGCTAGTGGTGTGATGCGGCCTCTGCCAGTTAATCATGACTCTTACAGCGCTAGTATGTAACTGACAGAGGAGGAGTGTCAGATATCAAAGTCGCATCCGCATAGCACTCGCGATACTTCACCTTCCATTCAGTATCGCGACCATTCACGGAGTGCAGGTCGTATAAAATGCCGTGGCGCGGAGTTCCTACAGATTAACACCAACGCACATTTATCAGGTTTGAACAAACTCACACAGACCCAAAGACCATATCTCTTCTATACATCATACACCAAAGACACTGATATGCCTCTGCCAACTAGTATTGCAAAGCTCCATGGCGCCACCTTGATAGCTCCAACTTATCATATCGTCGTCAAAGTCACAGATCCTTCCTCTTATAGCTTTTACTTCACACACATCCGTGCCATCGACAATGCTACGGAAGTACCTCTTGCTCGCGTACACCGTTCCATTAGCACCGCAATAAACGACTGGAAATACGAAAACCTGCAATGGAACTCCACCGACCCCAATCGCGGTCTCTGTGTGCGGTTCAGAATAAATGCGAAGAAGAGAGAGAAAGGGGATGGGAAGGAAAAGAGAAGGCGCGTGATATACAGAATCTAGCGCAGCAAAACGGTGAGAGGATGCCGGACAAGCGGGAGGCGCTAGCTATGGCTTGTATGATGAAAGTAGCAAGGAGGGCCGTTGGTAAGTCGATATTCTACCAGTCCCGGTGACTTGCCCGTATTCTGATGAGTGTTTAGGCCGCGTGCTCCATGAAAAGGACTTTGGGGCAATGGGTCAGAAGGAGTTCGTGATCATTAGTACTGAGAGCGAAGGGACAGTTCAAGCGAGCCTGTCCGTGGACAGCAAAGAGGAACAGAGGGTTGTTGCGAGAGTCAGTGGCAACGATCATTTCGAGGCTGTCTATGCGCTCGATAATGCAGTAGGTGTTGAGCATAAGAAGCAGCGGAGAGAGGAGCAGCATCGGCATATATCATGATGCTGCTAACAGGCTCAAGACCAGAATCAGATGGCGTACTCTTCCTGTTAACGAAAAAAAAAAGCTTGGTCTTGTCCTGGATGTGGTGCCCACATCCGCCCACCCTCCACTGTGACAGTATGTAGGTACATAGATAGAGAACAAACCCCGCTAACGACATCGGAAGAATTCTATCAACGACTCCACACCCGCACAAAATGCCCGTGTGACAAGTGCGACTTGGTATTTATACCGTTTGGACTCCATTCGCTGCCCTCTCAGCGTTTAAATTGGTCGCTAACGGCACTTCACCTGAACTTTCCGGGGAAAATAGATTGGTTAGGCGCACGAAAACCAGGCTCGCCTCCGTCGCGAAGCACGCCGCTGCACGCCACAACCACACTCTGGGGTAGGTACAATATCGCGATAATATCAGCTTGTGCGCCTGTGATCGGATTCTGAGCGATGGAAGATCTTGGAAGTCATATGGTGGATGTCGTGTGTGGATGGAAAGCAACACAAGCTATGTCTCGCCTTGGTGACCATGCCCATTGCTGCTACAAGGCCGTAGGCAAGGGGCTCGTGGTCATTTAAAGACACTATACGATGCTTGACTTACCAGATGTAGTCGGTCATTGCGCTCCGTTCCTTATCGAGGAGAACATGAGAAGTCAGTAACACCATCTCAAACTGTGGAAGACATATAAGAGAAGATTCGAACACAGCATATCTCCATCAAAGCAACGACACTCGCTATCTGAAGCTTCACAGATCTTCTCTCTTACAGTCTCTATCATGTACACCTCCGCGCTCTTTCTCGGCGCTCTTGCCGTCTTCCTCGACACCGCATCCGCCCATGGCTTCGTCAAGGGTGTCAACGTGAAGGGAACCTTTACCAACGGCTCTGACCCAGTTTGGTACTACTATGCCAAGGATGCTCGTCCTCAAACTGCAGGCTGGGATGCCCTGAACCAAGACATCGGTTTCGTCGAGCCGAACTCCGTCGGCACTGCAGACGTGAATTGCCACAAGAGCGCCACAGCTGGACGTCTCTATGCCAATGTCAATGCCGGTGACACTATCGAATTTGAATGGAGCACTTGGCCCGACAGCCACAAGGGCCCGATCATCAACTACATTGCACCTTGCAACGGTGATTGCACCACTTTGACACCAGGTGCTCTTCGCTGGTCAAAGATTTCTCAGTCGGCTATCATCAGCCCCGGAACCTGGGTCACAGATAAGCTCATTACGGACAAGTTCAAGGTCTCTACTGTTCTTCCAGCCAAACTTGCACCTGGCAACTATGTCATCCGCCACGAGATCATTGCACTCCACGGCGGTCAGAACGTTAATGGCGCGCAACTGTACCCTCAGTGTAAGTTTTTCCACTGCTCAGCACTTAGAAGATGCTCATGATCGATCTAGGCTTGAACCTCAAGGTTGGAGGTAGCGGTTCCGTTAAGCCGTCTGCTGGTGTTCCAGGTACTAGCTTGTACACAAAAGACATGCCTGGCATTGTGTTCAACATCTACACCAACCCCACCACTTACACCTTCCCTGGTCCGGCTCTGTGGACTGCCGCTAACTAAGTCATGGTGTCCAAACACTGTGTTGGAAACAAACAGGATTGGAGAGCTCTGAGACGCGGATTGGTGATGTTCATGGTAGACGATGTGTGCTGACTTCTCTTCGTGTTTATACTTGGTCCTCTTGGTAGTTACGTAGACCTAACAATCGTTTCTATAGTCTAACCTTTACCCATGCTGGCTGTCCTGTACACGGGAAAGTTCTTGTTTTTTTAGTTGTACCTAACGCTGAAAAAATGTCCCAGAGGCATATATATCATTTATCAATATGTGAGTGTCTCAACAAAGTTACACAAACGCCCTGGGTGCGGTTTGAAGTTGGGGACAACTTAGAAAATATCAAGAGCTTTCACGTACAAGAACTGTGCTCCCTTCAATCGAATTCTTATTGCTACAAAGATGAGCGATTGTTAGGGCGATGAGATGATGTTTGGGATGTGGTCCTGACAGATAATTGTGCAAGACCAGCAGCCTCTACAGGCATCTGTCTTTACGGTGCCTACAGAGTCGAGATCAGTCAAGAAGTGGCCTGAACGGATGAACAGAGTCTTGAAGTTTTGTAGAGGTATATTGCAAGCCTAGCATAGTCCCTAGAACTAAAGCAATAACAGTAGGAGGACTAGTTAGCCAACCATTGGGGTGAAAAACGCCAGACTCCTCATTCCCGTTTTGAACAATACACTCGATACATGATCGAACAGCTTCTCGCCCAAACTCGCCGCATGCGCATTGCTCTCTTTACTTCCTGACCGTCTTGGCGGCCTTGCCAACAACCTTGACGAGCTCACCGTACGCCTCGGTGAACTCCTCGTCGCCCTCGCCTGCCTTCTTACCCATCCTCTCCTTGCCAATCATGACCACGCTGGTGGGCCTCTTTGTTGCGCTAGCCTCACCAAGCTGCGCGCGGCTCTTGATGTAGATGTACGGTACGTTGTGGTCTTCGCAAAGAACGGGGATATGCGCAATGACGTCCATGGGCGAGATATCGGCAGCGATAACGACAATGGCGCTGGGGTCGCTGGAAGTACCTGCGCTTGAGGCGGCGGATTTGCGCAGCGCCTTTACGACTTCCTTTACACCACGACGGAGGGTCTTGGATTTGGCGGCTGTAGTGGAAGAAATGTTAGTTTTTCCTGGTTGCGCCAGATGGCAGGAAGACAAAACAGGAAGAACATACACTTCTTGACAGTCTTGAGGATCTTCTTGACCTCCTTGTCATTGTCTGCAAGAGGGAATGCAAAGGGAACGAGTGCGCCGCGCGGCTCATCGCTGCCGTCAACGACGTTGACCATGGAGACTTCTGGCTCTTTCTCAAGCTCGGCCTCGAGCGCGTCTACCATCTCGACATCGCCCTTGACCTTCTTCTCCTTCTTGTCCTTCTTGCTCTTGGACACGCCATCGGTCTCCGCGCGCTTTTCCTTCTTTTCCTTCTTGTCCTTCTTCTCCTTCTTCAGCCTCTTCTCCTCGATATCTTTCGACATTGTGTAGTTAAGCGACTGTAGTTTATCGGTAGGAGTTAGAAATGTGGATGTGTGGTGGTGGCTGGTAATGCGTCGTGCTGTGGTCGGGCTGGTCGCGGAGCTCTATTCGCGAAATTTTGGAAAAGTTCAGACTGAAGCTCAACGCGCTAGTGCTGCAGTGTGGCACGGACCATCCATCAATTTTAGTGCCTTCGCAACCATGGCACAGCACAGCGGAGCACATGCAGACATCACAGACAGATTGCATTCCAAGTCGTCTAAGTGAGATGTATTCATGTAGTACTGATTGAGATCAAATTGCATTTTCACTTCATGTCTACTACCGGAATATCCGCCATCTCCGTCGCCGCGAAGTCAACCCATGAAATACTGTGGTATATATAGAGAAAGAACCTGATGCCACCAGAAACAAAAGGCATTACCGAAGTGGAGGCAGACAACAAACAGGTATTAGCAGAAACGCGTCAAAGGCAACGCTAGTAGCAGGACCGAAGTAAAGTAGTAACGCGCCTAGGGCCAGCCTTCGATAGTCCAGAAATGCCGATGGGTATGAGCGAGGGAAAGATATTAGAAGAATACCAAACGAGGAGAGCATGAGCTCGAGTGTGTAGGATCTGGACCAGACCGCCCTGTGCGCCGAATTACCCCAATCTTGAAAAGTGAAATGAGATAGGAATAGACTGATGCTGAATGCGCCAAACTCCTTGCCATGCTCCCAGGTGCGAGGAGACGACGACGACAGGCTGAAGAAAAGCCCACATTCTGTGAAAAGAAAAGAGAGATCGAAACAAGATCGCGAAAGACCAAGGGCAGCGCAAGCGATAGCTCGCGCTTAATAGGCCATTTGCATCTCAAGGACCTGGACGCCGCCAGCAGCCATCGATGGCGTAGCAGACCCGGATCGAGACGACATGGCATCTTCGTAGCCAACAAGGGCTTGTGAATGTAGTTTGAAGGCCTCGCCCATGAGTTTAGTGATACTGTGTTTTGTTAGTGACAAGTCCGAAACATAGATACTAGTTTACATACCCCCAAACAACGACCTCATCGATCATGCTTCCCCAGAGTCGCGCCACTGTGGAGCTCAGCTTTGCACCGTAGACATCTACCGAGTCGTCATCGAATAGGTTGCGCAATTTGTTGTACATTGCTAGCTCCTCTTCGGTAGCTGGCTCTTCGTCGTGCTCAAGGCGGTAAAGCCACAGCGTTAGGATGACCATCAGATCCATACCAGTAAGTGGATGCTCGATGCTCCAGTTGGTAGCAGAAGTCCGTGCGACCCAACGGATGCCTTGCACAGCAGCAACCTCGATACAGTCGAAGCATTCTTGAATGACCTTGATCATTTCCGGAGAGCGCTGAACCTTGTCGCGGGCATTCGTCATAGCAGCAGCTACTTCGTACGAGTCGTGGTAGCGGAGGGCTTCCTGAATGGACTTGAGGTCGACCACTAGTCGGGCTCTGGTGTTCCTGTACAATGCCATGGCGTTAAAGATGAGTGGGTGACCCTTGTGTGGAGCGCTCAGTTGAACAACGACCGTCTCCGGCTCGCATAATTCGAGCGATTTCTCCCAAGTCTCCAGGGCCAGACGCAGCTTGTACTCGGTGACTACGTCCTGAAGAGCTTCAGGGCTGCGCTTGTGGTACCATACTTCGAGGAATAGTGCATTGATCATGACGCGTGTGGCGAAGGCACTGTAGCGCGCAGTCTCGCCTTGGAATAGATTGTCATGTGCTTGACGGAACGTGATAATCTTGGAAGCACTCAGGCTTTCGCGCCATGCTTCATCGTCAGATACCTCCATGGTCCAGAGCGACTCCGAAGAGGGCAGCTCTAGGGTGTCGAACTCGTTGAAACCCATTGCTGGCGTGTGGTTGTAGGTGAGAGTTAGCAGACCAAAGAAAATGTAGACTGCATAGTAAGTTCTGCGGCATTGCTCATCGACGACCCATTCTTCATGGTTTGGTTGAGCACCATCACGGGCGTCGGAGCGAAGCTTGAGTTCATATCGGTTTCCTGCAACCATCTGCGGTTTGTTAGTGGCTGTGATGAGCAGGGCAGGTAAAAACGTACGTTGGCGAGCAGACTCTTGATTGAACAAGCCCACTCGAGTCCTTTTGGATCACCACTCCAGCTGCTGAAGATCATGTTAAGCAGGGTACTCTGCATAGTCCACAAAGGACATTTGCGGGAGCTGAAGTTCTCCTTGTTCTGAAGGAATTGGTTGACTAGGACCTTTGATCCAATGTGCAGCATGTAGGCCTGATCCTGATCAAAGATGTACAAGGCACCTATCGATAGCACGGCAAGTAGCAGCGGGGCAGACACCTCAGTCGGGTTGAAGGTGGCGGGATGCAAGAACGGCAGATGGTGATGGAACAGATCAAAGTACGTCTTCAACAGGCGGTTCAGCGTGTTCAGACTAGGCAGGTGGAACGTCTCCAAGAGCGCGTTTTCACTGTCATACTGCTTGATGTTCTCATATATCCTTGCGCACTGCTCCTCCGAGTCTAGCTGAGGGGCGCGGGTCATCATCAGAGCCTGGTTGGGGCCGGGCGACTTGCGGTAGTCAACGGGCGACACAGGTCCCATCATGGAGGGATAGGGCGAGAGAGCACCGGGGGTGCCCAGCCCGTTGCCGCCGTTCATTGCTGAAAAAGTAGGGGCGAGACTATCACTACCAGACATGGTGCGCTCCATTAGTGGTGGCAACTGATGAGGGTGCGAGCCGAGTGCGCTGGCGCTGTTGAAGGCTGAGTGCGTGTTCGGCGAGGACTTGGGCTCTGACTGGGGAACCATTGAGTCTCGCCACGGCATCTGAGGCAGCATGTTCTGGCCTGGAGCGGTGTATGGGATGACAGGCTCCATCATGGATGGACCTGTGGGCGATATGACGGGCTCGTTGTGCTCGGGAATCATCTCGGGTTCCTGACTCGCCATTGCTTTGTGATGGAAGTCGGTCATCAGCATGGCAGCGGCGTTGAGGTCTTCGTCCTCGTGCATCGCATCGTTGTCAGCCTCGATGCGCTCGAGCGTCGTCGCACTCTCGACGGGCGCGGCTTTTGAAGGCCCTTGGTCGGCCGCCTTGGTGTTTGTTCGTCGCTTCTGTTCGCTGGGGAGGGGCGCCCCGCCATCCTTTGCGTGGACGGTGCGGTCGTGGCGCAGGAGGAGATCACGACGGACAAACGTGGATCTGCATTTTAAGCACCTGATGCGAAGTCAGTACATTTCTCGCCATTTAGCTCGTACAAGGGCGTCTGCTTACTTGAAGGGTCTCTCTTTGGTATCTGTGGTGAGGGGCAAGTTAGCGATCTTCTTTCTCTTGTCTTCCCCGCAGCGCGCATCCACGTCGCGCATGTCCCGCATCAACAAACAGCCACCCCGCCCAAAACAAGCGCATCTCGATCGCGAATACAGAGAATGAAATAGGGTAATACGAACGCGATCTTTCGTGTCTCGAACGATGCTCTGACCTCGAGAAGGCTCTGTTGCAGAACTGGCATTTGTACTTTTCCGAAGTCAGTGCATGTCTCACACGCATTTCGGACAGGCACAGCTTACCTTCTTCTCGGGCGCGCCCGTCTTGCGGACGGCGGGCGACGAGTTGGACGCCATCTCAATGGATGCGGCGTATGGTATGGAATCGTAGCGGTGTATGGCCGATGATGGGAGATGCTGCGCAATGGCCAGAGGACGCGTCTCGTCAAAGTTCGTTGATGGGTGTGGTGGAACAGCTGTACTCCTCGTTCATCCCGTAAAATTGCTATAAACAATGGTGCAGCACCGGAATGGCCGGTGGGAAAAGGTGATATACAGGCGTCAGCGCCGTCTGGCAGCGTGCGCAATGATGGAATGATAATCGACGTGGGCGTTGAGACGGATTGCGAGTGTTGAATGAGGGGGGTCCAAGGTCCAAAATCAACTCGGGGGGGCATGGCGCACGGGCAGCCCAGCTGCCAGCCTCACCATCCCCTGCCCAGGTGGTCTTGGACTCATTACAACGCTAGCGCTTCTAACGCGACCTATCTATTAATTACCAAGTCTGCTTTTGCTGGCTGGCTCGCTGGCTGTCCTGTCTGCAGTTGCCATATTAGAAGAGGCAGGCGACATGTTGGGTCAGTCGCCCTTTGCTCCGCTTGACACTGCGACTTCCACAACTATCTCACTTTGTCTATGTAGCTATCAAACCAACGAAACTTGCACTCTGGAAACGCCCTCGCATACAGGCACCTCTTTTACAACCCGGGACATCCCTAACCACAGGCTTCTGGACCAATGTGCAACATGGCGACCGCCTGTCCAATGGTTCTCCTCGCAAGAGCCTCAACGAGCATGGTCTCTCCATCCACCCGCCGTCAGCGGAGTCGACTCTCCATCCACCAGTGACAATGTGGCACGACAGTTCAAACCTCAAAGTGGCGGTAAGTACCTCATGCTTTTACTCTTGGAGGAGTAGTCTAGTAACTGGGGCACCATTTATCAGATGCAGGCCATGCACATGGTGGCTCACCGCCTCACTTCCCTACGCAGGTAGCTACGCCTGCGCCATCGTTACTTACAACAGCTTCCAATACTCACAAAACACCCACACATCGCCCCTCCGTGGTCTGTGTCGCGCGATGACGAAGGGCGCGGGAAAAGGGGTTGCCCCTCGTCTTCACACACACACACACACACACACCATGACGCCAGGATGCCTCTCCAACTTCCACCATCAAATGTTGTGGCACGAGTAATTGCGAGACGATCGTCGGCTGCGCTCGTTCCTGGAACTCTATCCAGAAATTCGGGCCAGAAACGCGGTTCCCCGGACCCACCATCTCATGTTAGTCCGGCCCACATATGCAGTAGACGCGACGGCTTGCAGAGGGCTCACATGAACATTGCAACGCCGCGAACACGATGCTTCTTGCGCATGTCGGTAGACATCACATTACCACCGAGCCGTCTGGCCGAGGTCTTTTCGGCTTGAAAAGGACACCTGCGTTCCGAGTGACAGAGCCTCCCGTCAGCAGCAAGGTGGCAGAGTCCGCTAAAAACATGCCCCGCTTGTCTACCTTGAATCGGGGATGCGCGTATGATCCTAGAGCTTATAGCGTTGGCCGCGGCCTAGCAAACGCTCTTGCTGCCATGACACCTAATTGTTCTCACCGTTACTCCATCCAAGCCAGCAGTCGCTACACATGCCTCCTACAAGTCCTCTAACGGCCCCTCAGTGACCATTGTGTCAGCGAGGGGCATTGCTTTTCAATGAAACCCCCCCCCCCCCCCCCGCGCTAGCACGTTTCTCGTAATGCTTTAGAAGCAAGGCGGGTTGTGGTGGTGGTTTCAAGTGGCATTGGATGGTCTGTCCTCGTAACACGGACGCGGCAGGGCCGGTACTCATCCGTCTACGCCGTCAGTTAATTTCACTATGATAGAGGCAACCAACTAGCTCATCCCAGTGAAGACGAATGGTGGTTGAAAGCTGACCAGGGCAGTGTAATGACATGGTGTCATGCCCAACACCGTCCACAGCCAAATCGCATATGAAAGGTACGCCTTTTCGGCCCTGCATTACAGCCAACCTACTATTGAGGATGATGATATCTGAACGGGTAGTTGCTGTAACCCCCACATGCGACACGGCACCTATCGCATCCAGCTCTCCGTTTGACATGTCTCCTACAACGACGCTTCGTCGCTTCTCAACAATACTGTCGTCTCGGGGGCAGCAAAAGATCTTGATCAATCGATGGCTGACCCACCCACCCTCCGGCCCAGTGTCGCAGAACCCAGGAAATGCCATTTCCGCTTCCACGCGATAAACCAAGCAAGTTTGAGACTGGCATCGGCCACTAGGATCCGCTATAATCATCCCGAGCTTCCATCACACCTTCCACGGTGAGATACGCGTGTCAGTCACCGCTCTCAATGAGATGGGCAAGACGACCGCGGACTGTTACTTGAGTGCTATAGGCATGCTTTTGTACTATCACAGTGTTCTGCTGTCGGCCTCAACCATTTACTGATATCCTCGACACCTGCAGTTGTTTAAGGGTCAGCACCAAATCCAAGTGAAAATCATCGGTTGCACTGCGGGGCAGCAAGCACTTAGGTAGCGTTCCGTGCAAACGCAAAGTGTAGGGACGACAAACGCAGAACGTCAGAAGTTCAAGTCTGGATGGTGGTACAAGATACATGGTCGCACAATCCTCGATGCGCCGGCATCCGCCCGCAACGGGAGGGAAGTCCTGGTTATCCTTGAGGACCACGTTTCATAGCGCAAAGACCCCAAAATATGTAACGAGTCAGACGGTGTTCTAGATGAGCTGACAGCTTATGGAAAGCCTGATGTCCCCGCTCTACCACCAGGCTCTTCGGCATCAAAAGCTCCTGCATACCACATCGAGAGCTTGGTGGGGCCGTATTATCAATTGCAGATGTATACCATGCATGGTCGGTGTAGACAGCTTCTTTGATTTTGACAGCTGCGGCGTAGACAAAGTTGATGTGGCCGGCTCAGTGTCGGTCGCTTACCCACCGTCTGGCTATATTGCGATGCACAACATCGGCTGCAGGCAGGCAGGGCATATAGACGTGCATGAGTTGCAATGTGTAGGCAGGCTGGCGGGTTCCGAGAATTGCCCTATTGAAGGACGGGCCCGGAACTTGACACATTGTTAGCTGCTTTTATCCATAGGTAGGTAGCCCAGCCAGACACGTGATTTCCTAGGTATCGCACAGCACAAGCCAGTGGGGACGCTGGGCCCTCCACCGCTCACGACGGCTGCTAACGACCCGCCCTGGTGTTGCAGTTTCTTTCGCTCGAAACCGTTCTTCTTCTCAACCATATTCATACCAGCGTGCTCGCTGTGAGGCTCTATTCGCTGCGTCGCTCAGCTAGGCGCGCTCCCCATTCGCATGCCGGCCGCCTCTAGCCCAATTGCATGCCCTCATCCACCCCGGCCATAACACGCGGTCATATCAGATCCTCGAAAACGACCGCGTCGTAAGATCAGTCGGCCCACATTGCGACCGCTTCTACTCTAGTCCAGGGTCGCAGCAGAGGGGTCGCGCCTGCGAGGCTGAAGATTGTTGCCTTCTTCCCCGTCCCCCCCACACGCCGCCGGTTGCGCCTTGAGGCACCGTGAGAATCACCACCATGAACGGCTTTAATGGCACGACCGACGCTGGCGGCATGTACGTCAAGGCGCTATACGACTACCAGGCCGACGACCGCACCAGTCTGAGCTTCCGGACGGGCGACATAATACAGGTCATCACCCAGCTCGAGAGCGGCTGGTGGGACGGAGTCATCCACGGGGTGCGCGGCTGGTTCCCGAGCAACTACTGCGCCGTTGTACAGCGCCCCAGCGAGGACATTGAGAGCGACAGAGACGGCATCGATGCCGACGACGACCATGAGACGAGGTCGGCAGGCGGCGCTGAATTCGACACCTCAGACGGCGAGTCCCTGAGCGGTGGAAACGACACCATACTGCCCCTCGAGCGCAACAATGCACCGCACAACAAGGAAGAGGAAGCCGCCTTCTGGATACCCCAGGCGACACCAGACGGCATGCTCTTCTACTTCAACACCCTAACCGGCGTCAGCACAATGGAGCTTCCTTTGGAATCGCCCTCTGCCAACGAGAGCGGTCCGCGCAACCGTACTGATGTCTTCGTGCCCGATGCGTCGCGACCGCCAGCTGAGCTACTAGCATCGGGCTCTGGCTACAACATGGAGGACACAGATGACGAAACGTCAGCGTCCGACTTGGAAGGCCCAGGAAAGAAGGGCTCCTACCGCTCGCGCGTAAGTTTTGCGCTCCTATACGTGGAGCGAATACTGACATGGCACCACAGCACAGGCACCGCTTGTCCGATGGTCTCTCGTCGGCCACCTCGATGGAGTCGATGAACGGTGGCTACCAGGGCAGGTCCTACGATCAAAGTGGTATGAGCTTTGCAGCTTCTGCTGCCATGCCTCCCACTGGCACCACGGCGACTTCCTTCGCAAACAGCCCAGCCCTAGGTAGCGCCTCGACGCATTCGCGCAAGTTCTACGACGACGTCAGCCCTGTTCCTCTTACCTGGAACAGGATGGTGGAGGACATGCGACGCGCAATAGAGCGCTACAAGCAAGCCATCAACAACAGCGACAGGTCGGAATTCGTGAAGCGCGCCGAGGACATTTCGGATCACTTGCGGCTGCTGCTCGCGGCTGGCTCGGGGACGACGGACAACCACTCTGGTAACCCCTCCATCATATCTACAAACAAGGCCTTGTATCCTCATTTCCGCGAAACAATGTCGCGATTCTCAAAACTAGTGCTGTCTTCGCATATCGCTGCGTCTGACTTCCCTCCTCCCGATTCCTACTCCAAGTGCCTGAAGGAAGCAGAAGGCGTTCTAAACGGTGTCTTTGGTTTTGTCGAGGTAGCACGTCAGCAGCGTGGAGAGGAAATCCCGCGCCTTGTGCCTGGCTTTGTAGTGGGCAACAACACTGGAGGCAGCTGGCAAAACAACGGTACTGACTCGCGTGATGCCAACACCTCAATGTACTCTGACCAGGACGACTATGAGCCTTCCATCGAACCAACCCTTAAGCTTGACTCACGCATACTGGAAAGACTGCAAGATGTCAAGAGATTAATCGTTTCCAGTCTCCGGCGGTTGGATGAGCAATTAGTGCTTCGGGATACAGTCATTTCACATCGGAAACACCAGGCGATAGGCGACCACGTATGCAGTGCTGCAGGAAAGGTTCTAGAGGCTTGTCGGCCCTGGATATCCACCATCGAACAAATCAACCTCGCGTCTCTGGACGCGGACGCCCAAGGGCAACAACTAAGCGAATTCAGCGTCCAAAAACAGAAGGCCTACGATGTCGTATCTGAACTTGTGATTGCATGTCAAGGAGTAGCAGCACCACTGGGAGACGAGTGGGCTGAACTACGTGGAGATTCACTTGAGGACCGTATCAATGCTGTGCGAGCGATTGCCCGAGATCTGGAAGCGACGTGCGTCCAACAATACAACTTGTTGCAACAATTGTCGGACACTGTCCCTCTCGCCGACATCGTAAGCCGTACAGACCCAAGAAGAAATACCGATAGCGAGCTGCCAAACCACACCCGGGGCCCGTCCGGACCTGAGAGACCATTACTTGGCAACATCCCCAAGGCAGACACATACAGTGCAGGCACACCTCTCGACGAAGGAAAGGTTGAGCCGGTCCGATCTGCAAATAGCAACAAGAAACTCAAAGACTTCTTTGGTGAAGTTCCAGTGATCCCCCAACAGGCAATTGAAGAAACACCAGAGTATTTGAAGCTCGACCATGAGGGCGAAATATCCTATGATCACAAGTCTACACCACCCCAACTTAAGGGTGGTACTCTGGCTGGTCTCGTTGAGCAACTGACACGTCATGACCGCCTCGACCCAGCATTCAACAACACCTTCTTACTCACGTACCGATCGTTTACCACCGCTTCTGAGCTGTTCGAGATGTTGGTCAAGCGATGGAGTATACAACCACCTCATGGATTGGCCAAGGAAGACTATCAACACTGGGTAGACAAAAAGCAGAAGCCGATTCGATTCCGAGTTGTAAACATTCTCAAGAGTTGGTTCGATAACTACTGGATGGAGGGCAACGATGAGGAGGCACGGATCCTCATTCAACGGGTGTACAACTTTGCAAAGGACCACGTTGCGACCACTAGCACCCCAGGAGCGGCACCCCTGATGACATCTGTTGAGCAACGATCTCGAGGGCCAGACATGCCTACAAAACGCTTAGTTCTCACCTTGAGCGCTCAAACACCGCAGCCTATTCTACCGAAACACATGAAGAAGCTGAAGTTCTTGGACATTGACGCAACGGAATTCGCTCGACAACTCACTATCATCGAATCTAGATTGTACGGCAAGATTCGTCCGACAGAGTGCTTGAACAAGACATGGCAGAAGAAACTTGCTCCAGGCGAGCCTGACCCAGCCGCAAACGTCAAAGCGCTTATTCTACACTCCAACCAGTTGACGAACTGGGTTGCACAGATGATTCTCACGCAGCAAGACGTCAAGCGCAGAGTTATTGTCATCAAGCACTTTGTCAATGTGGCAGATGTAAGGCAACTAACGGATTTGTTTGAAAGTAGTGTCTAACACAGTCCAGAAATGTCGCCAATTGAACAACTTCTCCACACTAACCTCTATCATCTCAGCACTAGGAACTGCACCCATTCATCGCTTGAACAGGACCTGGAGCGCTGTTAACCAACGCTCCATGGCAACCTTGGAGAGCATGCGTAAGCTCATGGGTAGTACCAAAAACTTCGCAGAATACCGAGACACGCTACATCGGGCGAATCCACCCTGTATACCCTTCTTTGGTATGTAGCTTTCGACCAAAACTTTTGCATCAACTAGCTAACCCGTCTAACTAGGTGTTTATCTCACTGATCTGACCTTTATTGAAGATGGTATTCCCTCTCTGATTAAACGTACAAACCTTATCAACTTCGCAAAGCGCGCCAAGACAGCCGAAGTCATTCGCGACATCCAGCAATATCAGAACGTGCCCTACCCACTACAACCGGTTCCCGAGCTGCAAGACTACATCCTCACCAACATGCAGTCTGCAGGCGATGTGCACGAGATGTATGAAATGAGTTTAAGCGTCGAGCCAAGGGAACGCGAGGATGAAAAGATTGCAAGGTACACTACCTATTTCTCCTTTGATCGTACAAAGACTGGACTTGAAGGATAGCAAAAGATATCAACCCGCCACGCGAGGAGCATACGATAAACAAGCGGATATGAATGCGTCTTTTGGAGAGAAGATGGGGCTAACGGCGTTTTAGGCTTCTCTCCGAGAGTGGATTCTTGTGATGAGACTGTGACAAATGACGATGATACCCCACACGAAACACTAGCATTGTTGGCTCAAAGGATTTTGGAGTACTTGAATTATTCAAGGGCGTTTGCTATATTGATTTACCCTAACGATGGAATGAAAAGAGTTGGATCTTCGTGGAACTTTGGTTTTTGCTCTCTTCGGTACTGGCGTAGAGCGCTTCGAGCGGATGCGTATAATTTACCTCTCCGGTCTGCAGAACCGGTAAGCTCCGTCTTTCACGGCACATTACGATGGGCGATTGCGGTTGGGAAAATCTTTACTCGTTATAGGCAGCGGAACGGCATCTGTTGTCGATGATGTATCCGCAGGTTTATAGCAATTCTACACCCTGTAGTGACATGTCACTCCGTTTAATCAATCACTGTGGCGTTCGTTGTTCACGTTTTAGACCCTGGATCCATACGGTATGTATTTCTAGACGCGGTCCTCGTGTTGTAAGCTCGTGGCTAGACTGGGGCTCGTGTTTGACTATTGGGCGAGCGGCGAAGAGATGCTCGGCGCTTCTATTCTACCTCGTATCGCCGACAATCCCCTGACTCTGCGACTAGGGTGCCGATCTAACGGAGCGATTCTGGGTCTTGAAGTGACGGTGAGGAAAACACATGTTCACGATAGTTTTGTGAGTTGAGATCGTCGCTTGTGCTGCGGGTGGAAGTCGGTATACTGATATTTGTGCGTGTTAAGACTGGGGGGTTGCGCACTTTCAAGTTGTCATGACCACTCGTACCCGAAAGTTAAGACTAAGTTTATTTTCTCCCGGTGTTTAAACAAGTAGTCGAGCACATATAGTTCACGATCATCACCTAGATTTCTGCGCTTGTCCCCTAAACCACTGAAGGTGGCTGCTTGCTCGTGTGACTCTCGCTGCAGAGTGCAACTTGACACGCTCAGTCACTGTGGGTTGGAATGCGTATCCAAAACATCGCGGAGCGCTTCGTACCCGAGTATAAATATGTCAGACTACTTTGGTGCTGGCGGATTGTTGCTCTCGTGTTTCCTCCTCGGCGGATCATCCTTTGCGGCAATTTCAATTTGGGGCAGGAAGAATATCCACCCGACGTGAGCATCGTGACCTTGAACTAGCAGACTAAGAAACGGTGCTTGCTAATGCGCGCTCACAGACCATGGCAGCTTACAGTAACATGGAACATGGTACACATCCTGAGGTTGCATGCAAACCCCGACTTCGCCTCCGCAACGATCATCAAAGCACCCAGCCCAGTGACCGGCGGCCTTATGGAAGACATGCCCCAGACTTCTATCCTTCCATGGCATCCGCATTTGCTGTGCTAGTTCGGCAAGAGCAGGCCGTCTTATGAATGACCCGATTTGTCGATGCCGACCGCCGCCGGTCGAGGATCACCCTCCTATGAAACCTGAAGGAAATTACCCACAAGGGAAAATCGCCAAATGAACGACAGCCGTTGCGCAATTAGTAGTAGCATACCCCAGCTTTTCATGTTTCTTGCCTGTCAGAAGACACGCGCGCACGGTGCGGTGTGCAACCGACGGTGCTTATGACATAATGCCGAGGGGGTGACAATGCTCGTCGGGACTTGGATCCACGCATGAAGTTGGTAAGAGAGAGCTTGGGCGGGTTGTTGCTTTCGCTGGGCCTTGGTGTTGTGGGATCCGAGGTCTGCCGGAACGGGGAATAGGGGTGTCGTGGTTGCTTGTGCGCCGGTAGTGGGTGGTTGATCAACAGCAAACAAGACCAGAAGCACATTTGTCGATCTATACCGCAAGATAGTCGTCATAAAATTGATAGACACATGCTCTTTGTCCCACGACTCCTCGCGCGGAACCGTTGGAAATGTCATCAGTGATGCGAACAAGGCCTCGTACCCCCTGCTACTCGCTAAGTTCGCTTGATAGCGGTGGGTAATTTCTTGCTGCACAATGCAGGCATCGTGCTGCCCTGTAATCAGGCGTGCACGGAAACGGTGCGGTAGGGGCGTTTTCTTCGCCCTGCGATACGTTCGCTATTTCCCGAGGTATGTCACTAAGAGCGGAAAAGATTTCAAAGGATGCAGAGGATGCATGGCGCTCGTGAGCTGTTACTCGTCTAAGACGCCCGCAGCATTTAGCATGTGGCATCTGGAACAGGAGATTTTGCGACAAACATGGCAGGTTTAGGAGAGGAGCCATATGCGCAAGCCTTGGGATAATGAAGAGATGTGTTGGGCGCAATCTCGATCGTGACTGGGTAGAGACAAGGGAATAGCCAATCAAGGAGGTCGAGGTAGTGCGACGGCTGTGGTGGACGCTGACCAGTCGATGCACATTCCTGCTCCGAGCCTCTGAGGGGTTCGAGGGATAGTGCATGTGTTATCGCGCCTCTCAGCGTGGGTGACAGGAGCGGAGACAGCTGGGCACAAAGGGAAACACGAGTGAGGTCTCGTGGAGAGGGTCCTTATCACCAGCCGCCGCCAGCCTTGTCGTACCAGTAGCTCCCTAGATACTTCCTACTCAGCCACCGTCTCCCAGCCATAGTCGGTACTGTCCAGCTGATGAAAGTTCGTTCCTGCATACAATACGCCGCTGCTATTGACATTTGGCCCTGGAGTAGCGGCGCCGGGCCTGCGCTACTCGTCTTAGCCCGGACTTGGTCACTTCTGGCGACCCACAAAGTTACCTCGTACACGTTATTTCGGTGGCATTAACGGTCGATCCCTGAGGAAAATAGCGGAGGCGCCCAGGCCCCAAGCTCGACGTGGGTGGTTCCTGCGTCCGTAATTGCACTGCTTTGGGCGGACGTGCCGGACTTTGCCATTCTGCACGAGAGAGGCCCAGCAGTTCATCATCAGCCTTTGCGCTGCCTGCCATCTCGCCGTCCGACCTCTTTTACTTTTGGCCGGCCTCATTACAACCACCCCTCTGCTCGCCTTCGCACGCTCTCCAGCTATTTTCTTATTTGTTCAACAGAAGGGTTTCACCCTTTACAGTCACTCGCTTTAATACACTAATTCCCACGATGTTCTCTCGCGGTACTTGGGGGGCCTCGCCCTGGGTGTTATTACTCGCCATGGCCCGCTTCTGTAAGTAGACTCCTCGCTTGCGACCGCAGAACCAGTCCTCAACAGGCTCTCGTGCTGACCCGTCATCTTCAATTAGCCAACGCTGCTTGCGAGTGTGGTTATTCGGTTAATGCTACAACCGACCCTTCCTATGCCGTCTTCACCGAGCTCATGGAGAATGACTTTCTACATACATCGACCGACGATCTGAAAGAGGTTGGCTGGCAGCCCCAGGAATACAATGTTACCTCGAAAAATGCTAGAGGGCCATTTGGAAAGAGTATGGAGTTGACCAACATCGTTACAAACCCATTCAAGAAAGGATGGTCCGGTGAGGCTGACCACGGTGGAGACGCGGGACTCGAGTTATGGGTACGAGGAGATCACCAAGATGGTCTCGTGAGCGGTGCTGAGCTCGTCACTATGCGCAACGACTCTCTCCTTGGAAGCTTCCGTGTCGGCATGAAGCTCTCGAATTCGTCTGGAACCTGTGGCGCTTTCTTCTTTGTACGTTCCTACTCCACGTTGAACCGCGTTTCAGAGTTGGCTAACAAGCGTAGTACCACAACAACTCGCAAGAAATCGACATGGAATTCCTTTCCCATCAGTTCAACAACTCCCAAGGCGCCGTAAACCTCGTTCTTCAAAGCCCGGAATCAGTTACGCACGGTTACGCTGCTCAAGGAACGAATGGTTTCGAAGTCATGGCTCTCCCTTTCCGTCCGGATGAGATGTTCCACGAGTACCGTTTTGACTGGACACCCAACCGTGTTGCCTTCTACGTTGATGGCAAACTTCTTCACGAGATGACCGAAAATATCCCTACGGAGAGCGGCGGTATCTTCCTCAACCACTGGAGCAACGGCGACCCATCTTGGTCTGCAGGACCCCCCGATCAAGACACGGTTATGACCATCTCGTACATGAAGGCGTACTTCAACTCTACCGATACCGAGCGCTCGCAAAACGACTACAGGGACCGTTGCCCAACATATGACCCTGCGAAAGTTTGCGCCATCCCCAACCAGATGAGCCCGCCGGATCAGAGTCAGGGCGTAGACGCAGCGAAGACGTACTTCTTCTCAACAGACGGAGACGACATGACACCAGGTCAAACAACATTCACTGGTAGCGCGAGCAGCATGTTCAGCGCGCCGTCGTTATCGCTCGCAATCCCATTACTCGTCACGCTACTCAGCTTAACACTGGGGTGATGAATTCCTTTGGAATACTTCTCCCACTTCTTGCCACAAGGCCCTCGTTCTCAGAAGTCATCGACTGAGAACTTTTACGAGCATACGACTACATTTACAGCGTTCTTGGAGTAATGCGACTATTGCAGTCCAATTTTCACTTTCATTTCGACCTCTCACCGAGCCCGTGTTCGGCCACCTTTTTCTTTGATTCGGCAACATACTCATGGCGCAGCACCGCCTATAGTGTCTTCCTTTTTTTCACTTCACTTCTTGTATATACCCTTTGCACGGGACTCTGCGCAGTCAGCCCGTTTGCCTACGCCCTCTGCCCTAGTCCGGCAACGGCCTTTCCTCTACCTCGGCCCATCGTGGCAGAGATTTTTATTGTATCGGAGTGCATTCCGTCGGGTGTTATCCCAACCATCCTATCGGTCCTCATACCCCCATCTCACCATCGGCTGTCTATACGACCGCGTCGCCTGTTTTTTTGCATTGGAAAGAGAAAAGAATCGGAAGATACCATCTTAGACCATTACGCGTCAATATATCCTAGCCTACCAAAGCTACTGTTACAGAAATTACAATTATATCTCGTACTACATTCTGATCTACGTCTTTGTCAAGGGATATAGCCTTGCATCTCAACTTTTTGCAATGATCCTAGTTTGCAACATGCGTACCTTGCATTCGCGCAAGCACTACTACTTACCTAGTACCGGAGGTAGAATATTTCACTTCTGTTCTGTGGAGTTGACTACAGTAGCGGAGCCTCACTCCGGAAGTGTCGGAGGACCCTCCAGCGTCCCTCAGGCGGTCGGCCAACAGCGCCAATCAGACGCGCCACACAAGCCTATCGAATCTCGTGCAGTTTGTCGGGACGCGTCTGTGGTGTTATTTCCGCGACGCGCATGTCCACAGGGCGACTTCGCGATGTCCGAGAGTATAGCCAGCCAGCCAGCCAGCCAGCCAGACCGCATTATCCGACGCCTTCTGCCGTAGCATCTCAGCTTACTTCCAGACCATCGACACAAGCCGAGGCCATGAGGCTGGAAACACTACCAGACACTCCTTAGGTCAGCTTAATGCAGTCCGGCTCCGCGCCAAAATCCATCTGTGGCGTCTGCCGGTGCGTTTCGGTACTTGGGTTAGCAGCAAGTTGGTAGTGTCAGTCCAGTGACGTAAAACTGCCCTTGCAAGTCGGCGCCGTTGGACTCCGGGGCTTTGACTTCTAGTTCTGATGTTGGTGAAGCGACGGTTCCTGAGGACGGTCCAGGTACTCCCGTGTTAGTGGGGTACAGAGGCTATTGGAGGCAGTGGCGTGAAGATATTCTGATTCCACTGAAATATTGCTGAGCAGACACAATCGCGATGTGAGTTTTGCTATTTTCTGATGTGACTTGCTGAGACCGTGGTTCCGCGGAACTTATGTCTTTTTGTCTTTCTTCGTCTGCAAGTGTTCGGGAGGGGACCCGAAGCCCACGCGCCTTCGGGAAGGCCTGCTCAGGTGTGTGCGCGACCCCCTTCCTCCAATTGTTCTCCTGCATCCTTCGTGCAGAACAAGCGTTCTGTTAGCGCCGGGCTTGCCTCTCCCGGGGAAGCAATAAAAGCTTGTTTGTATTTGGCATTGCTTAGCTTGCCGGTATGCTACTATGAACGGGGCCGTGTTGTCACGACGATCTTTATTGATAGCTTGCGTGGCGACACTACAATCCGTTCAAAGACTATGGTATGTAGTAGCACAAAACGAACACTAGCACTCTGTTTGACCGGGGCTCTCTCCGAAGCTGGACATGCGAAGAAGCTCCTTCGTGGTCACTACGTGCAATGCACAGCCATGAGCTCGAACGCTGCTTCGCGAGTAAGCTATTCAGATATCTTGTACTTGAACCATTGGTAGACTTTTGTTTGATCTTGGCTTCTGGTGCTCAAGAAGCGATGAAATCAGAAGCTGGTGCAGGGGGCATTATTCCACTTCATTCTCTGTAACCAGGCTATCAGTCATGACTTCGGGTGTCACTTCATCGAAATGTGGCCCATCGTACAAGAGCTACACTTTTCATCAGCTATTTCAAGAAGTTGCGGTAGATTTGGAGGTAGTTGTTGCTTACCCGCAAGGAGAGCCGCTCCTTCTTCCATGGCTCAGGGTTCAGTCGTTGCGTTTGTATCCTCGTAGCAGAACTTCAACACTGTAGCTTTTCAGCCACACACTCGTTTGGTTCCACCCTCCTTTTGGATTCAGCAGCTCTCGCGCGTCTCTAGGTCCTTGACTTTTGGCTTGTTTACCTTCTACCTATCGCTTTTTCTACCGCACATCACGATACATTTTCATTTTCAAGTGACATCCCACCATTGCAAATATTCTCGACGCGACTGTGCCGCCGGTGGATCTTTTCCCGCCTGCCTCTTGCGCCTCTAGTATACTTTGTCTCGTCCTGTTGGTCTGCTTAACACCGAGTCTGCATTTCGGTTTCAAGCTCGCACAAACGGAAACGACTCGTGGTCGATCACTCTTTCGTCCATCCCCCAACCTCCCACAAGATGCGATTCCGGACACCCCTCGCTTTGATACTACCGGTAATGGTGAACGGTAGGCTCTTCGCCGAGTCGGAGTACCTGCAAGACTTTGAGGATGACACGACGACAAGCGCGACCCCAGCTTCGTTGCCTACGTCGAGTCTGCCCGCTGTGACACCCACGGGCCATTCGAAAGGCATTGAGTAACCACACACTGTAAGAAACTAATGCGCTACAACAGCTACTGACATGATTTAGACTTCGTCAGGCACAGGGCATTGCTCAAGTACGTGGTACACCACCTGATCAGCAACCGCGTGCCCCGATCATAGTGACTGTAACAGCAACTGCAAAGCCTGTCACTACTGTCAAGCCTATACCACCGCCAGCTCCCGTACCTCCGGCTCCTGTACCGTCCGTCAACGTTGCTGGGACAGCGGATGCAGATATCACGCGCTTGGCGGTACCTACTAGTACATTCAGCAACGTGCCCTTCTACACCGTAGTATGGGCTGAGACATGGATCGGCGGAACATATTCAACCTGGTGGCCACACACCATATCCCTCGACTTCGAGCCTGCACAAACGCATGTTCCACTCCCAGGAGTAGGCGTGATCGGTATGGGCACGTTGACTGGTAGGACCGGTGTAACGCGAACCGTCGTAGTAAATTCTGCTCCTACATCAGGATTAGGTTGGTCTAAGGGTCTCGCTGCAGTCGTCGGTGTTGGCATGGCGGGAATAGTCGTATAAGATTATGGGATGAACACAAACACTTAAGGGGGAAGGGTGGAAGCCCAATATTACTCTACGGAGCGCAGATCTGGAAATACAGCATCGTCACATATGAAGCACGAACGATTAACGAGACATATTTACTATACGAAGTATGATAACGATTATGAGCATGGGAAGCAACATAGAAAAGTAGGCGATTGTTAATGTAGACGACTTTTAGTAACATTGCGAGAATTTTACTGATGCTGATATCAGAAGTTGCCAGTGTACTTTCACTACATCACCGTTTGGTATGAAAACGAGAACTAGGAGCAATGACCAAGGGAGAGGTTGTGTTGAAATGTCGAGTCGACGGAAATGTGATGGAAGAGGTTTTTCTGACCATCCATGTGCAATTGGTGTTGTGTATGCCTCATGCCGTGATCCCACACTTCTGTCCATTATTCTTTACGATACTGTTGACTGCTCCTCGGGTTTCCAAAGACTTCGCAAGGAGCTTAGTCGTTGCAGGCAGTGCGCCACTGAGCGTTCCAGGCGCTCACGTCAGAGAACTTTCCACCAGCGTTGCAGCCCTTGTCTTCGAACAGCGGCTTAACGTCCTTGCAGGATGAAGTGCAGTCACCTCTGTTGTCCTGTAATTCTAGTTAGTTTTGTCTTTCTCCTCAAAGGTCTCAGGATGCTTACCGCGATACAGCAGTGGGAACCATCCGAGTACAAGCACTGGCAGTACAAGCCGGCCTGGGTACCAACGGCCATGGTAAGAAGCAGCCCGATGACAGCTGAGAAGCGCATGTTGGCGGTAGGTTGAGAAAGTAAGGTAGATGATGATAGACTTGGTTCCAATGGATGTAGGAACTGTGGTTTAACTAATCACTGAGGCAGGGCTGTCAAGGTGTTTTATAGTGTTACGACTACGTGAAAGTATGACAACGTGCTCAGCCTCGGTGACACTTGTGTCAATATGTCGGTCCATAAACTCCACGACCAAAGTGTAGTAGTGCGGTAATCGCCATTGTTTCCTTGACACCCCGAGTGTTGAGCAAAATACGAGTGCGCTAGTAGAGGAAGCCATGCGATCAACAGTGTGCTTACCACATAGAGTCGTAATATACCTCGTATAACATCTCCACGTGTTGGGTGGGTCTGTTTGATCTTGGCTGAGAGGAGAAGCTCACCTAAGACAAGAGGGCTATTCCAAGGGGTACTCACATGAGTGACCGAGATATCGTCGAGATACTTACCGATGAGGCTTTGGATCACCACCATTGGTCACGATGTGCGGTGTGTTCAACGCGATGAGGGAAGGATGCCGAGATTGGTACCTGGTTAAGCAGGACTTGGAAGGTCCGAGAAAGGTACACCAAAGGTCCGAAAACAGCCCCATCGACCCCAATCCGGGTTCTCGGCCATTGTACAACACCAGTTCCGAAGTTGATCGTAGTGAGTGTAGTCAACAGCAACACGTTAAAGTCTCAGTGGTTCCGCGTCTCTGGTAAGGACATCAACCAGATCATCGGTACCTCTTCCACGACTCTAAAAACACTATTTCAACTACCCCTCGTCTCTTCCCAGCTGTCATAATGGTCCGCATTACCTCCGTCGCTGCGTTCATCTTCGCTTTCGCCTTTGGTGTTCAAGCTTCTCATACCTGCCAATGCTTGTTCTCTGACCGTTCGCACTGCTGCGCCAGCACCGTAAGATACTCGAAGTCATTAAGGAACTAAGGATAAAGCTGACCGGAGCCTTGCTCCTTTACAGAGTGCTTATGGTGGCGAGGAGAGATGCGAAGATGTTTGCATGAATGCTAAGCGAAACAAGGACGGCGCTGCTTGCGCTGCTGGTGGTGCATGGTCCAGCGTCAGCGCCTGGAACGTCCAGTTCCGCGAGCCATGCGAGTAAGTATCCTTTACGCCAAGTGCAGTCCTATTGTTGACTCTTTGAAGGGTTGGTTCCACTAGCACCTCCTAGATGTAGAATATGGTATGTGCGCTATGTATAGAAAGTAGAGCGGTGATGCATGTGGGTCGTTTTAGGAGTAGGGTAGGAACAAATTCCACCACCATAGATAATCTCCCATATCTTTCAATGTGCAATCATACTTTCTATAAAGTACCAACCCGATGATGGTTGCAATCGTGAAGAGTGACGCGCGAAAAGATGAGAGCTTTTACTTCTACGCTGGTCTAAAGGAGTTGGTCAGCACACGTGATGTCAGCCTCGGCCCGTTGATGCGCGTAATTGACCTACCGGTGCGCGCCAACACAGATCAGCAACGTGAGGATGCAATGTGTTCTGCTTACAAGTGAGCCCTTGAGACGCCAGCTACATTAGGGACATGGGTGCAGAAAAATGCATGTCTATCCAGATGGGTCTGGATAATGCAAGGAACGCAGCTCAACAAAGGGCGGTGGAGTGACGCCTAGAAATGTGGCGCGACATTCACGCTACTTGCAGACGATCCAGTCCCGTTTCGGTCCGAACTTTGGAGAGCTTAACGTGACGGCACGTCAACAGCAGTACTGTTGATAAGGTGATTGAGCTGAATACTTCGGATGCCCTGCTTCGTATAAAGATCCAATTCCTCAAATGGAGTCTCTGCACATCATCTAATCGAATCAACAATCTATCAGTCAGTTTAACATCAACGAAAGCCACCCGATAGCGGAGTGCATCACCCGATAAGGAAAGACAACGAACCAAGCAGTCAGCAGCGAACAGCATACCGTTATAGGACAAGAAACATCTACACTAGTCGAATCACCAGAAGAATCAGCTTACGTGAGTTATTCACTGCTAAGGGTGAACACTCAAAGACACATCAACTCGACGGAACTCCTCGAACACGGCTACAAATCAACCACATTCGATTTACCCTCCGACAAGACTCGCAAAGTAGCGAAATCAAACGAGATGGCGACAGCATATTACTTCGCAGCGCACTTCAACATGCCCGGAAACCATGCGATGAACGAGCCCTGGTTCCCTGCCACTACGTTTTACAATGTGTCGCCGCTATCGCCTGTTCTGATCGGGCAAGCGGAAGCCCAGATCCAGCCTACTCTGTCAACACAACTCGCGACGACAACGACAAGAACAACAACAACAATGAGAAATAATGGAACAAACAACCAATCGACTTCCATCTTTTTCCGTCTTCCAGCGGAATTACGCAATCAAATCTACGAAGAGCTCCTCTGCCCCAACACACCACATCACAAAAATCTAGCCACGTATTCTACGCCATCGAAGCCACCAGCTGTTTACCCAGCTATCCTTCAAACATGTCGCAAGGTACATGAAGAAGCCCAAGATCTTCTTTACACAACACATGTCTTCCACGCCCACCGGTCCCTCTTGACCGCTCTGCCACATCTGATCTGCCCAGAGAAGCCAATCTTGTCTCAATCTGGCATCGCAAAGATCAATCGCTGGCAACTTGAACTACGTCTGGATATCGATCCCCGGTTCACTAGCAGTCAAGCTACGGCCGCATTCTCCGGTGCTGAGTTTTTAGAAGTGAAGGTTTGGCAGAGCATGTTTGATGGGGCTGATAACTCGCACTTAAGACTGTTCACTGGTGTGAGAGGAGTAGGGGTTGCGAAGGTTACCGGTTGTGATGATGAGGGGTTAGCGAGGTGGTTGGAGGCGAGGATGATGATGCCGATTGAGCAGGAAGTAAAGAATGAAGGGGGCTGTTGTCAGTGTGGCAATAAGGTGGGTGGGGACATGACATGGTTTGGTGCGGCCAGAGATCCTTGGACCTTTGGAAACAGATAGAAAGAAGGTGGAAAGTGTTGGGTCAAGAATAGACGGCGACACGGAAATGGTCATTTAGGTGGAGTGATTTGTGTGGTAACTTCGTTATTGGTAGATGTCCAAATATAGAGCACTTTGAATAGAGAATCGAACAATTACTTGCTCAGGTCATGAAGTTCCTACGGTTTTTCCACAGATGCCTGCTGTGATTGCTGTTCTTATTGATGGGTATCAAGGGGTTGGAGAATGTATAATGTACAAAGGAAATCTCGCGGAAGCCCACACTTTGATCCGGGATGTTACGTCTACGTCATCTACCGCAGCTCTTCTCTCTCGTCCTCTCCGTCCTCTTCAATCCTGGCGCAGGGAAACGCGCACTCCATTGTTCTTTCCCTACTTCCCCTCCCACTCTCGACCCACATGCCTGAGTTGCACCAGGCGTCAGGCCTCAGTCTCTTACTTCCGCCCTCTGTCGCCCAGCTCACGCCATCAGACTCGAAGATCAGCGCATCATCCCCATCAGTACCGTGAATGGTCAGGCTAGTGTCATCCAACAACCCCGCAATGGTGAGTACTTGCTTCGCAGAGATTTTTGTGTACGAGTTGCGCTCAGCCCGTGGTCTTGAAGAGGCGACGTCGATGGTAAGCCCATTGGTATGATCCTCCAAACTGTCGATTTGGATGTAGTTGATCTTGCCCTTGCTTGCCGATTTTGGTTTAGCAGCGGTGATAAGTTGCTTGTGGAGAAGAGTGAAGGTGCATTTATCGGCTAGAGATGTAGCGGATGTCGATAATAATGACTGTGCGTCATCGCGAGGGAGGATGCGTGGAGGTTGGGGAGGTACAACGCGGGCTGCGCATGGCGACAATGCGAGGAAGAGGACCGATGAGAGGATGGCAAAAGTATTGGCGTGCATTGTGAAGACCTGCTTGCGAATGCTTTGTGTGGTTGTGTATTGGGTTTGTAGTTGTAGAAGCAGAGTTGATGACAGTCAGTCAAGAGATAGATGACACACGGATAGCCGGATCCAAGGCCAGCTGTGTGATTCAAGTAAGATGCGCAGAAGGTGAATGTGAATGGAGATAGTGGTAGCGCTGAACAAAGGTACCTTTGTACCTCACTGCAGGCTGTGGAGAGGTATTGTTTCAGAACAACTACGGCGGTCTACCCGCCCTTCACCCTGTCTATCGCGTTTATCACTGCTATTCTTGCTCGGCGGGCCCCGCTTGAGTACCTGATGGGGTCATGCGGCGGCTGGGTGCAAGGCTGATGCGGGGTTGCGGCGCAGACGCGTCGGATAGAGTGCTTCAGCGGGAGCCGGGCGGCAAGCATCCACACTGTGCAATGAGATGGATTCTTGAGCCGCAAGGAATGCGAAGACGTCCAAAACTAGATATGTGCGGGCGGCGCGGGTTTCTTTGTGCTGGGCAAACTTACGTGAGGTCGGCTCGGTACAGTATGGGTTGATGCGAGGGAAATTAGGAGCGACGCGATGAGGTCACGATCGTCAGGGAAGGCAGAAGACGTTCAATCTGTGCGCATATCCAGGAAGCTTGACAGCGAAAAAAGATGACTGTTTGTGCTGTTGCATGTGTCATGGCTGCGCGTTGTCTTCACAACGGTGTCAGCGTAAGGGTCCATGAAGTTGGGCCGGACGTGCGCAGGGGCAGGAAAGGGCAATTTCGGGATGCCGATTCGGTAGGCGTGGGGCCGAGCGTCCTGAACTCTGACGTTGAGCACACAACAAGGTGCAATTCGTCATCCCGCCTACTTCACGATCAAACACGGCCGTTGCAATGTCGCGCCCTTGCCAGCAACGGCGCTCGAGTGCGGCTGCGAATCGCAAATCCAGGGGCTCCAAGCCAACAGGACCTCCCCCCATCAGACACAAAGCACGACAAAAGGCGATACACAATGCTCGACACGGGCGCGGCGGAGGACGTGGCGGAGCGCGCGGCGGAGCGCGAGGTCGAGGCCGTGGCGGACAAGCAGGCGGTCGTGGCGGTCGTTTTGCACAGAAGAATGGCAGGAACGACTCGGAACAAGATTTCATCCCTCTGTCCTCTGGTGGGAATAATTTCGAGGCGCTGTACCGGTCCAGCAGGCGGGACGACGATTTCGATCTGGAAGTGGATGGCGACAGCAGCGACTCGGAGGAGCTCCTTGACGAGGACATGTACGACGCCCAAGACATCGCCATCAATGTACAGGCGCCACCGCCTACGACGAGTAGAGGGAGACAACCAAGAGCACAAATCATGTTTACCGAGGCAGCCGCCGTTGCCGTATACGATCAGATCTATCTGCGCAACTTCCCACTGACTACGACGACGACCCGAGTGCGCTACCTCCTCTACCAGGAAGACACTTCTGCCGATTCGAGCGCATACATCTCCTTCGCGCCCTCCCCACTGTCCCGTCGATCGAGCATTAGCAGCGCCACCAGCGACGGTTCTATGAACGAACCACCAACACCCGAGTACAACCCTGCACGCGACTACGTGTGGACATTTGGAGCGCACAGCGGCAAGCGCTTCACGGATGTTCCTGACAACTACGTCAAGACGATTGGCGGTCAGCTCTACAAGTACATGGACAAGCACGCGGGTCTCCTGGAAGCATTCGAATACCACAGGCCGGGACAAGCACGTCTTAAGCCACCACAGGCCGACCAGCCGCAGATCCAACCCCAACGGACCCAGGCGCAATCATCGCGGCCACAGCCACAGCCACAGTCCCAGCCATCTCAATCACAAGCTCCTTCGGCGTCAGACACGTGGAGATTCAAAAAAGGCATTCACGAAGGAAAGCGGCTCCACGATGTCCCAGAAAATTACATAAGAACGCTGGAGAATAACCCGCTGGTTAGAAATGCCTGGCCTGGATTCAAGCAAGCAATCGAGGATTTCAATGCAAAGACTGGCAGACGGGGCCGGGTCTGATTGCACAATAGCTGCACAATAGCTACGACCTGGACGCACCTTCTACGAGCGTTTGTTGATGCGGCGGTCCAAGCGGCAATTTTGGGACTCACCTCACTCACCTTTGCGGCCAACGCCCTGCAACACCTCTTTGTCCGCATACCCAGATTCGTCTGACTGCGACTTTCTTGTACCACACTCTCCAATTTTTGCGCTCGCGAATGCTCACAGCTGTATCACATCTCACCCCGTCATGGCAAGTCACGGAAAACGCGCGCAACCAGATTCAGAAGCATCTCAGTCCAAATCGCGACGCCATACCAAGCGAAGGAGGGCAGCGCGATCCAAGACCGCGGGGTTGCAAGAAGCAGCGGACAACACAACTGCGCAGATCGACGTGCGATACATGGGGACCCAGCCAAAGATCCGGCAACCTACCGAGACCTTGCGAGCCAAGTCCTTTCCAGGCCAGATATCCCAATTCATTAATCTGACACTGAGTGATGAGGTGGAGGAGGGGTTCCCTACGTTTTCATCGAGATCTAAAGCTCTTCAACATCAAGCCGAGGAGCAAAGCCACTCAAGGTACGCTCTGCGTAGCAAGACGCTTGGAAACACTCGTGAACGCTTTCTAAATCCTCCCCATATGGCATCTGCACGGCCATTGGCTCACACGATGGCAACGCTGGAGCAGGAGCAATCAGAGCATCCCAAATCGGCAGGACAGCGCTTTCCAGAGAGAACCATAGATCAGAACGAAGGCGAAGAAAGATGGACCTTACCACAAAAGCCACTGGTACTTACACACCGCTTTAGTAAGCGCCCGCAAAAGTGGGAACAACCTGAACAACGGGTTTGGAACGCAGAAAGAGAAGCGACGAGAGAGGAGAGGACAACGGCAAGGTCAGCCAATGACACTTGGGAGCCATCGACTTCTACAGATATTATGTTCACGATCCCAGAGGCAATGACCGCACTTGTCCGGCCCCAGCTTGCAGATAGCATCGCCTACAACCTGCCAACTGGCGCATACATTTCGTATCCCGTCAAGAGGTCGTACCACCTGGGCGCCACGGGCAGGTATACCTGTCGCTCTGCATACTAGCCTTTTCTATTGCTACTCTGGTGCTGCTAAGCGCAACTCTCGTTTTAACGAACCCAGGTCAAACTATACCAAGGCCCATATCCGTCTTACTTGGTTTCAGGCCGAGCATGCGCGTCGATTGGGTGCGATGAGGAGGACATGTAACCTTCGCCCATTTGCCGTTCAAGAAATGGTCTTGAGTCTGACGTTTGCATGCCTGAAGATGGCAGTATGATGGATGGATAGGGATTTGAACATGAACATAATTTCTGGTCCGGAGTCGGATACTGTATTGTAGTCTCGCGGGCTGCTACCATGGCTTTGGCATATATGCAAAACGGTCTCCCATCATGGTTTTTGATGACGAGCAAGGCCAAGCTTCAGAAAATCAACTCAAATCATACACTTCAAACGAATGCGCACGTTTTAGCTATTTCAAAATCAGTGATCACTTGGATATGTCTCATCTAGAAGACAAGTCAAAACGAAAAGCTTGACATGTATGACGCGCGGGAGTGCTCTATTTTTGAAGATGGCTTAGCAGCAAACAGTATGTAAAGCCTCATCATCTGGTGTTGTTTCCCTTTGTGACAACACATCCTGTTCCAGAACTGCAAAATCTTGAGCTTGCCCTCGGATGCACATCCCTTCCTCTGAAATAGCTCGGTCAGCCGTTGGAATATCTGCTGCGACCGAATATTGTCTTTGATCTTGGATGCCTCGATATACTTCTCTTGTGTTACAAATTCAGAGGTGATGTACACATGTAGTGCTCCGATACCTGAGTAAACTACTACATGGCATTGTTGTGACACAAAGAAATTACATCAGATCAGCGTACCAAAATGAAACTATGGTTCACCAACATCCCACAAGAAAGCTTATTCTGAACAAGCATGCAATCCATGCCGGCACCGAGTATAATATACCCACAATTTCCAGTTGATGTTCGTAGTAGCTGTCAGCACTAGCCCCCTCGATATCGCAAGCGCACGGTTCTCCACCCGACTTCGACCAACCAAACGAGCGCAATCAAGAGACCACCCCACAAAGCTCGCCTGTAGCCTTGACGCCCGCGATATGGGATGCGGCCTTATATTCTATTTCTAAGCACTTTGAAATGCTACTCGGTGTTTGTAAATAATGCTTGGAAATGCTGCTTTTCAATGCTTTTCAATGCTTCAAAGCTGAAGAAGTGGCGTACGAGATGTGACTATGCTGGATTTGGTGTTGGACGATAGCAGACCGGAGTAGGGAGGGTAAAGTATCGATGTATATAAGACGGGATGCAGGTGATGTGTTGATCATCAGCCAATTGTGAAGACAGCGAAGACTAGAACGACTACAACCCTTTCAGATCTTTTCTTGCAAAGCTTGTTCAATTTGAATCGCATCTGCCAACGCATATTATTGACATGGATCCTAACGCCTTTACCGCACCTTTTCAGGCCACCAAGACGCTCCGCCGTGATATCTATCCGTCAATCGACCCCAAGAACCCCGAGTTGAGTGCCAAAGGCAAGACCATTCTTATTACAGGTGCTACAGGTGGACTGGGTGGTGTATGTTAAAACCATAAAGCATTATCCCATATGCTCGCTAAAGTATGCTTTAGGAAGTTGCGCGAGCCTGGGCAATTGCCGGCGCAGAGGGCATCGTGCTCACGGGTCGCAATCAAGAGGGCCTCAAGGAACCGGCAGAGGCCATTGCATCGCTCAGCCCTTCTACCCGGGTGCTCTGCCTATCCGCCGACTTGACCAACGAGGCTGATGTCGAAGCGATGTTCACCAAAGCTGTAAGCCAATTTGGTACCGTGGATGTGGTACTACACGCCGCTGGGAGCATAGGCGGGGGACCGGTGGGCGACTTGCCTCCCAATGCTTGGTTCAGCGACTACGAGGTCAACGTCAAAGGCTCTTACGTCCTTGCGCATTACTATCTCAAGGCTGTAGCGGCTGGTACCCTTATCTTTGTTGGTACGCTGGGTGCATCGTTCACGTTTGCTGGTATGAGCTCGTACTCTGGAAGTAAGATGGCGTTGCTCAAGCTGGCTGAGTATCTGGATGCTGGTAAGATCCAATTGATCTGGAAATCATATCGTCACTGACTCTCTAATAGAGAAACCAAATCTCCGCGTCTTTACCGTTCATCCAGGAATCGTCGCCGCGACAGAGACGCAGCGTGGTATGATCGTTGATTCGCTCACGCCCTTCGCGCTTGATAAGGGCATTCAAACAGGTGGATTGTCCTTGTATCTTGCCCAGCCTAAAGCAGATTACTTGAAGGGCTCTTTCGTCAGTGTGAACTGGGATCTTGACGAACTGGAGAAACACAAGTCAGAGATCACCGAGCAGAAGCTCCTAAAGCTTGCTTTCCTTGGTGCTAAGCTGGGAATCGAAGGCCATCCGTGGTCCAACTGACTAGAACGTATCTTATGAGGGAGGTGTGTGTTGGCTCCTGGGTAATTAGCGCAACCTGCTACGAGCAGAGAGCGAACAAATCAAGGCGCTATCCACCCAACCCTCGCCATTGGCCAGCTTATGTATGCTTTATGTTCGATAGGTAGCGCTTCGTAGATGCCACTCATAACATGATGTGTCCACCCTTTCATATACCAGAATTTCTCCAAGTCGTGCATGAGGACGACAAAGTGAGCGTAGATGATGAGTGGCAGCGGGTCACATCGTTGAAGTCGGTCGAGAAAGTCCTCGCTCATGCGATAGAGCCACCCAAATGCGACATGATATTCCCCATCTTTGCCACCGTAACGATTGGAGTACATCTCCTGCAAGACCTCAACGCTGTCCACGTTGTCATCACGGTCAGCGGGCTCGGAGACGAACTCGATATGCTCTTTCAGCTCCATTAACTGCTTTTCGTACTCAAATGGCCCATCCGATGGTGGTAGAAGTCGACCTTTGCCACGAGTATTTGGCCCATGCGTCTTAGAGAAATGGTCTCTCGAGAGCGAAGTCAGTGTTGTACGAATTCCACGAAACATGACCAGCCAGTCCGATCTTCCATGCTTGCCAAAAGCAAGGTACTCACCAGCCTGCGGTCCTCTTGCCCAGCTGACAAAGCAGATCATCTGAACAGATTGAAGGACCGCGTCACAGTTATCAGGACTGAGGCTGGCTATCTCTGGAGTAACGAGTGCGAGCGCGCGCTCGTAGTGGTAATCTGCAGTGGCGGTGTAGTGTTCTTTGCGGTTTGGGCGACAAACGGCGAGATGAAGAGCCGTAAACGCAAATATGAGGTGCAATACGTGCTGATTCTTCATCGCGACTTCTTCGGTTAAAGCTTGTACACGAGCCACGCCAGCAGGCCATGCTGAGAATGAGTGACATGTCGTCGTTGCCCAGTGGTATGTGAGTTCGATTTCAGATATCGGAAGGTCACCCGGCTCTCTTGGATCCACAAGTCCTGATGCGGCAGCGGAGGTCGCGGGATTGGCGGGATATTCGCAGCGAACTTGCCTTCGTTTACAGTTGGCACAAGATGGCTTGCCCTCGTCGCACTAAGCATGTTGTTAGCACGTTGAGCATGACGTCCAACTTTACCCCACGTCCAATACATGTTCGACATGTTGTATACATGCTCTGGGATTTCTCTCGCTTCTCGAGAGGAGTGTCGCGAATGATTGCGGCCAACACATAATATACGTACCTTGATGCGACGTGACTTGCAATTTACGCATCCAGCCCGTGACTTGCGATGAGACTTCCTTGTTATCTTCGAACGTCTTGACGTGCCCCTTCCACTGTGGTCGGACGGAGAAGGCTCGCGTGAAGTCAAAAGGGACGCTCCCCTCGAGTCCGATGTGGCCTCCGTGAGTGGCGAGTCTTCCTGCATGTTTATGGTGCCGTCGCGTCGAAGATGTTGAGGCATCGGAAGGCGTATTCTGAGCGAGGAGCGCGTATCTTAAGAGAGACAACGGCTCCAGAGAGGCTTCGGCTAGCGGCCTACATCATCGCTTCTAGCGTCCTTCTATATTGCGTCGCTGGCCGCAGCATCGCAAACATCTCCAGGGAAAGACCTCTCCGAACACTAACTTGGCCGAATCCGCTCGACTCTCTTTCCCTTTTCAAACATCCTCTGCGCTTGTAGCTTCGCAATGAGTGTTCAGGTCGCGCGTCGATCGCCCCTCATGCGACGCGAATAGGCCCGGGCTCTTCTCTCCGATCGTGTTGCCAAGCCGCTAGTAATCGCATTGCTCGTGTTCTCTTAGAATACGCAGTTTCTAGGTATAGAAGTTTGGTGCACTCCTATCGTGCTCCACTTAGCAGGGCTAAATCTGCAGAGAATGACATGCTGTGCTCCTATTTATGAATTGCGCCGAACCTTGCCTAGGTAGGCCGCGTCGGCGGTTTGAGAGCACATATAACCCTACCATGGCCCGCTGCTCTGATCCACACTAACCCATCTACACCACTCTCCTTGCGACCTCAATCACTAAGCCCCCAAACCCATCCGGACGCAACACAAACCATGGGTCGACCAGAAGATATCGAAGCCGTGTACAACAAACCATCTTCATCGGTTTCATCTTCATCACCACCCTCGATACAGTCAATACCATCCGTGCCACCACCGCCCTACTTCAAGTCACACTTCATCTCTCCATCGTCTTTCAAGTCGGCCGTAAACGAAAAGCTCGACAAGCCTGCCGTATCTCTCTTCCGTCTCAGTATCCGCATTTTCCAGTTCGTATTCGCCCTTGCCTCAGGCATATCCTATGCCATCGAACTTCGCCATACAACAAGCGATGCGAGCTCAGACTTCATATACGCACAAGTTGTGTTTGGTCTTACCCTCATAGTCTTGGTCATAGACAGCATAACAGCACGGAACTACCGTATGACCTGGGTGCCGGAGTGGATCTTGGCCATTCTATGGATCGCTTGTTTCGGCCGTTTCTACACAATTTATCTGCGTAGCGATATTGAGCAAGGATACGAGAATGTGGATCTAGGACGCATGAAGAGAGCTGTGTGGTGCGACCTCATCAACGCATTACTGTGGATGGGAAGTGCCTTGTTCTCTTCATTCATGTGCTACGCTGGAATCAAAGCTGCCATCAAGGCAAAGTTGGAAAAACGGAGGCAAAGGAAGGAGGGGAAGAAGGCGGTTAGAGAGATGGGTCAGATGGAACAGGGCGTTGTCGGACGGTGACGTTGAGTATTAAGTCGGAGGCAATATAAAGAGAGAACATATAACGTTCATTACTAGTAGCGGAGGATATGCGTACTTTGGGTATCGCAAATCAACCCACTACCACTCTCACTCCCCAAACAAGACGCACTAGTTATTTAGACACAAGTGATCAAAACATCTAAGAAGATGAGCGAACTTGCTCAACGTGGACGTTGTCGTCCTTCTCGTAACCAGAAGTCATGACGTTCTTCTCCACCACCTCAATGTCGACGTGAGCAACCTCAGCCTCATCACCATCGAAGATCTTGGCGACCTCTTCAAGAGTGGGACCACGGGTCTCGACGTAGAAGACAGTGACGAAGACGAGTTCGAGGAAGATCCAGCACTAGTTGTTGTTAGTAAATGATATTTAGAAGACCAGTCGGTGCAAAACTTACAGCGTAGATAGTGTAGAGCTTCCAAGTGGGGTGAAGATGGTCGAATCCCAAGGGGTTGACGTATTGGTTGATAGTCAGAGCAACTTGGATGAACAAGTTCATAATCATCAGACCCTTCGCACGGATCTTGAAGGGCAAGATCTCAACTGTGTAGGCGACAAGCAGACCAGACCAAGCCAACGCGTAAGCAACAGAGAAGATCCAGATCATGGCAATGACAGCCTGACCAGCGGCCTTGCTCTTAGTAGCCTCTTGCTGCGACGAAGCAATCGTCCAGACGATGAAGGTGACGCACATGGCTGCGGTAGCGGAGATGAAGAGCGGGCGACGACCAACGCGATCAACGAGTAGAGCACAAGAGACTGAGACGATGAGAGAGAGGATAGTAAGTCCACCATTGATGCCAAGCTGGGTGTCGGGGTCTGTGATACCAATGGAGTTGTAAACATCGGTAGCGTAGTAGGAGACAAGACCGTTGCCGGACCACTGAGAGAAGAGACCAAGCGATGCGAGAAGCATAAGTCTGTACCGGTTACCCTTGGTCTTGAAGAAATCAAGGTAGCTGGAAGTTTTCTGGTACTGGAACTCGAGGCGGAGGGTCTCTTTGATCTCGGCGTATTCGAACTGAACTGTAGCGTTGTTGGCATCACCGTTTGCGTGGTACTTGGCAAGGATTGCAAGGGCCTCCTCGTTCCTCTCCTTGGCGATCAACCAACGCGGAGACTCGGGGATAAACCAGATGGCGGCCAGCTGAATGACGGAAGGTGCAGCCTGAGTAAGAGCGGGAACGCGCCAGCACCAGTCACTGTCGATGCGCTTGGTACCAAAAGTCAACCAGGTGCAAACGATGGCACCAACGTTCCACAAGCAATTGTAGACCGCAGTGACACGAGCACGATGTTGAGGGTGGCAAAGTTCGGTGAGAAGTAGAGGAGAAGACAGCTGAGCCAATGAGTTTCCAAAACCCATGAGGAAACGTCCGCCCATGAAGTAGTCGAGGTTCTTAGCAGCGGCCTGAATGCAAGCTGCAACGATCATGATAACACACCCAAAAGTAATGCATGCTCGACGTCCGAAACGATCGGCAACAAAGGGAGCGACAGGAAGCGAAGCGATCGAACCGATAGAATAAAGAGCAGTCAAGAGACCAAGAGTGTCTCCCTTCGGATCGTTGAAGTAGTCGGTCCATCGGGGTAGGATACGCAGGTTGTTCAACATGGAACTGAAAAAAGAATTAGCATTCAATTATAGGAGGGTTGTTGCTAGATAGGCTTACCCATCGTAACCGGTAGTCGCAGAAGCGATACAGATGAAGAAGGCGTAGAAGTAGAGCTTGCGAAGACCAGCATCGGACCTCCAGTTGACCTGCTTCAGATGAGGTGCCTCAGCCTGCGCGGCTTCGACATCGGCCCTGCTCTTCGCAACGGCACCCATCTTGGGTGTGAACTTCTGGTAAAGACCCATGATATCCAACTCTTAGTCCGGAGACTGCTTGTAGAATCGAAACAACGAAGGAGTGTGTGTAGGTTGGTCTTGAAACGCACAACCGTACACTGTCCTGAGCAGCAGGGTATATAAGCTCTTGACTTGTCGGGTTGGGCTGATTGCAGCTGAGCCTGGATAGATTGAACATGTTGGTGCTTCATATATATGCCTCCCAGCCTGCGAGGTACTATGCTCGCATAGGCTCTTGGCTCTAGAGCTGCGTTCTAGCGGACCGGTTAAATGCGTCTAGGGAATTGTGTGGCCCTCTACGCGGATGAACCGCTGTATGGGGTAGAGTGGGCGGCAGATGGCCCAAAACGGTGGGGTCAAGGGTAGCATGCCCAGACCACAAGCTTCGTCTTTACCATGAACGGGTCGCCTTACTACCAGTGTCAAGTCGGCCTCGGCGTGCGGGACGGCCAGCCGTCAAGAACAACAAGAAGTCTAAGCATTGAGGCTCTCTCAGCAACAGCCATCTCGTAATGAGAATGTTGGTTCTGGCTGAATCAGCCCCGGAGGCATACATTCGGTGCCACAAGGCCCGTCAGCCCGGTATGCCTCCTGAGGCTCGAGGACAAGCCTTCCAAGCTGGCTATCTTCAGGCTCGGTCATACAACCTTCGAGAAGGTTGTGATCAGCTGCGAAAGCGTCGCATGCTACGGTAGAATAGATTAACCAGCCTCTAAAGCTCACGACTCCAAAGACCGAGAACGTGGGTCTGACGAGCGCTTTTTCAGGGTCTCCCATGAAGATTGGGGCTAGTCTGGGGAATATGCCAGAGCACGCGGTGCCGAGGTGATGAGGCGTGGTTGGCGGAAACAAGGAGCCGCTCTTCCCCAGCTTGCTAACTCGGTGCCACCCGAACACGTGAACGCAGACAAGCATGGGCTAGCGCCTAACGGTAAAGAGCTTCATCGATCATGCAAACTAACCCATTATTTTGCTTTATTCCCACCGCGGAAAACTCCACATCTGCAACGCAATATCCCGCTTTTCTTGTTGCGCCATCAGCGCCTTGAGCCGTTCCCCAGAGATTTCCCCAGAGAATCTCCCCCAGAGAATCTCCCCCAGAGATCAACAACAACTCAAGCGTCTCGAGGAGACTTCACACAACATGTCGCAAATGCTTCACCATATCCATCCACCCCATCCTACTCTCGTATTGCTTGTTAGTATATGCTGCAGCAGGGTGATCCTTGGTTAGCGTCCTGTCGATGTGATTCGACCACCGTATAAACGGGCGGTCTCGCTGACGCCTGGTCGATGTCTGCAAGCCTCCAACGGGTGGCTGGTTCTTTTCTCCATGCTAATTTCTCGACTACCACGCTCCAGTTCTCGATCAGCGGAATATGTATAGGCGGATGAGATCTAAGCATCCCGTCGCCCCTTTTGCACTGGCTAAATCGTAACAATCAGTTGGGTGCATTGCTAACCGCTCAACATAGCGCTGAATGCCATGGATTCCTACGCTGGATGCTCTGGCCGCTGTGCCCTCCCCTTTGGATCCTGCAGGAAGCCTGCATACGCGGGTGATGCGGCAATTGCTTCCCCAATGCTTGTTTGCAGTCCCGAACAGGCATGCAGCAGGCCTGGCTCCTCCTGCATGCCGTGTCCGCCCACACCCAAGCAATCTTTGCCTGTGTTGGCACTCTGTCCTATCGAAAAGTCGAGTCTGAGGGCTTCCAAAGCAAGCCACGTCCAACACACCCTCAAGATTTGTGGGTCGTTTACATTGAGGGCGCCTGATAGTCGCGCAGCTGCATCGCTTCGTCTTGCGGATTGACCAGCATCGCGAGATGGGCAGGGTACTTTGGCTTGACTGACCCAAACAAAACAGCGTAAAGTCAGCCCGAGTATCCACAGCAACCACCAACACTGACCTTTACGGTCTCGCATCCAACCTGATGGGCCACCAGAGCTTGGAAGCTCCGTTTATAGTAATCATGACAAGGTATTGTACGGATGCTAGTTTAGTGCATACCGACTCCGATCAGTCGCAGCCACACATTGGGATCCCACGCTCGGACCGTCATGATTATCGGCATGTCCAGCCGTTTCTTCTCTTATGGGGAAAAAGTCAGTGGATGACAATTCGAGGATGCACGAGCGTAGGATCCCCGAAGCTTCTACCCGATACCTCTTCCCGTTTGCCGCCGTCTGAACACCACAAGCGCCACGCCACGAAACAATACAATTGCGTTTGAGCCTCGCCACCGGGGTATTAGGCTAAATGAATTCTCATCACGAGTCGGTGGCTGCTCTAATTATGCCACTTGGTAAGGACGTCTAAAGAGAGAGCCAGTCAGTTGAGTAGCGCCTATTCAAGGTGTAATGGTTTATCGCATGTCGTGGCGATCAGGAACAGCTTACACTATGGTTGGTCAAATGTCAGGTTGATCATGGCGTTGTCCTGCGTAGACGATCCTGATTCACATAGTTCACCCATTTGTGTTCCTTCTGGTTGACTTGAGAATAGGCGCCTGAGACGTTTGCCTAGAGTCTAGATGCAAGGCGAGAATCATCTGACTCCAACAACGGCCACCCTCCGATCCTTTACTGTATTCTCTCGTCGACGCGTGACAAAAGCAAGATAGATACAATCCTGAGCATGATTTGCTGGTCAGCAGCGTCCTGTGGCTCCACTTCGTCGATCAAGGGAATACGCTTAGGTACCAGGCGCTTCAAGTGGCTGTATCATGCGATTTTGTGCGCATCAGCTGATGCTACTACTTCGCGTGTACGGGCATTTCGTTCGCCTTCCTAGCGTTGAGCCTGAGTTGACAGCCGTGCCAGTACTTCAGGTTATAACACAGGAGTTTTCGATGTTTGACATGTGTCCTAAGTACTCCTTAGATCGCCCGATAGCCTGCTTTCTGTCTCGAGTAGGAAGGAGAAGCTGCGTCATTATCAGTACGGCTGTATGTCGTTTGTGTAAAAATACGTATAGGCCGACATTGGCACCGAGAATTGTTATCATCTCAACTCTTTTCCTTCGTTCTGTAAGCCTTGTAGCCATGTGCGCTCATCAGGGATTGAGAGATCTTTTTCATTCGCACGAAGAAACCTGGAACTAACCAGACAGGTCTCTATGGGCTTTGTATTCAGGTCTGACGGTAGTCTCCATTATACATGGCAGATGGTAGTGTTCTAACATGTGCATAGTTCTGAGGAGCGAAGATGCTGCGATGCTCGTCGTGGTCAGCCAAGGTGGGTCCAATCAGGTTCCGTGGAACTCCGCAGTGCATGGCATCATGACTACCCGCGTGCACGCGCCGTCATCCTTCGCATTGCATAGCCACAGTCGCCCAATGGGCCCTCTCACGCCCAGGACGTTACGACCACGATCAGCAAAATGTGGAGCAGCAACGGTTTGATACGAGGAAAGAAGTCTTGGGCCACGTTTGAAATCTTGGGCGTGCCACCAGAGGCCGACGTTGGATTCAACATGTCGCACTCGCTATCCAACCTGACAACAGTGTCGTCCGGTCTCTAGCCTCGTCGCACGTACTTTCGCTACTACTCAGCGCATCCGATACTGCAAACATGTTCGCAAAGACTGGGCTCCTTCTGCTGACGGCGGCGGCGGGCGTCGTGGGCGACTTCATGGTCTATACAGAGCCGCCAATCCCAACGTCGGCCATTCCAACCTTCGCGAACCCATCCGATGTATGCTGGGCCCATGCATGGCATCCACCGCGGCCGTACTGACAACTACGCAGGCCTCGAGCTGGACAACCTCCGTCTTCCTCAACGCGCAGATAGCTTACGGCCGCTTCACAGGCTCACTCGGCGAGCCCTACCAATCCTCCCTCACATCCGCCCGCTCCGAAATCGACGCCTTCGTCCGAACCGCCACAAATTACAGCATCCCCGCCGAGGTCACCATGGCTGACGAGGTTCGTTGTCATGGCACGACATGCATGTGAGACATAGACTGACTTTGCATCTCTGCATCTGCAGACGCCCACATACTTCTCAAGGCCAGATTGGTACACAGCCCTGCCCAGTGCGGCCAGGTCCTTCAAGGAACAGCAGGTCAGCGACCAGTTCAGCATCGTGAGGAGCGTCATTGCCGCGAGGGCTCCTACTTCCACGACGGGCTCTGAGGGAGCCGCCATGCCCACTGCACTTGCTGGACAGTGGCTTCCGGCTGAGTTTGGCGTCATGGCGGCTGCGGCTGCGGCTGCCTTTTTGTGAGGTACCATCAGATCATAGTTTACATAATACAACCCAAGCCATCACCACCGTAAGTAAGCCAGGACAAGTAATATGCTCGCGCATCAAGCCAGGTCCGAATAACCCCATCCAATCCTACATGAATAACACACCAATGGCACGCGTCGCTGTACGCATCTCGTATCCACCAAGCGTCGCCTATTCTTGGCGACCATCGTATGCCTGACCTAACACCAAGACTGCTATAAGAAACCTTGTTACAAGAACCGGAATTGGGTCACTCATGAACCAACAGACATCTCCTCCTCTACGAAAATGTCAAACTATGATCAAGCCCACTCTTTCCCTGTCTACGTTCACCCCATCCCCCAAAACCACCCTACAATCTGCGCCTATGAGCGCCGCCATTCCAACTCCTCGGACTGCAAGCATGCTGTGGTCTTCATCGGTGGACTAGGTAGTGGTCCGCATACGACGCATTACCTTGGCGCCTTGAATGCCATGTTGGAATGTGCTAGTCAGAGTAGCACGGATAACGTCAAGTACAATCTGTGGGAGTTGAGAATGAGGTCTAGTTATACCGCGTTTGGCTATGGAAGTCTTAAAGAGGATGGCGAAGATGTTGCGAGTCTGGTGGGACATCTCAAGGGAATCGGAGTGGAGAAAATCGTTCTGGTGGGGAGCTCAAGTGGTAAGATGGTTCATGTCCAGCCTCCTTTTCTCTTCCCTTGAAATTACCAAACTCCGCTGACATGCCCAAAGGCTGTCAGGCTATCATGACTTATGCCAGTACTGAGCCGGCGCCACCTCCAGTCGACGGCTATATCATGCAAGCCCCAACTTCAGATCGCGAAACAGCAGGATTACTCATGCCACAGGACCTGCTTTCCGCTAGTCTCGAATACGCTGGAGATCTTATTGCTAAAGGCAAGGAGAAGACCATCATGCCAGCCTCCTTCATCCCATCTATCATCACCTCGCCTGTGACAGCATACCGCTGGTACTCCTTAGCCTCCGTTGGCGGCGATGACGACTTCTTTTCGTCTGATCTACCGACCTCAGCTCTTCAGTTTACCTTTGGCAGACTGGACAAACCGATGTTAATTTTGATGTCTGAGAAGGATGAGATGGTTCCGCTTACGGTGGATAAGGAGTTGTTGCTGGGGAGATGGGTCAAAGCCATTCCAGAGGGTTTGACGAGTGAGCAATCACAGATTATTACCACCGCTGACCACGAGCTCAGCGAGGAAAGAGTAGCTAGGTATTTCGTAGGGCTGGTTGTTGAATTCCTAAAGGAGCTCAACAAGGAACCTGCTGGAGCGCCCTTGAAGGTCTGCCAACCATGTATTTGAGAATTCACATTGTTCACATCAGAAGCGTATACAAAATTTGTAAGCCTATGCGTCAGCCCTCCGTTGCTCTACTCGCAACATCTCTCCTCGCCAAAGCCACCGCACTACTCATCCTCTTCACCCCTGTCCCCCATGGGCGGTAAGAATGACGTCAGCGGCCCCATCTGCAGCCCTCTCCCGTCTGCGCATGCAGCATATAGAAACCCCGCTATGTCATGCATCTATTTTCCAGTTTTCTGGTTCATGATATATTCCCGTTTCAAACCCTAATGTGTAATTCAGTATTCTTTGCTTTTTGAACAGTACCCAAATTCAGCTCCAACAACCACACCATCGCGCGCTACTACAAGTCTACAAAATGGGTATCCCCTACTCCCGCCAAATCAACGCCGCCTTTGAACAAGTTACACCCCTCGTAGCCGCAGGTTTCAAAGTCCTCCGTACAACACGCGACATCTCCATTCTACTCGCTGTTATTCAGGTCTTGACTGTTTTCTTACTGGGACTTATTCTCATCGCGCTCGTTGTCCTTCTGTATTGCGTGAATCCAGATTTGGAGGTTCGCTTACACCTTGACGATGCTTGTGACACTCCGTTCGATACTGATGTCTACCAGGAAGAAAGGCAAGCTATCATAACGCCTTGGTTGCGGTACTTTGCTGGTATAACGCTTTGGTCGGTATTGAGAACTCTTCTCTCCCTTCTAGCGGTAGCGGGGCTTGCGGGGGCAGCGACATGGCACTTTTTCTTGGCGAAACAATGGGTCGAGGATGTGGAGTATGAGGGCAATGTCGATGCTGATAAGGCGCTGGAGGATCTAGATGATGATGCTCAGGCTGAAGGCGGTGGGAATGGTGGAAATAAGGGAAAGGGAAAAGGGAAGAAGTGAGAAGAATGTAGTCATTGGAAGCAGAGGAAGATGGCGCCGACCATAACTACTAGCACAATTCATTACTGTTACCGAACCAGCAAGTTCTACAACAAACAAAATAGAACTTGCCAGTCATCTGACGTCGTAAGAACACTACTATTACAACAATTTCTGCCTTGGACTATACCCCTCCCAATCAAGCAAGAGCAACGCAAACATACCACCCATAACCGGCCTAGCCTTGAAATCAATTCCATCCGGCTGTTTTCCATCATCTGCCTCGTAAAGATCGCTAAAAGCATGCGAACTGGTCGTCTCGCGCACCCACTTCGCCAGTTTCCCAATGAACATGTCGCGCGTTTCTTGGCTCGCGATGGCAGCGCAGAAGACCTCCCAGTCAGACTTGGTGTAGCCATGCCGTGTATCAAGGGGAACGCCATAGTTTTCGCTGATGGTCGGGTAGAAGGCTGATTGACTGTCGTAGATCTCCTGGGGAACGAGAGTGAGATTCAGAAGGCGGTCGTTGTAGAGGTTGTACAACAGGCCATGGGTGTCCTCGTTGCCGTAATTCAGGATGGCGTGCGGAGGAGTGGCGTTCTTGTTCATACCCAGGTCTACCCATTTGGTGATGTAATCGTGGGCTACGGCGGTATAATTTTCTGCGTCATCGGTTTCGCCGACGATGCGCGATAGTTGCGACATAGCTTCGAGTCCGATGATGCCTTTTAGTGCGAGATTGGTTTGATTAGGCAGATTACCAGCGAAATCGTCGGTGGACAGCTGCAGGGCTGGGTAGAGACTGTCATCGACGAGGTATTGAGCCCACTGTTTGAGGATGGGGTAGTGTTCCTTGATGTAGTCGGAATCGGCGGATAGCTGAACGTACGCGAGCATCATGATCACATTGTTACCGCATTCCTCTAGTGGCATAGGCTCATCAGCACCGTCTGGATGTCCAGTAGCATTGGGATAGTGCGTTCCCAAATCGTGGATAGCGGATTTCTTTGGGTAGTGCCCACTTTCCTGGTTCTCAAAGTGTGGATCGAGCATCAACTTGACCAACTCGGGGTTGGTATAGAAGAAGATTGGAGAAGCGGGATATACGACGTCGATGGTCTGAGTATTGCCGTTAGACGAGATTTCCTTGAGGAACAAGTAGTGCTTCTTCTCAGTTCCAACGAGTTGAGTAGCCCCGAATGCCTGGCGAGCAGCCAGTGTGGTAAGTACGGCATAATCATCTCCTGCTATCGTCTTGGAATCCTTCGAAATCTTATCATCGAGTTCAGTGGAGAGTTCGCTAGACTCGTTGTAATCGTTGTAGAAGAAAGACAACGCAGAGATATCATCTCCAAAATAATCCCTCCATAATGATGGTAGAATCACAAGGCCGTCCGCACCCAGAAACTGAATGGCGTCGTCCTGACATAGACCAATCGTGAATAACTGTGACTTCACGTCTGAACCAACGGAACCCATAGCTAGGGCGTATCCAAACACAGGCCAGCCGGTGTTAATGGGTCGGAACTCTGGGTCTTCCGCATTGTCAAGTCTTCCGTCGTTGTCAAAGGCATCGCGGACTTCAGAGTCCGCGCCCGACTTGTGTGTAAGACCTTCCACTGCTTTAGTGGAATAATACCAGTTACCCCATTGTGCTTGGTCGTTGTGCTCGTTGAAGACTTGTTGGTCTTGCTTCCAGACCTTGTGGTAGTTGACGCCATCCGACGTAGTACCAAAGCCCCATTCAGCTACTGCAGTGAGATCCCCAGACACCCATTCTAACTCGGTTTAGCGCACACACATACATAGGGATAAGCTAGATACTCACCAGCGCTGATGTCAGTGTAGATCTGCACATCATGTTCGGAATTGTCGAGGGACGAAACCTCGACGTCCATGTAGGAGAAAATCAGTGATTGACGCTTGTAGTCGTTGGGAGTAATTGGCGACAAGAACGTGACCTTGAGTTGAATCTTGTCGTCGGCAGTAAGGGTAAAGATACTCCTGGCCGACGTATACTCGTATGACGTTTGATTAGCCAGATCGTTGTAGCCGTCCGGCGCACCCATCCAAACGAACGTGTTCCCATCGACTCGAACTAGACCAGTCCACCCCAGCGTCTGTCCACTGCTTTCTGTTAGTATGTACTAAGCAAGTACCGTTCAAGGGCGACTTACGTCCAGAACGATGGCCATTGACCGGGCAAATATCCTCCATTTCCGCCATTACTGCCTGCAGGAAACCATGCGCTCAGATATGGGTTCTTTACTGCCAGAGGCAAAGACGGTGGGCGCGTCGGGGTGAACTTCGAGGCGGACTGGGCAGCAATGGTAAAGAAGAAGTTGATTAGTATGGCTAGAAAGAAGAGAAACATATTGGATGAATAAATGGTCGGGAAGTGGGTGGGGAAGAGCATTAGAGAGCCATGAGATAAAAGAATCATTTATATACACTAAGCATGGCTGCTCGTTCGTTTTTATCGCCTCGTGCTCATTGCAGCTAGTTTTCACGGATGCAGGCATCAGTGCATCGAAAGAGTTACTACCACCACTGGAGGTCGAAGCTTTCTTAAGTTCTAGGATCAGCACTAACTTGATCTAGTACGCAATCGAAGGCGGCTTGCCCGTTTGTATTGTATCGTGGTCACTGCAGCAGTACGCCTGACTTACATGTGGAGGCCATGCTAGACTAACTAGCAAAGGTCCGTGAGCACGAGGCTGACCGGCTCTCGAAACATCATATCAAACCTTCTGCAGATCAGTCGGCCGTAATCAGGCGACCGTTTCTATCACCCCATAGTCGTTTGGTGCAGCCTTGCCTAATTTGGCAGAGCATCCTCTGCGCGGACCTGTATGCGCTATAGGCCGGTTTGTTTCCCGAAAACTATGGGTGGCGAGGTAGAACGGTGTTGGTAGAGTTCACGATCCTCGTGACGCTTCTGCCTCGGTGTTGAAGCGCGACGAAGCACTTGTGTCCAGTAGTCGAGGGTACAAGTGACGTTGAACTCCAGGCTTGGAAGAAGCGCTACTCACGCGAGCGCACTGCTGGCGTTGGATTTGTTTGGAAGAGGAAGGAGCCAAAGCATTAGCGGCGCAGCGACACATGTGGACGTCAGATACCCGAGAAGACATAGACGAGATACTACAAAGCCGTTTGTCTTGGAGCCCAGTGTATGGACACGACGGATCGGATGGGTGTCGTACTGCGGGGAAGGCTTGCAGATCCGGAAAGTGCCATCGACATGCTTGCAGCTTATGTTTTTGGGAGCACACCCACTGCAAATCGGTAGCACGAAAACCAGGACTACAGATTTTTGGGTAGCATTGCCACGTTGTTTATATTAAGTGTCAAATCCCATGTGAGCAACACGATCATGAGGGCACACATGGCTTATGAGTAGTGATAATTCATTGTAGATGCTCATCAAAATATGAGGTCGCATAAGCCGCTAGTTGTCGCCTACAGGCATGACAAATGCTAGGATCCATGGTAAAGACCACGCGCATCAGGGGGCCAAATAGAGTACAATGTATCGTGAGACTGGCTGACCTCTCGTGAAGAAGAACGCCAGCAAAAGCAGGATCGTGAGTGGAAGAACAGCGTAGGGTATCCAAAAGCCAACGGAAGTGACCGAATCGCAAAATGCCCGATGATAAGAGAAAACCAAGGGCGAAATATAAGCAAAGAAAAGAGACGCAATGTGAACCGGGTATCCAAGGATGTAACGCAAACCGGCCCAACCAACACCAAACGTTACTCGTACAAAATATAATCATCGCTTCATGACTCAGCGACCCAAGGGCGAACCACATGCTCGAAGCGTTGCTCGCATTCGCGCAGCCACGCGCACTCCAAAATGTCATGGACATTCCAGCGCTTTTCAACATCGACCTCGAGACAGCCCCTGACAAGTGCGAGGGCGTCGTCGATGTTGCTTACTTGGGCTGCCTCTGCATTACGGACGAGCTCCGCATCCCACTCGCAATTTCGGATCTTCTCAATCGTCTTGATGTCCAGACCGTCATTGAAAGGTAGAGTCGCGGTAAGTAGAGCGAACACAACTACACCAAACGCCCAAATGTCCGCCGCAGGGGAGAAGACTGGCCCAGGTGCGTTGAACAGCTCAGGAGCCGCATATTGCAGACTGCCGGCGATAGACGTGCTAGTCTCTGCGGGGCCTATGTTCTGATTCTCACCAATCGAGTGGGGCTCGGGGCCGTCACGCTGGTCGCTAACAATAAAGTCTGCCATGCCGAAATCGCAAAGCAGAAGATCGCCGCCGTCCCTCTCAGCATCAGCTACCGTCATATCAAGAAGGCAGTTCTCGAGCTTGATGTCGCGATGTACGACCTGAACGTCGTTGTGCAGGTAGCGCATAGCCGATGCTAGCTGGTACGCGTAGCGCTTCACCAAGTGAGCTGGCAGACCATTCTTCTTGAGGCGGCGTGTGTCGCGGATCAAGTCGAAAAGAGTCCCACCCTTGTTCAATCTAGTGATGCAGAAGGTAGCGTAGTCGGTGGTGTAAACCCTCAGGAGAGGAAGAATATAAGGGTGACGCAGGAAGCGCCAGATCTCCACCTCGTGATCGAATTGTGTCTGAATCTGTTCGTTCTCAAGTTCTGATTTGTCCTGTTGCAACTTGCGCACAATCTTTACAGCATCGGTGACAGGCTTCCCATTCTCCATGCTTGTGACCTCCTTGACAACGCTAAAGCCGCCATAGCCAATCTGCTTTCCAATAATGTACTCGCTGTCGTACCCGATGCCTTGGCCTTCATCATCTGGCTCAGGCGCTTTGATAGGGGCCTCGGTGGCTTTGTAGCGCGCCAGGAAGGAGGCAGCCGGCGACATGGACGAAAGTGACCGACCAGAGCGGGCAGAGGATCGACGACTAGCCCTCTTGAGGCTGCCGTCTTCGCCAATCTCCGATCTCCAGCTCTTGGTCCGAGGTGGGCCCACGCGCCGAGGGGAGGGCGAGAATAGCGGGAACTCCATAGGGGACGTGGCGGGCATTGGCGAAAGCATGTACTCGGAGGGCGTCTCGAGGGGAGTTTGGGCCTCGTCTAACGGCGGCGAAGCGGTGGCATCAGAAGTCAAGGATGCGACCTGATCGCGGTACTCGGAGTCGTGGGCAAGGTCGTCGACGGTGGTTTGGGCAAGGGGGTACCGGGGCTCTCCAACGCGGTACTGCATGTTTCTACGCATGGTGTAGGGCATTTCCATGTAGTCTTGCTGTGAGCCATCTGAGTAGCTTCCGCTCTCGGTCGTGCGTGAATGCGACTGCCGTGAAGACTTGGGCACGGGCACCCCTAGGCCAACGCCCTCTCCCGTATCGAGCCGAACCTCATTGTTGAAACTAATGCTCGTCTTGCGTTGCCTGAATTTGGCTACGAAGTCCTCGTCGCTTCCGCTGCTGCCCACTGCGAGGGACCCCTCATCGTCGGACTCAGTGCGCGAGTGGGCGCCATGGTGGTCACGTTTGTTGTAGGGACCGCGCGAGATGTTCAGCGGTTCTGCAGCAGCAAATCCGGCGGTTAGCTGGGACTGGCCATGGTGGTTGTGCGGGGACTGTTTACGGGCTAGAGGCGCGAAAGATGCAAAGGTCGAGGCGACGGGTTTGTGGGGCGTCGAAGTGTCGAGTTTGAGCTTCTGGAAAGTGTGTGAGGGTTCTGAAATTGGGGCCATTAAACCGGTTCACAGTGGTGCAAACCTCTTCTTACAGCGGCGACCGGGTGTATTAATGTGTGCGGCGATCGTGGGGTGAGGGTCGCGCGGCGAAGGGCGAAACCGGGAAGTAAAGTAATAAGATTATGTTCGGGCTTGGAGACAGCGGAGTGCTAGCGGAACGTTGAAATTGCAGGCGCGCCGAGCAGCGGTATGCCTGGGAAGATTTCTCGCAGCGGCAATCACTTGATGGATCTGGGGTGCAAAGAATTGGGATGAGAGGGGGACGAGTGCGAGAAGGAGTGTAATGTTCTTTGTTTGAATATTGCTTCTCGTTGCTCAATTTCCGGCCTCCCCCACGCACTTTGTTAATAGGCGGCAGTCAGCGGAGGCGCGGGCGCAGAGGCACGTGAGCGACCGGACCAAGCCATGCAACACGTCTGCACCTATAGGACGCGTTCCCAGGGTAATCTGCTGCTTTTGAGCATAGCGAGTGGGTGCGTGGTGAAGGCTCTGGGCAGTCTAACGTGGTAGGTGTGCTGGACGATCCATGGTAAAGCAGATAGCCAAGCAGCCGTCGTCGGATAGTGACGCTCGAGGGAGGGAGACGAGTAGGGCTACCCCGCGCGGAGGTGCTAGACTGCTAGGCATGCTTTATAATAATTGTACTGATGAAGGGCTTCGCAGAGTCGTGGTGATGGCAGCAGCGGGCGTGGGGCGCGTCAGGCAGATGCTGCATGGCCGAAAAGCGGCCCGCTCGACCGTACATGACGCCGGGCGTTGCAAAGGCGAATAGCGAAGCATGAGGACCATAATTGTGAGCTGTCCGGCGCATTGTTGGTTGTACACGTCAAACGGCCGAAACATGACGTCGACGCCGCGATGGAGCTCAACGCGGTTGGCTCACGACGGCGACAAGTAAGAGACATGTTCCAGGGTCCCTGTTCCTCGCAGCTGGACCCTTTGAAGTTGCTCCGGCGTGGTGGATTAATGATACTAACCTTGACGATACTAAGCCTGAAAGCGTGGAATGGGGCAGAGATACACGGGTGACGCGGTTCTGTAGGCTGCGGGCACGGCAGCATTGAGACCTGGCTGAGATGGCAGACTGCGCATACTGCACCGCAAAGTCTGCTGTCGCGTTCACGTCGCGGCATGCAGCGACAAGCTCGTCCAAGCTCGTGGAGCGGCCAAGTACTTTGTTGCTGTGCATGCTGCATGTCAAATCTCGTTTTCACGTGAAGCTGCTAGCCTCGCGCTTGTTGCACTGACTGCATGCTCGGGCGACGCTGCCGCCCGCTACTGCTAGCTAGCACACCTCCAAGTTCCCTTTGCCAAGCTCTCTTCACTACCCTGGGGCGGGTGACAACATCACCAAGCTCATCCACCCATCGCACCGGCCCAACCCTAAACCTCTGCCCGCTGCCCGCATTCTTCGCTGCGCCACTGCATTGCGACTCTGAATCTGCAGAGCCGATAACAAGACTGATCGGCCGGACCGCGAACGTCTGCGCCTCCAGCCATGGGCATCTCCGACGTCTGCTACCGTTTCTTCTGCTGCGGCGGTCAGTCGACTCAAATCTCTGGCATTGGAGCTTACTGACGAATCATCTCCAGGCCGCTCAAGAGACAGCATATATGACCCAGTGTTGGCAGACAGCGAACGGGAAGCTGTCGCCGACCTGCTGGGCTTCCTCGAGAACGTACTGCTTCCCACCGCCTCTCCGCAGCCATCCCGCATGCTAACTTGCGCAGCGAGCCGAAACCGACTTCTTCTCAGGCGAACCCCTCCGCGCGTTGAGTACTCTGGTATACTCGGACAACATCGACTTGCAGCGATCGGCAAGCTTGACCTTCGCCGAGATAACAGAACGAGGTACATACCTGACACTACACCATAGCACATGCAGCCTCTAACAACCTTGGACAGATGTCAGAGAGGTCGACCGAGACACCCTGGAGCCTATTCTGTTCCTGCTCCAGAATCCCGACATCGAAGTGCAGCGTGCAGCGAGCGCCGCCCTGGGCAACTTGGCGGTAAACAGTATGTTCGCACGGCACAACTTTGAGACAAACACTGACTCCCGCAGCCGAGAACAAGGTGGCCATCGTCGCACTCGGTGGTCTTGCGCCATTGATCAAGCAGATGAACTCGCCTAATGTCGAGGTACAATGTAACGCCGTCGGGTGCATCACCAACTTGGCTACACACGAGGACAACAAGGCAAAGATTGCACGGTCCGGCGCACTGCAGCCTCTCACACGGCTAGCCAAGTCAAAGGACATGCGCGTGCAGAGAAACGCAACCGGCGCACTGCTGAACATGACACACTCAGGTACGATGTTCGTTATCTCGACATAGTTTGTGCTGACATGGAACCAGACGACAACCGTCAACAGCTCGTAAATGCTGGCGCTATCCCCGTCCTTGTTCAGCTACTGTCTTCATCTGATGTCGATGTCCAGTACTACTGCACCACCGCCCTCAGCAACATTGCTGTCGATGCAAGCAACCGCGCCAAGCTGGCACAGACTGAAGGCAGGCTGGTTGGCTCTTTGGTACACCTTATGGAGTCGTCCTCGCCCAAGGTGCAGTGCCAGGCCGCACTTGCTCTTCGTAACCTTGCGTCGGACGAACGCTACCAGCTCGAGATTGTACGCGCTCGTGGTCTGCCTTCCCTCCTCCGCCTTCTGCAATCGTCATACCTACCGCTGATTCTATCCGCCGTCGCGTGTATACGAAACATCTCCATCCACCCCGCCAACGAGTCGCCTATCATCGAGGCTGGCTTCCTTAAGCCGTTAGTCGATTTGCTCGGCTCCACCGATAACGACGAAATCCAATGCCACGCAATCTCCACCCTGCGTAACCTTGCGGCAAGCTCAGACAAGAACAAGCAGTTGGTTTTGGAGGCGGGTGCTGTGCAGAAATGCAAGTCGCTCGTGCTCAACGTGCGACTTCCAGTGCAGTCTGAGATGACAGCTGCGATTGCCGTTCTTGCTCTGAGTGAAGAGCTCAAGCCTCACCTGCTCAACCTGGGAGTCTTTGATGTACTCATCCCACTTACCGAGTCGGAAAGCATCGAGGTTCAAGGTAACAGTGCGGCTGCTCTCGGAAACCTGTCGTCCAAGGGTAAGTTTGACTCGTCGCTCGTCTGTTCAACATCCTCACTAACGAATCTAGTCGGCGATTACTCGATATTCATCCAAAACTGGACAGAACCCGCAGGCGGAATCCACGGCTATCTCCGCCGCTTCTTGGCGAGCGGAGACCCAACTTTCCAGCATATCGCTATTTGGACACTGCTACAGCTACTCGAGTCGGAAGACCAACAGCTCATGGAGCACATTGGCAAGTCGAACGAGATCATCGACATGGTCACCGACATTGCTGAGCGCAACATCGAGTCAGATGACGAAGACAATGAGGACGGCGAAGGCGAAGTCGTCACCCTCGCACGCAGATGTCTTGAGCTGCTGGGAAAGAGCCCCAAGACTCTCGTCGAGGGATAGAAAAGCGTTGGATCGCATTTTATACCCTGTTTATCGGTTGTTCATCGCGTTGACTCTCTTGCTCGTACCCACCATATTCCGGTTTTCTGTTAATGCGTTTACGTTACACTGCTTTTGGGCATCTTGAAGGCTGGCGTTCAGGGGCACAAGTATCCTCAGTATCTCTAGCGAGCATTGGCGGAGCGGGCTTTCACATACATTGGCATGCACTTAACTTACCACTACTCTTTTCCGAGCATTCAGCGCGGACGAATTTGTAATTGATAGAGTTGGATGGAGGTTTCCGTGGTCAGGAAATGAATCAAATGATGTTCGGAATCTTATTGGCGCTTTGATAGTGATGTACTTGACTAATCAGTGAGTCTTTAAAACTATTGCCCAGAATGTATCCTAGAGTGAGAAGCAAGAGCATACAGCCATGCCCACTCGATCTGTGGAAGAGCTTAGTCGAGACCCCTCACCTTGACATGTGACGTCGCGTCGGAGCTAACGAGTTTATCGATAGCCAAAATATTTGCGACTTGCGCGAGTCACCACGCACCACCATTCCACACGATCCAAACAACAGCAATGCCGCCAAAACCAAGAGGACGGGGAAGCACCCGCGCTCGCGGAAGTGGAAGAGGAGGAGCCGCAGCAGGACGAGCTACCACTGACACGAGTGAATCCACGGATGCGATCCCGCAAAGCACAGCTCCCGCTGACGCCTCGGAAGCTCCCACTGAGCCCGTAGTACCAAAGCAAGAAGATGGCGATGCGAAGCCAGTCATTATTGGTCAAGGCCCATTGGCGACTGCAGAGCCACAGGCTTCCGAGGCGCCTTCAGCGACTGTATCGTATGCTTTACTCCTCTATCTACCTCGACTCTGGTACTGATACGTATACAACAGTGCTGTCGCATCACCTCAGCCTGACGCAGAACCAGCAGCTCGCGCTCCAGTACAAAGGCTCGGCAGTCTTCAAGGCTCTGTACCTCCTTCACGATCAGCATCACCGTCTGTACGCGGCCGCGGCGGTACAACTCGAGGCAAGAGGGGCGTCAAGACCCCCGCCTTCACAGGAAGAAGGAGCAAAGAAGAGCGAGACGCTATTGCAAAAGAATTGGCAGCTCGCGACCGAGAAAGGACAAAAGAGCAGGTTGCTGCGGACAAGAGAAGGGAAGCGGAGGCGGCAAAGGCAGCAAGGCGAGAGGCCAGCAAGCTGAAAAATGCCAGAGGTGGTTTCAGTGGAGTCGCGAGTGGACCCTTCTCATTAGGCAGCTCTAAAGAAGGTAAGCAAGTTCGTTTGGCTATGGTTATCTGTACTGACCTTCACGACAGACAGGAAGAACAGCTCAAATCGCGGCTTCTCTGGCTTCGGATCTGGATCTGGCTCTCGAGCAGAGCGCGTCAAGAACGAGGACGGCAGTTACGGAGGGTCTGGTTCCCGGTCAGGCGGAGGTGGAGGTGGAGGAAGCGGAGGAGGGTCATCGATCAAGAGAGAAGATGGTGGGCTTGTGTCATCTGATGACGAAGACCTGGCCGACATACCGCGTAGGGATATCGATCTGATCGAAATCTCCTCAGACGAAGACGAGACTAAAGCGAAAAGTGCGCCTTCACAACGCGGGCCGCGAACAGCTTTACCCGTTCGCATTGGCAGAAAAGAACACCAGGAGCGGACTATCGGTATCAACACAGAGGCAAGCTCGGAAACTTCAGCAAAAATACTGGAACAAGCGGAATCGAGCGGCCAGTCACCAAAAAATGTTGCGTCTGAGCAAACAAGCCGGAAACCAAAGAACAAGTCAAAGGATGTAGAAATCACAGGTTCGCGGAAACAGTTCAAGGGCGTGTGGCACGACTCAGAAGACTCGGATGTTGTTGTCAAAACCGAGCCTACGAGCGAAGACGAGAACATGGTCGATGCTGAGCAGGTAGGCCTGTCCGATGCTCCTGCTCAGTCCTCAGAAAAACAAGAACCGTCGTCACCAAATGCCGAGCGGAAGCCAAAACTTAAGAAGAAGAGTATAGCAGAACCAGTGCTCCAGACTGACGAAGATCGCGCCGAATGGGCACGTTTTCAATCGAACCTACGCCATATCCGAGCCGAGTTGGGTCCAGAGGAGATACCACAAGTCGATGGATCCGGCGATGTACCGATGACAGACGCAGCTAACACAGAGAAGAAGCCTACAGTGCGAGATAACAACGTCTATCTGTTCCAAATACCGCCCCTTATGCCAGCAGTAGAGCCACCATCCATCAAGAAAGAAGCACCAGACCCTCAGTCTGCGTCCCTACCTACGCAGCCATCAGCTAAAACGGATTCAAAGATCAAAGTCGAGGAAGGCAGCTTTTCCGATCCCTCTGCTAGGCCCAAAGAAGGTGTTCGATTTGGGAGTGGATTGGTTGGAAAGTTGCGGGTACACGAATCTGGCCGCACAACGCTGGACTGGGGCGGTACGAGCTACGAACTCACGCCTGGCAACAAGGCCAGTTTCCTACAGGAAGTTGCTAGCCTTAATATGCGCCCCGAGAATGAGAGAGCTGCACCGGAGGACGCAGGTGAAGCAATCAGTCTTGGTAGAGTGAAGGGCAAATTCGTCGTGGTGCCAAACTGGGGCGAGATGCTCGGCTGAGATTGGGGTAGAAATAGGCGTTCATGACATGCATCTATTGGCGCTAGACGGATTAATTTAGGTCCGTGGTTCATAGTTGCATATTTCAAGAGCGGTCTTCAGGTCCGCTACCAATGAACAACACGAGGACAAAGATCGAAATTCATACATTCATGCAAAAGCTAGCGTTGTGAGTGTAGACCGCATCTCGCTAAGTTTCACGCTTTGGTTCTTTCGCCTCGGCAAGACCATTTAGGCATGGATACCCAAGTTCTAGACAAACAGATGTGCTGTGGGGATAACAGGGCGGGCCGCCAGTGGCCTAGGTCATTGGTACGTACGGTAGTCGTTCGGCGACGAATCCCATGGTGGCAATCAGCGAAAAGCGAATTGCCCATGACCGGCCAACTCGTGCAACTGCCATCTGCTGCAACGCCTGCAACTTCGCGCATCATCACGGGTACGGACTCATCGCCGCTATTGTATGTAACAGGACCATTATACTCTCCGCGGCGCGCTTTCGGCGCCTTTCCCGCGCTGATTCCTACCTTCTCCACGCGCCGTCCAATCACAGCATCGACGACGCAGATCCGCCATGGAAGCGGACATCCGACAGCTATACGACAGCGACCCACGACCAACCTTCATCGTCGACTGCGAAGCTCAGACGACGACTATCTGTCATATCAATACCGCCTTGCTTGCCATACCACATATTGCATCGTCGCTGCACTCGCCTTCGTCGCTGAGAGACTGGTGGGATCCTACAAGTAGGGTCGCAGCTTGCCACCAAGAGGAGTTCCTGCATGGACGATATAGATGGGCCAAGTTCACTGCATGCAAGCGCTGGCTAATTGTCACCATCGTCGAACAACCAGCACCAAACGACGAGCAGCCTGGTCGTCTGCAAGAGCCTACACAGGTGGCGCGAGGGAGATTGTCGTCGCCTCATCTGCAACCAGTGCGAGACAATATCTTTACTGTCAAGATACAGTCGCCAGAGCTACGCGAGCATGTCGAGAATATACGGAACGTCAACTGGTCTAAGACATCGCTTGGCCCGATCAGTTCTTGGAACTATGAGCTCAATGTTCTGGTCACCACTTTAATGCTAGAGACACGCCCTACAGCCCTCTTCCTTGGCCCCGAGCACACGATCTTATACAATCTCGCGTATGCCGCAGTCAGCGGCTCGAGACATCCTGCGATCCTCGGTCAGAGTATTATTGATGCCTGGTAACTTCTTACGCCTACCTATGGGAGTTTAACGTCTAATTTGCTGCAGGCATGAACTCGCGGACCCTGTAAACGCTACAATGGCTCGCTCGGAGAGCACACGGTTTGCAGACGCCCCCGAAGAGGAGTATCATTTCATGGTCGAACGTTTCGGCTTCGTTGAGGAAGCGTTCTTCAAATGGAGCCTTGTGCCGCTTATTGGTGTTAAAATAGACGGCATGTATTCCATCGTCACTGAGATTACGAAACAAAGGTAGGAGAGCCTGATATTTGACATGGTGAAACCATTGACATGACGTATGCAGATTGCTGGAACGCCGCGTTGATGCTCTACTCAGAGTTAGTCAGATGACTAGCAAAGCGAGAAACACCAAACACTTTTGGCAGAGTTTGGCCGACGCTATCAGGCCTTACGAATACGACTTTCCAGCTGCCGTTTTATACTCTCAGTGCGAGCTTCTCGATCCGATAGACTCTGCCTCCCCACCGAAAGGGCCACTAAATGAATGTACGCTAGAATGGTCTATAGGCTACAAACCTAATCATCCGGCCATACCTCCGCATTTGGACCTGGACAGTGATCTTGGCTTAGCTCGCGCCATGCGCGATAGCGCCAGAGGTGGGACTGCACTGTCGTATCAGGAAGAGGAGGGCGTGTTGCCATATTCCTTATACCATGACCTTGAACAGCGGGCGTTTGGGGATTCATTGAGGTGTTTTCTTGTTGCTCCAGTTAGGACTTATGACGAAACTATCGTGGGATACCTTCTAATCGGCTTGAATACGCGACGACCCTACGACAACGAATACAAAGCTTGGATAAAAGTGTTCTCGAATCTGCTGGGTGCTTCAGCGGCCTCAGTAGCGCTTCATGAAGAAGAGATCCGGAAGCGCAAACGTCAAGAGGCTCAGGCCGAAAGAGACCGTGCGGCCCTTAATGCCGAAGTTGCAAACCTGACACAAGAAGCTAGTCACGTAGCTGAGAAGCTTCGCAACTTCCACGATATCGCAGATGAAGTCGGTCTAGGGTACTTTGAGATCGACATTAATGGTATACTACTACATGCTAATGTGAGGGCATTGCAGCCATCATGTCGAATAAGACTGACGATGTACCAGGAAACGTACTTCACTCAAACCGGACAACAGAGAGACCTCCTCAAAGTGCCTCCGTTCGCTTACAAGGAGTATGTCTTCGAAGGAGATATACCCATGATGGATAATCAATGGAAAATATTGGCCTCTGGTGAACCAGCGACGTTCGAGGTTCGATGGAAGAAGCAGCCAGAAAAACACCGTGATGGCGAAGAAACTATCGACAATTATCTTTGGACATTGTCAGCCTGTGTGCCGATCAAAGGCGTAAACGGAACAGTTACAGGTGTCTTCGGATGCAACACAGACATCAGTGCTCAAAAGGAGGCGACAAAAGCTGTCCTAATGCGATCGGATGCAGAGCGACGTTTGGCCAGCTTTACGGAACTCGCGCCTGTGGGTCTATATCACCTGAATCCAGATTTAACGATGAAGTACTGCAACGACCAATGGTTTCACATCACGGACCACCCCAAAGTACCGATGGACCAAGTGGACTGGCGAAACATAGTCGACGAGGATATGATAGGCCGTTGCTATCATGACGTTGAGGTTACAAAACGCAAGCAGGGGCCGCATACTTTCACAATACATCTCAAGAAAAAGTGGACGGGGCCCGATGGTATTCAGACACCGACCTGGATTCTTGTTAGCGCTACTGCTTACACCGACGGGACCATCATGGGAACAATGACTGATGTTAGTCAGATGGCATGGGCGGAAGCTATCCAGAAGAATCGGGTTGAAGAGGCTCTTGAGTCAAAGAGACAGCAGGAGAACTTCATCGACATGACGTCTCATGAGATGCGAAACCCTTTGAGCGCAATGGTGCAATGTGCAGACTCCATCTATTCGTCGCTGAACGATATGAAAGCTCTCGCACGTAAAGAAGCTCTGACATTCCAACCCACTATTCACAGTCAGCTCAAAGAGTTGATCAGCAATAGTCTGGATGCGGTAGAGACGATACAAGCTTGTGCTACACACCAAAAGCGTATTGTTGACGATATTCTAACACTATCAAAGCTCGACTCGAAGCTTTTGGTCATTAGCCCCATGGTACTACAACCCTCGGTGCTTCTGCAAGACGCTTATAAGATGTTTAAGGACGAGGCGAACAAAGCTAAAGTCAGCCTAGAAGTTAGATGCGATCCGTCCATTGAGGATTTGAATATCGACTGGGCGATTTTGGATCCGAGCCGAGTCTTGCAGGTCCTTATCAACCTACTCACCAATGCCATCAAATTTACTCAAAGCCAAGAAGTCCGCAAAGTCGAAGTAGTCATGGGCGCATCACGAGAGGTGGAACAGATGCGCGATATTGAGTATGTGCCACAGGAAGCCGTGCGGAAAAACTTTCTGACACAGGCTGAATGGGATCATGCTGGAGAGGTATTTTACCTCAACTTCACAGTCAAAGACACCGGATGTGGTCTTTCTCCGGAGCACAAAGCCAAACTATTCCTACGGTTCTCGCAAGCAACACCAAAGACACATGTTCAGTATGGCGGTTCGGGCTTAGGTTTGTTTATCTCGCGCGAGCTCACCGAAATGCAAGGCGGCAGCATCGGCGTTTCCTCCATCCATAACGTAGGATCAACATTCACGTTTTATATCAAATCAAGGAGAGCAAAAGCTCCGGAAAGTGCTCTCGCTGCAACTGTCCTTGATTCGACTGGCAATCTGCCCACTCGCACCAAAGCTCAAATCATTGGAGAGGACAGCAAGAACCCCGACGTAGTTCCACTCGCTGCGACACCCCTGGAAGAGCAAGGAAGAGCAAAAGAAATAGAGAGCTGCAAATACAACATTCTCATCGTAGAGGATAACCTCATAAACCAACGCGTCCTGTCCGCCCAACTAAAAAAATTGGGCCATACGACATACGTCGCAAACCACGGCTTCGAAGCCCTCTCCCAACTCTCACGCACAGTATTTTCTGCTTCCCCAAGCGAATCCCCACCTCTGCCTCTCTCCGTTGTTCTAATGGACGTCGAGATGCCCGTCATGGATGGCTTGACGTGTACGAGACGGATACGGGACATGGAGAAGAATGGCGAACTGAGCAGGCATGTACCGATTATCGCTGTTAGTGCGAATGCGAGGAAGGAACAGATTGATATGGCGAAAGAGGCTGGCGTGGATGAGGCGATCTGTAAACCGTTCCGAATTCCAGAGTTAGTGGGATTAATGAGGGGAATGGGGGTTAGGGGGGAATAAGATGGGCATAAAGCGGCGTTTGATTCTATAGATTGACTTGATGCGATTCCAGAAAGGGCTAGATCTGGCCTGCTGGTCAAAGGTGGATATGTCGCGGACGTACGAGCGTCTTACTGTTACTACCGCATACTATGGCGGATGATGCAATCATATCGATCAGTGATCGGTGCATTCAAGGTCTTAGCGAAACGCCCCCAAATTGCTTTCAGCGTGTGCATCTAGTGTACCCTGGATTTATGCATACCTTCGTCAGTATGGTGAGCCAGATGCTCTTCCCCACACCTAGTGCGACTACTCTCAGACGCGTCCGAGCACGCGTCGTCCAGTCAACTAGTGGGGTGAACTCGGATAGTAACGCCATCGAGATCTCAAACCGGTACAAAGCATGTATGGATTAGGAGACCAACTCAGGGGAAGATGACGAGAGTGGGAGATGGGACGGCTCCAGGCGCGTCGAACACGGTCTCACGACGCGTTCTCGGGCCAAAACATAGGCTGGTCAGCGTGTGACGAGTTGGGTGGAGCCAACCAGCCATCAGTGCCTGGTCATTATCAGAGAAAATCTAATCTGATCCGAGGCCGGCACGAGCACGGTCAGCTTGCAGCCAATGCAAGCGTCGAGTCTGGCCTCGAGGCGGGCCAGTATGGGTTTCAAATGCATTTCCAAGCCTTTGTTCAGCCGACAAATGCAGGACTAACTAGTCACGGAAACGGTCCTTGCGTGTTGTGGTGGGGAGAATCGAATCATAGCGCGTTGCGACGCGTCTGGCACAGACGGTTTTTTTCGTGAGAGCTCGTGGCTGGGCAACGCGACGGGCGACATTGGAGGAGATTCTCACCACACAATAGATGGAAAGACGGCGATATGGGTATCGTTGGAATGCGCGCAGTCGATTATATAGCCCATGCAAATTGAGGATAGAATCGAGTCCCCGTAGAGCAGAATAGATGTGATGATCCAAAGCGCGCATGGATGAGATCATAGCGTCTTTTCGCGAGCACGGCGCGTTAGTGGCTGGCAGAACGGATCGCCCAGTCACGTGTTGGCGTCGAGACGCGGATTTATAGTGAAGTCGCGTCTGCTCTTTCTCTCAGCACACCACATCCACCACCATCTTCACATCAGCGTTTCCACGAGTATTCTTGACTGCACACTCGTCTCTCTCTACACCATACAACGCTACATTTTAATTCTCACCTCACAATGTCTGCCGTTGAGTCTACGCCTTCCAAGCAGGTACGTTGCGATACATCCGGTACTCATACGCGTTGATACTAACGCTTTAAATAGATTTCATCTGCCATTGACTCACTCAAGATGAACGACTCTCCCGCAAAGAAGCTTGACTTCTCGCCGGTCGAGAAGGAGAACACTTTCAAGCCCATCGTCGGTATCCCAGATGACTTCGAGGACGACCTAGAGGAGGCCAAGCCTACCGTCGCGCCTACGATCAAGGAGGAGGAGGCTATCGAGCCAATCCTCCAAGAGAACCCTGGACGCTTTGTCCTGTTCCCCATCAAGTACCACGATGTAGGTCTTACCCTTTTGATGTTTTCACGTGCTTTACGCGTGGCTTGACGCGTCAAACCCGTTTTCATGAACACCCTTGCTAATTATATATCCACTATAGGTCTGGCAGATGTACAAGAAGGCCGAGGCTTCTTTCTGGACCGCAGAGGAGATCGACCTCTCCAAGGACCTTCACGACTGGAACAAGCGTCTCAACGATGACGAGCGCTTCTTCATCTCCCACGTCCTCGCCTTCTTCGCAGCCTCCGATGGCATTGTCAACGAGAACCTTGTTGAGCGATTCTCTAGCGAAGTACAAATCCCCGAGGCACGATGCTTCTACGGTTTCCAAATCATGATGGAGAACGTTCACTCAGAGACCTACTCTCTGCTCATCGACACATACATCAGCGAGCCCAAGCAGCGCAGGTACCTCTTCAACGCCATCGACAACATCCCCTGCATCCGCAAGAAGGCCGACTGGGCCCTGCGATGGATCTCCGACAAGAACTCCACATTCGCCAACCGCCTTGTTGCATTCGCCGCTGTTGAGGGTATCTTCTTCAGCGGTTCTTTCGCCTCCATCTTCTGGCTCAAGAAGCGCGGTCTGATGCCCGGTCTAACATTCTCCAACGAGCTCATCTCCCGTGACGAGGGCATGCACACCGACTTCGCCTGCCTTCTCTTCTCTCTCCTCGAGAACAAGCCCAGCCCAGAGTCTGTCAGAGCTATCATCACTGAAGCCGTCGAGATTGAGCAGGAGTTCTTGAGCGACGCACTACCATGCGCTCTGCTCGGCATGAACGCTACTCTCATGTGCCAATACATCGAGTTCGTCGCTGACCGTCTGCTGTTGGCCCTCGGCAACGTCAAGGTCTACCACGCCACCAACCCCTTCGACTTCATGGAGAACATTTCTCTGGCTGGTAAGACCAACTTCTTCGAGAAGCGCGTCGGCGACTACCAGAAGGCTGGTGTCATGGCCAGCACAAAGAAGCACGAGCAGCAGAAGGAGGGTTCATCGCCCACACCTGAGCCGCAAGGCCAGTCTGGTGATTTCTGCTTCGATGAAGACTTTTAGATGCTTCGCTTTCACTTCTTTCTCAAATTATCTGCCATTTTGTTTTTGTACAACACGTTGAACGTTTGGGTTTGGCACGGGTGCCGGATGTCTTCGTTCGCATACCCCCTTGCATTGATGAAGTAACCACTCTTCGCATTTTGGAGTCATGGCGTTGCTAGTTAGCTGGGATAGGCCTCTTGGATGAGTGACGCGGTAGGATAGCTACGGCATGCGGCAGCGATGGGATCAACGACCTATATATCATACCACTTTGAATAATCACGAATACACATATTTCACACACACATGTCTCTTCTGAAGTTGCCCTTGTGATGGTTCTGCTTGTGCATAACGCGTGCGTGTTCGGTCCGACACGCCACGCGACAGTATGCGCGCTTGATCAATCAAGCTTTTCTGAAGCCTATCCACTTCCACCCTAACATGATCTATGTCCTGCAGGAAACATGCACCAGTCCCCAGGATAAATCCCGTGCGCTCGACACCCTCTGCAGATGTTACGCGCCGCCCAGACGAGCAAGGATTGATTTCAGGTACCGCTAGCCATGACGTCAGCAATGCATGCGGCGTATCCGAGGTTGCCATCTTACGAAATCACGACAAGCGAGCTGGCTACTTGCAGACCGTCGTGCGCCTCTTTCAGCTTACACACGCCTGAGTTACTTACCCCGGACCAATTGCGCGATATGGGGAACTTGATAGCACTGTCCCTGCATATACGTCCAGACTTGGTGCGCCAGACAACAAAACGCTAGCTCGTAAACATCCGCGACCCTCCGCAACAAAATCCGACTCTCATCGCTAGAGTGCAGTGTGCACATTACGTGAATACCATCCGAACGAATTCACGGCATATAGATCTGTACAGTCATCGAGCGCTGTCAAGTACGACCAAGGCGGCGACGGGGTAGATCCATGTCGCTTCGTGACATGTCAACATGGCAGACACCCTTCCCAAGATTAAGGTGACAGACCCGTCCGTCGCTGGCAGAGGCGCTTTTCAGATCCAGGAGAGTGGATCGTCAACAACAGTAGATGGTATGCCGTACATCACACCTATTGCTTTGGCTCGTCACACCGAAAACCCCAAGATGCTTACTCCAGGGTTCATAGGCCCGTTGTCCAACAAGAAGCTCGTCGCAAAGCTTCGAAGCCCCACCTCACCTTCCGCGCAACCGACCGCCGATTCGCAAAACGGATACGTTGGCGATGGGACAAGACTGTCCGAAACGCCTATAGACCCGCTCTCGCAAGTATGTACAGATAAGGTTCGACATGCGGGGACGGACGCTAATCGCGCATCACCGTATAGCAAATCCTCCAGAGAACGAATACGTCGCCGGCTGTACAGAAACTACGATCGCAAAACACCGAGCCCCTATCGAGCCAATCGCCGACTTCGCCAAACGATGTAAATGCGGATAAGAAACTAAGCGGAGAGACGCCACGCGATGCAAGCGGGGGCAAGGCAGACAAAAAGTAGGTCCCTCTGCTCTGCTCTTCGCAAAGAGCATACAGAATGTCACGGGGCTACTAGCCAAGGATTAGCGCGTACCTCGTATTAAAGCCTCCGGACCTGCGTATCGAGGTCATGTATGCGCTTGTTCCTCTGGTTGGCCTGAACATACATATCCACATTAGCCTGGGGCGCAGTACAGTACGGCTGACTTCACATCTAGGAAGGTATCATTTCTTAGTCGCTTCATCGGAGGCAACAAAAAGAAGAGCAGTACCCTCGATGGCGCAAGCGAGAATGGCTCTGAGGCAGACGATCTTCGATTGGAGGGTATGGACGCCCAGCTTTACGTCGACAATTTCAGCTTCAGTCCGAAGGTACCTCATCCACCAGCATACATAAAAGTGAGGACGAAGTTCAAGAAGGAGAAAGAATTCGATCGTGTTTTCCTGGCGCAGGAATTACGTTCTGGGTCGGATAAGAAGAGTCCACCTGCGGCTGGATCAAACCCTGCACCTCAATCTGGGTCGGCAGCTACACAGAACCCTATCTGGGCGGTCGAGTTCAGCAAGGATGGGAGGTATCTTGCTGTCGGTGGGCAAGACAGGGTTATCAGGGTGTGGGCGGTGATTGAGAGCTCAGAAGGACGCCGCGCGCATGAGAACGCTGATAATGGAGAGGCAAAGTACCTGAGTGCACCAGTCTTCCATCAGAAACCCGTTCGCGAGTACCAGGGACATACTTCAACTATCTTAGATTTGAGCTGGAGCAAGGCAAGTTGATATTGCTTAGTATTTTCATGCATCGACTGACAACCATAGAACAATTTCTTGCTATCCTCATCCATGGACAAGACGGTCCGTCTATGGCACGTAAGCCGAGATGAGAATCTATGCACATTCAAGCATTCCGATTTTGTTCCTTCTATACAATTTCACCCTACCGATGACCGATTCTTCCTCGCAGGATCCCTTGACGCAAAGTTGCGACTGTGGAGCATTCCGGATAAGAGCGTGGCTTTCTCGGTCACTGTGCCGGATATGATTACATCAGTGGCGTTCACACCTGATGGGAAAACATGTATAGCCGGTACCCTCGGGGGCCTTTGCATGTTCTACGACACTGAAGGATTAAAGTGGCAGGCCCAACTGCACGTAAAGTCGACCCGCGGACAGAATGCAAAAGGTAGTAAAATCACTGGAATACAAGCAGCATATTGGCCTCCAGGCAGCGAAAGTGGTGAAATCAAGCTACTGGTTTCGAGCAACGATTCGAGGTTGCGCATTTACAACATGAAGGACAAAGCCTTGGAAATGAAGTTCCGTGGTCATGAAAACAACTGCAGTCAGATTCGAGCTACGTTTGCCGATAGTAGTGGGCATATTATATGTGGAAGCGAGGATCGGAAAACATACATCTGGTCGACTACCGCCACGGCTGAAGGCGAGAAAAGGAACCAGCGTCCGGTGGAGATGTTCGAAGCTCATAATTCGATCACGACGTGCACTGTCATTGCTCCCGTTCACACTAGGCAATTGCTTAGCGCCTCAGAAGATCCCATCTTCGACCTCTGCAATCCACCACCAGTCACGCTAGTATCGAAAGCTGAATCTGTCATTTCGTCGAGAGCACCCACGGAGGGGGGGTCCACACACCCAACACCTGCGCCTACGGATACCCATTTCAAAAAAGCTGCAGGAAGCCCAGCATATATTGAGCGCTCGGCACATCGAGGTGGCAACATCATTGTTACAGCAGACTACACGGGTGCACTCAAGGTATTCAGACAAGATTGTGCTCACCAAAAACGCATACGAATGAGCGAGCAATGGGACACTGCTTCCATGAAGAGAGCGTCAGGTATTGGACGGCCCAGCAGTATAATTTCGCGAACTAGTCGATCACGGCGAGATAGTGTATCTACACAACCACCAAATGACCGCATTATGACATGGCGACAAGGCATATCACACGGTAGTCTAGACTCGACTAACTCCCTTCCTCGTCGCAGCGCCTCACCCCGAAAGTCGCTAGCCGCCATGAGCTTTCACTCAACACCACACGAGTCTCCTGTCCTTCAGCCTACCAAAACCAACGACACCTTCGACACCAAGCCTACTGGTACACCAAAAACATCCGTATCTATAGACCGTACTACCACATCTCTACGAAGCACTTCATACTCTGAAGCCTCGTCCCCTCTCAAGGAACCACCGACTGCTGCAGCAGATGACGAGGCAGCCCAGCGTTCTCGTAACCCTCTCGCCGTGTACAACGGTCAAAGCTGGCTTTTCTGGACGAGTCGCGATAAGAGTGCATTAACAGCTGGGAATGCGAGAGACGAGGAGAGACCAGAGCTGCTTGGTCGTATGAGCACGATTAGTCAGATTAGTAGGCTGACAGATGAACGGAGTGATGAAGGAAGGGAAAATGGTACTTGATACACTGATAGAAATTCCACTTCAAACGGGACAAGATGATCAAGATTTTCAAGGGCCTCTCTGTCAGCATTGAAGATTATTACACTTGGATAATATCTCTGGAATCATCTTTCTTTTCACTCTTGTCAATAGTTACGAAATGAATTAATTGAACTCTACACTGTAGTACAGAATTAAACAACTACAGGTTTTTTTTTCTGCAACAACGTCCGTGGTGCTTGCAATGGATGATCCTACTATTGTCTCGTAGCGATATCAGAAAACACCTCTAAGAGATCCGGTACATCTGTGACTACAGGGACATCGGTGGGAATAACGAGCTGACGCTTCACGTAAGTACCCGTTTCAAGGACGAGATCCCAGTCTGAGAAGGTCTCTGGAGCTACAACAGCGGAAGTGAAATCAGAAGAGAAGGCAGACGCGGCAGGAGTGGTGTATGTGGTAGTCTCCTTGACGGGGTCCCAGTCGCTGAATGACTCGGGGGCGATGACAGGGTAAGTAAAGGACTTGGAGGAAGGATGCGTAGCCCAGACGACTTGAGGCCGTGTACGGGTCGTCAAAGTGGTCGCTTTTTGGCCTTCCAGATCGCCGAGGGTGCTGGAGGGGACAGAAGCGGAGTCATTACCGGGAAGACAGGCAGAGAAGTCATCAGTGATGTCGCGGATACTATTGTTGGCGAGTTAGTATCGCTGAACGTGCAAAGTAATGGGCTTGAAGGCTGGAAAGCTCACCCGTAGGAATCAGTTGAGGAGATGGAGATGTTGGAGCTACCACGTCGCTGACCAATGTTGGTAGCGTACCTGCAGTGCCATTAGAGGAATCAATGTGTTTAGTATGATCAGAACTAGCTTACTGAGTTGGCCAATATTTGGAGAACAAGTCACAGTGCTGGTCGGTAGGGACATTATTTCGACGCTGCATGTACGTATTGGCGAAGCGGCATTGGCGGCCCGAAGCATCGTGGGTCTCCTTGCATACATCCATGCATCTTTGAGCGTCGAAGTGACCATCGGACCAGTGTTTCAGTCCCATATAAGTGTCCTCACCGTTGCAGTCGAGGGGTGCTTCGATAGCAGCGCCCATGTCATACTTCTCGATTGTGTAGTCATCAGAGACCGAGGGTGTGGTGCCGTTGATGTCCTTGACATAGGCGTTAGAGCCGGCCATAACCACGTGGAACTGCTCACGGAGCTGCCCGTGGTTGATGGCGATGTCGGGCAGGATGGTGCTGGACCACAAATCACACTCTACAAAGAAAGGGAAGACAGCATCAGTGCATGTTTCACATTACCTTCGTACATGGACACTTACTGATGATGGTTGTAGAAGGGGGATTTGGGCACAGTTCGGGTGCAGGCGAAACGACAGGCTGACGCTCGAAGAAGATGGTGAAGGCATTGCAGTTGTCATCGCTATTGCAAGCATGAGCACCTAAAGACAGTTAGTAAGACCGTTCAAGGGAGATACTGCTTGTCGATATGATGAGCTTCGACCCAAAGTGCTACTTACACTGTTCGACGTTGTACTCGTCCATCGATATGTAATGAACGAACTGTGATGCCGTGTCGTACGTAGTGAGCAGGTTGGCGTACGATTGAATGTAACCAGCAGGCGTAGTGGCGGACAATGCAGCGCCAGCGAAAGGAGCATAGGCTTGAAAAGCTTCTGGGGTGTCAGGCAAGATTGGGGTACCATGTCCCAGGGGAAGAGAGTCGCAAAACGACCGGACAGGAGAGCGACTCGGGGCAAGGGCTGAGCCAAAGGCTGCGAGGTGTGAAAACACCATCGCAAGTTCGATGAAAATATAAAGGAACAACATCTCGTCTTGTCTCGATACGAGATGTATCGGTGTTGAACTAGCGTGGGCGATGAAGGATGTTGAAAGAAGAGAGATGTAGCATAGTTTTATATGTTTGGAAGGAGAGGCAGGGGAAACTGTTAGGGGTCGGGAAGTGGTACCAGACCAACGCCATTGTGCTCCATTACCAGTGCCATTCTGCGCCGTCCCCACTTAATACGTACTGCGAAGTTGCGATGCTCCCTCGGAAGGAACAAGAGAGATCAGTGCTGTACCCTCATTATTCTGAATCCACAAACTTTTGAGCTCTACCACTCTGTCGAGCGACAAAGAACAACGTTTTGTGGATGGGAACAAGTGGATCCTTGAACGACTGTGGTCTCCATGGCTCAAACTGGATCTTACTCAACGCTCGAGACGGGGGATCGTATACCCTCCAGAGACCCTAAGTGGATCTAGATGCCCAGAACCATTGCTATCGAGACTTTCGTTCGATTGTTTACGATGTTACTCGACGATTGAAGGCGCACATGGCTCTAAGTGAGCTGCAAATGTGGTAACAGCTTCTGACTTAACCTAATGGAGGCCATGTACGTGTCATGTTAGCTCATATAAATCAAACAAAAGAGCTGATGAGTCCCTTCAGCACCACAAATACCGTGGAGATACGCGAAAACCACTCAAGGTCTTGAGCCAAGGCTTGCAAGCTAGCGATACGAGCGGGGTTCAATATCGTCACTCAGCTTGAGAAGCAACCAAAGCGACAAGGCGAAGCGTGTTTTGTGGCATTTCAAGATACGTGACCCATAATGGACGATTGTGGTAGATGAGAAAGCAAGAAGCCAGTCACTCACCAAGCGAAAGGTAACCGCTGTTGCTCGTGCCAGACCCGCCCAAAACGTCATAGTCTCAACCGACCAAACCATCCAACATAGTACTCGCCAGTAACATTGAGGTCAACAATACTCTTTCAGTCACTTGATCATTTCCTCCATCCCTTATTACAAGAGTTTCCGCTCTTTGAGCCAGACTATCAGAAATACGTACGTGGCCACAAAGTCATGGGTCGCACCGAAAAATCGCAGGGTTTAGCGCCACCCGCCATCCGCAAGGATATTCGAGCCAAACAGGCGCGGCATATCGTCAACAAAGTTGTCCCAGCAATCTTGACGTCAAATACAAGAGCCAGGAGAGGTGCGGACGGAAGTGAGCTTATTACGAACCCTGGACCGATTGGAACAGTGGGGCAGGAGAGAGGGAGTAGGGACAGTGCACGTGTTGAGGTTGGCAAAGAGACGGAATATGTAAAGAGGAAGGGACAAGGAAGAAGAAAGGCCAAAGGCGCGAGGCTTGAAGAAGAAGAGGCGGATGGCAGGAATGGTGAAAAGAGTGGTGATATGGGGAAGGATGCTGGTAAAGGTAAGGGAAAAGCAAAAGGCAAGAAACAGAATGATGCTCTCAAGGAAGAAATTTCATACCTCAACTCGAAGACAGCTGTTACGCCACCACCTGTTTTGCCGAGCAAACAACGCAGTATACGAATCGTAGCCACAGATAGCCTTACAGCTGCACATATGCTTTCTCACCCATCTCTGTACAACGAATCTGCCACTTCCGCGCCGAAACAGCTGTCCAAGAAACAACCAAATACATGTATCCTAAACATGGCCTCTCCCCTCCGCCCAGGTGGCGGCCTCCTAACGGGCGCCACCTCCGCCGAAGAATCCCTTTGCGCGCGTACAACACTACTCCCTTCACTCAAGGAATCATTCTACCGCCTTCCAGAATATGGTGGCATCTACACACACGACGTACTTGTGTTTCGATCTGCCCTTCCGCTCGGCGACAACGCCGGTGAGCTGCCTCCCACCGAGCGCTGGTACGTTGACGTTATCAGTGCGGGAATGCTGCGCTTCCCCGAACTAGAGGGGGAAGAAGATGAAGAGAAGAGGCTAAGTAAGAAGGACAGAGAGGTTGTTGAAGCGAAGATACGAGGTGTTCTGAGGATAGCGGAACAGAAGGAAGTGAAGGGGTTGGTGCTCGGAGCTTGGGGCATTGGAGCTTATGGAAATCCAGTGAAAGATATCGCAAAGGCTTTTGCAAAGGTTTTGGGTGTTGGTTCTTCATCGTCAGCGTCCACCGGAAAGAAGAATAGCAAGTCGCCATCGGTGGGTATCGAGGCATTTCCGGCCATTGAAAACATCATGTTTGCGATTCCCAATCGTAAAATTGCTAGCGATTTTGCTGCAGCGTTTGGTGGCAGCATTCAGGTCGAAGACGGCCCCGGCGCTTCGAGCAGCGATGACGACAACGAGGACGGCGAGGAAGATGAAGTGGCAGAGGAACTGAGAAACAAGATACAAGAGATGGAAGGTCAAATCAGTAAGGTTTGGAACCCAGACCTGAAGGCGAGGCTGAGCTCTATACTGGAAGGCTTGAAAGCGCAATTGAGAGAGAGAGAAGGCACACCCGGAATGAGTAGTATTGATGGTGATGATGAGGACGAAGAAGGGGAAATTGAAGGGAGCGAGGAAGAGGGAGAAGGCGATGACACAGAAGACGAAATCCGCTCGTATGGGAGTAATGAGATTGGCTGTTACCACCCGAACCCTCACGACTGGTAATAAGAACCAGTACACTGCTAGTAAGAATATATTGATGGGTATCTCAAAATTTCTATCTTCTAAAAGTCTCTTTTATACAGCAAGATTCAATGCTTCGACGCTCAAGCGGTTGCACTGGCAGCAGCCGGTTCTTCTGAAGAAGGCTCTGCTGGCTTTGACTTGTTGGAGCTGTTCTTTCGTGCCACTGTATTCGGTTCATCCTCCAAACCCAGTTTTTTCAGGTCCACAGCCAAGGGATCAGACTCTTCTGTACTTTCAGTAGGCCCTTCATATCCTGGTGGTGGCAACGCCCAGTCGGGCAGGCCAGTCTCATAGTCCCACTTCCCTTCCTCACACCTGTATCTCCGGGCATGCAGGTAGATACCCAATTCGTGTGTACCTGGGTCGCTGTACAGATCGGTGTCGCATACCTTGCACTTTTCCCCTGTCATGCGTTCCGCTTTCTTCTTGTTGTAGGCATTGACCATTTCATCGTGGTATGCGACGGCATCGGCGACTTCCTCTTTGCCCATGCGTGAGAGGCGGGACATGATATCTTCATCGTCCTCGTCTTCAGATTGACCACGGCCGAGGGCTGGGCCAAAGACGCGCTGGTTGGCGTATATGGGGTCGTTTGAGATGGGATGGCCGAGGAATTGGAGGTGGACGCGCAGTTGGTGGGTGCGGCCTGTTACTGGCATGCAACGCACAATAGAATAGCCGCGGAGCTTCTTCCACGGCTGACCATCGGGACCTGCATCTCCTTGTTCCGCTTGATTTGCATTTCCGTCATCCTTTGGTGGGTAGTATGCCAGCCTCTTGAAGACCGTCTTTGCCTCCTTGCCGTTCGCACGCACGCGGTTCAGGCCCAGCTTGGGGCTGATCTGTAGGATGGGCTTCTCACAGAGGATCTCTCCTTCTGGAAATTCGCCCACAACTCGCGTGATGTACTCCTTCTTGACCGTCCTGCCTCTTATCTGTGCACTCAGTTCCTCTGCCGCCTGCTTGTGCTTGCCGATGAACATGATGCCACTAGTCAACCTGTCGAGCCGGTTGCACGGCAATGGATTCCAGCCATAGCCACGATCTGCCCTCATAATCTCGATGATGGAGTTGAAGTTGTATCGACCAGCAGGATGTACGGGCATGCCCGCAGGCTTGTTGATGACAATCATGTTGTCATCCTCGTGGACGATACCGATGGGCTGCGCGGTACACGGGGGCTCGTGGCGGTGGAGAGTGTGGGATATGACGTCGCCGTTCTTGACTATTGTTTTGATGCTCGGCACCGGCTGGCCATTGAGGACGACGCGGCCCTCTTCTATGGCTTTCTGGTAGTACTCGGCGGGCCGGTCGCGGAACTCGCTAGAGAAGATGTCGAGAATTTCCCTTCCCCGCCATCGTTCCTTGCAGAAGGTGTTGTATGTGAAGTGGTAGGGCGTCACCTTGCGCAGGCCATCTTCGAGGTAGTATGGCGGTGGCCAGGGGTCGCAGGGCGTGATTGCGACGGCTGGAGGCTCTTTCCAGGGAAATTTGTCGTCGGGCAAGGGCGGGTATTTGTCGCGCGGGGGTGAAGGCACTAGGGCCATGGGGGGTGAGCCTGTGCGTGTCTTGGGCACAGGCAAGCGTCCCTTGGAGGCGAGGTATGCGAGGATGCGCGGAGAGGGCGCCAGAATCGCGGGGCCGAGGGGTCGAGGGGTTGAGGGTGCGTGTGGGAGAAATGTTGCGCAAGCCGAGGCAGACGTGGGATGCAGGGAACCTAGCCCGCCATGTTGCCCGTCTTGAGAGACGCGTCTTCCCTCGACGTCGACGGCACCAGAATTACGCCATGGCACTACAGGCATTGAAATCGCGTCGACGAAGCGACTACAGCTTCCAGCTCGAGTATAGGACGAGATGGTGCGTCTCCTGCCTCTGCGCCCTGTTCAGTACTAACAACAGGAAGGAGCGACAATGACATGTACCATCACATGAACAACAGCGTCTACTACTATCTGTATATATATATCTCTCTCTCCTGTCCACGCTACATTTCCTAACGACAACTAGGTTCGACTCTGTTGTCAACACGTACCTCATCCAACACTGCTCACTGCACCCACCTACCTCGCCACAGATCGGCCTCGTCGTACACTCGCATTGTGATTACCTCGCCCCAGTCGGCTTTCCCGCCGTCGTAGACCTCGCACTACGAGTCAACAAGCTTGGCAAGAGTTCTGTAACATACGAAATCGCCGTCTTTGAAAAAGGCCAGGACGAGGTCAAGGCCGTTGGCGAGTTTATCCACGTCTTCGTCGACCGTGAAAGCCGCCGGCCTGGAAAAGATGGCATGAGTCAGCAGCTGAAGTCTGGCCTGGAAAAACTGTTGACGGACAAGTCGAAGCTGTGAGATACGACCACGACTCCAACGTCACCGGTGGTGGCGCAATACAACATCGGCCAACTGGGTATGATAGCTATCTAAGACATTTGGCCAAGGGACAGGAATGGGCAGAACCAGCTCTGCATCTGATCAGCCATGTTCATCATGGCCCTTGGCGTAATCTGTTGCCGAGATTCGCATTCGCTCTGAGGCATCTGGAAGCTTATAGGTTCTTTGCCGTTAGTGGCGTATACGTCGCAACAATCATTCTTGGAGTAGTTATACCAGAAGCTCTTCGGAAGAATTGTATAGGAGCAGTTTTCTGCTGCATGAGCGACCAGACGGACCAGTCGTTTGACTGTATAGGAGTCTTGCTGGGGGCAACGAGTGTGAAGGAATAAATTCGGCAGCCTTGAAACACCATATTACCTGCCAGCATAGCAAACGTCGAGACACGATATCGCGACCCGCAGTGCAGGACCAATTCGACGATAGCGAACGAAGACAGGCGGGGTAACGCTTAGTTACAGTCCGGCAATACATTTCCGATACTGCACGTCCCTGACTGTTTTCTTTCCATTTGACCTTCCCAACGTTGGCATAACATTGTATACCAAGCTTCTTCACCTCGTTCACACTCAAGACCAACTTGTTCTGTCTAATCTTCCACGACTTCATGCCACTTTTCAACGCGCCATCTTAAACACTCGGCCGCTTCCCCTCATATTCCTATATTCTCACTATCCTATATCCGTCCAAATACCGCAATATGTCCACTTCCACGATTCATGGCCCAGGCATACTGTTTGTCCGCTCCCGCATCTCTCCCTCGGCCAATGACCTGCTCACCGAACCTGTGTTCCTAGCCTGGTACGACGACGAGCATATCCCAGAAGTAGTTTCTACATCTAGCATCCATTCTGCAATGCGCTACATCGATGTTCACAAATCTTCTCCCATTGGTGATTCACAGAATCCGAAGCCTTTCTTAGCCTGTTACCCCATGGGGGATCTGGCTTTCACGTTGGGTGACGAGTTCAAAAAGATTGGCTTCAGGAGTAGTAAGCTTCCGGGCAGTGGCGTCATTTATGATTTGGCAGATATGGATGTCAGTTACCTGGGTTTTATGGGTGCAACGAAGAGAACAAGAGAGTTTACAGGTGGTGAACAAAAATTTATCATCACGTTAGGAGTTAGACCAGAGAAGAAGATAGCAGAAGGAGAAATCGCCGAATTCTTTCAAAAGGTATGCATCACCAACGTTACTTCTGGTTGACATATTTGGCACATGCTTGTATTGAAATTGATAATTCGATAGCAAACACGTATCATCGAACAAACACCACAGTACATACGCTCGGTGCGCTTCAAACTTCTCTACGCGAGGACTAATGCTCAGTCTCGTGCTCTAAAGGGGTTACCGACCACGGATGAGCCACATCCTGAGCCTTCCACTTGGCTCGCTATGCACGAGTTCGCAGAGTTGCCTGGTGAAGAGTTAATCAAGACGTTGAACGGTAGTGCGAAGAAGGCTGCTGAAGAGGAGGAATGGGGCGCAACGGAAATCGAGATGCTTGTTTGGAGACTGGATCGTGCGCATGGAGACGAAAAGTTCTTCGATGAGTGAGGTCATGCTTGCTGGACAATCATCGTATACTACGTCTGATGGCTGTTTCAAAATCGCCGAATAACTTGTAGGTAATGTTATATACATACTCCATTCTTCTTCTTCATCTCTCTCACAACAGCTCCAAATCCTGCTCAATGCTCATGTCCATGTTCATGCCCTTCTCCCTCCTTCTCATCCCATGGATGTCCCTGTCCAACGCCCTCCCAGGGATCACCCTCCCAGGTCATCCAAGTACTATGTCCCCTAACGTTCTCCGCCAACTCCCCACACCTCCTCTGTTCCCAACTCTCCTTGCCTGCCACAACAGCCCAATGTTTCTGCGCCCTCTCCGCCCAGTATCTCGCCCGATCTTCAATTCCGAAGCTACTCCATGTGTATGCGAGAATCTCTTCATACTGTGGTAGCTCAGCGAAGAGTTCTTCTTGTTCCAGTTGCTCGATGAGTTTGGGGAGGAGGCCGAGGAGCTGCGGCGAGTCCTTCTCGTCAGTGGGAAGAACAGATTTCAAGGCTTTGATCTCGGAGAGGCGGTCGTTGGATTCCATCACTGCATCGTCATCTGCGGTGCATAGGGGGCAGGCGCACTGGAAGCCAAAGTTAGCCATAAGGGTCTTGACGCGGCGCCTGCGAGGACGTTTTTCGTAGCCATCTGCCATAGAATTAGTGACTGCTTTGCTGATTGTGTAATTGGTGTTGACTTACAGCTTCGTGTGATCTCTTCACCGGGCTTGATGTCTCTTAGAGCGAAGACTTCGAATGAGAGGGTGTAATCGTCGAAGCGCCACAAGGTGTTTGGCCGGCACGCGTGATTGATACGCTGGGCTGGAGTTAGAGAGAACACTAACAGGCAAATTATCGGTCATGACTTACAGCGGCCTCGGGAATGACTGCCAACAGCTCTGGAAGCTCATCAACCCACGGCCATTTTACACCAACGCCGTTTGTCAGAACAATGTCCTCGACGCTGCCATCTATGTTAACATCCAACGCCTTGACCATCTCCCTGGTTTCTGCCGGCAACTGCTCGACTGCTTGCTTTAACACGTGCTGTGGTCTGTTCTCGGTTTCTGCCAGCGGCCTAGCAACAAACAGCACTGGTGTCTGCACAATCAGACTCTCGCCTGGGAAAATTCCAGCGATATCCTTCTTCGCAAACAAGCCTTTTCCTTTCTCGCCCGCATATTTGACTTCCCACATGCCCATATTTTCACCAACCACGCCCTCCATGCCACCAATACTCATACCAAATGTCTCCATTGTAACACTAGCCGCGACCTCTGGAGTTACTACGAGGCTGACTCCGCGACCGTTATTGTAATCGGCATTAGTGTACGCGCAGAACGTTTGAGGACCCTTTGCTCCCACGGCTTCATTTCCCTCATTTGGCATCACGACGTCAACACACGTAGGATTATGTGTCCATGGAAATGTGTCAGTCGTGGCGCCATCCTGTGCGACCGGACATATTGATGCAGGTTTGTTGATGAGTCCGTCTTGGATCGCCGGACTGCGCGCTGTGTAGAATAATTCCGCTTTAGCATTTGAAGCGCATAGAAGTGTGGAGAGGGCAACATAAGCAGGTAGATGCCGTCGCCGCGGCCATATTGCTGTAACCATCTTCCAAGCTCTTGATCTTATTGTTCCTTCTCCTCGAATGATGGACGATGCCGAATAAAAGGAAACTATCGAGGAAGCCAGACTTTCAACATCTTCAACGTCGGAGGAATTACTCGCGCGAAATTGGAAGCCACGTTTCACGATGGAAGGATCTCCGAAACCCCTGCTGCTGAAACATGCTGGGTGCTTGGCAGATGCATTGCGCCTGCATCTAGATTGTCTTGGAGATGCACGGAAGCCAGTGAGGTTTGGGGCTGTTACTGTTATTTGATGAATCGATGAGCCGGAAGAATGGTTGATGTGGGGAAGGCTAGCTTCGGGGCCGGTTGAATGGCGCGCGTGGGACGTGAGAACATCGTCTTTGCAGTCTCTCTGACAACACAACTTGCGTGTTGCACGAGTCGATAGTGCGATGCGTAGAAGTGACGCTTTGACACAATGGCCGTCTTCATTGTCCGCCTTAGGAGAGGCTCCATGCTTGTGTGTTGAGAGACGGCGGCCTCGGGGGCGAGGGCAGATCAACGCAATACCACCTTGGTTGCACCTCTCTTCATTACCTAGGTCAAACGGAGAAAAGACGATCGGCACTCTATCTTCTCCAAAATCAGATGTTATACTTCATGACTGAGCACATCCAGAATGACGTGAATGGGAATTGGCGGCAGGGTTCGAGGCAGAATGTATTCAATACACATATTCGGTAGTATTGTACCTTGGATACTTCCCAACACGTGCCTCTTAGTCATTTTAAACAATCTTCAGCCAGCTCGGCTCCTCCTGCTCAAATGATTTGAAGCCCGGAGCAGGAATCTTGTCAAACAGACCACCCTTCAAGAACATTTTTGGCGAGTCGTCACCCACTAAAGACGCAATGGGGCTATCGTTTTGTTAGCAATGCTCTCCTGATGCGATATGCACAAGCAACTCACCACCCGCAGTTGCCGCAAAATTGTCGGGTAATCGAATTCCCACTCTTTGTGTCGCTGTCCTTGTAATTCTTAAGATTGTTGCTCGGGTCATTGACTGTGACCTCAGATTTGTCGAACATGTAGATAATGGATCCAGCGCATGATCCGGCACGCCGGCAGTTGGCACTTGGAGAGTTAGTCCGAGACTACGCGCGGAGACTGGAACAATGACGCCTACCAGTAGCAGATAGCGGATTGCTCTGGTAAAGCAGGAATGGAAACCTTGATGCTTCCGCAGTTGCAACGTCCCTCAGTCATCCTGAATGAGTAAAATATGGATTTAGGGTTGTGAATAGTTTGCTTCAGGGTTCTACTTCCTCAGGCTTCCGGTTGAGAAATAAGCGTTCAGCAAGGTGCGGTATCTTACTTGAATGAGAGGCTGCTGAGGGGAGCTTTAAATGAGGAGAACCTATGTAGCTTACACTGCCCGCAATAGTAAACTGCTCTGGATTTATGACGCGTGTTATACACAGTGGGGTTTGTGGAGACAGCGGACTAGCATTAAAGAACCTCGGCAAACTAATCATACGAGTTGATTCGAGAAGTCGCGTCGTGGGATTGACCATCGCTATCCGGCACCTCGTCGTCTCTTGAGTGATGTTCTGCACTGAGAGACTTTGAACGCGTTGACGATACCCGCGACGAGGCTGGCTTTTAACGGCGAATGACCTTTTGAGGTATACGATATCCTGTGGAACTCCACTAGAATTCTTACACAGCCAGTCCAGCAAAAGAGGCTTCCACGTGCCATGATTCGTAGTGATTGGTCTTGAAAAGGGTTGAGATTCGGTCCGCGCAATGAGCTGTCACTAGTCATCCGCAGTGGGCGTACGAGGTTGTGGGATATATGGCGGCCTATCCATAGCCCAACATTCTGCTCTAGGAAATGCAGAGACTAGCAACAGTCAGCGAGACGCAGAGATCAGAGAATATGGAAGAGATGAAGTGAGATTGAAAAAGCAGATGTCTAATCCCCAATGGCATCCGCATCAGGCTAGCACGCCATTCAGTCCTAACGCGGCGTCATTCCGCGTTCACGCTCTCAAACATCAACCACAATGACACAACAACACAACCACAAAGCCTGACACCAATACTACGCACACATTATCAAACTGCACAATACCCTAAAATGGTAGCTGAGCATCTCCGCACCTTGCAATCAGCATTCCGACTAACTGGCCGCAGACGCGCGATTCTACGGCAACCTACCTGCACATGCACTCGTCGCACCACGCCGACCTCCTCGAGCAGTTCACGAATCTCACCTCTTCGCAACTCACGCCCGAAGATATTTACGTTCCCCCACACCTCCAACCTGTAAACCCTGAGGACGAGGACGACGTTGTACCAGACCAGCACGCGGCATTCGGCATACAGCGAGCAACACAGACGAAGAAGGAACCAACATGGCGCGACTTGGGGCTCGAAGAACTGTTGCGACGGGGACCCATGGGCATTGGAAGCGGGAGTGCAAGCGGAAGTGCGGTCGCAGCTGGTGGTAGTGGAATTGTTGGACAGGGAAGAGAAGAGCCAGTTAGACTGGCGCTGGCGAGGCAGCCGGGTGCGAGGATGGGTGTTAGAGTAGGCAACGGGAGCAGTGAGAGCTCTAGAAGTGGCGGAAGCGGTGCTGCTGGGAATGGACTGCCGCGATGAGGGGAAACAGCGTACCGGATTCGGACGTTGATATCAGCGCAGGACTTTGCATCTGCTTGGAAACATGGGACACGCGCAGTGAGTCCTGTGGTATCCGTGATTTAGCTAGAGCTGTCAGGCTGATCTGTGATAGCCGTTGACATCTGGACGATTGCGCTAGCTTCACAGCCTACAACGATCGCTCTTCCACGCTACGTTGATTGGCATCTGTACGCGCACATCCAATACCGCGGGTGCTTTTGCCATGCTGTTGCGCGCAGAAGACCCTAGTGCGGAACAGGCGCGGTACCCAGACTTGTTCACGTAGAGACTCGAGATTCATATAGTGCCGGGATTCAAAATGTAAAGCAATTTGCTAATGGTCTGGAGCACTTGTAACTACAAGAACTATCATCACGTGTTACTATCAAGAATTTGTATATGGTGGTTGAAGCCGGCAAAGGATCGATGCGAGCATGTTATTTCTCTGTACACAGTGAAAGCCTCTTCAGGTCGGTGATTGCAGCTCTGTGGTCTATTGGCATTGTCCACAAATACCATTGTCAGACTCCCTCTAATCTGTCCGGTATCCCCGAACACCCTCCTCAACTCCTACTGCACTAATGCCCATCTGCCCGATGCGCAGGAACATCAGTCCTCGTGCGCGGTAGTAGTACGCTTGCCACACGAACACGGCCTTAATCATGCACTCAACATACGCACACCAACGCCTCTCTCTGGCTTACACCTCCGTAAGCCACAGGCATCTCTTCCTGAACGAGCTTGCACATCAACGTCCGTACTGGGCCCTCTCACTTGTTACATCGACCGTGTTCGTCACCCATGCTGCTCTCGAGATCTTTGATACAGTCGCAGAAGAACTAGTACATCCTCAAAGCATCCTCGTACTTAGCAAGTGGTGTGTCGAAGCGCGCGACAGCCTTAACATCGTTGAGCCGCGGCTCTGCGGTTATGAGACCAATCGGGTTATGTTGCTTCATATATGCAACATCTTTGGGTAGATCATCGTCTGTGTTCTCTAGTGCAGAGAGAAATGGAATCTCGATGGGTCTACGACACATAGTACAGGGACATGCTGTCGTCCGCTTGAACCCTGCGCTCAAGCAAGAGATGCAAAACACATGCCCACATGGTGTTCGAACGGCTTCGAAAGTCTGCTCAACAAAGGTCGTCCCATATGCGCCGGGTAGTTGGCTAAGGGAAACTAGATGAGTCTCCATGCCTGAGCCGACGCTTTGATATCCTTGACGACAGACAAAGCACATCGGTTCGTCTTTTAGCGCTTCCGTAGGTGTAGCGACGTTGAGAACGCGTTCCACAATATCTTGGTAGAGGTCAGGGATTGAGCCTATTTTTGACTGAACTTTGTAGATATACGATCGATGTAGTAGATATACTGTGTATATCGATGTTAGACGGCAGCCATAACCTGCCGCTCAGTCATCTGTCAAGTCGATACACTCAACGCCCACGGGTACATGATAATCAGCTGCCGGTCGTTTGTTTGTCATTGGAGCAAGCGGTAGAAGAGGTTGATCGTTTGTGTTCTGCAGGGGACGAGGAGACGACGTCTCGAAGTGGCGAAGCCGAGCAGCGCGGATCTCATTGGCAGAAGGTGTCGTGATTGCTTGGACATGGTCTTTGATGCCAGATCCGGAAGACGACGTCGCAAGCTTTGGTAGATGAGCAGCAGGCGGCAGAGAACGTGACCAATCGGGTAAATCAACTGGTCCTCTTCCTATAAGACCTGCGTGGACACCTCTTGTTGCCGTTCGTGAAACGTCTGGTGGAGTGCTTTCTAATTGTCTATGGAGAGTTTGAGCAGCTCTAGATGGTAGAGCGTCGCTGTTTGTTTGGTCGAGCGACCAGGCCGGAACAGAGGTGCCTAACACATCCCTACCTGCTTCCCTCATGGCGAAAATGCTTTCATACTTACCCCGACTGGAAGATGGGAATCCAGAAGGACTCTTTGTTGGATGGATCATAACGCCTTGGTCTTGCATGCTTAGGCGCAAAGCCAGCTGTAGCTCTTCATCTTCTTCGTCTGAGATATCCAACGGCTGTGCGTTTTCTATATGAGCTCGATGTGTATTGGAGACGGACATATTGCTCTCTTGACCTGGTGGCTCGGGTGAATCAAGATCAACGATATGAGACACATGCACTTGATTCAGTGCAAGTTCTTGAGGGCGAGGTTTGGCTGGTAGGGAGAGTCCATCTTCATCATCAGATTCGGACAATTCGATGCAGTCGAGAATCTTTTGCGCTGTCGGCGTCAGGGGCATATTGCGAGACCTGGCAATAGAGGCTGGTTCTTTTAACTTCCTCGGTGATGCACTGCGTGGGGCTCTAGCGGCGGAAATATCGTCCCTTTTGTTCTGACGTTTCCGCTTAGCTGTGCTTGACACCCCGGATTCTTCCTCGGTGTCATCTGTCGGTCGCTTACGTTTAGACGTAGGCTTTTGTGCTCGAGATGGCGGATCTAGTATGTCTGCTGGAAGGACTTTACGCAGCCAGTACTCCGGAAACTCACATTCCACACGATAATCTGGGTCGAATAACGTCTCCTTATCTCCGTTCCAATGACCCAATCGAGCGCCTTCAAAATCGGCTTGGCCCAGAGAAGTGACGCCAAAAGGGGAAAAGGTCAGCTTGCGTTCGAAAGTACGCATTGGTGGCTCGTCATCAGTCTTCTTCACTCGTTGTTTCGGGAATTTCATGTGATGAATTGGCTCAAGAGGTAAAGATGGATCTCTCGTGGTCAGGCTTCGTGTCAACAGCACAGGTCCGACCCAGTTCATGTACAGACGTCCCCATATGTTGAAGCGCTGGCTGGTGAGTGTGAGCAACTTCAGTTCCTGGATCGGACGAACGCAGTCAAGGCTGAGCCGTGACTTGTTGAGCAGATCTTCGTCGCTTGTGACCTTGGGGTTGTAGTACTTCTGCAAGGTTCTGAAATCCGGAAAGTCTAGTGGGATGTCGATGCTGCGCCCGCGAGCAGTTTTCTCAAGGAACATGGCCAACTCTACAGCCCAAAGACCGCACTCCATCTGATCTCGACATGCAACCAGTCGTCGGCCAAGCCCTTGCTTGACCGCCTGCAGAGCCAGAGATGGCCCACACTGGGGTAAACCTTTCACGTCGTAATCGCCGCCGACGAGCATTGCAAACAACACTAGTCCATCTCGGTCTAGGCCATACTTCTCCTTCAAGTCGGATGCTCGTACAACGTTGGCGTATTTTCCATTCTTCTTGGTGTTCTCCTTGGACCTGTCCGTGATGCCCTTTTCTTTCGCGATGCGATGGTCGCGTAGCCAGAGAGTGCAGCCAAACATGATGCAGTCGGAGTCTTGTGACCAAACAGCGTCAACCAGGCCCAGAATCTGCAGACGAGCGCACTCTGCCTCTGCCTCTCCTGGCGCTTCATGGTATGGGATCCCAAAGTATTGAAGCATCTCCTTGAGCAGACGCTGCTCTTCGAAGTTGATCCGCCCTCCTCCTCTTTTGCCTCGCTTCCAGGGTCGACCGGGGCCATCGAAGACGAATATGAGCTGGATATCCAGGGTGAGAAGGCGGCAGATACGGTAGAACATGGCTTTCTCGATGCCTTGGAAAGCATACTCATTGGAGGCTAGCCGTGTCAGCGAGGGAAAAAATGCTGCGTGTACTACTCACTCTCCCGTATGGTATACACTTGCTGCACCGTGAGGTTGTTGAAGCGCCAATCGGCCTCGTCGACAGCAATGCGGAGTGGCCTGCCATGACGCCGGTGGTGCTCTTCGGCAAGCTGCGCAACCGGTACGCTCTCTTCGTGCTTCTTGATCGTATCCCACAAGCTATGTTGATATCAGTAGAGACTCAGGTCTGATGGGGTCTAGACGCGTACGCTGTGAGACCCATGACGTGGGTGTGGGGAAGACGAGGCTCGAACAGTCGGCCGTTGCACGCGTCTTAGCGCGATTGGCGTGACCGCGGGAAGGGGGTTGGCCAACGGCTGGAAATAGAAGAAAGAGGACTGTGTCATATGGCAAGTCGCAACTAATGTGTTTTGCTAGCCCGGTCGCAACAGCAGTAGAGGTAACATGGTACGCTGCAATTGACCGTCGCACAATCTCCTATCGCTCCTTCCGAATTCTGACGAACGCGAAAACACGTGGTTTGCATCTGCAGTCCGAGCGCCTTACCCATCTCAGTACTCACTTATTTTTTTTTGGCAGTAGTCCGCCAGTCTTTTCACTTCACGTCGTCACATCGCGCGTCATGTCACAGAAGTAGTACATTGTGGCTGGCTATAGTTCACAGTCCACCTCAAACGCCCCTTCCAAATCATGCCACAGTTCACTCTCTAAGAAGACGCTCATATCGCTAACCCTATCCTGCGCACTTTTTCGTCGCTGCTTCAACGCCTCTCCCAAAATATTCGCCGCCGAAAGAGCCATGTCAGATTTTCTGCCCAAAAACCATAACGCCTTGATACAAGCATCAGCTCGTTGGAAAGCATCCTCACGATCCAGGTCAGACGGTAATAAAGTGTCTGACTCCAGTAACAAAACACCCGCCTTGGCGAATGCACGAATCAACACCACAGTCCATGGTTCCGTCAACAGTGCGCCTTCGTTCACTGCAAAATGAAATTCGCGGGACTGTGGGAACGATGCGTCTTCTCGCGGGCATGCGCAGCTCGCCAGATCGGATAATACCCGGCAGTTGTTCTCACGGAACTTTGCGATGAAAGCGGTTAGATTCCGTTGCTGTGTGGCTTCTTCAAGCCCAAGCTCTGACTCGTCTACCACTTCCATCAAGTCTGCGAGCAGAAGCGTTGCCAGGTGCCAATGGCCGGTAACACAAACGTACCACGACTGGACGCGTGGTGGGAGGCGGTCGTGGTTCTGGATGCAGTCCCGTATGAAAGGAGCGTACAGCGCATCCCAGTGGTTGCACACGTCCATCGCCGAACTAACAGCCTCTTCAACCTTCGCGCCTCGCGCGTTCCTTGTAAGGAGCGTCTGGATTCGGCAAACCCTCCTGAACAGTAACACCTTGACAGGGGCTGCATCACACAGCGCGGTTGCCGCTTCATCGAATGAGCATGGCCATCTCATGGGTACATGCTCCGGGTTCTGTTGTTGTTGTCGGGCGAACAGATACTCATCCCAGAGTCCGTCGCCTTCGTCTGTCGAGGAGGGTGTTACTGCCTGTTGGACCGAGTGCTCGATTTGCATGCTTTCGCTAAGCACTACATCGCTATCTTCATCCGATACCACCAACGGTCGTTTATGCATTGCTGCTGACAGAGTGTCGAACATAACGCCCAACCAGAACAGAAGGTCTACTGTTGCACGGTCCGCATCTTCAAGCCGCACAACTGACGAGCGTCGTTGCCGTGCGGAGCTGCTGCGTCGCGCTTCTCTGGACATGGTCATGCGTGATCTCAAAGAATGAATGAGCCGGAGACCTGATTCGAGATGGACAGGTGGTCCATCAGCCTCTATTGCAAGATTCAATTTCGACATCAAGTCTGCACAGTCGTCCATATCCTGATCGGTTGCAAGCAAGGGTGTACCTTCTCTCGATACTTGCGCACAAGCGTCTGTCTCCATCAGTTCGGTCTTCGAAACAGAGTTCGGCGCATCCGGTGTTTCTTCAACTGTCTCAACCGGTCTTTGTGTCAAAGCGAAGATGATTTGTGCGAGTACCACTCGGAAAGACTCCACCTCGCCAGCTTTTTGTAGTGCGTTGCGGGCCTCATGCCATGCTGATATCTGTAACGTACGATCGAAGTCCAAGCCGGTCGGAGTACATTCGTCCTCTTCGCTATCAAAGACGCTGCTGCCACCATCGATCAAAGTGCTATGGAACGGATACTTCGTTCTGCTTCTGGCACTGGATTGCGCCCACTGTGAAGCGAAGGAGAAAACCGCCAAGTCCAAAGCCCTAGATGCAGCGCGGTCTTCCGTCTGGGTAAGCTTGCGCCCTCTGATGGTAGATGCTAGTCTATCGAGGCGAACCACTCGGTGATAGATTCTATTCCAATCGGGTCTAGCATTCGTGGCTAGCAGAGTATCCGATTTTGCACTGTAGGGACAGGTTCTTTCTGTTACCCAGCATGCAAGTGCGTTTTCGAAACTATCATGATAGATCCTCAGCAAGCTTTCAGTCAGATACGCGTTGTTGCTCGATGAAAGAATATCGCTGGCATATGATATTACTGGGTAAGAATGCGCACCATTTGAGATTGATGCCGAGGAGCTGGAGCGACGCCTTTTTTGACCGGTACGTGCGACAGTCCCTTCCGATATGGTAGAAGGTGGTTTGCTTATGCTTATGCTACTCGTGTCTGGATAGTCTGAAGGGCTGTCGCGCTCGGGCTTGTCATCGCTAATCTCTGAAGTTGTTTTCAAGGATGAGCCTCTACCAGAGTCGCAATCGAGCAGAGTCCAGTTTTCCTCGGCAAACCCGCCAGCGAGCTCCGATTCATCTCTTGTCCCTTCTTTCTCGAATGTCTGCGACGGTTCATGAAACAGGGCGATTGTGGGATCGGCGGTGAACATAGAAGAACCGCACGGAAAATCTCCAAAAGTTACACCTAGTTCAACGGGTGGAGTATGAGCGAGAAATTCATCGTTGCTCAAATGTCGGCTCTCTTTTGACTTGGTCGTTGTGGTAGAATGCCAAGCTACATTTGGCTTCTGTGCTCGGCTGGTGGAATTGCTTCGCGTACGGCGCCTCTTTGCTGGCGGCGCAGCTGTCTGTGGTGGTTGTGAAGCTTGCGATACACGCTGTGAGCGCAGCCACTCGAAAGTGCAGCTCTTCTTCGTCTTCTCACAATTACCGCACGAAGCTAGTGGCCCGTAAACGTCTGACAGGTTAGCTGACGTCTGCGCTACCATCAAAAGGGGTGTGGCTCACCACTATAATGGAACACTGTAGGGGTTGCTCCAGATTTACTCGTTTCTAAAAGAGTGTCCTCCAGGATAGCCGCATCGCACGCCCTCTTTCCTTTACGACATTGATCGCAGCACCTGTTCTGTTTCCGACTTGTCTTGGAAGGTTTGGTGGCCGCCATCGCCGCCGAAGAGGGCGACGTCCAGGCATAATCGAGGAACGACTTAGGTTGCACGTCCACGAAGTTCATGGCTGCTGCTCGGATTGTACGGCAAAAAGAGGGAAAGACACGAGAGGTATGCTTGATGCAAAGAGACAAGTGCGTTACTGATATGCACACCCCGCGTTGCCGGCTAGGGCCCACATCCCAACACAGAAATGCGGGGAAGGCTAACGCGTGGCAGGGAATTATGATGCTCAACGCAAGCTTCAGTCCTGCCCACAATTGACGATTGAGGATGCTTCACGGCTGGTTCCGTCGATCGCATGCATTCCAAACATGTGTTCCTTGTTTACGACCGCCCAGTTCTCACCAAAAGCAGCCCTCAATATTCCATCGTAACGTTATCCCGTGAGCTCACGGGATGGTTTGTACCGGACATTCGGTCTGACCTAGGCGCTACTTCTCTCAGCTTGCAGCCTATCATGTTATAATTGGCCCTTTGTCTGACGATCGGACTGTTCCGAAACCTTCTCCAATGCAACTTGTGTGAAACGAGCATCGGATCGGCCCATATGCAAAGCTGTGGATGGTTTCAACGTTTTCACCGCCACAAAAAGCAATTCAATTATCAGCTCAAATTGCAGCTTCATTGCACGTTTTCTAATCGTGCGCGTTCGTGGCTTATCTGTAACCCACGGACAACCTGGTAGTCTGTAGATGACAAGTGACGCTAACAACATGTGGGGGTACGATACACACTATGCTCACGAACCAATTTAGGCTTCCCTAGACCCAACATTATGGTTTCGACGCTCCATCAAGAGTATATCAAGTGAGAAAGGAAAGCGATTGCCCATGACCATGCAACTTGACGCGAGCTTGGAAATCAGAACGCTGACGATCATGTCCCTCCGACCGAATCCGACACAACTAGACGGGCCGATTGCATAAGCAATGGCTGCAAAGCCACCCAACATGACATCTGATCAAGCTCCCAGGGCTTTGTAGATCTGCGTCTCAATGTCGAACCACAACCCAAGCACCTTGGGATCGCCAAACGGCAGGATCTGACAGCATACAATTCCGCCGACTCCCTTCTCTCTATCACACCACCACCAGCAATTCGGCAGACCGGCCCAGAACCCAGTACTCTTGGACCGGCCAGTCGGACCTCCGTTAGATAACATGAATGTCAGGCCCCATCCCTGGGGTGGATTTCCTTCGACAGGATATACGTCGGAAATAGGGTTTGTGAGATCGGGCTTGGCTGCTGGAATTCCCTGGCGACCGAAGTCAGGGAATTGTGGGATCTGATTCGTGAACATGAGGTCGACTGTCTCTTTCTTCAGCAGCTGAACGCCAGTTTTTGGTGATGTGCCGTCGTTGAGCAAGGTCGCGATGATTTCTATTCGCCGTTAGCCCGCTGTGATGTTAAGGGGATATGTTTGCAACCTACGTGCATAGTCCGACGGTATCGCGAAAGCACCTGCGCCTCCACTGTTGAGTATGTCGCTTATCTCATCAGTCTTAGCTCCCAAGACCTTGAGCATGAGGTGGTCGCGCTCAACCAGACTGCCATCGTGGTTTCGCTGGTGCATATGCGCTAGCCGCTTCTTCATGTCTTCGGTGGGAAACATGGTGATGTTCTTCAATCCCAACGGCTCGAAGATATTCTTGAGGCAGTAATCGTTCAGAGACAGGCCAGTCTTACGCTCGAGAGCCAGACCGGCGAAATCAATGTTTACACCGTATTGCCATCCCTCTCCCGGTTGGAAGGTCAGCGGTTGGAGGATATCTTTAACACTGCCCGAGAATTCGTTATGGAAGCTGTCTGGCGACGAAAAGTCGCGCAGTTGTTCGTTAAAGAAGGTATAGCCGAAACCAGCTGTTCACCATAGTCAGCAAGAAGACGCTCTAGTTTGTGGGAGTCACTCATACCAGTATGCGACAGGAGCATCCTCAGCGTAATCTTCCCTTTCTTCTCTGCCAGACTACCATCCTTCTGCAGCACTTTGGTTTCCTTCAACTCCGGAACCAAAGTCTCCATCTCGTCTCCATCATCCAAATGCAGCTTTCCTTGCTCAACGAGCTGCATGCAAGCAAGGCCAGCGATCATCTTAGTGCAAGATGCGATCCAAAACACGTTGTCAAGCGTCATGTTCTCGCTGCTTGCAGCTCCTCTCTTACCAGCGGCGTGCGCGAAGAGTTCTTTGCCATCTTTTCCCACAACTACAACACTGGTTCCTGGGATAGATGTCTTGGGATCCGCGCAGGCTGTGTCGACGGACTTTTTGAGATTCTGGACGACTTCAGTGGACAGAGGCATGATTGATTATTACAATGGTACGAATTCGAAAAAGGGCTTTATGCATTCAATGTCACGACAGCGAAGGCTCAACATGGTACCTCTAGTACACCTATATACCGGTACATCATGTGCGGCACCGGCAGTGCAATGGACCAACGGGCGTGCGGGGATAACTGGAATTCGGCGTCATGTCGGATACTGCCCCTCATGGTGTTGTCGCCTTGTTTTCAGCATGTTCCGAAGGAAGATCGTCGAAGCCTTCTATCTAAACCTTGAGATCAGTCCGTAGCCTTGAAAGTTTTTTTGAGGGGGTTCTAAGCACGAGGCGAGGAATGACGATGTACTTTGTACAGGCTGCCTAGGCGTGGAGTATTCCGTACACCTTGGAAAACGTGACGGCCGCCTTGGTACTAGCGTGACTAGCGCTCAACCGAGGCATCCACAAGCACTGGGGCCTGCGCCCACAGAAAGTCGCTCTCATAGAGTTCTGAATGCTCAGTCTATCCTAACTGCAATCAACATCAAACACCACGCGTGATTGCGGGATTTTTCTGCATTCGTTGAAGCTGTGTCGACTACAGGAAGATGGTAAAGCTTGGATGTTGACGTGGCAGCCCCGAAGAACGGCGCCGCCCTAGCATTACCAGACCAATTTGCGCACGTCTTTGGGTAGCCACTGGTGCTGTACCGACTCGCAACTCGCTGGTATGAAGCTGGACAATGTATGCGCGGCATTGAGAATCGCGCTCATGTTGAAAATGCCAGTAGAGAAGCGAAGCCCTTAATTACGCGACATGAAGAGGCTGGATTGTGTAGGCCGCCCCTCAGGGCTTGCGGCAAACTCATCGCGACGTTTGCTAATCGCGAGGTGATCAAACACTACAGAAATCGCGTATAGCGAGAACGAGGCTCTCTCAGAATTAGAGAGCATGCGGTATGCGGCTGTCATGGGTAGTACACATCGAATCAAAGATCTCTTCCCATGTTGTGCTCAAAATCCTGGTGGGTTTGACTGCACACGCAAGCGAAACGGCAACATAACGTGTACGCTCTTCCTCAATCCACCGCCAGGGCGATGGAATCAATGAAAAGCTCGAAAGCAGACCAGCAAAAATTGCCCCGCCGAGATCCCCGAAGGAAGCTCGTAACAGTCCCATACCGCGCTGTGCAATGCAGACGAGACTGTTAGATGAACCCAATCTTTGAGCTGGGTCATCGCAAGAAGGTAAGTATGCAGAATGACTTTCGAGCGAAGGGCGGTATTTAAGCAAATAGGGGAGGGGCCTGTGCAGAGTACATGTGACTTGTACACTAGGGGTAGGTGACCCTTGTATGGCTGGTGCGGAAATTGCTGCAAGGGGGCCGCATCTCCACTGCGTCCAGGTTACCTAAGCAACTCTGTTCCGTTTCTGCCGAAGGATCTATCGTGAAGATTCTCATCCAAAGTTTTCCCTGGCTCGTTCTTGGCCGGACGTCATCGACTGTCGACGACTGATGTCTCCAGGAAACGTTTTTCGCACGTCGGCCAAGGGTCGGCGTGTGCGATATGATCGAATACTTGGTGGATCAGATGGCGGAAATGATCGAGTATAAGTTGTGCAGTCCAACTGAGACAGGATGAGCAAATCTTGTCCCGGAAATCTCACACAAGATGCTTTGTGGCGGTGCATTGCGAATTCCTCTTCTTGTGCTTGCGTCGTGCGTTTCGCTCGGTAGAACAGCAACGCTCTTCACAGGCGGGACAGTGATAGGCTGGGATCGCTCTGCCAACTACCTCGATGTTATCCGGAATGGCTCTGTGTTAGTTGAGAATGACACAATAACAGCGGTTTTCTCTGGATCGTACAACGGAACTCTACCAGCCGACCTGGACGTCGTCGACGCTGCCAACGACATCATCTCCACGGGCTTTATCGACACCCACCGCCATAGCTGGCAGACGGCCTTTAAGACTTTGGGCTCGAATGTCACACTGATGCGATACTTCGAGCGCTATGGCACCGATTCGCCCGCTAATGCGCATCTTACGCCCCAGGATGTGTACATTGGCCAGCTCGTCGGGTTGTTTGAGGCCTTGAACGGCGGTGTCACCACCATTCTGGACTTCCCGCATTGCACATGGTCGGCGGCTCACGCTATGGCCGCGCTAGATGCGACGCTGGAAAGTGGTGTCAGAACTCAATTTGCATACTACTTCCAGGACTATGCGAACTTCACAGTCGATGGGCAGATTGATCTCTTCCGGGATCTAGTCGACGACGCGCGTTTCGACAGCTCGCCTACGGAGCTGGGCATCTCCTACGATGGCTTCTCCAGTTCTGACAGGAACCAAACGCGCACCATCCTTGACTTGGCGATGTTAGTATACGACCATAACAAACAAACACAAGGCTGATTCGTGATAGTGAAAAGAACGTTTCCGTAGTCACCACCCATGCGAATGGCGGCGTCTATGGCGCCCCAAACTTTCCTGAGGTCTTGGACGGATTCGACTTCCTCAATCAATCTATTCCCATCGTCTTCGCACATGCCAGCTATCACAGCGCAACAGATGCGCAACTGCTGCGTCAGTACAACCACTACATCTCCACCACCCCAGAATCGGAGATGCATTACGGTCACCTACATCCCAACAGCCATCTCACCCTAGACCAGGAGGCTTTGGGTATCGACACGCATTTTACCTTCTCATCAGATATCCTGACGCAGGCACGATTGTGGCTCCAGAGCGTTAGGAAGATCTTCTACCGCGAAGTTGTTGATCGACGCCGCCTTCCCGCCAAGAACCCCATGTCCGCCAACCAGGCCTTCCTTCTAGCGACTCGTAACGGAGCACTCGCATTGCGACGATCGGACATTGGTGTTTTGGCGCCAGGAGCCAAAGCAGATCTTCTGGTGTGGAATGGCCGCGCTCCTAGTGTACTTGGCTGGGCCGACCCAATCGCTGCGATCATGCTACATGCGAACGTGGGAGATATCAAGCATGTCATGATCAATGGAAAGTTCAAGAAGCGAGACGGACAGCTGACCGTACCTGGGTACACGGCGCTGCAAGAGCGCTTTTTGGAGAGTGCGAAGAGAATTCAAGATATCTGGAGGCAGATGCCGCTACCAATTACAGAAGGTGAGGCGGAAAATGGGGTGCCTTTCGAGAAGCCGATGATGGCGGATGTCGAGAGAGGCGAGGGAACTGGGTATGGTCCTCTGTACGTCTAATTAGAGTCCGGGATGCGCGCTACTGATAGATAAACACTGGTAATTTTAATAGACAATAGAGCATAAACGTGAGAAAACACTTTTCCTCACCATTGCCATCCAGGACCCTGCCTCAAATCTTCCTGTTTTCCACACGAACCCATTTCTCCACACCTCATACTTCCCCCTTGTCTTCCTCCAGCGCGAGCTTCTCCTCCCTACCCGCACTACCACCATCGCCCTCCCTCTTAACATGCTTCTTTTCCCTAGTATCCGCGCCCAGCCAAAGCAAGTCGGGCCTGGAGTAATGGCCCACAGCGTCCGCGAACAGTCTTATGCTAATCAACTCATCCATGTCTAAATCGGCAAACACGAAACCCTCTACATCCATACCAAGAGGCTCCGTCATCCTCCGCCCGTCGGGCCCATACACAGCCGAATCGCCACCGCCAATGTGGCCGAAGAGCGGGTTGCCTTCGACACGGTGGGCGGTAATGCCAGCAGTCGAGATGGTAGGATGGCAACATAAGACGAAAGTCGAAGCTTCTATGGCGTGGACGCGAGAAAGAGCACTAGCGCCTTGAAAGAGGAGATCGGTTAGTTCTTCCATACGAGACAAGTGAGAAGGGTGTAAGAGAGGGAAAAATTGGCTAAGGGAAAAGAGTCTTGGAACCCAGAAAATGGAATAGCGGCTTGTGTGTTGGTAACAAGGCTATCATACATACCTTCAGTACTCATACCCCAGGCCACCTTATTTTCAACCCCTTTCTCCGCTAAATGCATAGGCGGCCACGCCGCAACATGGATCTCCTCATGCTGGCTATTCGTGTGATACTTAAGAAGCGGTTGCATGTGCTCCCAACAATTCAGTCCACCGACTCGTCCGATGCCCTCGACCTCTACCACGTTGTTGAGACTGGTACCGTCGCCGTCCCCATACACGGTGCGCTCCATATGCGTGGGTTTGATTTTGCGTCGCTTCATCACGATGGTACCCGAGGCGTTGATGATGCATTGCGCTATGTATAGACTGTTGTGGTCGTTTTCGCTGAAACCGAGGACTACGGCGATACGAGCTGTGCGGGCTGCAGTGCAAATCCTGGCCATCTCGGGGGAGTCATACGATAGGGAGTTTTTGACGTACTTGGTCCCGAGCTCTACATCCATGGGACGCTGCCTGTGTTATTTCCTCATGTTAGTAAACCGCAAACGTATTGATGTGTGTTTGAGCCATCGCTGTTGCTGCTGCTGTCCAGCATATCCAACCTCATGGATGTGACAGAAGAAGACAAAAACTGAGAAGGCAAACAAGAATACACACCAGATCCAGGCCGGATATCCTGGAATCCAAACCTCAGGAAAAACAACTAATTTCGCATCTTCCCTTGCTGCCTCGGCGATCAATTTGCAAGTCTTATCCACCGTAGCTGTGAGATCGAACCACACAGGTTCATGTTGCGTGACTGCGACTTTGACAATCGAAGACTTCGACATCTCTTCTGTTCGGTCGAGGTTAGAAGCTGCTTAGTCGACACGAATAGAGGGGACGACTTCAAGTTATTCACAAGAAATATGACAGCGCAACTGATTACACGGCATCGGGACCTGCATAAATAGTCAAATGGAAGACACTAACACGAATCCATGCTGACGCGGGGTAAAAGAAAGGGCGGATCAGGACGATAGTGAGAGTAAGAACGAGGGAAGACATGCACATGTGGATCGCTTTTCAAAATAGCTCAAACAAGGTACGATAGGGGAGATCTCGGGAGAGGACAATGTTGTAACGACGGGTCTGATTCCGAGATAGTCGGAGAGATAGGTTCCCACGATAGGCTGCAAAGCGCGGGGTACGCTTGAAGTTACTCGAATACAGCGTTGTGATCGATCGGCTTGCTAGCATTTGTCATGTTGAGATGCGGACCGCGGAGTTGCGCCTCTTCGAATCGTTGTCTGCTTCATTAGAGCTAGAGCTTTAGGTTGTTCGTTCGCTATCGTTATCTTGTAATGTCCTTTTCGAAACTTGCCGACTTGGCATCTTTCTCGATTAGATGCCGACGAAATCACGCGAGACGGCAGTTCGGCATTATTCCGCACCTGTTCCACGAAGACATCGGTACGCAATGGAGTACTTCCGCACGTTCTCACTTCCCGCCATGGAAGCAGTAAATGGGAAGAACGAGATTCTTCTCGATGGATGATCTACGCATAAAGTGCAAATTTCGATATCGGGGAAATGGTAGATAGCATTTATGCCATCAACCAAGCTGATTTGGTTTGATCCAGTGGTTGTGGTGAGTACAAAGGCACAACGTGAGAGTGCCGTAAGTGGGATCGGGAGAACCGGTTTGTGTGAGAGTGCTGTAATCATTATTTTGGGCTCAGCTCACAGGCAATCCCAGAAACATTATATTTTCAGACAACACTCCACTAGTAAGCATAGGTATCGTGTGCGAACACGCCGCTCCAGGCTCATTAAGTCTTTGGTACGGCAGAAACAGCCAGACAGGTGCAGTGCAGAACGCTGTTTTCAATGCAGTTTTCAAGTACGCTTTTGGCGCCTACGGGTAAGCTGTTGAATGTAAAGTTCAATGAAGTGTACCATTCAACCTCCTAATATACTGTACCTTCACAATCCATATCTTCTCGGTAAATGCTGGTATCACAGTGGCACGGAAGGTACAACATGGTGTGTTCTTCTGGCCAGGGCAGCTGTCATATCTCAACTACCGAAAGACGCCATGGGAAACATGTGAATGTTTGCCATGATAGAACTTTTCGACAGCGTGTTCTGCGTTCTTACCATCGCGTTGCTACAAAGGTGAGTATAGTAACGGAGACCGACAAAGCTGAATAGGGGCTGTAGCATTGCTTTTGCTACTAGCGAAATCGACGAGCAAGGCTGAACTCGCCAAGGACGCCATGCTCCGATCGCTCGTCGTATCATAATGGAATATTCTTACTGACTTCCTGACCTATGTAGAGCCGATTGGTTCTGGGTCTCCAATGCTTGCTAGCCCTAGAGAATCGGCTTCTCATTCGTGATCGACCTAGAGCTGCAGTGTAGTTGCTCGCCGGAGATAGTAAGAATTGGCGAAAGGCGCCTCTAGATGACAGCCTTCTCCCTTATCATATGACAAGTTCAAATACCGTATCTTGATGTGGTCGGTATATCTTCACGAAGCCCCAAAGCGTTTCACATCCTTCTTCTTCGAACGTATCCTTCTATGCACACGTTATGATTAGTGGCCCACGATGGTTATTTCCAGCCATCGAGCAATACTCCTCCACTCATTATGCTTCATTATCTGCCTCTCCATCGTGGTAGCAGAAACTTACACCAACGCAGCATGCAACGCCGTTGAAGCCACGATGGGCTCATGCGCGCAGCGCTGGGATAGTATCCGCACCGAATGCACCAATTCTGTAACCACAAACACCATTTGGCCTGGGCCGTGCGAATGCTCTTACTATGCCAACGATCTGCCTTGTTTTGACGAGCAGGCGGCATGCGCGAACCAAGTTTGGACACAGCTACCGCAGTGGTTTCGAGACGGTGTTACAAGCTGTTTGATGAAGGATGAGAGCTATACTATAAGAGCGCAACTTGGTTCGGTGGAAAATCCATTTTCGACGACAGGTATTGCGGGCAATGTCACTCGGGCTACAGCAGCACAGACCGGTAGAATGATTTCGAGTCCCACGGTGAGCTCTACGACAGGTAGTTTCAATGTGCCCTCAGCTACGACGAACAGCCACAGTACGATATACACACCTCTTTCAACGAGTGCAACAGTTTCAGGCATTCAGAGAGCGTCCTCTAGTGGCTTTTCGGCTGGCAGCAAAGCCGGAATCGGAGTCGGTATCACTATCGGAATCCTCACCACCATCGCTCTCGCCGTATGGCTTGTTAAGAGGAAACGGAGATCACTTTCGGACGAAGCCACCGAGACTGAGTCTGGAACTGCAGAGCTGCATAACAAAGATGTGAAGATATATGAGACCGAGGTTGAAACGTACTCAAAGCACGAATTAGCTGCTGGCTCAAGGCCCGAATTAGGTGGAAATCCGCGAAGCGAGCTTGATGGAGGTGCAACGAGGGAGATACCAGGAATTCATGCGCTTCATGAAGTAGATGGACAGGCGATGGACGGACCAGGTGGAAGATTTACGGAAAGACAGGATTAGTAGGTTGGCTGAGAGCCGTTGCCAAAGGTGCCTGAACATGTGGTCGTCGGCTGTGATTCCTTTGTATATTATGGCAATAAACCCTCAGAATAAGATACTATTCGAAGAAGGCGTTCTTGGTTGTTGCATCCAGGCTTATCTGGAAGGCATGTTGAAATCTGAGTCGTCGGAAAAAAGGCGATCGTCGGGTGAAGTGACAAGAAGAATGGCAAAAACATATAATTGTAGGGGTTCGATAGTAGTCATCCACCCAACTACTGATCAGGCGCATCGAAATATGTTACATGTCCGATAGTATTCAGTGTATCTAAAGATATTCCTACGTCTTGCTCGACTGACCCGAATGAAAACGTTTGAACCCCTCGGATCAGGCAGTCTACTCAGAACTAGGTGCACTGGGCGAAATCTCCAGCACCTTGGCCGTCTGCATTGTCTTGGTGGTACACAGTGAAGCAGTACGTGAACTGATTGTTGTTCCTACGAGCGAAGACGACCTGCAGCATGATAAGTCCAAGAAGTACATAGGTAGGATGAGCATTGTAGTACTTACTCGATCTGGTCCTGCGTTGGAGTCATCCCCGAATGGAACTTTACCACGCAAGATGGGGAACTCATTCCATTCTATGAGATCGGGTACGTTGCAGTCAGCTGGCACCGGGATGTTCTGGTAGTTGCCGTAATAGGCCGGGTACTGTTTGCGAACTCCTTGACTGTCTATATATCTCCTGTGAGCTATTGTGTTTGCGCCATGATATCTCATGATGTATCCAGACACATACTTGGTTTACCTGTAGCATAGTGAGGTGGTGGTTGCAAAAGCCCGACGGCAATATTGTAAGCGTCTTCGATCTCCTTCACTGAATATGTCGCTTCAGCAGCGTTGTTTACCGTAGGACACTTTACCGAAACAATGTCCGCTCGTGCAACTAGCGCCTTGTTGCCGTCGGGGTTCAGAGGCAGGGGGGTTGCAGCCGCAAACGTGGCGAGTGAAGCGAAAAGAACAGCGATGATCTGCATGGTTGCAATTGATAGTCTTGATGTTTTCAGTTTGTGTTGGGGGTCATTCAATCGAGCAAGCGGTTCAGTGCCTTAATAAGTGAAGTCGTCCAGGGCTCACAGCAATCCAACATGTCCTTCTATAGTACCCACAGTCCTTCAATAGTACCCACTGCTATTTCCGTTTGTCTTAATCTGTCTCTTATTCCATGGATGTCCTTCGGCTTATAGCTTACCCGCGGAGCTTGGCAGATGTCCTTCAGTCGATCCTCAACCAATGGGTTACAATCGCTTCACTCTGAAAGTGTTAGACTTTCATACTGCCTACCATATCAGGCGGAAAGTGCATAGCCGATCGATACGTCGGATGGGCATTAGTCAAACTGTCTTACGGTAGTTCTCTGCATTTGTAACTTCGATTTTAACGGGACCTTGTATGTTCGTCCTCGGAGTTTGTATTTTGGTACCCTTGAGCTTAATCGCCCTGCCCAAGAAATGTGGTTTTCAGCGCGAACAAGTTTTGCATTCATTGAGCGTTTTCATTCTTCTGCTGTCTGTGGTTCACCATACACCCTATCCATATATTATTGAGAGAGCGAACGACTATACACATGTGTTGGGTGAGAAATGATAGGGAATAGTGATGAAAGAGACAATCAATGATTCTTCAAGGCACAGACTTCGTTAAGAACATCATTTGACACGACTCTAGTAAGACCTCCCTAGAAAGGTCCATGTTGGAACTTTCTCAACCTTGCGCGGCGATCAAGTCGTCAAGAGCTGCTGTAGCCTCGATTGTAGCATCCATAGCCCTTTGGTCCGAAAGTCTCCCAGCTTCTCTGAAGTTCTGAAACTGGCTTCTCCAGAATTGTAGCCGTTTGACATCCACTGTATTGGTACCGCCTTTAGCCTCCCATAGGCTGCCAGAAATGTAACTATACTTGGTGGAAGGCGACCCTGCAGCTATTACTTGTTTGCCCGCGATCACCAACCAAGCAGCCGCTGCGCGAACTGCAAGATGTGCATCTCGATCGTAGTTCGTACCGGGACCATGCTCCAGGAAAGCAAATGTTGCAAAGGCAAAGTCGACACAATTGCACAGTGGAGATGTTTGTGGCGGATCTCGTCGCGCTATGAGAGCAGCGAATGTGTTGACGTTGGTGTACATGTCTTCGGATTGGCAAGATGGTACCTGGTCATCATCGTGTCCATTGCCAGAGACCTGGCGGAATTGAAGGGGCCCGCTACGCAAATCGTTCCCAATGCCAGAAGTAAGATATGGCAACCCAGACCATAATTCTGCTCTGGGTTGAGAGTGCAGCTTGATTATCTCCCCAGGTTGAACAGCGACAGAACCCTCTTCAAACACCATCGGTTTGCCTGTATCGTTATAAACGTCGGGTAGATTGGCGAGTTCGACTGTGAGATCTGCCAGAATCTCGAGATGCTTCTGAGACGAAAGCTCCCGTGCGGCTCCGAATAGAACGGAGAGTACGTCGCCATAGGCACTGGAAATGTCATAGCAGGTATCACGATCTGGTACTGAAAGCACCCAGTCGCTGATTCGCTTTGCTGCCGTTCTTGCAGTGTCGTTTTCGTCCAATACGTCTGTGTAGATCTGTAACAACGCCAGCTGGGAGGGTGCAGGCTTAGGAAATTCCTCGAATTCCGCAGAGGCATCCACCTTTCGTTGACGCAATTCGTGGAAGATTGCGAGCTGCTGGAGTTGTCTCTCTTTCCACTCTGCAGTCATTATTGTCGCAAAGCTTCACCCGAACGATGGCGTGAATGGGGTAGAGAAGGTCTAAAAGCGTCGTAAAGGTGAGTATCTAGGTAGTGATAGATGGCAGATGCGGATCGACCAACTGATCACAGCCTTAGCCTTGTAAACGACACCGAAGGCAACAACGTCATCCATAGGCATGAGCTTCCCCCACTGGTTCAAACTAGGCGAGAAGAACTTGCCGGACTCTGAGGGCTGCCCGATCATTGCCTTAAGCTTGGCGAGTGCTCTAGGTTGCAACGTGAAGAACAATGGCAGGATGGTCGATCCTGATTGAGGCGAACTTACGCCCAACTACGTCGCGCTCATACGACCGACAGCGACACCAGAGATCATCGATCCGTCCACAGGCTTGTGGCAGTTCCACGCGGGTTGATCGCGATTACTCTTTCCAATGACCGTGACGGTGTTGTACAAATATCCTGCCCCTGGCGTGCACACCACGCTGGAGGCCTTGCAGATACCGGCAACGTCCGTAGCAAGGGCGGGGGTCTTCTCGTGCCGATAGCCATAAGCACCGGGTAGCGGCATAACAGGGAGCTTCGTATTGGTGAAGATTGCTGTTCTCGTACATTATGTTGCAGAACGCCTTTTGTCCTGCTGATGGAATGTCAGACCTAGTATGGGTTAGAGAAAAGCGGGGCGCCCCTTGAGAAAGGATGACGTAGAAGGAGCATTGACCAGTAATATCTAGTTGCAAGAAACAGCAGCTTACTTGGGTATAACAGCACCAAGAACAAAAGGGGGACAAGCTGATGCGAAGCATCGCCAAGGCTATTCCGCTTAATTCACTTCGCCTACTCACACGATTCGACGTTCTGTGGGGCGAAAATGAGTGCTATTCGGGTAAGGATATTGCGTGACATTTGACAAGAGAGGCTTGGCGGGGAGCCTGAGAACCAACACTTCCTGACCGGAAGAAGACTACCCAGTTAGACAGAATCCGATACACTACAAGTGGGACAGCACGGAATGTCACCCGGGCGGCATCGGGTATTGCTGGGCCTGCAGGTTGCTGATAATACAACCGGACTGATGGACGCCTTGCGTTCATGATATTGCGACCAATACTACATCACTTTTAGATCTCTGCGTAGTAATGTCTATCAACGATCTACCTAGACATGCCTATGTAGGCCGACCCTTCTGCTATATAGCGAGACGATTGTTCTCTGCATAGACTAGAACAGGAAATATCATCGAATCACCGGGTCGGATCGTCGAATTCCAGGATAATCCAGCATGGACCAACTATGTATCTCTTGTGCTTGCAAGATCATCCCGGCATCAAGTACACTACTACCTGATGCATCAGGCCTTGAAGACATAGCTGCACTCGAGGCCTATCGACCTAGTGTGCTCTTTGGGGATCTTGACACAGCACACGATGACTCGCAAACCGCACAATTTCCATGGAACATAGAGGACTCTTGGTCGACCAAACTTTGGCAAGACTGTCCAAATTTGACAGATTCTTCGCTCAGATCTCCACGATTCCCAGCGATCAACCATGTACCTTATGGCGAGAACCTTGGCCGCAAGGAAGACTACTTGGATATCCCGGCGTCTCCCTCTTATAGTGTCATAGAGACTAGCAGGCCGCCATCCCTTGGTGTCAGGAAGCCTGCGACAAGTAGCAGCGTTGATTACCGATGTTACGAACATGGATGCGGAGGGCGACGGTTCTCTTCGTCAGAAAACTACAGGCGTCATATGCGAGAGCGCAGCCGCTCCGATGCGACAACATGCCCTTTCTGCTTCACTCTCTTCACGCGCAAAAGCAACAGGGATAATCATGTGCGTAAAAGGAGGTGTAAAGGCTGGAATAAGGTGTCATCTGAGAGAGTCGACGCGCCGTCAAGTACCCAGTTGACGAGTGTTCGCCTCAAAAACACTACAAAGCCACTGACATAAAGTAAGCGTTGGTTCTGGGCAACGGATGTATTTGGGTGATGTGCAGGTTTGCATCATTAGACAGGTGTGAGCGATTGGAGTGTCTGGTAGACATATTAAGTCATCTTGTTGATGGAAGTTGACTCTGACTCAGTTTCAGTCCCATAGAGGTGTCTATCATACTTGATGCAGAAATAAGTTGTTTAGTAACTCCTAGTTCATGTTATCTACAGTTCGTCTACTGTCGGCTCGGCCTGCAACCAGTGCAATTTTTCAATGTCGTAACGCTTTGGGGTCATCAGAAATATGAAGCAGGGTGTAGATATCGCGCTACATGTTGGAACTGCTCCGTTCGCTCTAGCGCATTCCCTCGCTGTCTGATGACCTGTGTTTGGTCTTCTGCGCCCTACTTCGCTTTTGCCTTACACGGTGTTCCTTTCCCGTGCAACCGCATATGTTCACTTGCATTGTCCAGCATGTCCTTCGAGATTACTAATGATATCACTCTCAACGCCCTGTCCTTCGGGCATGTCCTTTCAACGTCATAGTTCTTCCTATCCTATGAGCTTCCAAACGCGATTCAGCCGATTGATCCAAGATGCCTCAGTAGTGGACACCGGTTTACAGCAAATCGTCATCATGGCGAACTATACTGAGCTACTGAAGGGTATATAATCCGAGGCCTCTGCACTCAATTATGACTTGTTATCCAACATTACAATTGCAAAATCTACTTCAGTCACAACTTAACTACTTCGTACATATCTATCACCATGAAGGTATCAAGCGTTCTCACAGCATTAGTCACCCTTCTGCCGCTGATTAACGCCCTGCCAACAAAGTCCAGCTTGGCTGAGACCGCAGTAAGTGCTGCCATCTAATTGCTTTGCTATTGTCCGAGGCTGATCTTAGACCTTGACAGAAAAGCATCTTCGAGAGGCAGGCCTCATGCACTGACATTACCTGCATCAAAGACACTGATTGCTATGGTAATCGCTGCGGGAACTGCAACGTGGATATCGGATATTGTACCTGTCCACCAGAGGCCGAGGGTGGACCTTGCTAGATTGATTTCGTACGCTAATACGAGCTATACGGTCTTTGGAGGTAGCTAGAATTTCTCCTTCCATAGAAATCGGGCTAATGCTTACCTAGGTAATGATCTAAAGCTTATCTGACAACCGGAACGAAGAGCTGTAGTGACTGAGAGAGCTTACGGAACGCAAAACATGTAACCAACATTCACTTCTTTAGCTCAATATCATCGCTTACGAAATTCGGCGCGTAATACGCTCATTTCATTAGCTATTTCAGTAAATGCGATATGCATCTTACGTCTCACCATTTGCAAAGTTGAGTTCTCGGACGGAACAGTGGAGTCGTACGCGCTCGGAACTTTCCTGATGCGCTATACATGTACTAACTATGCTGAGATCTGGTATGAAGTGTTGATTTCAAGGCGTTCATGTTTAGAGGCAGTTGCCTCGGCCTCGGGTCAGATCTCTCGTATTACCCTACCGTAGCCCTGCACCGAGGTACTTCAGGTTGCAGCTTAGAAATAACACCAACATAGACTTCCTCCTTTCACACATAGAAGGAACAGGCTTGGTTCTTGACGCTGATTACGTTCGTCGTATTGGTCTAGTACGACTAGGTGACCCGACTCGGACGACACCTGGGACTGAGCCACAGCAACATCGGGCAAGAAGGACTCAAGATCTCCCAAGTCCATCGAGGATATCGACATACCAGACAAAAAGAGATCAAGAAAGAAGAAGATTAGTTAAAGGAGGCACGCGAGGCTACAAAGAGCAAGAGAAAGGATATAGAACTAGTAGTTAGAGTTTTGAAGTAATAGAACCTAGCAGACGCAGAAGGTTAGAGGTTTCTACGCGCCTACTTAGCAAGAAGACAGCAAAGGTAGAAGAGGTAGGTAGAGAAAGAGGTAAGGTTCTTAGGTAGTGAGAAGAACGCTAGAGTTAAAGCTAGAGAGGGCGGTAGAAAATAGACAAATCGGAGTTGATGCAATTAGTGATTTGGGTTGTTTTGCAGATATATTGACTGGCGTTCCCAAGGTATGTTTAATTCCACTGTGTATAAGCTAGCATCCGGTCAGGAAACGTCAGACTGGAGACATCCGGTACGGCGAAAGACGTGGAAAGGTTTACATCCACAGCAGCTGGAGGACGTAGCAAAAAAAGATGGACATTGGCTTATTTTATTGTGCAAAAATAAGAAACAAAACATACAACAGCGGGGATTCGCTAGTGGTCACCCACCTAACTACTAATCCGCCGGTACACTGCTTGTATATGGCTGAGCGGACGGGAAGCCTAATTTTCAGTGTCCTATGGTCGTATGTGCAAGAATGGGGAGTTCTTTTAGATATATAATCGGTATAGGCAAGTTTCTGGCAACGAGCAGCGACTGTTGGACATATTCGAGCTTGGCCAGCACTTTGCACTAATGTCCCCTTCTCTTATCTTCACGATCTCGGGCATAGTGTCATGTAAGACGATGTTTGGAAAGCTGTAAAGTGGTGGTGGTAGGCGCGGTGTGGCGAAGGTTTGTAGAGTGCGGAGTGCGAATTGGTTTGGTGACGTAGTGGATGTCATACCATGCAGTTACCCGAATGGACATACTCGTCTGAGTGCACAGTTGATGTTGAGAGCTAGTGTGTGAGCACGGGAGACAGTGTAAGATGACACGTGTTGTATACCCATAGTCAACGACGCAAAAGACGACTGCGGCACAGCCGAGAGGCGTCATCTCGACCCACTGGCATTATTACGTCGGACCTTAAAACCGAACGTCCTAGACACGACACCATATTTTCATGGACCACAGCGATTTTGTCGTAGTATGCCAGATGCATCGCCATGGACGATGCGAAGACAATGACGTCGGGTAGGCGCGATGCACGCAGAGCGTGTCGCGTGCGCATGCAGGTCCAACGCATATGATCGCCGCCGCTAGGCACCAACGCCACGATATCGCACCCTTGCCACTTTCCACGATCTAGGCCAGCACCGCCACACCTCTCACTGCTATTCTTGTCATATTCCATCCGGTTTCCACACCATCCCATCTCCATCCTTCCGCCCTTCCGCCCATTCAGCTGCCTACCAGCGGTAAAATACGGCACATCAGGCATCAAGACGCGTAACATGTCCCACCGAACGCGCTAACACGCTGTCACATGCTTCATCAGGCGTCCAATCAAGCTACGGCAACGACGTTGTTGGGCAGTCGGGTGGGAGTCATTCTTCGTTCCCGACTCTGAAAGCTCCAGCGAGACATGGCCACAATATTTCTGTTGGGTCGGAACGTGGGCGAGAAGGCAAACAGGTATTGGGTGATTTTCGTTGGCTCCGTTCGGAGTCCGTCGGATCACCAATTGAAGAAGGCAACATGATGAGAAATGCCGACGAGACAATAAGCCGGACACTGCGGATTAGGAGGTGAAGAAGTCTGCAACGGGTATCGATGACGCCATACTATACCTAGATAATGTCGCCATGTACAGTCGTATCTCGTACTCGGATACCATGCCCATCACGGGCATTATAGCGGCGCGGTTGCCTGGGCATATGCGAACGTCTGTCTAGGCAGCCAGTGCACGCGCCCTTTTGTTACCAAGGTTCGCGGCTAAGGCAACCTCACTAGATACGGCATACGGGAACGCGCTGCGAACAAGGCTAGAGTGTACATCGTTATTGGGGGCGGAAAGCCAAAATCAACAACAACTTCACGCAATGAAAGACGGGATCATGTAGAATGCTACAACTGGAAGCAGTAGGTATATGGTCCGTTTTCTGATTATGAGTGGCATATTCTATCTACTCTTCTCCGATCTGAGTGAGGTATCATCCATAACTTCCTCTATGTCCTTCTCCTATCCGATCCATCGCAATCTTTGGTATCATAGCTTTCGTAGATGAGCATGTACCAGCCATGCTCAGAGTGCGCATATAGTAAAGGAAACATTACAGTTTAGAGTGATACAGAAAAACGCTCCAGTAATATGTACAGTGAGCGACAAGTTATGAAACAGAGAATGAGGCAACGAAAGTGCGCCGTAAAAATGCACCTAATGACCTCAACATGAACAGTGCGAAGAGACCCAAAAGCAGCTGATCATTGCCTGTGACTCTGTTGCAGAGCCATGACAGCTTGCTCTAGTTGCCGTAATCGTGAGTCCTTTTCCTCATTCTCCTGTCGAAGACGCTTGATTTCAGAGCGCATCTCATCGTTGCCACGGTCCGAGATACCAGAGTCAGAGCCTACTCGCTTGCGCTTGAGACTCAGATCCTCCTCCTCGCGGTACTCCATGGGTCGGTTGTAAGGTGACTCCGAGGCTCGTGACTCAGCGATAGGTGAACCTTCCATCTCACGCCTGACCATGTCGCGGCGGATTATCAAGCCATGCATGTCTGCTGACATTGATGTTCTCCGGTGTACGCGGCGAACATGCTCAGCCAGGTTCTCCTTCCGCGTGAAGCCGGCGCCTGAGCTGCGTTTGCAGTCGTGGAAGGGGCAGAAGAGAGACTTCTTGGTACCGCCGTGCATCTTGTGAACTTCACGTTCGTGGCGAAGAAGGCCGCCGCTGTAAGTGAAGCCTTGAAGTTTCTCGCAACCCTTGACGTTGCACTTGTAAGGTCGGTCATGTTTGTCCATGTGTTTGCTGTGGTAAAATTAGTCAGAGATTGCTGTTAGAGTGGGACTTGGAATTACTCACCTCCATTCGCATTTTCGGTCGAAAGATGTACCCCGGCATTCTTGATACTTGCATACCATCTTGCCGTCTTCATTGCGCGGCGGTTCTTCGGCGCGTTTGTAGCTGTGGTTCTTCCGTAGTGATCCGTCGTCGTCGCCATCTTGTGAGGAATCCACAGAAATCCCTCTGCTGTGACTTCTTGGTGGGCTTGTGGTTATGATCGGTCGTTCGCCAGCAGTTGGAGATGTTAGAGGAGACCGAGGGCCGACCATGCTGACGGGGGTAGGCATGTCGGTAAGTGAGTTGATGGAGATATTCCGCTTGTGCTCGTGCGGAACTTGCATAGGAGTGGGATTTGGAGATAGTTCAGTCATGATGTTCTGGTCGTAAATGTTGAAGAATTGGGGGTTAAAGCACTGTTGCTGGGCCTCAGGTTGGCGATTTGGTCGATATATACCAGAAGACGCGAAGTCAGTTTGTGGCTGAGCAAAGAGATTGCTTTCCGCCGCTCCGGTGACTCTAACTCTCGGAACTTGAGTAGATGTGATCAGATGACGCGGACTGTCTTGAGGTGGCAACGAATATGGGTGCCAAGAATTATGGTGGTCGGAGCCCAGATGCGGAAAGGCCGTTAGAGGTGGCGCAGCAATGCCTGGATCTTGAGGCAAATAAAAATTAACGGGCGAAACTGCCTGATAGTCTTGGGCGGCAGGGCGATAATAAGTATCTGGATTTGGATCTGTTAGCTGCCGCTACCTAGGTATGGATTACTCCAGCCTGAAACCTGGGTAGGTAGACGTTCGTGACTCAACTCAAACCAACACGGGACACTAGGCACTTACCTGGACGCGGCGATGGCTCCGCTCCTCCAGCCTGACTAACCCTCAAGACTGGCAGCCTGCTCGTGAGACCATCCGAACTCAGATCGGGCTCCCAGGTTTCCGTGTTTCGTGCCTGGAACAGATCATGGCCCACATTCACGTTTGTCGCATGCGTCGCATGCTGCGGTTGTTCGCCAATCAGCTCACGGCCGAGGCTGAGGTCTGTAATGCGTTAGCACCGCTTGACTGGACAGCCACAAACTTTAACCACTTGTCCACCTGAGTAGGAAGCCTCATTGGGCGAGGAGAGATGTAACACGTACAGTCTGACGATGCACCTGTATCCCACGAAAGATTGAGGTTTTGTAGCACTGCGTCGTATCGCACGCGATCTTTGTTGCGATTCGTCTGTTCGTCCAGAGTTTTCTCATAAAACATCCAGCACACTCCCCATAGCACAGCGAGCGAGGGTTTGATGGTCCATGGAAAGGTGCTGAGAGCTTGCGGCTTCTCGGCGAATTCAGTGAACCATGCTAGTAGTTTGCGCTGCTTCTTGTCATGATCGCCGTCGAGCAACTCCTTGAACGCCTTCTGCGCCAAGGCTTCAATGAGGTCTGTCTGCAGTCGCAGCAACAAATGTTCATAATTGGCAATGAAGTTCTCGTCAAGGATAAGTCCAGCGTCAAGCCCTTGGGCCAAGAGCCAGTCGTCACCATACTGCCGGCGACACTCCGCAAGCACGTTGATCGCTTCGTGTACTGCCACGAGGATCTGTATCGTCTCATTCAGGGAACAAGCCTCAAAGATCGGCGTATTATGGTGTTTGACGAAGAGTTTGTTACTACCCGCAATAGACGAGAAGGTGTTTCCTGCGGCATGGAGCTTGCCGTCGACCGAGCGAAGCATACTAGAGCCGCAGGTTTAGTAGTTGAAACTAAACAAAAGTTTACGTGAACGTACTGTTGCACCTCATCCCCTAGGTTTCGACTTGCGGGAGCAGCCGAACCCGGCGTCTGCAGCTTGCGCGACGATCGCTTCAACTCCGGATTCTTGTGCTGACTCTTGCAGATGCGATGGGCGACACGACGCGACTGCTTCGCATCCTGGACGCCGATCCGCGATAGACCGTTGGCAATACTTCGGAGGCTTGGCGAGAGTCTGCTGCCAAGGGCGTTCGCATCAATTGAGCCATCGAGCACGCGCGGCTTGACACGTCGACGAAGCTGTTTGACAAATTGTAGAATCCTAAAGGTGAGGATGATGCTCGTTTGCTTGCTGCGTTGTTGGATCGCCATTGCTAAGCGAGACGGGCGGTCCGAAGACGTAAGAAGAGACGTGTACGCAACCTTCGCCGCTTAGGCTCATGGCTAGTATGTATACTTGGAACATCCAAGGGCGGAGCAGACTGGAAAGTGCCTGCCGGTGAGCCTGCCTTCGTGAAAGGGGAGTGTCAAGCCACGCTGTATGGCCACACCCTGCGTGATTCGCCAGTTGACAGCTTGTTGAAGTGCACAGCCACGCCAGCCTGCCGCGTCTTGGTCTGGGGCATCAACGCCAGACCCGAGACCACCTCTCTCGTCCTATCGTTTCTTCAGCCTGGCGAAAGACAAGGTCACGCATTGTATCGGTGGTGTGGCGCAGCCGTTCTATCTGTCCTGCACGAGAGCTCTATAGGTAGGCACCTACGAATGTGCCGTGTTGAGGTCGCTTGACCGCCATAGTTTTGTCGCTGCCTTGAGAGAAGCCTGTGTTTTTCCAGAACCGGTGTCTTCTTCATGCGAAACTTTCAGAAACCATTAGGAAGTATCGTTGACCGCTTGACGTATGTAATCCGATTCGGCGGGATCTGCGGCCAGGATGTAACGAGGCTCCCCCGCCATGATGGTGCAGCACCCTTCCGAAACGAGCTGGAACATGGATTCTGCGTAATGTCTCATCACTGGATGTGATTGTGGGTGATGTTCGGATTGAGAGGGCGGAACTAGAAAGATCATAGCATTGGGTGGTTATGATAGTGGCGTGGAAAGAAGAAAGTGCTCAGGCATAGGACATGCGATACCCTCATTGTCCTCCAGGGCTTCGTCTCCCAGATGGATGCAGTGATCTACTAGCTCTAACTATAGGTGTTGGTCAAGTTGACACACTCCGCCCGGGCAGCATCCCAGTATATAACCCGGCGTCACACGAAACATTCCCACAACTCCATGCCGAAACATCGCGACATGTTCGCACCGAGTTCAAGTCCGGATGTCCGGTTGTCCAAATGGAGACCATGTGTGCGAACCTCCAAGCGCGGCCTCAACGGCTTCGGAAGCTTGTTTCCTTCAGGCATTGCATGAACAAGTTTTGAATCTTTGGGCGGAGAGTTAGCTACCGAAACCTGAGAGGCCTCAGGCGAGCATTGTGTCAAACACGTGCCGGGGCGCAGTATTACAATTCCTGCAACTAGCTCGCACTCGTCTCTCCATTTGTCGATGGTTTGTTCCGTGAGCGTTATGTGTAAGCTGTCAGTTCTCGAAGCATGCTGAGTAATGAGGGTTGAGCATTTTGACATGTGGTCGCTGCGTAACGGGGAGTCATGTTGTGTGAAGAGATGGAGAAAAGAGACATGAGAAGAGACTCAGTTCCTTGGTTTGTGGAGAAGTGTTATCGCTCATGTCAGTATATTGTACAGCAACCACGCTGGTTATGCATTTTTGCCTTTTGCCCAGCTCTTTCCTATCCACCCTTCTGTCAGCCTCATCGACCCTCGGGTGATCATGACCTCAGGCCCAACAAGAAGCTACCACCACTTGAACCGCCACCGTTGCCACCAGAGTTACCACCAGGCAGATAGCTGACGTTGGGGTTCCTCGCCAGCATCTGCGCAATATCCTTCTGGGTCTCAATGCGCCTAATCAACACTAGACCGTCACCACTCTTTGCCACTGCCTTTGAGATTGTGTCGGCAGCCTCGGCTTCACCCTCGGCCCTGATAACGTTTGCTTGCCTCTCTTGCTCTGCCTTCTCTACAATGAAGCGCGCGCGCTCGGCTTCTTGTTGTGCGATCTGCTTCTCTTCGACGGCCTTGGTAAACTCTTTGCCGAAAGTCATATGTGTGATGGAGACGTCTTCGAGGGCAATGTTGAACTCGTTGGCGCGCTTGAGCAGATCGGTCCGGATGCGGTTGGAGACGGCCTCTCGCTGAGTGATGAGTTCTGCGGCATCGAACTGTGCAACGATGGCTTTCAGGACTTCGTTACCGATGGAGGGGAGAACACGCTCGTCGTAGTCGAGACCGAGATTCTATAGACACGTTAGTCGTGGTCCCTGGAGCTTCTGTCTTGCACGCGTGGGTGAGGGGATAGACGCACTTGGTAGATCTTAGGCAGCTGCTTGACCTCCGGGCGATGCAACACCCTCAGCGTAAGTGTGACCATCTGCAAATCTTTGGATCCCGTCGTTGTGCTGATATTCCTCGGCCTCGTCCTGACATCGAAGACAATTGCCCGTTGCAGCCATGGGACCAAGAAATGTGTGCCCTCGTTGACGACGTTTTCCTTGACTCCGGACAGACGGTCGAAGATGACGGCGCGGGTTCCGCCTTTGACGTCGTAGAGGGAGCTCTGCACCACGCTGGCGCCGATGGCAGCAGGAACGACCCAGCGGAAGAGTGAGGTAGGTATCGCGGCCATGGTGGGCGGGTTGTGAGGCGTTGGTGTGGTGAGGCGGCGGCAGGCACGATGCGGAGAATCGTGACAAGTGCATGATGCTTCTACGAAGTTGGCTGGTCTGTGCTTCTGCGGCGAACCATGCCTGTGATTGGCGCATACACCACCACCATCATCGACAGATACACAAGAACATGTGGGCGAGTTGCCATATCTCTATTGGAACATCCACAAACTCCCGTGCGGGTTATGCATATATGTGTGTAGGCCTCAAAGCCCTTGTACGAATCTCTCACCCACCCATCATCTCCACTATAGACACAAGATCGACTCACTACTGCTCAATGAAACCCTTGTGCTCCTTGTGCGCCTTGTACCAATAGCTGTCCTCCTTCTTCGGCCGGAGCTCTTCCGACAGCTTATCGAGGATGACCTCCAGAAGCTTCTGACGGCCGTCCTCGTTCTCTGCGTCCCGGTTCCACACGGCAATCTGTACAGCATTCCAGCGAACACTGTACGAGATCCCGCAGATGTCGTCGTTGAAAGCTGTCGAACAGTCAGTATCCAGGACATGTGAGAGTGATTAAAGAAAGATGACTCACAAGCACGCTTGGTCTCGACGGCCCCCTGCAAGACGTCACCCACGGCAAGCAGGCACATCTCGTGCCAAAACTGGGCCGCCAGGTCCTTGCTGACCTTGAAATACCATGCGCCGCCGCGCGTGTTTCGTGGATCTTCCCATACCGGCTTCACGCCCAGGTGGAAGAGGTGTATCGAGTCTCTCAGCTTCAGGTTCTCCACCGGTATGTTGTTGAAGTGCTGGTAGAACTCCTTGACGGAGACAATCTGGTCTCCAAGCGGCTTGGGCCGAGTAAGGTACTCTTCTGAAGCCACCTTGTCCTTTGGTGCGGCCTGCTGACCCTTCTCTGCCCAAAACATCCACTTGAAGCGGAACTCGGGAACTCGCACCGACTTGAAGATGTTGTTGAGCATGGCGGTGCCGCGTGCAGGTGATGCTGTAGCGGACTGCTCTTCAGCCGACGCCTTGGGGAGGTCCGAGGTGCTGAGCACCGGGAAGCGGCCAGCCATGGTAGGAGATGTGACGGGGATGCCGAGATTGCTGCTAATGAGCTTGAGTTCTTTGATGTTGGAACGCGCGGTGAAAATGCGCTTGCTGTTCTCGATAGCGAGGTCGTTGGCGAGGTCCTGGGTAGTGTCCTTGGAGTGAACGTTGGGAGGGACAATGTCTGCGTTACGGGGAATGGCTCTGTTGAGAGCGACGATTATGCGATTAATTCCGACCTTGGACTCGTATGTCAGGGGATTGCTGGGGTAAGGCACACCGTGCTTGGTCGCGTGGACGAGGCCTTCAAGGAGTAAGACCGAGAGGGGCTTGCGCGCAGCTGCGGCAGTCCTAAGCTTTTTGCCGGATTCGTTGGCTGAGGCGAAGAACGCTTCACGCTCGCTGATCTTGTTGTGGTCAGCGTTGTGAGCGGCAGAAGCTCTGAGCATGCCGATGATACGAATGGTCTCGTTCATAGTCATGGTGACGGATGTGAATGTAGTGTAAAGTAGAATGATGCAGAGAAAAGAGACTATGACTGGGAGTCTTGGAACAGGTATAGAAAACTGATAGAGGATGGTTTGCAGATTTGTGAAGGGTGATGAAGAGCTGGAGTGTGATGGACAAGAACAAGTCAAGGACAGGCGATTGGGAAGTTTTTACGCTTCTATCCCAAGCCACCAATTTGTAAAGACGGATAATAGCAGGCGGTTCTACTGGGAGCTCTGTTCGAAGAGCGCGAAGCAGCATCGTGGTGAAGGTGAAGGCGAATGGACCAACCAGCGTCCAGTGTTGGGCTTGACGAGATCAGACCACATGGGCGCGCTGACAGGATAGCAGCAAGCCCATGATAATGATAGATGCTCCATAGAAACAAACGAGACGTAGGATCGTCAAGTTCATGTGCAAAGCTCATAAGTGATGGAATGCAGGATTGAGACGGTATTGACATTGGTGTGTGTCGGAGGTTAAGGACGAATCTTGATGCAGTGGCAGGACGAATACGAGGCCATAGAACAAATGACGCCGAAAAGACGAGGTTATGAGAGAATCAATACATACCTAAACTCGATATTAGATATCTCTTGTAAAGACACCTAATTCAATACTCTTGGTGAAGACCTGTGACCGTCGGAAGTGGGGCAGCGACACACCGACTCTAGCAAGGACAGAGACAGGAGACAGAAGAACAGGTGCAGGCGGACAGCACAACAGTGAGACGGTAAAGATTGACAAGAAGAGGTGAGGTCAGATATGTACGAGGCCAGCTGGACCTTTAAGAGGCTTAACCCCTCGGAGACCACAAGTCAGCCATGCAGGCGCCCGCTCTAACTACGTTTCAAGACGCCGTTTCACGACCCCTGTTGACACCAACGAGTCGCTTCGGCCTCAGGCCAATCTAGAGCCGCATGCGTTGTCTGTGGAGCATCCTACGGGGTACACGATATTTGTTTACACACCTCAGCATGTAGCATGTGAATATCTGGCCCGGTATTGGCCTTGAGGCCATATGTGCTGGCGGCGGCGGTGACGTAGCCCTATGGTCTTCGCCCAGTCGGTACCATTCCGCGAGAGATCTGCACAAACTGAATCTTACCCAACTTTTTCCCCAGACTTTTGTAACCCACTCCAAAACGCGTAGACAAACTCCAGCAGTCCCTACTAGGAGTGCTAATATCGGAGAATACCGGACAACATGTCGTCGCCATACATTCACGAGGCTGTCGCGCACCGCAGCAAACGCGTGCGCTTCTCCAACGAACCCGAATCTTCGCCGCCTTCGATGTCCTCCGACTCGGCCCTTGCGTCCACCAACGCCGCAGAGGACTCTACGACCAACGCAAGCGACTTGGGTACCTCAGACAGCGACAGCGAGCTGTCCGAATCGAGCGAAGAACCCAGCAGCGACGAGACTTCAAGCGACGAAGAAGAGGACGACGACGGCGAGGACACAGAGATGGAGCTTGAGGAGCCAAAATCACAAGACGGCATTGTAAATCTACGCGCGAACAGGGGGAAGAAGCCCATCATGAAGCTGGGCGATGAAGACCTTGGACCCGACATTCGTGGTTTCCTCAAAGACTTTTTACCGCAGTTGAAGGCTGCAAATGAAGAGTTGGAGGCGCAGAAGAAGGCTGGAACACTGAAGAGTTTAGACTCTGTCGAGGCGCATGAGGAGGGTGAGCCATACATTGAGATGGTGAGTACTTGTTTCTGCCGTGTCGCGGGGCGCTTCTAACAGTGTCTAGGACCTTGGATTAGGCGTGCTCGAGGAGAAAGACCCGAATGCGAACAGCGACGACGACAGCGCGAGCGATGCCGAAGATGGCGACAAGGAGAAGGATGTGCTGGGTAGATTAATGGGACGTGAGAAGAAAGATCCAGCGGGTATTGAGGTGGTGCAGAACACGACCGGGTCATAAAGAGATGATATTCAAGAGCAGCCCATACTCTGCTGTCGCGCGCTCTACTGTCTTCTCCCACCACCCTACTTAGTGTCCGATACCCCCCTTTGCCCACGTCGCGTCAGCATTCTCGTGGATCTTGGGCACCTCGATATACTCTCTGACTCCCTTCTTCCTCTGGTAATCACTGCCAAATCTCTGATCCCTTTCCTTTACCCGCTTTTCGAAATCCGGCATCTGATCTGCCGCCGTATAACTCGTCATCAACTGGGGTGGGCCCAATGGCAGTTTGTCGCCCCGGTCAGTCTGCCAGAGATGGTAGATTTTGCCGTACAGCTCGACAACCTCTTCCATCTCTTTGTTCTCAGCTACTTCCCACGCGGCCTCTGGGACGCCTGTTGGTCGCGGCATGATTAGCATTCCGGATTTCACTTCGAAGACGTGCGAATGCCAGAGCTTTTGCTCTTCGGCATCGAGTGTCTCGTAAAGCTTGGGGGAGATCATGTATTCTGCAAGCTGGTTTAGAAGTGAGTTGCGCGGTCCGAGAGGTGGATGACTTACCGATACCAATGATTCGTGCGACTTTTTCAGGGGAGTCGTAGAGGATACATTGGCGGACTTCATCGTTCAGGTGAGCACAGTAGTGGTTTGCTTCGACTGCATCCCGCTTTGGGTCATGGGCATATGCATGGAACGCGTTGAGATGCGCACATATCCTCTTGACTGGAGCGAAATTCTGGTTGAATCAATAGAGTTATTGTCAGAAAGAGCTGATGGACTTACCTGAGTCATGGCAGCACCAGCTTCAAGTGTATTGTTATATGTACTTTCTGGCTCACCAGCTGTCTTGTTATTTACGGGAAGCGAGTCCATCTTGTCTTGTTGTCGTTGTCTTGGTGATGGTGATCTGCACTTGAGACTTCAATTCCTAGTTGGTTGCGGGGTTGAACTTTCGTTGCTGGGAGTATCTTTGATAGAGTAGCCCGCCAAAGTCGCTGATTATAACCGCTGGTCAGAAATAGTTTTCGGCATCTCGAATGACGAAGTTCCCAGGGCGCACATCGGATCATGAACATAGGTTGACGTCATCATGATCTACGATTGGGCAAAACAGCGGACCCTGCAGTTCTCCTTGAATCAAGCGGAACAGTAGCGACAGATCTAATGAGAGTATTGAGGCATTCAGCACTGCTAATAGAGATCTCTGAAAGCACTCGATGTATAGATTTGACTAGTATATAGAAGCTTACGAGCTCTGGTTGGATCGTGGCGAATGAATACACATCTTTCTTGAGATGCAATCTTCTGGCCCTATCGGATATGATAGCGATCGAGAATAACTAGCAGACTACACTACCATTGAACTTCGTCGCTTGAACTTACATTCGACACCAGTCTGGACGTTGAAAGAAGCATTGTGCGTCTTCCACGGCCGATCATGCGCCATCTCAAAGTCAAAACGGTGCAAAACCTCTGCAGTCACTTTGTAAATTTGCGTCAAAGCAAGCTATGAATCGTCAGTAAATCTTCAGTGTGTGATCACGGACAACTTACAGGCCTACCAACGCATGTTCGCGTCCCGGCGCCCCATATCAGGATTCTCTTATCCATCACCCTCGTGCGGTCTTCGCTCTGTAGCCATCGCTCGGGAACAAATTCATGTGCATCTTCCCCAAATACATTGGGGTCATGCGAAACGATAGCTGGATTCATTCCAACGGTATAGCCTGCAGGAATGTGCTTCCCGCAAAGTGTGATCCCCTGGCTAGGAGCATACCGAGGCATCGAGACTGCGAAGGCAGAGAACAATCGTAATGCTTCTTTGACTGTGGCTACTAGATAGGGAAGTGAAGCGAGTTGACCATATTGAACTGGGGACGATAGTGTGCCATTCTCGAAGGCTGCATCGACTTCCGCACGCGCTTTTTCGAGCTTCTCTGGGTGCTTCATTAGGAAGTAGAAAACGGAGCGCATAGAGATGGATGTACTGTCCGCTCCGGCCATACTAGTAGGGCTTAGTGTGAAGTCTGGGGGTCTGGATGTCATTATACTTACATTGCAACCCACATATCTGACGTAATTTCTCTGTGTGAGTAGTTCACCTTTTCTCCCTTTTCCTGCACAATTGCTAGCAACTGAGACAGTAGATCAGGTCTCTTTTCAGTCACTTCCAGTGTTCTCTCGGTGGCTATCTTCGTCTCTATGATTGCAGTCTTCTTGATATCCTCTACAGCCAGCACAGCTTTCAGTAAGCGCGGAATACAAACAGCGATCAGAAGCAGGAATGGCCGCATGTAGTACGGAGTCACTGTCAAGAGAGTAAGGAAAGGCATCGCAAGATGAACCGAGTGGATGTAGCCTTTGTAGTCGATGCTGTCCCGTAGGAATCCAAAGGCTTGACCAAAGAACGCGACGCCAACGCTATCAAATGAGTACCTGGTTCACGTGTCAGCCAGGACAATCTACTAGTGATCACATGTAGCTCACATTTCGAGCCAAAATCCAAAATCGAATGCTTCTTTGCTATCAGCGAAGCTATCCATTCGTTCTAGAAAGAGTTCCAATGTCTCGTCCAGCCGGGATTCATTCTTTAGTATACTGGAAAGTGAATATACGCCTCCAACAATCCTCCGATACGCTGCGTGAGCCTTCTCGTTGGTCTGTGTGAATAGATCCGGTTGGCTGTTTAGTCCTTGTGGCCGCCACGGTTTATACCAGTCCGTTTTCTCGAGTGGTTTCTGAACTGGGTAGATATACGGAATGGCCGTGGTATCGGTTGTGACGATCTCATCGGGTGCGATCCGAATAATCGGGCCATATTTCCTATGAAGAACGCGCTCGACAATCTCAATATCGCCTTTGTGATGGTGCCACATAAGCCATGTTCGCGAGACTGAAGGCCAAAATGGCCCTGGAACCTTAGCTAGTGGATGGAGGGTTCGAGCGTAGACGGTCCAGATGAGATAGTATGCCGCGAAGGATATAGCGATGTAGAACAAGAAGACAGAACTCGTTTTTGAACCGAAAAAGACATCAGATAGGAGCGCCATGTCGTAGATGCCGACGTTAAAGAGCAGAGCGACTCGAAAACTATGGTTAGTAGAGGGAGAGAGCGCACTATGTCCCGTCGTTTATCAGTAGCAGCAGCGCTCTGCAGTGAACCTGACAGGGTTGTTTGCTGTGACAACGAGTCATGATCTGAACATGCCATACTAGTATACTCAAAAGAGCAACGAACCCGATGCGTGTACCTAGGTATACTGCAAGTACTGGGGCGTAACGCGGACCCTCTGATTCTAGCCATAGTTTGCGCTCCACACGTCAGTCAGAGATAACCTAACTGAATTCTAAGCTTCACCAGCTGGACGCGGTATGGGGGCTAAGACTGCCATGAATGAGGGGAGGGATCGTGAACCCTGACAGAAAGAAACCCTTTTCGGTATATCCGAGAGCGGTAGCATCCTTCCGACTCCCCAGCAAATGGACGTAAGGAAAAGTGCTGCTGGGTCTGCCTCGTGTCATACAGTCAATAGCCTAATGGACTTTGAACGAAAGTTACTTCAGAAGATGAGATCCCACACTTTTCGTAGCTGGTGGCTTTCCTCATCTCGTTCTCGAATGTCGATGCAGCTTACTCATGTTACTGTTAACGGTCTCTTCCCGCGCTCAGAAAGCCACGAAGCGAGACGGCGCTAGCCATGAACAACCGCTGTCACTCATCCTTGCCTTCATTACGCGACGAGTCTTTGGCCCGCGGGCTAAATGTAGGGCGTACGCACGTCTAGGCTGCTGGTAAGCCGATACCTAGGTGAAATTTCCAACCGCATTGACGGATGCATATCCTAAGAGGCCGCTTCATATTCTTCGCTAGGCACCTGTAATCCTATGGTAATAATGACACCCCCATGGAAACATACAGCTATGTGACTTGGAAGTTGATCGGACTACTCACTACGGAGTACGTTACCTGGTTCATGTTGCCAAAAATAACTTCGCATGGATCGTCCCGTGTACAACTATTTGACTGGGAAGTGGGCATGGAGCCGCCCGAGACAGCACTTCTGCCATACAGCGCTAAGCTCGCTTCGAATTCTAAATAGGGCAAATCAGAAACACTGGGGTTTTCAATACTATGAGGAGGCTGGAGGATACAGACGAGTTCGCTGATGCTGTGGAGGACCTGTGGCTGGCATCTTACCATGACTGACTTCGTACTATCTTTGATCATCACTCTCCAAGTATCAACTTCCCCGATACTTACATACAGCCAACCACGGGCAATGAGTCGCAGAGAAGTGGTAGGTGATAGTGATCTGTACACACTGACCAAAGTATCACTACAAGATCAATACTTTCATCTCTCACTCATGACCAAGAACAAAAAAACATACAACAGCGGGGATTCGCTAGTGGTCACCCACCTAACTACTAGTCCGCCGGTCAAAGGCTTGACGTGTGGAGAGCAAACGGGATCCAGTATACTCCTTTACCTGTGGTCGTATGTGAAGGTACTCGAGAGGTAAAGGTTATATGACGGTAGTGGTGTTTCAGCTCCAACTGTTAAATTCACGATAGCTCACAAGACCTTTCTGAAAACCATGCCATACCAAACTTTCATACCAACCCACTTCCACCCTCTCTCGCCCACAGCACCACTCTCAACATCCTCCTTTCTCATCTCTCGCTCATTCACACTTATCACCTCAAGTCCCGCAGCTCTGGCTGCCTCTGCAGTCTCTCCAACTGTGTAGACGTAGCTACTTCCTCTAACCTTCACACCATGTGCATTGACGAAGCCGGCTTGGCTGATACGACCCATGTCTGCATGCATGTTGGTTACCAGCGCTGTACCACCTGGTAAGAGCAACGTGCACAACGTGGCGAAGTAGTCCTCTAGCGGAATGTGCTCTAATACTAGAGTAGAGATGACTGCATGACTTGGCTCCAGGTTTTGAACAGCAGGCAATGGGGATGTCGATGGATCGTTGACTGTTGGAAAGCAGTCACAGCACTTCAGTCTTAACCGCACCTTCTCTTGACCCTCAATCGACGTAGCCAGCTTCTTAGTGGCGACATTCAACATACCCTGCGAAAAGTCCAGACCAGTAACTTCGATGCTCTTTCCGTTCCAATCATAGCGTACGAGCTTTCCTGTATTTCGTCCAGTCCCACATCCCAAGTCGAGGACATGAAGCTTCTCTTTTGTGACATTGCTGTTCTTGACCTGCGACAAGAATTCTGGAAGAACTTGTTGAAGTTCCAGATCGTCAATTGCTTGCAGCATGTTGCCATCGGTATCGTAGATGGAAGCCCATTGGTCGTAGGCAGCTTGAGTTGGAATATGCTGGACTGAATTGGAGGTGTTGCTTGCACTTGTAGCCTGCGTGGGGTTTTGTTGAACGTCCAATGTTGAGCCCGAGTCCGTAGTTGAGAAGGAGGCATTGACGTTTGAGGGCGGGTTGATGTCCACAAGGGAAGTATCGAAGGTCATATCAACGGATGTTGGTTGCGTCATGTTGGTTGAAGCGGCTCTTAAGACCTGATTGTGTCTTCTTTTTTTTTGTTGAAGAGGAAAGACAGGAGTCGGTCGTAGTTGCAATAGCAGATAGTTGGCTGTGGCTCTAGCAACAGATGACGACGTTTATCGCGGATCTGAAGTGGGGTAAAGTTTCTGGGGGCTGATACTGTCTTCGATGTTGAGTGCCCAACGAAAGTCTATATAGAGATTCGTTTAGCCAATGACTCTACTGTGCGCCCTCTGCGAGTCCGATATGTATCCAGCATTGCCTATTTAGGCGATATGTCGTACAGCTTCCACGTAGCGTGAGTCATATCTGCATCCCGAGGTATTAGGCTCCGGGTCGCGCTAAAATGTCCGCGGTGTCCGTTTCGTCCAAACTAAATTCGTCATAAATTTGTTCCTTCCAAGCTGAGCTGAACAACGCGTCTCGTTGACGCTTAATTGATCGTTCGTGGTACTCAAGACGAATTCAGATGGTACAGTCGTACTGCGTACACTCGATTATAGCTCACGGGTATTGTCGTTCACTCAAGATGCTTCTTCGAAATATCTAGCCAGTACGCGGTTTCGATGCGTGACTAGGTGTCTGCGCGCCATTAGCGCGTCACGCAAACGCGTGTCCACCCAATCCTTGCCCAATCTCTGATCCAATAGCAGATGCGTGTACGCAAAGACACTAGCATCGAACAAGCCCGGTCTCTGCGCACCAAAGAACCAGTCGTCTTTGCCTAGCAAAGCCTCGAGCGTTGCAAATGCTTCGTCTGCCTGGTTATAAAGTGTCTCGTCGTTGATGATGCTTGAGAACTTAAGGAGCTCGGTCTCGGCTGCCAGACGCAGTTCGCGGGATATGGCGAGGCGTACAAAGGAATTACGGGAGCTCGGGAGGATGTAGAGGGGTTCGGCGATGGTGGTGAAGTTCGGGGAGAGATAGATAGTGTAGAGCTGCAAGATGTTAGCCATGAGTCGAGTATGCTTTTGCGGTCAACGAACCCAAGCTCTCCGTATACGATGGTCTAGTAAACTTAGATATGCTTCGTATCGCGGGTCTCCGGGCTCTTCTATTGCCCTCTCACTGTTGTTCATGGCCCATCGTTGCAGCTTGCTGGAAGGGACAGGTTGGGGTCGTTTATAGGGATCCGAAGATGATGGAATCACGAAAGGTAGTGAGCCGCTGGGAGAAGCATGGTTGTTTGCGGATGCGACTTGGAAAGGTATCTTGGAGAACTTAAGGTATACCTGTGATAGTGTGAGCCCGGTAGCGGGGCATGGGGGTGGTTTGAGACATAGACTGACCTGCCACTTCAAGCACGCTGGGTTGTGCGAAGGTGCTCCTCGTATTGCTCCTTCATCCGTGGTGAAGACATAAAGCACGTGAGCATTGTGATGCTGCGGAGCGCGTTGTGGGAAATCGTTGGCGGGATACGTGACGAGTGGAAATTGGTCGAACAACTGTTTTATCGGAGTCGGGACAGAGAATATGCTGCGTGACGATGGCTGTCTTCTGAGACCTCTCGTGGTACCATTGCTGTCGTCGGTCTGGGACATCATGGCTATGCGTGGTGATGTTGGTGATGATGTCGCGAAAAGTTGACAATGCGGCGGGCTCGGAGGAGAGCGCGCCGACCTCGTGGCAGCTTTCACTTCCGACTCTTTGTCTTTACAACCACATCTCTTCCCAGGTGTCAGTTGCCTACATCAAAGCCATCATGCACATGAAATACTTCCAGTCGTCTGTTGCCAGTTGCATCTCCAGAAGACCTGCCTACAGGAAATGCACCTGATCAATGTCAAGCAATTTGAACACGGCACAACGTGTGTAGCAACGCTGGCTCGACGCCTGGCACTAACCAACGGGTCTTCCAAAGTCATCATAGCTATTCACACAACACACAGATGTTGTAATCTTGATAATTGTGCATTGCAGTGGGTGCGCAAATGTCATGCCTGGGTAGCTTTCGCACAGATTTGCAGATCTAGAAACTCGTGAATTGCTCAGCCCTACGCTGCTGATGATCATTTTATATTTCGAAACTTGGTCCGAGTAGGACCCTTTGCAAACTTCAGGTAACGGTGGACTTTCGGTACAATATACATATAGTTTGAACATCACAGAATGCCCTAAACATAATTAAAGGGGGAATCAAATTCTATTTACTCGGGTCATATTTTTCCCTTCTTCATGAAGCAGGCTGCTGCTTCTTACATATCGTCACTCATTACAAGCCAGAGACAATGCTCCAGAATCTCAAGAACCTCCAGAAAGCAAATCTTACGCTACGCAAACGCTTAGATGAGTTGCTGGAACGCGCGGTCGAGAGGAGATCGGAGAGGCTTGACCTCCTTGTAGAAGTCAATGGTAGCCTTAGCACGCTTGGCAATACCCTCAGGGGTGAACTCAAACTTCTTGTAGACCTCCTTGTATGGTCCAGAGGCACCGAAGCGGTTAAGACCGAATTGCTCGTGCGAGTACTTCTCCCAACCCATGGTGGACATGACCTCAACACTGAGAGATGGGATACCAGCGGGGATAACCGACATCTTGTAGTCCTTGTCTTGCGCATCGAAGACTTCGAAGCAAGGCAGGGATGCAACACGGGCGGTGATGCCCTGGTCCTTGAGGGTCTTGACGGCCTCCAAGCAGAGGGAGACCTCAGAACCAGTGGAAACGAGGGTGATCTGGGCGTCCTTGTTCTCAAGAGCGACGTAACCACCCTTGATGGCCTTCTCCAGTGTTGAGCCCTCAAGCTGGGGCAGGTTCTGACGGGTAAGGGCAAGGATGGAAGGCGTCTCCTTGGAGGTAAGAGCCATGTAGTAAGCAGCAGAGCACTCGTTTCCATCGGCTGGGCGCCAGACCATCATGTTAGGCAGAGCGCGGAAGTGGGCGAGAGTCTCGATAGGCTGGTGGGTGGGACCATCCTCACCAAGACCGATGGAGTCGTGAGTAGCGACGTAGATGACGCGCTGGTGTGAAAGAGAGGACAGACGAACGGCACCGGCAGCGTATGAAACGAAGTTCAAGAAAGTACCACCGGCGGGGATGATGGTGCCGTATGCGGACATACCGTTCATGATGGCAGCCATGGCGTGTTCGCGGACACCGTATCTCAGGTATCGACCAGACCATTCACCAATGCCGAGCTCCGGAGGCTGGAAGTCGACGGCCTTCTTCCATCGGGTGTTGTTGGAGCCAGTCAGATCGGCGGAACCAGAGAGAAGCTCGGGAACGACGTCGTGGATGGCCTCGAGAACGCTCTCGGAGAGCTTTCTTGAGGCGATGGCAGGGTCGGTGGGCTTGTATGTAGGGAGGGCCTTCTGCCAGCCCTCGGGAAGGTCGCCAGTCAATCGGCGGGACAGGTCAGCGTGAAGCTCCTTGTGCTCCTCACCGTACTTCTGGAAGAGCTTGTTCCACTCCTCCTCAGCAGCAGCACCCTCGGCGGCGTGCTTGTGGTACATGTCGTAGACCTCTTGGGGGACGTCGAACATCTTCTCGGGGTCGAAGCCGAACTTCTCCTTGACCTGCTTGCAATCGTCGGCCTTGAGGGGGTTGCCGTGGACACCGCCGGTACCCTGGAGCTTGGAACCGAAACCGATGGTGGTGGTAAGCTTGATCATCGAGGGCTTGTCGGTGACCTTCTTGGCCTCAGCGATGGCCTTCTCGATGGCCTCGAGGTCGGAGTCACCGTCCTCGACGTGCTGTACGTGCCAGCCGTAGGACTCGAATCGCTTGCTGACATCCTCAGTGAAAGCGCACTTGGTGTCACCGTCTGTATGACGTCAGATTTTGAATTTCTTGAAGTTATTCGCCAAACATACCAATGGAGATGTGGTTGTCATCGTAGATGGCAATGAGGTTTCCGAGCTTCAAGTGACCGGCAGTGGAGGCAGCCTCGCTAGCAATACCCTCCATGGCGCAGCCATCACCGAAGAACATGTAGACGTGGTTGTTGATCAGCTCGTAGCCGGGCTTGTTGAAGACGGCAGCAGTGTGCTTCTCAGCAATGGCGAGACCGACGGCATTGGCGAAACCCTGACCAAGAGGGCCAGTAGTGACCTCGATACCGGGGGTGTCGTGGGACTCGGGGTGACCGGGGGTGATGCTGTCGACTTGCTATTATGGTGTTAGTGCTGCTGAAAGACCAAGCTGTCAAAAGTACGTACGCGGAAGTTCTTCAAGTCGTCAATGCTGACGTTGTAGCCGAACAGGTGGATCAGCGCATACTGGAGCATGCATCCGTGACCGTTGCTAATCACTCATAGTCAGTTATTTGGTCTCGTACGATAGGGTGTGAGATGGAAAAAAAGTCGCGATTGAACTCCGAGAAAGACCGAAGAAGCAAAAGTGACACTCTCTTGTCTGCGGCCACGGCAGAGATGCGCAACTTCTCAACTGAATTGCTCCAGAATTGCGCTGCGCAATCCCAGCCTGCTTGATATGGCCGTCATGGCTGCCATTGTTGGTACAAAAAGTACAGAAAAGTACGTACGAGAGAACGAAGCGGTCGCGGTTGACCCATTTGGGGTTCTTGGGGTTGAAAGTCATGAACTTGTTGAACACGACGTGGGCAACCGGGGCCATGCCCATAGGGGCACCCGGGTGGCCGGAGTTTGCCTGGAAGGTGGCATCGACCTACAGAAACACACAAAGTCAGCCATTGAACCTCTCAAACGACTTTCCGCAGGCTTCAACACGCTGCTGCCGCTTTTGTTGGGATGAGAACTGCTAGCGGGGTAGCTGTTGATAGTGGTGGGGCGGCCAATGGTATCAGAAAACAACAAGAGAAGTGTACATACCGCTAGGGTTCGGATGGTGTTGATGGCGAGCTCGTCAGTCTTTCCGTACGGCATGATGGGCAGTCTGTCGATGGGGAAAAGATTGAAGAAGAGAAGTTGCGCAGACGTGCTGGTGTTTAGGTTTTGTAGTTATAGTGGGGTGGCTAGGCGTCATGCCTGCCTCAACTATAACGCCAGAGTGGACGTTTTAGTGGGGTCTCTCAAAGCCCGATTACATCAACCAGTCGCCGCACTTTCTGCCATAACATGCAGCATCCCACCCGTCCAAGCCACGGACACGAATTGCTGCTTCGTTTTAGTAAGCTTGCGCCGTGTGCTGACAAGGCTTTGCGTGCCTAGTCCTGGCTATCATGCGCTGTTGCAAGTGACTGTCCATTACTAACCTCTTGCCCTGTACAGTCTCTGTTCCCTCTGTATCCGCCATGCGCCGAGAACGACCGCATCACGGACGTGGCGGATCACAGTGCCCCGATAGCGCAGGGAACCTCTCTTCAATCTCTTGCCTCAACTTCCGCCACGCAAGTACACGATGCAACAGAATTCTTCCGGGCGGCTACCGCGACACCGGGATCGGCGCCGCGGCCGAAACGGAGCTGAGTAGATGAGGCTCAATCGTGGAACCCCCAAAACAACTGTCTGGACTAGAGCCGGATATTTAACCTGTTTATTCTCCGGTGCGCTGGAGGAGTGGAAGACTACCAAGACGAGAGACTAGGCTGTCGGGACAGTTGGATAAATAGCGCGCCCAGTGCTGTATATCCCGCTGTCTGGCTAATCGTAAACTCAACACCATGAAGCGTATGCGCCAAGGCCGCTTCAAGACTAACGCGATCAAAGAAAAACAAGATTTGAAGAACATCGTACGACTTGGTTGACATCTCCATTTACATTTTCAACCTACGTAAACAAACAAATGAGCGCTGTGGGTATCTATCTCGTACTATACAACATGCAATGAGAATGACAGTCGTGTCTGGTTCCTCCACCCTTCCTGCCGTCCCTTTCCTCCATTAAGAAAATCTATACACAAGAAAAGGTTTATGTAGTCAAGAATTGAACATCATCTTCGCACCCCATCACCCCACCCTACCTCCAGGAATAAATCCTCACCCTTCTTTCTCGGCGTTAGTCGGGGCACCCACACCGGACTCTTCAACCCATCCCGGTCAAAGTCCACATCCACATCTCTGCCGATGTTCAACTCAGACATCTCGTCTCTCTTCCTTCTCACATTCAACGGCTTTACAAAATCTTCTTCATACATGACTGGGCTTCTACCCCATGTGCCGCTTTGCACGCGACTCTTCCGATCGATACCCGTTTTCGACGCAGGTGTCGTACTCCACGACTCAGTGCTATTGCTGCGCACATGAGAACGAACTTTGCGCGGGGGACTAGTGACGCGCGGTGGGGACGTGAAGGGGTCTCGATGAGGACTGTTCAATCTAGGTCGAGACTCTAGTAAGAGCGGAGGGAGAGCATTGTTGCGTTTCTGAAGAAGCATCGATGGATCTGGACCTCTGCGTGGACTTCTGAAGTTCTGCTGCTGTGGTGAGCTCTTTGGACTACGCGGCACAAGCTGATTCGACGCCCGCGGCACCTTTGGGTATCGAAGCTTGGAGATTGGTGACTCAGCTACAGGAGATAGCTGTTGTTTGTTGCTAGCGCTCTCATCAGATAGCTGCTTGTCCTCGTCCTCGTCTTCAGGCGTCGACTCATTGCCGTTCGTTGTCTCGAAAGATGTTTGACTTGCCAGAGAGTCGCGCAAGTTTGTGGAATTACGCGAGGTAGAGCGTGACAATGTGCTGCTGTGTGACTTCTTGGGCTTGATCTGCACAGTTTTTGGTGACTCTGTTGGTCGGATGACACGCGCTGGGCTGGCTTTGGGTGTTGGCTCTCGGCTCTGATGACTGGAAAAGTAGTAGTCGATGATATCCCCAGACGTGCTCGCATCTCGTGAGCTAGCAGTCGTAGCCTTGGATTCATAAGAGGTGGCCGTAGAGGCCATCTGGAAGGGCGGCGCCAGGCGTGGGCGTATTGCGTGCTCGGGACGAGGTGGCTGTGGTGAGCCATGTGAGGCTACCCCTCCCGCCACAATGCGCTTTGGCTGAGGTCTCTCATGGCGGACAGGAATATCGATAAACAGCTCGGATCGGCGGCCGGTTGGACGATTGTTGGCAGTAAAGTTTGGCATAGGCCTGGAGGGCTGTAGAGCACGGATAGGGGGAATTGGGACCGGAGGCGTGGGCAATAGCATTGAAGATCTTCGGTGCGATGAAGTCTCGTCCTCTTCGAAGACTGTCTCCTGAGTTATCGTACTCACAGGCCTAAGGGGTGCCTGAGTTGTGGTAGGCGCTCGTTGATGTGCAATTGGGGCTTTTGAGGCGTTGTTAGGTACCAATGGTTTTCCATCCAGCTCGGCGCTGATGGCTAGACCTATCTGGTCGAGCGGCAATGAGGAGTTCGAAGAACTGTTGGAAGTCCCTACGCCCAGACGCTGCGCTGGACGTGCTGGATGTTGCTTGCTGCCTCTGCGAAGAGCTCGTGGGGGCACCAGAGGAAATTGCTTTGGTGACTCAAGAACATTCTCTACTGGGACATAGTGCGAGAAGCGTGTAGAAAGCTGCTTGCCCTTTTCGTCTGTATCGAAAACCACCCGTCGCTCTTTTCGCCTGCGCAAGCACACACTTAGCGCCATGAGTCCAATGGCCATGACGAAAGCTGCCACTGCGGCCACTGATAGTCCGGCAATCTGTGCGGGTGTCATTCTAGGAGGAGCTCCTGCTGCCACAGTGACTGGGACCGATGTAGATGTTGCCGATGATGTGGCAGATGGTATTGATGGGACGGTATCGGCGAAAGCGGACTGTGTAGAGCTTTCTCGGATCCGCAAAGTAGATGTCATCTTCGGTGTATTCGTTGCCGTCGGTTGGATTGAGGACGGAGACATGGTGTGAGTCGCACTAGTGACGACGTAGGTAAGCACACTCTTCGTCGGCATAACTGCATCCTTCTGTCCAAGACAGATTCCGTACGCCGAACTGAGTGATGATTGAGTATCCTCCATTGGGCACGATAGGTATATGCAGCCCAGAGCCACTTCGCCCAAAGACTCTCCAACATTACTATAACGAGAACAAAGACATTGGAGGTTTTCCTGACCAGAACATGCTACAGGGAATCTTTCGTCCAGCGAAGCCTGTAAACATTGCTGTGCACAAAGAGGTACGTTTTGTTGGAGCGCCTGTGGGAGCGAGCTTGGTGTAGAAGCGACAGTAGGAGCCGCAAGCATCGGCGAAGTTAATATTATAAAGACTGAGGAGATCCATAGCCTTTGGAAATGGCTCATAAGCATAATTGTACAGTATCTGTACCAGTGTCAGCTACATCAACCAAGACCGTATGACAAGAGGTTACTCACTAAGGAATCTAGACATGAGGGATGGTGCAAAGAAGCGCTGAACCTGCAGCGAGATGAACAAGGAAATTGAAGGAGAGAAACTCAAGGAAATTCGTAACGCGTCGCCAGTCTCATGAGATTTTGTTGATGTATCCAAGAAACAACAAGCGGGGGATGGTAGGCTGACAATATGTATTGGCATCTTCACCAGCCGCCGTGTCGGCGCCCTGTCTGGGCAACCGCTGAGGCGCCACGATGGCGGGCTTTGAGGTCATTGATACCTACAGTAAGCGCTCGCGGATTTGGAGAGAGGTGATTGACTGGAGAGTCGTCGGTTCGAGGATGTGGTGGTGCAGAGATGCTATTCTAGGCGCTCGCATCGTGCGCTAAGCGCTGGGGTTCAGGCTAGTCTACCACGTCAGCCAGTAATTGCACGGCGCCTGTGTAAACTTCACGCAGAACACCAAAAGTGAGTCTTGGCCTACGTGCATTACGTGGGACGAGAACACACTGCAGCCCAGCGTTAGCGACTACCCAAGAACCGCGTCATTGGTGATCGTTAGCTTGCAAAGGCGACGCGATACTCGACTGATGGTGTCGTGTACTGTCCTGACGGTCGCACTCGCTAGCCGGCAATCGTACCTGCGCATCCGAGTATCGTTATATCTCCTTGCGGCGACAAAAACAGTAATTTGTGCTACTTTCATTGATGACCATGTTTCCTACTGGTCTTGATATTAAGGACAAAGCAATGCGCAAGATGCGTCTATTTGAACGCCGGTTTGAGTGCCGGTTTGAGCACCACATTAGCATTCATCGAGGTCAGACCCATACCATGGTAGGTCATCATTTACAAAGACAGCCGATCAGTCGAACTTCCGTCGTCGCTGCAGCATACATGACTTGTAACTCCGTCCAAAGGTCGAGAGGATGAAGACCTCCGGGTCGGCAAATATCGATATTCTTCGGCATTTTCCTGAATCGGTCCTCAAAATGGCTAAATGCGCGGCAACGTCTTCATAATGTGGAGATATCATCGCCAAAGCGGGTAACTTCGACCTGCATATTGCGTAGGTCGGTGGAGCTCACGGGTAAGAGATGTCGAATACAGGCTGGCTCCGGCTTAGAACGCAGATCGTGACAACATAAGGAGATGAGATTCCTGCATGCGTACGAGGTGGAGATACGTGCGATGTGGTCTGCGATGTGGTATCTGCGAAAGCACACAAGTAACAGCGTTTGATATTAGACAGCATGGAGGGTGCTTGAACCCACGGACGAGAAGCAGCAGCGGTCACCTGTTCGCGTAGCTACGCTGTATGAGCTGTCCCCCTATTCAACGGCACTCATGTCATGGATGGCCATTGCTCCCACGTGTCGTTCGTGGATCCTCCCGTCCGTCTGACTCGTGACAGTGCGTAAGACGTGAGGGTTGAGACAAGAGTTGTGACTTTTGATGCATCATCCCAGGGAGAGGTGGTCGAGACAGGAAGATGCTTGCCAGCAGTCGAGACAGCATAAACACGGGACGACTGAGCCATGGTCAGAAGCCAAATTAGTAAATTTAGAATATTGGCGGAACGGATATAGGGTTTATTATGACGGCAACACGTTCATAAGTATACTGAGTACCCCAGCGCGGGCATAATTCCAGCACCCACTCAGACGTGAGGCAGGATGATCAGGACGCACGACTCTTGCCCCAACCGATTCCAACGGCAGAAAGGCGAGGCGAGGATACTTGGGAAAATCCAAAATCTGATGGCGCAATGATTGGCCGAAGCACGCGAGTCGGGGAGATGAAGGAGCGACGGAGGTTTGGCGAATGTTCACGTTCTGCAGGGCTAGGCCGAACTGGGGCTAGAGAATATCGCCCCCCAGTCTGAGCTTTGGCTCGAGAGGAATTCGAGTGGCTGGCAACGTCGTGATACAGAAAATCTCAGCGCTGCTGACGAGGGTAGAACAGCAGCAGATAGAAGGATGCAGTGCGAGGCCCGGGTGCTTGCCTGCAGGTGCAAGACACAGTGAGTGAGAGATAGAGGCCAAACGCTTCAGGGTTTCAAGCGTGCCTGGATCCTTGTGCGGCTCCGAGCGTCAGGCCCTCTTGTTACGATGGGTCCTCATTTTCCACAAACCTTCTAGAAGCGTAACTAGTCAGACTCAAGCGGGACGGGAGTTACGGGAGTCGCATCTGGCGTGTTCTCGACAGCGCTTCCATGTCGAACTGTGTGGTGCAAAGGAGGCCGAGGGGGGCGACACCAGGGCCTGCAGCGAGAGGCGGGAGAGGTGCAGCAAATAGCTGCTGTGCCCAGAGGCCAATTGCAAATCACGACTTACGGTGAGCGGAGGCGTTGCAGGCGCGGACGAACAGGCGGGAGGGGACGTGAAGATGGTCGCGCCTGCGTAGCATGGCCCGTCAGTTGCAATAGGCCATGGGCAGGGCTTCTTGCACGATAGCGGGCAGTCCAGAAGTCGCGAAGATCGCGAACCAGCAAAGGGGAATCGGCAAAAGGTGTTAGTGATGCTAGTCGTCGCAAGATAGACAGGTCGGAGGGTTTGGTGGTAGGGTGGCCCGGGCCAGGCTAGCACTAGCAGCAGAGCTGGCGTTGCTTCCTTTCATGGCTGGCATGGCACGATTTGGGCAAGCGCCTCTCCTTTCGCGGCCTTCATCAAGCCTTCTTACTTGCCTCTCGTTCTTTGCTTCTCCCAAACGTCAATCGACGCTCTTGCCGGCATAACATCGATCCATTCGCTGCTGTGCAACTCGCGGCCCTTTTTCGCACCGCCTCTTGTTTCCTGCTGCGACACACAGTCGGCGAGCGAGCACGCAGAGTTCCTCCCCCCAGCCGATCCACCCCCGAGCCGACCTTGCAGCAACCCTGAGACCTCGGAGCCAAGCGAGCCTCGTCGTCTTTCATACGCCAGCCATCCCTTCACTCTCGTCCTTCACCTCCATCCCTCCCGCACCCGACTACTGTACATTCACTCCTGCCATTGGGGGTAGTCTTTGTAATAACAGGTGAGCCTCTCCTCCCCAGGGCCCCGTCGCGCCTGCCTCGCCTGCTCTGGGACCCAAGCGCCACCGTCGAGTGCAAGCAAACGGCCGCATCGCTTCCAGTCGTCTCACCCACGGCTAAAGTCGCCAACCTTTTTGCACTCGCACGACCGCCGCCTGCCATTGAACTCCTATTGACACCGCCCTCCAGATTTCCGCATTGGCCGGCCTCGACGGAACATCACTACGTACCTTTACCCTAATAATCACCCCGGACACCGTCCCCTGCCGCCATCATGGGTTGCGGAATGAGCACAGAGGAGAAGGAGGGCAAGCAGAGGAACGAGGAAATTGAGAACCAGCTCAAGCGCGACAAGATGATGCAGCGCAACGAGATCAAGATGCTGCTCCTCGGTTAGTATCGCGACGCCCGTCACGTCAGCAGCCTCTAACAGCGCGCAGGAGCCGGTGAATCCGGAAAGTCGACCATTCTCAAGCAGATGAAGCTCATCCACGAGGGTGGATACTCGCGCGACGAGCGCGAGTCGTTCAAGGAGATCATCTTCAGCAACACGGTGCAGTCGATGCGCGTTATTCTTGAGGCCATGGAGTCGCTCGAGCTGCCGCTCGACGATCAGCGCGCCGAGTACCACGTCCAGACCATCTTCATGCAGCCAGCACAGATCGAGGGCGACAGCCTGCCCCCGGAGGTTGGAAACGCCATCTCAGTCCTGTGGAAGGACGCTGGTGTGCAACAGTGCTTCCAGCGCTCGCGCGAGTACCAGCTTAACGACTCCGCTAAATAGTGAGCAATCCTCCTTGCCATGCGCGCATAACACTACTAACAGCCATAGCTACTTCGACTCCATCGACCGCATCGCTGCGCCCGACTACATCCCCAACGACCAAGACGTGCTCCGATCGCGTGTCAAGACGACTGGTATCACCGAAACAACCTTCATCATTGGCGATCTCACCTACCGCATGTTCGACGTCGGTGGTCAGCGATCAGAACGTAAGAAGTGGATACACTGCTTCGAGAACGTTACCACCATTCTGTTCCTAGTCGCCATCTCCGAGTATGACCAGCTGCTATTCGAAGACGAAACCGTCAACCGCATGCAAGAAGCCCTCACATTGTTCGACTCCATCTGCAACTCGCGGTGGTTCGTCAAGACATCCATCATCTTGTTCCTCAACAAGATCGATCGCTTCAAGGAGAAGCTGCCTGTCAGCCCAATGAAGAACTACTTCCCCGACTACGAAGGCGGCCCAGACTACGCCGCCGCCTGCGACTACATCCTGAACCGATTCGTCTCGCTCAACCAACACGAGACTAAGCAAATTTACACTCATTTCACCTGCGCCACAGACACCATGCAAATCCGATTCGTCATGGCTGCAGTAAACGGTACGTCTCCTTATCCACTTATATACATGAATCTTGCTGACATTCCATAGACATTATTATCCAAGAGAACCTTCGGTTGTGCGGTTTGATATAAGTGCAATGGCGGTGGGATAAACGAACATCTTCCAACTGATCTTGAATCACGGGTTGCATGCCTCATGTCCTACACAGGCGTTTGTGGACATTGCTTTGCATGCTTGCGCTTCTTTCGTCGAGAAATGGTTTCGCTCTAGGCCCGTGTCGCTCTCTCTTTGATACCCTGCGGGCGGGCTGAGGAGGCCATGGAACACTACCAGCGAAGCGACTTTTCATCCTCTTATTTCTTTAACGTTTTTCTTGGGCCCAAAGAGGGATTGGGTATTGAAACATGTCCCTTGCTACAAAGATTCTTCCAACAGGCGAGCGAAGCGTATGTTTACGGCGGCTCCCAAAAGAAGTTTTTCTCCTAATACTACCTGTTCTTTCGAGTCTATCTATTACCTCTGCACACACTTATTCCCTCATGGTGTGGCAGGATTGCCTTAGTATGTATACAGCATGTGTGAGATATGTAGTGAAATGATGAATTCCTTTTACAAACTTGATCGTTTGCATCTATGATTTGCGACCTTGACTGATTACCGGTTCTTCATTACGACGATGACAGGCCCATGCGAACGAATTGTCAGCGAACTGTCAGCACCGGTCCCAACTCAACCCAACCGTCAGTGCTCACACTTTACAATGGCATGATCGCCACAGAATGCGGGAGCAACCTTGTCTCCGGAAGAAACAAAGACACATTTCACGGAACAACTACGGACAAAGCAAGGGAGCCAACATCGTGCACACCCATACAAACATGAGCATCTTTTGCTAACCCGACACTTTGGTCTACTGTGTCTGTTCCAGCCCAAACTGTGGGGAAGTCGAACACTTTGGTATCCCTTCTCCATACTATTCGGGCCGCTTCGGCTGCTATTGCCTTGCATTGCGGCACAGATCGTTCCCCGCTGCGACGCGATACGCTCATTACGGCTATTATCACGATAGGAGGCTGCGGTGCGACCGGTCGGTCGGTCTTACTCCTGTCACGGACCTTTGCAGTACGTGGTTGATCAGTGGGTATGACGTACGACACCCAACTGACTTCTAGGTTGAGGAAGTACGTGTCTTAGTTCATATAACCAATCTTGCAGCAGGACCATGTACGAGGCGAAGATCGTCGTCTTTGCGCGTGTTGATTATCAAGGTGAAAATGATTGAGTTGATGCGGTTAGCGTGATGCAAGGTCGGATGCCGAACATTTGAACGACGCATGTACGCAGGTGCCGTTATCCTTTCTTTCTCTTCCAAGATCACGATGTGTAAACACCGGCAGTGCGCGTTTGCGTCTACTCTGGCTTGAGCTCCACTTGCTAGGTTTTACTTTGCTTCTTCCTTGTCTCGTGCACGGAGGCGTTGAAGCGTCTTCCAGCTTCAATCAGAGAATCACAAACCTCTTGCTACTTACCCTAAGCCTATCGGCACGGTGCTGGAAGATGGGAGGCTACATTCAAAGCGATGGCTAGAAAACAGCTGGGTCCCTCCGTGGCATACGTCCTAACATGCTGTTGCCTATGGGTACTGGCGCAGAGCGGTGAGTAAGTATGGTCACGATCGTCGAGATACCTACCTTGGTCAAGACAGGCGCGCATGCATCCATAGTGTTTGTCACGGCGCCCGGCCTTAGTTGTACCGAGGAAGCACGTCTGAGCTGACGTTCCATATGTTCTTTTGATTCAAAGTCTGACGTCTTCGCATACCCGTGACAGATGGGGTTCCGTCGGATAGTCACTCTTTGGATCTTTACGCTGAGGCCGAGATGGCGAGTATATATGAGTTCTATGTGTATCACACGTCCTTCTTTCCACTTCGTTCGTCTTATCCTTTCCCCATGCCGTCTTTCACTTTAGCTTGTTGTATGTAGAGCTTTCTCCTACTATATCATGCTCATGTCTGGTAATGATAAATATGGCTAATGCAGGCATACTCCATTCTCTTTTCCGCCTCGCTTTTCTGCCATTGTTCAGCTCTCTCTCCCTTCGTGTGCTGAGCATGGGGCTCACATACTTTCTTAATACTCCACGTTTACTAGCTCACTTTGTCCCTCCATGTAACCCTGGCGTTCAGATATGGAGGTGATCGCCTGTATCATCATTTTCTCTCTTCCGCTCTCATATAGTCCGTTTAACCAATTATTCATGGCATATCATGCCTTGACCGAAGGTCCATCGTAACGCAGCCTGGAACTGCTTGGAAGACGATTGAGGGCCTCCAAAAGCAACAGAATCCATGATCAAAATTTCGACCGACCTCTTCCGTCACTTGAAATCTTGGTACGCTCGCGCGGCGACTCAATATCTTCATATTCCCCAACCCCACACAGCTATCAGCCATGCCTATAGACAGTACCCACCATGTAGCCACCCAACTCTGGACGAAAAGCGAAAGCCATCACGCACCCAACTCGAGGAGCGCAGTACCGAAACTCTTCGACCCAACGATTTCACGCGGAATTCGCTCCAATTTTCCATGACTTTTGGCCACCGCCAGATCTGCCACTTACAATCACCATCTTGCCAACCACACATGATCTCGGCCCGTGATGCAAGTGACCACATCGAAGACGCCATAGGTCTTGAGTCTCTTTGCAACTCAATTCTGCCTTGTCACTGGGTTTATCGTGCTATTGCTTCGCTGACTTGGACATATCGTGGCCCACAGACGGTTGCGCTTTTGGATCCGTCTCTTTTTGCATTCCAAGGTTTTCTCTCACCCACGAGTGTCTGAACTGCGGTACTATAGCAATGAAAGCCTACTCTGTTAGTACGGTAGCAAAACTCCACAGTCTCGCATCACGCCTCTGTAGTTGGAAGAGTAGTTGTTGCTCTTTCCAGTTTTTAAGAGAGCTCGACGAAAATCCTCAAATATATGTCTCCTTGCCGCTGTGTGATCCAGGCTCGAAAGCTGACAGCGACTAAGGTGGTGACAAAGATGATGGGTCTCGTATCAGCGTACTCTTTATCGCTCGTCTCCTCGATGAGGGGAGCCCTGACCAAGTTTTGGCGGTAGTGGTCACGACCGTTGCGACAACAACAACAATAACAAAATGGCATCTACATCTATTTAGGCTGAAGCGCAATCTAAAACGTCTGTTATATCATAAGAGCATTTCATGCGTCCCACATGGATACCAGGTCGTCTTATGAATATGCACAGCATCTTCTTTGCACATATATACATCAGGATCTGATCTCACCAATGATAGTGGGCCGCTTGATCGTTGCAGAGGTATTGATCATGGACTTTGTCAATGATTCCAAGTTCGCTCCTGCAGTATTACTCAAGCTTTTTGTTATCTGACTCGGGCATATGGACCAGTACAAAGCTCGATATTTGGGTATGTGAAACTTTCCTTGTTCCCCATACTCTCGCATGTTACTGATATCATCAGAACCGTAGTTTTCGGAGCTGGTATTATCCCTTATGCTTAGCTTATGTGGTTCGAACCGCAAGAATGGCCTTGAGTGACGAAGTTCAACATTGCGACCGTGATAATGGTTTACTTTGGTATTTTCCAAAGTTTCTGCTACTATTAATCAAGAGAAAGAACTCCAGCAAGGATAATAGCGTCTCCGAATCATGGTTTACAGGAAGACAGGTTATGCTCTCATTCGGATGGAGCGTAGCTCGTCTATCTATGGTCTTATTGGCGATATTCAGAGCCAGATCACCGTTCTCCCTGCCGACAACAATGTGTTGGATAATAGCATCGAGGTCTTCGTTCAGCAGCTGGCCAATACTGCTCTCATCTACCTAGGCCTGAACCTGAGAACGGACTCGAATGTGGATCATCCTAAGTGTGTCTCCAGTAACTTATTCTAAGCTATCGCCCAGCGACAGGCATCATAATAGAGTTGTGGCTAATGTGAGCTATCCAAAGAGCCCATATTCCAAGGTAAGAGCTCCCTTCTTGACATATAGGCACCCAACAATGCTGGGCCGTCCAACCGTTATCGAGGTCAAAACGTCCTTCTGGCAAACCACGCAATTGCGATTAATCTACTGACTGAGTCGCTGACCAACAGTCGCAATGAGAAAGATGTTGATGATGGAGTTGAAGACGAAACAAGATATCGTAGTTTGGAAACGATGCGCGGGATCAGGGCCTGGCACTCAGATAGTATCTGCCTCCGTCCAATCTTCCGTTAGCACGACTGGAGAGCTAAACAAGGTTACTATACACATACTTGGGAGAGAGATGTACATGTAAGACAGAAAGATATACGCAAGACAGACTGATATTTAAGAACTCTCTGTTAACTTGGGCCGTTTGCCGTGAAGTACGTGCAAGATGGAAGAATAGAAATTAAGAATAGACAAGGAAGGCTGTGTGTGTGTGTGTGTGTGTGTGTAGGCAGTCAATAGGCTTTAGTGATAAGCATACTTTACAGCATCTGAACATGTTGAATGGAAGACGGCATTGTATTTGCACAGAATCGCTGTTCCACTAACAAGTTACGAGTCGAATCGATCATTGTTCACTACTTACCGTCTGCAACCCCACATCGAATTATGATCACGAGGAAGCTGCTAATACTTTCCACGCTTTCACTCTGCTATTTGCAGCAGTGTGTCTGATCTTCGGCAACTCACTCTAGTTCAGTCTCAGTACGTCAGCCACAACACCAGCCACGTCATCAGCCACGGCTAACGGAACGGATGGGCGGACGAGCCATGTGGAGTAAGTGAGGTATGACGTCGCTGGCATCGGCGTTGGCGGATCGCGACTGCCGGTGTTGTACCTAAAACAGGCCCCACCAACGATGGTTTGGCGTCAGTTGTTGTGTGTCGCAGTTTGGTACAGCGTATCTGACGGCATGCAAAGCCCTTAAGGTCCGCGGTTGCAGTGACAGCAGCCAGGAACTTGGCGAATCGGGGACTGCGATTTGTGTCGCACAAGTTACAGGTTTGGAGCACGAGCTCCCGCCTGACAAAATAGCCAGGATATTTTGTGGTACGCGGTGGTACCTGGAAGATGAAGTGCTCAGTTCTTCCGAAAGAGGCGGAAGAAACGATGAGAGGGCTGTGCAAGATACCCCTCGTTCGCATGTACCCCGCTAAAGGTGGAAGGTGGCCTTTGGAGTACAGTAGGGTAGTGTTGATGCGGTTAGAGGTTCCTGTAACAAGACGGGTCGCGTAGAAGTGCAGGCTACCAATAGTAGGTCCAGTATAGTGGCCCAGTGTAGTGGCCCAGTAGAGTTCCGGAGCATCTTAATCGAGACAGGTATCCGCGATACGTACGCGGTGTTGTTGGCTCGGAACCTGTCAGCGCGAGGCGTTAGTGAGACAGACAGGACGGGATAGCATTTGCGGGATTTGTGACAGGCTCGACGGCGTGGCTATATATACTGCGGCCGGTTGCTCGGATGGCTAGCAGGGCAGGATTGAGGGGTCGATATGGAGGCGATGGACGCAGGGCTGATTAGGGCTGCTTGTTGTTGATTCTGTTGGGTTGCGGCTGCCTTGATGGCTTCGAGTGGGTTCCGAGTGGGGTCTGGATACGGTCGCCGCAGTTCTCGGCTTTGATGGTAGGCGCCTGAGTCGCGAAAAGATGCAGCAACTGGCAGCGAGCGGTATTTGCTTATTGCACATGTCTTGGAGCTTTGCATAGAGGTCAGACATAGCCGTCGATCAGGCATGGTAGAAGCCATGCACAGGGCCCAGCCGCGTTCCCGGCAAGCGCTGCTCCTATCGACGCCGCAAGAGACACATTGCGGGCCTGCCCTCCTTCAGCTGTCTGCGCGTGCCCAAGTACCGGGGCCAAGGTGCTATGCGGCGGCCCCCAAGCTTAATTCACTCTTCTTCTGGTCGCCATCAGCATTCGCGTCGCATTGCACATCTGCCTCTCCTGAGCCCTCTTGCCGTGAATTCTTGAATGTATTGACCCACGTTCTGCCAACCGACGGCGCGACGTCAAGCAATCCCTAGGCACTTGGCTACCGCGGTCCGGCCAGCAAGTTCCGATTGAACGCGCAGCCTGCCACCATGCCGCGACCTACATTTACCAGCAAGCTCTCGCTTCCGCACCGCCTCAAGCACCAGACCAGCTACACCAGCAACCCCAATTCCACCCCAACCTCTGTCCCCGCCAGCCGTACGGGGAGCCCCAAACTACGCGCCATGCCAGAGCAGCCAGTACCCGGCCTGGTCTTGAGGGCGAACGTCATCAAGGTGCGCCCGTCCATGTCTCCCCGGTGGAGCAGCCACAGCTGACATGAATGCAGGGCAGAGACCTCGCTGCAAAGGACCGGAGCGGCACTTCTGACCCCGTGAGTCCCTTCACAGGCATGCCACTGCCGCGAATGCCCCTCTAACCACCATGTCCACAGTACCTTGTCCTCTCGCTCGGCGACGAGAAATTCACAACTCCTACCATAAACAAGCAGCTGAACCCGGAATGGAACGAGACGCTCGAACTGCCCATCCTCGGCGAGCAGAGCCTCCTGCTCGAGGTCGTCTGCTGGGACAAAGACCGCTTTGGCAAGGATTACATGGGCGAATTTGACGTCATACTCGAGGAACAATTCCAGAACGGACTCACGCAGCAGGAGCCACAATGGTTTCCCCTGCAGTCGCGGCGGTCCGGCAAGAAGAAGTCTGTCGTCTCCGGCGAGATCCAAATCCAATTCTCCCTCATCGACCCCGTCAACCTCGCCGCCACACCCGAGCAGATCCTACAGAAGTTCTTCGCCATCGCAGGACAAACACCAAGCCCAGACGAAGACGAGGGGGAGCTCCTCATGCGCGGCGACAGCAACCTCACCGACGCCGAAGAGGATGAGTCGAGCTCGGACGAGGCACAGGACGAATCAAAGAAGGCCGAGAAGCGGGAGAAGCGGAGGAAGAAGCTGAAGTTAGCCAGACTGAGGAGAAAGGTCAAATCCAAGACCGGCTACGAATACTCTAGCAATGGCGATATAGCTGGTGTTCTCTTCCTCGAGATTCAGAAATGTACCGACCTGCCACCAGAACGCAACGGTAAGTCTCCTGACCGCGTCCTCTTACACAAGCTAATGCATCCCTAGTGACGAGGACTACCTTTGACATGGATCCATTCGTTGTAACCTCACTCGGAAAGAAGACGTATCGTACCAAAACCATTAGTCATAACCTAAATCCCGTCTTTGACGAGAAACTTGTCTTCCAGGTTCTACGGCACGAAACCAATTACTCCGTCAATTTTACCGTCATCGACAAGGACAAGTTCTCGGGCAATGATTACGTTGGCACCGTCAACTTTCCCCTTGAAAAGGCTGTTTCTACAGCCCCACAGGAAGACCCAGAGACGGGGCTATATAGGTTACCTGAGCCATCAGACTCTCCTGGTCTCTCTCCTTCTGAATCCGGCAGTTCAAGGAAGTCCCGTTTCCGCCTCCCCATGTCTCGCTCTGCTTCAACTCACAGTCTATCTCGTCTGGGTCGGCCGTCTCTGAAGAAGGAAAGCTCGACAGGTTCACTCTCTGTACAAGAGCCTAACAATTCCCTGACTCCCAACAATGCTGCAGCCGATTCCAACGGTAATCTTGCTGTAGCCGGCGACGTCAACATAAACCCATCCGCCGCAGATGACGAGGATTTGAAGATGTACACACTACCATTGGAGTTAAAAGACAAAGAGCGCTGGGGCAACAAACACAACCCAACCCTCTACATTCGCGCAAAATACCTCCCGTACAAGGCTCTTCGACAACAGTTCTGGAGAGCTATGCTCAAACAGTACGACGCCGATGAGAGTGGTCTTCTCGATAAAGTAGAACTGACCACCATGCTCGATACCCTTGGTTCCACCCTGCACGAATCGACTATTGACAGCTTCTTCGATCGTTTCGCGGAGGCACATAATGGAGACCTTCTCCTTACATTCGACGAAGCCGTCATCTGTCTTGAAGATCAGCTGCAGGCCACAGAGGCAAGAGACGCCCAGAGGTCTGGATTTGCATCAGGCACACAGACTCCTTCGCTGGCGTCTGGAATGCTCACGCCCATCAATCAGAACAGCTCGACAACCTCCATTCCGGTGCTTGAAACAAACACCTTGGGTAGGGAAGGCGAAGAAGGCGACAACCTGCAGATCGACGATCTTGCCGACGAGAAGGGAGAAGAACATGTCATCGAGATCCGTGAATGTCCCATCTGCCACCAGCCGAAGCTGAATAAGAGGTCCGATGCTAACATTATTACACACATTGCTACCTGCGCCAGTCAAGATTGGAGACAAGTCAACAACATTGTCATGGCTGGTTTCGTCACCTCAAGCCAAGCACAGCGAAAATGGTATTCCAAGGTCATCACTAAGATCTCGTACGGTGGCTACAAGCTAGGCGCAAACTCGGCAAATATCCTTGTTCAAGATCGTCTTACAGGTCAGATCAACGAAGAGCGCATGAGCGTTTACGTACGTTTGGGTATTCGCTTGCTCTACAAGGGCCTCAAGTCGAACAATATGGAGAAGAAGCGAAGTAAGTGGCCAAGTGCTGTTGTTGTGAATGCATCATACTAATTTGTCGCAGTCCGCAAGTTGCTCAAGTCACTCAGTTTCAAACAAGGAAGGAAATACGACGACCCCGCATCAGCATCTGAGATACTGCCTTTTATCAACTTTCATCAGCTTGACATGTCTGAGGTGTTGTTGCCAACAGACCAGTTCAAGAACTTCAACGAGTTCTTCTACCGAGCACTTAAGCCGGGTGCACGTCCGTGCTCCGCACCTGATGATCCCAGAGTAATCGTCTCGCCGTCTGACTGCCGAACCGTAGTCTTCAATACGATCGACTCAGCGCAAGCCATCTGGGTCAAGGGTCGTGACTTTACCGTCGAGCGTTTGCTTGGTGATGCGTACCCGGAAGACGCGAAACGCTATCACGGAGGCTCTCTTGGTATCTTCCGACTCGCGCCACAAGACTACCATCGGTTCCACATACCTGTCGATGGTGTCATGGATGAACCAAAAACAATCGAGGGAGAATACTACACCGTCAACCCAATGGCTATCCGCTCAGCTCTGGACGTATATGGCGAGAACGTGCGCGTCGTAGTACCCATCGACTCCGTTGCACACGGCCGTGTTATGGTCATTTGCATTGGTGCCATGATGGTTGGCAGCACTGTCATCACGCGTAAGAAGGGCGACCATGTCAAGCGTGCCGAGGAGCTGGGCTACTTCAAGTTTGGCGGAAGCACATTGCTCCTTCTTTTCGAGCCCGGTCAGATGAGATACGACGAGGATCTTGTAGACAACTCGAACTCTGCCTTGGAGACTCTTGTAAGTCCAGTCATGCTTATAGTTAATCCGTGTTACTAATCTTGATAGGTTCGTGTCGGCATGTCTATCGGTCACAGCCCCAACAGGGCAGCTCATGTCCCCGACATGCGCAAAACCAACCCTACCAATGAAGAGAAGCAGGACGCGAAACGCCGCATCGAGGGTAGCATGGCACCTTCAGGCGTGAAAGGACCCATGCCTGGAGCTGGGATGTAGAATAGACTCCATTGCGGTGCATAGGAAAAGGAATACATAAAAGGACATGGGCAGGCTTGGATATTCAACATTGTTCTGGCGTGTGTCTAAGTGGAGTAACGAGATCATGATGGTATGGGAGCATACGGATCAGCGACATGGGTAGTCGCTTGTTCTCTGGCGTTTTTTGAGCGGCTTTGCTTTGACTGTCTACAAAGATGTGTCGTTTACGTACATGCAGAGCAGTTGGCCCGCATCCTACAACATCGTCTTTATCCCCTGAAAGGTTTGGATCGTTGGGCTCAAGTAGTGGACACTTATCCATGTGGGTGCACTAGTGCTTCACGTGAACACGCTAGTCCCAAAACCATTGTTTTGATGATGCTGGCGGCAGGTGCACACACCAACTTCCTTGCTCCCGTGTGATAACCGTTCCCCTCCACGCCCGTCGCCTAAGAATATTCGCATTACCGCCAAATCATTACGAGCCTGCGTACGGATACCGCAAGCATATACCTAATCGCACGCGAACCACCATCGTATATCCTGCGTAGCTCGCCCTGTCTACGCTCGCCCGTTTGTCGCGCCAATGCACGCGCTTTGACCGAACTTCAACTCCCCGAAACTCCCGTGACGCAGCAACTGGACTCATGACTACTATCTTCGCGCGCCCACCGCTCCAATCGCTTCCTATGGCCACAAACCGACCGACAACGCGACGAAGGAGCGCAAAACAAGCCTTCGATGACGACGATGCGCCGGCGCCAAAAAGAGCAAAGGCCGAGGTGAATGGGTCGAGCAAAAAGGCGACTGCTGCGCCAAAGAAGACAGCAAAGACAGCTGCATACGACGAGGACGATGATGGCTTCCAATTTTCGCGTCGCACGTCATCGCGAAGGACTACAAAGGCACAGGCTGCGCCAGCACCAGAACCGATACCCGAGGAAAGACCAACGAAGCTCGCGCAAGCTGTCGAAGCGCAACCCGTCAAATCAGCTGCGCGGAAGAAGAAACAATCAATCGCAGCAGCCGATCCAGAATCTTCAGACTCAGGAAAGCGACGGCGATCAGCGCGCATATCTGCCGACAGTAGACAGTTAGAGGTACGACCGAAGTCCACAGAGCCTCTTCCAACGAAAACTCGCACGAAGAAGGCTGCACCAGTAGAGAAAGAGAGGAAGAAGCAGGTCACACCCCCACCAGAAGTACAACCGCAGCCGAAGAGCACATATGGAGATGTACAAACACCAAGACACAATGAGATACAGGTCGCGAAGAAGCGCGATCCCAACGCCCAAAAGATCATGCTGCCTTTTGCCGACACACCAGTTATAACGAGAAACAAAGAGATGCGGAAGGGCGGCAACAAGGACGGGTCAAGAAGGAGTAGCACAGGCCTGCGAGGGAGGAGAGCAAGTTCGCTGATAGATAGCGGACAATCGAATGGTGAGTCTGAACACGATGCACAGACAAAACCCCCTAAGGGCATGGAAAAGCGCTTCCAGTAGGTAGTAAGTACTGACAAATTCGCAGCGCTACCCCATTCCGAAGTCGAAGTACGAGATTTCTACAAGTACATCGAGCAAAGTCTACCCGAACCACGGCGGATGAAGCAGCTTCTAACATGGTGTGGATCGCGAGCACTACCAGCGAAGCCATCGGGCGACGTCAAGAACGCGAACGCGATCATGGCTGCGCGAGCCATTCAACAAGAGCTTATAGACGACTTTGCAAGCAAACCTGAGCTTTCGGACTGGTTCAGCAGGGTACGTGGATGGGCTTCAGTAAGATATGAATTTGGGCTGATTGTTATACAGGAAGAAACAGCGCCACCACCTGTGGTGAAGAAGCCGAATCCCCAGAATGAGATGAACAAAGCCAAATTGGAGGAATTGGAAGACGAAGTCAAGCGGTATGTCTTGAAGTCCACTCATTACACGAACGCACCAGACTGACAGCGGAGTAGTCTCGAAGATGAGAAAGCCGCATGGGAAGCCATTGCATCAGCGTCGAAAGCTAGCCTTCCTCCGCCTGCACCTTCAATACCCACTGCGGCACCCACACTATCGGATATCGATACATCCCTCCTCGATCCCGAGCAAGCCGCCATAATTTCCTCCCTCCAACTATCACAACCACAGACCTCACCACAACCGCCGTCATCAGCATTCACATTCACATCGCCTACGGCACTACAATCACATCTCACATTACTCGCCAACTCACTAGAACCGCACATCGACCTCTTCGCAGATGGTGTTCATAAGATCGAGCAGTATCGCGCTACAGCAGAAAAGGTAGCGGATTGTGTGCTAGGGACAGCGGCAAAGAGGCTAGAGGAGCGAGATCGGGAGGCAAAGGAAAGAGTCGGAACAGAAGGAGTTGGTGTAGGCGACATACTGAGAGGCCTTGCAGGCGTACTCAGGGAGCAATAGATATGCAAGCGTTTATTGCAATCAAATACAAGAGTTACCGGCGGGAACGGATAAGGACTGGTATCCAGACAGACAATCGTCTTATGAGAATGATCTATGTGGCTCTTTCTTCGGCCTTTTCGCCTTATCCCAGAGACATACTTCGCAGGCATTTTCGTATGGTGTTCAGTGTGTGCGGGAATGGATTGGGAGAAAACGATATACCCTTCTGTTTTTTGGCCTTTCATGTAAATATTATTCGAGCAGGAATACCATCACACTATCTTGCTGCGCCGCTGAAGAGTCATGCACTTCAAGCAGAGTGCCAGAAATGTCATCGCGATTGCATGTGATCGCTAAAGTAAACCGAGAAACCTTGAAGCTACGGTTCCTGCTTGACAGATGATGATCATCCGTCAGTTCTTGCATTAACACAAGCCTTCGTCGACATTCCTATACTCAGCTCACTCCCATTTCACGTATATCTCTTCGCTGCCTCTCTTAGCTTCTAATGCACCATATAGCCAGTCTTCCAATCTCGTCTTCCAGATTCAACGCAAATCCCATTGTGATGCGGAGGAAAAGTACGCGCTCTTCCAGGTAGCGGAGAACGTCGATAGGAGTGTGCAAGAGTTGCTCCGACGTGCGGCCGAGGAGTTGAGACCATGCAGCGTCCGAGAGGATGAGTTTTCCAGAGCTAATCTGGCCGGTTTCGTCGAGGAGAGCACCGAGCTGGAAAGCATCAGGGATAGAACGAGATGATTTTCGAGAGGAATGGAGCCCACTTACTATTCTTGGATTGATCCTCAGTTTTACCATCCTACCACACTGCTTGCACTTAATCTCTATGTTGTTGGCGAAAATAGGGATTCCGCAGCATTCATTGCTCATGAGCATATTTCGCCTAAACGTCGTGACAATGTTAAGCTCTGTGACAATAACGCTGAGGTAGCCAGCAATAGTCTCCTTGGATCTTTTGTTCGAGAGCGAGCGAGCGACGTCATCCACATCCGCAAGTGTGTACAGTGCTCTTATGGCTGCAGTCTTGAAATCATCAACCAAACTATCAGCGATAGGAAATGGCGGATTGACATGTTCTTTCTTCGTCAGTTTTTGTGCTAGCGCTCTCAATCTCCGTGCATCACCCATGTCTGGGTCGATATCGATGCGTGAATTACCGCTCAGCGTGAGCTTGGCCATTTTCTCTATCCGCCATCCGGGGTTTGAGATCAGCAAAACTGTTTTCGAGGCAATGAAGAGAGGTGCAGAGTCGCACATGGAAGAGTACAAAGTAAGTTGACCGTCGGCCGTGTCGTCAAAGATACCGATGGAGATAAGTTCGGAGGTTGTGCCGTTGCGGTTCATGTCTGGTTGTTGAGTAAGCCACTGATAAAGACATGATCAGGTAGTATGGGGGATAGAAACCACTCACACTTTTTCCGCGCTCCGATACTCTTGACACATACCAGCAACTTCGGCTCTTCGACATCATACCCACCATCCGTGAAGCTCTTCAGCGTCATCAGTCCGGTCAACACCTTATTCTCCCGTATACCATACGGTCTCCTGTACCTCCTTCCATCATCACTATTCTCGTGCACCATAACATGACAGTTCCTATCGCCCTCGGGAAAGATGGTAGTAAACATTGGAGCAGTATTCGGAGCCAAGGAATTAAACTCAGACGAATTCGAAATATGTACCGTCCACACACTGAGAAGCTGGCCTAGCTTGAGTCTATACTGCGTGGTGTTATACCAAATGCGCACAGTAAGAACACCGGTATCGTCTGCAAGAAGGACCTTGATGCATCCTTGAGCTGCTTTGTGTGATTTGCTTGGTCTGGCTTGGTCAATGAAGTAGACGACGCGGCCCATGAGAACGAGGTTGCAGGGACCAGGCTCGAGTGTGCCTAGATCTGCTTCTTCGTAGTCAAAAGCGGGCTTTCTGTTGTATTAGCGGTGAGAAAACACGACTGTGTAAGGTGCATACAGCCCATGCACTTGTAGCAGTCGCTTCCGATGAGGCAAGAGCGGCATGAGCCTCTTTTGTGGCGAAGCCATCGTTATTCTTTGTCGTCGACGATGAAAAGTAAGACTGAATTGAGGGTGAGGCAGGCATTTTCTACCATGCAGGTCGGTGTTGAGGAGGTAAAGGCATTTGCAGTATTGGGGCTGATGTTGAGGTGAGATTTGAGACAGGAGCGTTCCTGCCGCTTCCGTGAAATGCAATATTCGCCTGAATCTCGATGAGGAAGTCGCACGACCCTGGAAGCCAAACTATTGTATATGCGCACATTTGAAATATCTGTACGCTTCGTTGTAGTGTTACTAAGTCGAATTGTGGCGCCAGAATGCAAGCACCATTTGACACGATCTGGTATTACTATCAGGTCACAAAAGATCAGGCAGAATTATGGTAAAACAGATTTTCTATTGCTTCAAAGAGAGTAATGAGTTGGTCGAGTCATGTTGTGAGCCACATGTGCCTCTAGAGCATCATGCGATATGTGCCGCCGTCCAGTTCCAATCGATATATTGGAGGCTCGCCACCGTCCATCGATCTAGAAGAGCTTATGCTCCAGGGTCATGTCGTTCTCCGGTTCAAGACCGACGCAGGCACGGAAGATATTAGTGAGAGCTGCGCGCTGCTTCGCAAGAGCATTGACAACAGGTGTGCCAGGAGGGGTGAGTGGAGCCTTGAGCATGTAGCTGAGGACACTGAGAACGCTGTGAAAGTTGTTGAACTTTGCATCACTAGCCTCGGCGCTGTGGGACTTCCACTGCACACGAGTCATCATCTCGGCGACGAGAACCAGATCGATGATCAATGGCGAGGCTAGGAGAGAGTCCTCGCAGACATTGAACAAGCTGATGGTCTGGTGGCCGTCAAGGAAGATCTCGGCGTAGTACTCGTCCAGGGCACGCTTGTCGTCTCCAACAGCGGGCATATACTTGATGACCACACAATGGTCAGGGTGCTCACCGTCCTTGTACAAGACGTTGTTCGCAGCGACCATGTCGTCGACGACGTTGGACTTGGAAATCTCCTTGGAGCGGAACTGCTTCTGGGAGCTAAGATTCATGCCGTCATTGTTGCCCAGGTGATTGTACGAGGCAATGGAGGTGAGCTTGATACCAGCGCTGATCATGAAGTCAACCAGAGCAGACTTCATCTTGGTTTGGCCAGACTTGAAATCGTCGCCCCCAATGAAGGCATTGTGCTGCTCAGCAAGCTGAATAGCACCAGGCACGAACGTGTTCTGAGGGGAGCCGTTGATGAATGGAACGCCCTCAAGAATCGAGGCAACGGCAAAGACAGTGGAAGGAGAGACCTCTTCGTGACCAGACTCAATAGCCTTCATCAGGTTGTCCGCCGTGTCGTTAACGCCCTCGATGATGTCGGCGTAGCGCTCAGTGTTAGCAGTCCATTGCACAATAACCTTGTCGAGATTGTTGGCAGCCTTGAAGTCACTTGATCATTGTTAGCGAGGACAAGAATGCAGTGTGGAAGCTTTCGACTTACCGGATGTCCTTGCGGATCTGCTCAACATGGGCCATGGAGGCCTTGGTACCCTCAAGAACATTGTCGGCACGCTCTTCTTGGTTGGCAGCAATGAAGTCCGGGTAGTAGATGCTAGGAAGGGGCTTCATAGCGCCCATCTCCTTACGCACAAGGGACTTCAGAGACGGCGATAGAACCTTGGCGCGGTCCATCGCTTCAGCAAGGTTCATCCCGCTAATGTCCCACCCACCGACGACAAGGTCGTTGGGGTGGACCATAGGCAGGAGGTCATGAAATGGAATGTGGATCTCCTGACCAGTCTTGCTATCGACGCCGAGCTTAGTGGTAGATCCCATGATGACCGAGCCATAGTAGTTAGCGCCGCGCTTGCCCTCCTTGGTCTCCCAAACGAGGTTTCGCTTGTTCGCGATGATACCAGCGGTGACCGTAGTGCCATTGTTGCCGCCCCAGCCAACCAGCATAACGCCGGTCTTGGGGATCTTGCGGTCGACCTTGAAGTCGTAGAGCGTCTCCTTGGGAATAGCCACATACTTGCCGTCGGCGTTCTTGGTAACGTCGGTGGTACGGTAAGTGTACTTTGACCTGATGGTTTCCTCGGTATACTCTACGTTAGGAGAGCTGACAACAAAGAGATCCTTGGGAGCCGTTTTCACATCGAACCCATTCGCGTGACCGACGCCGTCTTCTGCGTGTGGTGCCATGTTTACAATTGAAGTTCTTTCTGACTTGGTGAACTTAGTTGCGGAAGTCTAAATCCGACGCTGCCCCAGAGGGAGAAGTGCGTCGGCCGGCGAATGGGTTGTGGATCCTGCCAAATGTCAGTATAAAGCGTCCCCATGGGGTTATAGCGGGGCACATACGAGCTGAGGAGATTGGAAAACGTCTTGACAGCTGGGCAATGGCCCGGGGAAATCTGGGTGTGGTTGATAGAAGGGAGAGAGATTGTAAGCTTGACAGTCGGCTGTTATCTACAATCGGTGGTGTGTTGTGGTGGGTGAGGAGACATGGAGAGAAGTTGCGATATAAATGCCTCCCGTGTCCCGGCTGACTTAGCAATAATCGTACGCGATCGTTCCCGCCTGCTGCCGGACAGCGTGTTCACCCACCGCTTCTTTGCCTTTACCTTCCATACCCCCCACTTTTCGTACTAATGTACATCGCCGTAACCTTGTTCGGTATGTCCAACACCAATGGGCACGCAGCAGCAGTGTTCGCGATGCTCGCCATGCCCCACTATTTCTTCCACCATCCCAACATGCAGCAACAACAACCGCAGTAGGTATGGTGACTGTGTAAGCGATCCGGACGAGAGCGCTCTATGAGTCTCAAGCGAAGGCACATTGCATGGACAGCTGTCATCGCATCCTCGAGTGTACCGCTGTGGAATTTTATTATTTCCTCCTATGAGGTACCTGTATAGGCAGATACTACGTAGGTATTCAACAGATACGTACCCCGCCATCACGTGCTCCGTACTCCCGTAGAGGGGACCTCGGGGACTTCCAGCCTGCAATGGACGTCTCATGACTTTCCGCGCAGATGCGAAAACACGTCTGCCCACGAAATGACAAGCATGGTATTTGGAGGATCCTGAGCCACGGATTGTTTCAAGGCACAGTGGTGTCGTCAGTCAAGCGCGACGGCAGCACTCGATACGTTTTCTGCGTCAAAAATGTTTACAGAACGAAGGAAAGGCACGCGACACCATCTGCAACGCATTTTTGTCTAGCAGCCGCCATGCAAGACAGCCACTGTTGACAGATGACAGATGCTGCTTGTTTGCGAAATATCTACACGAAACCAACAACAAATCGATAGTATTAACCGTAATGGCAGACACATTGAAAACCAGACCCTGGGATCGCTTGCAGGAACGACGAATGCGGCAACCTGCATGTGAAGTTTGCTGATCGCCAATCAGCCTCGCAGTTCGCCATGGGAACCATGTCAGCACATGCAGAGCGGGCAGGGAGAGTGACATCCTCCAGGGGCAGCAGTTGGCGCAATGGTATGCCTTCAACTGGTTGAAACTTCTGGCTCTTGCGACAGATCAAGCATTTTGTCTCGTGGTCCACACCGACATGAAAAGATCATGAACGAGAAACTGTTGACGTAGCGAAAGGGGCGCTTAAGCCATGGATAATTGCTACATGCAACGTAGATCGACCAGCGAGAACGACGTCGCATATGGCCAATCACGCCGAAGAGTAATGTCCGGCCCTGGTGGCTTGATAACGCATGGGCAGCAGGCGATCAGAGCCTCCAGCCACCTGCTCGCTGTTGCAGGACTTGGCTTTACTGTTCTGGCAGCGTTGCTGCCGCGATTTGCGACCTCCTTGAGCTTGTGAACTCTGTTGACTTCGGTCCGCAGGCGTGACATCGTGTATCGGCGATGATGTTGCGTCCGAGACTCTCCGTCGCTTACTATGGTTTCATCGCAAGTCGCCGCCGCTGGAACAGAGGGAACCACACGATTTGCCCAGGTACAAGCCGTCGCTCCGTGCGCACGCCTGTCGAATCATGGAAACCAACTCGCACGACGTCTCGCGCCAATTTTCAGGGACGCGCGAGTTACGTGAAGGGTACACACAAAGAAAGCGATTTGTGCGCTTTGCCTCTCGCTATTGGGCCTTCGTGTCTAATTGCCGATCAGCCTTGTTGTGCGATGCGAGCTGTGTGTGGCCAACGCCCAGACACGGTCATAACCGCTCTCTTGATCATAATTCATTAGCATCAAATACCCAACATTGCGCGTGTCGATTGTGGGGCTAAACAGCCTCTTAAACCGCAGGATGCAGTGACGCTAGCTTTTATCCCGCTGCCGTCCCTGAATGCTAGCCAATTCGGAACCATGCCCGCATGCTTCCCCTGATTCAGCAAGGCCCACCCACACCGTTTCTGAGGATCGAACAACCCTGTTCAGCTTTGTTTCTCGGCGCGCCCATCTATCATCCGTCCTCGAAGACTGCCGCATGACTTGCTCCCACTTCATGTCACCAACCTTCATATCGCCTTACGAATTAATACCGCTGGACGTGAACGGCCTTACATTGCATGTCCAGGCACGAACGGCCTTGGACTTCTTCCTCGAACCAGCTCTACAAACACGCTCAACATGGAGCGAATGAGCACTCTTCCGACCATCAAGTGTTCATCTTGCGCTGTGGACATTGATATTCTTCATTTAGCCGACCATGTTTGCGCAGCAGCACCCCCATCGGGTGAGTACAATACGGAACACTACTATACACACAAGCTTATCAACTTAGCAACGACGGTTCCCGAGCCCATGTCCCCCACCTCAACTGTCTCTCCAGAATCTCCACCCTCTATAGTCTCGCCGAAACTCAATCGCGCAGCAACTTTTGGTGGACCAACTTTTAGCAACAGATCGGACCGTGTACCGCAATCGGGTCGCATGCCTCCTCCTCCACGGATTGATTCAAACGCAGCCAGTAAGCAAGCAGAGCAGAAAACCACTGTTGCTGGTAGACTTCGTGCTGATTTGTCTAGACAGGCCATTTCGACCGCTAGAACCATCAGTGATGACTAACCAAAGTGATCCCAGAAGCCGCTCTCCAGGTCTAGTACCGCCAAAGTCTCCGTACAAGATGAACCGCAGTGTGACAAGCCCTGTTCCGCGATCCATGGCACCCCCATCGCCCGATTACACTTCCAACTTGGACTCTGCCTTCCCGCGATTTCCGTCCAAGAACAGTGCTTCCAAAAATGCCAAACCTCAACCGCGAGAACGACTAGAGCCGTACCAACAAAACTATGCTCAGCCGAGCCCTCTTTTTGCACCACTAAGCCCACGGTTCGATGGCGGAGAAAATGTGACCAAGCGTATGAACAGCATTGCGCCAGGGCCATTTGACGGTACGGCAGATCGAAGGCCAAGCACAGCGAGCGCAACAAGACCATTTGCGGAGGATGGGCAAGCACTTGGCCATAGGAGGACGGGTACACAGGATAGTATCGGGAGCAACAAGAGCATGCCGAAACAGCGCGGATCTGTCACTTCGAATGCGTCACGAAGTTCGGCATACTCTAACCGCAGCATAGGCCTCCCATCCCGCCCGAAGCCGGGCATGGGCGGTACCAATGCTTTGCCGCCGCTACCAACCACATCCGAACAGGCCGAAGGTATTGACGCTTTCCTGGACCGGTTGCAGAGAGAATCTACGAAGCCTTCTCAGGCATCTCAGGAGAACTTGGCAAGAGCAAATCCGTCACGACAGAATAGTAGAGAAAGGAGAGAACCTCCACCAAGGCCTAGGAGGCCGTCAGAGAAAGATCTACCACCATCTGATATGACTGATCTGCAACCTCCAGAGTTTATGTCTCTCTCGAACAATATGTTTCCTTCTCGAGGTTCAAGCCGAAGCGGTTCAGAGAGTGATATGCCTCGAGGCCTCGCGCCGTCTCACGCTTTACGTCCACCGCCACCGGTAGCTTCTGGGCTTGGTGATGCGTCCTTGAACGCGCTCCACACGCCTTCGGACTCTGGCTTCTCGGATGATTCGTACGCCAGCTCTGGCTACCGAAGCGTAGCAAGCTCGAGGTCAAGCCCACCGGAGTCCGAAGCTGCGCACTCACGCCAAACTTCCAAGATTAGTCGTCCCGACAACATTGTTGAAGAGGGTGTTGAAAGAAGCGCAAGCCCAGAGTCCTATGCTGAAGCACGGCCTGTTCGAGCACCTCGAAGCTACATGAGGCCCGATGGTGCGGAGCCATACCCACGTGCGCTCTCACCGGGATATCGCCAGGACACATTTCCGCCCGGAGGATATGCAAGGTATCCAGAGTCGCCTATGGATCCCGCCATACAGATGGGTGCGCCGACGCCACGCGACACATTCGACCCGGTATCTCCGCAGGACCCAGCAGAAGTCAATGTAAGCCCACCGAGGCGTATGGCCGATCCCGAACCTCAGCAGCAAGAGGTGCGCCGACCCAAAGCTTCTAGCAAAGGCAACTGTCGCGGGTGCTCCGAACCGATCGTTGGAAAGTCCGTGAAGGATTCTTCTGGTCGCCTTACTGGACGCTACCACAAGCATTGCTTTGTCTGCAGAACGTGCGCCGATCCCTTTCCGACAGCGGAGTTTTATGTCTTCGAGAACTCGCCATACTGTGAACAACACTACCACAAGCTCAACGGATCTCTGTGCAATGCCTGCAACCGCGGCATCGAAGGCCAATATCTCGAAACGGACTTGCGCCAAAAGTTTCATCCAAGATGTTTCACATGCACGACCTGCCGCATCGTCCTCCGCGACGGTTACTTCGAGGTCGCTGGCCGGCGATACTGTGATCGACATGCGCAAAGTGCCGCAGCTCCTCCGAGGAGTAACCTAGGCCCGGGCAATTACAGACCGCGAAATCTCCAGAAGCGTGGTACAAGACTCATGATGATGGCTTGAACTGCTTACTTCTAATGTTGCCTTTATTGCTTCTTCTTTGCTTATATTCTGCTTTTCTTTTGTCACGTCCTTTAGCGATCTGGTTTTTTGGGCCTTTTGCATGAATATTCACCCTCTTCATTCTTTCTGATACCCGGCCAGTCCGCTGTTTCTTTACCATCTCTTCTGCGTTATACCCCTTACTCTATACATTCGCTACACCTTATAATTATCTTTTGTATCGGTGTTGAATGATAGACAAGCACCACTTCTTGTGGTCGCTTTGGGTGGTGCTTGATATACCACTTTCCGTTAGACAGGCTTTAGTCTCTGGGAGACTGATCTTACTTTGTTTATCACGAGGTCCGACTGCACGTGTACATATCTATGTAGCATACTTAATGTTTACTGTTCATCGCGGTGAGCTTATGAATATCGAACATGAGGCTTGATTGTGCTTCCTTATCTCGTGGTAATATATCATCACCGCATTGCATGGCACACAGTTTCATGAAATGTACAAACTAAACAGCTGAAAGATCCCAAAAAAAAACATAGGCAGCCCTGGAAGAGGGCGCACCCGTTGACAACCAACGTCATTTGTCGCTATGCTGGCATGTACGCCTACACCCAAGAGCGAGAGTCGACTGTTTGGTCGATTACTTACGTCTGCGACTTGGAGATCTCCATTCAAGAATCTCCATCGCGACATCGTTTTGCACTTGCCATAGGATTACCACTCGGATAGTCGAAACGCTGTCATACTTCAATGATGCACGAACACAATACATTCAATCAAGTAGAGAAGTATATATACAATGTCCTCGATGCGCTCTAGGACCTCTTGCATAAAAGCCATAACATCTTTTGATACGATACAGCTACAGCATCTATCAAAGCCTAAGAAACAGCGTTGTCTGTCCGACTAAATCAACAACCACCAATTACATAAAGAACATGTGTCTCATGGACCAGTCCCTCTTACATCTATCAAGAAACCCAGATCCCCTTCCTCCTCCCACTCCTCCTCCATCGCCGCCACGTCCAAACTCAGCCAGCTCAACTGGTAAAGCACAGCCTGCAATCCGCGGCCCGGTAGGTTCTCAGCATTTGAAAATACAAATCAAACATGAACTAATATCCATGGAAGAAACCTGATCCTACAACGCCGTCACCACCGCCTTCTGGTCCGCCCAACTCGCCCAACAATCAACTTCAACAATTGGACTTGATTTCCAGCGCTAGGAATTTTGTTATAAGTTGTGTCTAGGAGCCAATTGTGGAAACGTACAGTTAAGGGTGTGGTGTGTGCCAATGGCTATCATGCTAGAGAACGCAGGTTATCGAGTTTGATGGAATCTGATGACGGCTCTGCAGTACATGCTTGGATACTGTAGTTCCCAACCTTTCCCCAACACCACAGACGACAATATCCCATAGCATGATATCACGATGCAGATGAACATACCATGCTACTACCCTAGCGAAGCTTACTTCTGAGCGATAACCACCCATTGACTAGCCCTCATCCATACTTCCTCTCCAACCTTCTTGGTGCCCTCCTGCTCCAAGATATGCTTCACAAGTAGATCGACAGCTTCGTCCCATCTCTCACCATCCGTCTCCTTCCAGCCCCCTATGTTACCCAAATACGCCCAAGACTTTTCTGCCCAGTCCTTCAAGTCGGTAGTCTTCGCCCACGCCTCGCTCCTTTCGACTCTCATATTCTCCTTCAAGAAGCCTGCTTCCAACATCACTCTCTGGATTTGCTGCCCGTCTTTCCAGATGATGGGAGGTGCTGGGTAGGGGTTCCCTGGACGGAGTGCTTGATGTACGAGCGCAAAGGGTGGTAACCAAGTGACATCCTCCCAGCAATTTACTACAGCGGTCCCGCCAGGTTGAAGTGTACGGTAGATTTCTTTGGCACCGTCGAGACCAGCACCAGTAGTAAAGAAAATACCGATGTTATTGATAGAGTGCGTAAAGTGGTTGTCGGGAAACGATAGACTCTCAGACTTCTGGTTGGACACATAGATCGGCCAGGAGTTTCTATCTGCATCTGATCGAAGCTTGTCGAGGAAGACTTGATCGATATCCGTGGCGTATATCTTTAGATCTGATAGCGCATTTGAGGAAAGAATTATGCGAGAGACTGTTCCGGCACCACATGCGTTGTCATGGATAACCGAGGTTGGGGGTATGGGTGGGAGGAGAGACAAGTTGTGAGCTGCAAATTGAGAAGTAACGGCGCCACCTGTGGCTTCATACACATCGACTTTGTTTTGGCCTTCGAGTAAGATAGCGACCTGTTTTGGCTGGTGTTCAGTGTTAGAAGCCATATCAAAGTTCTGTGGGTTTATGCTTGGGTATCATCAGCCTCTTAAATACCGATTTTTCTTAGTCCAATACCACCTGGTGATTATGCTGCAAGTGTCGATTCGTGCGTCTGTCAGGCCGCAAAGAACTTAGTCATCCCTTTCATGTCTCACGCCTCTGTACTGTCAGGCAAGCTTGATTGGTGGATCCGTAGGCAGTCGCACGTGGTGCTTACTTCGGGGAATGGATCATATTTTGCCTAAACAGACCTAGAAGATTACGGGCTGCAGTCAGAATCATACTATGACGGACGACCTGGACGCAGTGGCGGACTTCTTCAGAGCCGGAGATGACGGGGCTCGGAGGAGGCTGGAGCGGATGACGCGCTCCAAGCTTCGGATCCGGACCCCTCGCGCTAGAGTCAGCAGTTCTCGTCCCTCTTCCCCCAACAGTACAGTCGCCTCGAACGATTCGCAATGCATCGTGTCAATGACCCCTTTTCCTCGAAGTTTCTTGGTTCGTTACCAATCAATATTGCCCCTCTCACAACGCGATGATCCACGCGAATACAAGTGTCCGCCTGCCCGACGACAAGAGGTTACGCCAGCAATATTTAATCGCCCTACTCACGCAATCAAACGAGTATTATCTAGAGATATGATGCGAGACATGGTGTATTCGATGCGCTCTCGACAGAGTTATGTGAACAGCTCTCGACTGCTCTTTTCTGGACATCGTAGTGACATACTATTACATTCACTACGTAGGCGAGAGAGATCTGAGGTAGACGGGTAGTGGTTCTTGACACGTTGAGAGTGTTGCAGATGAAGCATGGTCTTGGTGCACTGATACACCTGATCAAAAAGGGCAAACAGAATGTTCGTGGTGAGCGCCAGCACATTTGAACAACCCGATATACTCAAAGACCTGCCTAGATAGGCTTTTAGCCTGTCACAGTTCTCCATAGTCATGGTCTGCAATACGAATTGCTGCAAGAAGCCGTATCACGGTAACATTCCGACTACTTGGCTCAGCATCTCCTGATAGGTATTGCACACTGTTGAACAAGAGTACAGAATTCTGTACCGGAATCGGTTCAGTATAATAGATCGCCCGAGGTAGCAGTATGGTCCTCTCCTAAGCAAGTTCCTAGAACATGTTCTTGTACATCCTCTTCCTGCTTGGCATAAGCCATGCAACTGCGCCACAGCCACAGTTCGTGTTATCGTCACTACAACTCAAGCATTGCTAACTATATATAGTCCAATATACTCGCCTCTACGACCACCCTCAGTACCTCTGGCAGTTCGGTCGCCTTACACCAGCGCCTAGAGCACGACTTATGGTGGCAGCACACTTAACAATCGAAACGTTACTTTTTGGAACGGAAGACCTATAGGATGGACTGGTATTGTACGTGTGGATGGAACGTCTTACGAATACATGGGGGACTCGCCTTCCGTCACCGATCTCCATAAAGCAATACCGCTGACCGTATCTTACGACTCACAGTACGTAACATTCCTGTATGAACTGCACGTGAGATATAAATTGACTTCGCACACGTAACTATAGCTACAGTAATTTCACTTTTGACGCTGGACCCGTGAGAGTCGAGGCGCGATTCTTTTCTCCTATCCTGCCGCAAGATCTCTGTAAGAGTAGTGTTCCGCTCAGCTATCTGGAAGTTGCGTACATCACCACCGATGGAACTTCACATGATGTACAACTTTATTCAGATGTGGATACCAGTTGGCTAGCGGATGGCAATTCAACGATGCGATGGAGTATCGACTGTCCCGGCGAGTCTTTCGATGATCACGAATGCCCAACCAAGGGCACAGGAACTCCCGAAACATTATACCATTGGTGAGTTCATTGAAAGAAGAACATGTTTGGTACGTATCTGATTAGCTCGAAGGGAAGCAGAGATCCTGGATCAGGTTTCATGGTCTGAACGTGGTCTTAGAAGTGAACCATACTGGGGCAAGCTACACTACATTTCTTCTCCTCGCCATGCCACAGAATTCAGTTTCGCCAATGGATTAGCAGCCACTACACGGAAGCAGTTCGTTCGCGACGGCGCACTGGATCGTTCCTTTGATCAGGATCAGCCTCGACGGCCAGGCGACAGGATGCCTGTGTTCGCTTATTCCCATGCCTTCATGGCCAGCCAGTCAGGATCGGTGTTATACACCGTCGGTACGACCCAAGAGCCTGCTGTGCACTACCGTACCGCCATCGGGGATGTCGAGCTTCAGCCATGGTGGATGACGAATAATTGTTATTTCACCATCAACAACATGATCAGTAAACACTACCAAGACTACACCGCTTCTGCGAAAGAGGCCAAAGTTTGGACCATGCAACTTCGCCATGACGTCGCTACCTACTACGCTAGGGATAGAGCGAAAGATGACAGTACAGAAATATCTTCTATGTCGGAAGAGGAGTCCTACTATGCCATTCTTACACTTTCCACTCGCCAGATCTTGGCTGCGAACGTTCTCACAGAATCTGCAGACAACGCTACGGGAGCAACCATCTTCCAGAAAGAAATCTCCTCAGACGGAAAGGTGAACACAGTTGACGTGATCTATCCTGCATTGCCCTTTTGGCTTTACGCAAATCCTGAGCTTCTTCGCTTGCTGCTCAAGCCCATCTTCGAGTTCCAGGAGTCTGGACTCTACCATGAGCAATATGCCATGCATGATATTGGTCGCTTTTATCCAGATGCTATAGGCTATTTCAGCTCAAGCATACCGGGCGAGTGGGGCGAAGAAGCCATGCCTGTTGAAGAGAGCGCCAACATGATCATCCTGGCTTATTCGTACTTCATGGCTACTAATAACACTGAATATCTGGCAACGCACTTTGATATACTCAAACGATGGACGGTTTACGTGATTGAAAAGAGCCTATATCCTGAACATCAGACTACTACAGGTAAGTCATGTTCTAAAGTAACAACGCGTATAGACCCATATTGACGAGACCAAAGATGATTTTAACGATCCCATCGCCAATAATACTAACCTCGCGATAAAAGGTATCGTGGCCATAAACTGCATGGGTGGTATTGCCTCAGCTCTCGGAGACATCACACTAGCGACCAGATATGTAACCTTAGCATACGACTACTACGAGCTCTGGGCCGCCTCATCTATCGATACCACCAATACCCATACCCTCCTAGCCTATCAGCTCCCCAATTCATACAGCATTCTCTATAACATTTATCCGGCTCTCTTGTTCAACCTCCGCTCAATCCCCAAGTCCCTCTTCCTCATGGAATCAGCCTTCTACCCCACTGTCGCCCAAGAATACGGCGTGCCTCTCGATAATAGACATCTGTGGACAAAGAGTGATTGGGAGATGTGGGCCGCAGCTACGAGCCTACCCCAGACGAGAGCTTTGTTTGTGAAATCGCTTGCAAAGTGGATCAATGAAACAGTTACAGACAAGGCGCTTACCGATCATTACATGACGACGGGGGATGGAAACTATACAGACTATCCGTTTATCGCGAGACCAGTTGTTGGAGGGCATTTTTCGCTACTAGCCATGGGAATGTTTGGAAGACATGGTGTTCCGAGTGAAAGAAACTATCGAGAGAGGTGAGCACTACTATCAATGTGTAGTGGGATATATCGAGCTATAATAGGGATGTGGTTTGTGGGGGCTGAGTGTAAGAAGATATTCGATTACGGTTGTTCCAGCAACCAGGTTAGTGTCCAGAGGGATTACTTGTTTCTTAGAGCTGTACCCTAGCTATGCGACACCCTGACGTTTACGCTATGTCTCACGCCAACTTGATACAGAATATCTGACGGTGTGTAGCTGTAATGCATAGTGTCCATATAGTACCACTGATGAATAGCGGGCTTGTTTGTATGTCATCACGTCACACTGCTTGATGTAGCTTACTCTGGATCGCTACGATGATGCCATGTTTTTGGATTCATTGCGTCTGTGCGCTTATGGAATACTTCCTTCTAATCCATGCATTCCCCTCTTCTCGAGTCATGCATTCGAACATTCCTTCATGTTTTATCAGGCCCACAGGAGTGTCTTCCCTGTCTGAAAATCGAGAACAGGAGCATAATCGGACATTTCTGTGCAAATCCATCCTGTTATTAAGGACATGAGGAAGGGAAATTTCAATGTGGTGTTGGTCAAGGTAGATGAAGGATACAGGCGTCTTGATCGTTTGCGGCGTTCACCACTAACGATCACGCTCCTTGAGCTCCTCTGCAACAGCCTTGAGACCCTTCTCATGCTCTTTCTGAATCTGATCCCAGTACTGTGCCCAGACACGTAATTGTGAGTCGTCCTGGCCTACGCCAGCCTCGGTACCCATCTGCTTGTTGATTTGAATGGACACTTTGAGCACACCCTTAGCACCCTCGTGAATCTTCTCAATCTCCTGCTTAACGGCGTTCTCCTTGGGCTTGACGGCAAGTACAATGCGGAAATTCTCTGCAAGCGAATCCAGGCGCGAGCGTACCTGGTCTGGTGCGATTACCATGAGCTTCGTGAGCATAAGGTTGCATAGGATTCGGATGTCGTGCTCGTCAGTGATACCAGCGACAATGCGGTCGAAGAAGTCTGAGACCTCGATGGGTGATAACCGTGCAAAAGCCTTCTCAAGAAGAGCGTAGAGAGTCTCGTAAGCGCTCTTGCGGATCTCTAGGCCGTCGTCGACCTTGAGCTTGAAAGGACCCATTTGAACCTCACGGATAAGCTCGGGTTTGATGACGGTCTCCTTCATAGCCAGTGGAAGCAGCTGGTCTAGCGCAGGTAAAATGATGTCGGGTTTGTTGTGCATGGCAGAGTTGAATGTCATAAGAGCTAGACGACGGTTCTCAAGATCCGGCTCGTTAAGCATCTGTACCAGCATAGGTACGACAATCGGTTTGAGGTATTCGTCATAAGCTTCGTCGGTGTCGGTGAAGGTGTATCGTAGAGCAGAAATGACCATAGCACGTAAGCTTCCTTTGCGGTCGTTCAAGAACGCCTAGATTACTGGTTAGCTGTTGAAGACACATATAGGAAGTAGACCTTACCTGAAGTTGAGGAAGATGAGTCTTGGGATCGATGATGGTAAGTCTGCCAATACATTCTGCACCGATAGCTTTATTGTCCTCGAGTTGAGAAGCAACGACAAGATTCTGCCAAAGTGTTGATGCATACGGAATGATCTCCGACTCTGTATCGTCGTGCTGAAGGATTTCCTTGATGGAGTGTAGGAAGAGATACTGCGGAGAAGAGGGTTGTCCCATAGTTGACAGGATAACGGGAAGATACTTGCTGACGCTTCCAGCACCTGCTCGGCCAAGCGCGACAGCAGCCGCAAGTGGCACGTTCTCGGACTTAGTAGAAAAGTACTTGATGAATAGTTTCGGATCGACGGTAGATTGAGCGCCTAGGCGCAACGCAGACTCTCCAAGCACAACAAGAGCAAGACACTTTCGCTTGTCGTCCTGAGCAGTCTCAAGCTCGGTGATGAATTGCTCGAGCTTCACGCCAACACTGTCGCCGCCATATACGAGCAGGTTACCGATGACCTTGCCGACAACCTCTGGATGCCCAGATACACCAACCTGTTGTAGCAGCGCTTGCATTAAGGCTTGTCCAGCGCGTTGCTCGCCGATAATACGCACTAGCTTGAGAAGTGCATCTAACGGCGTACCGCTTATTGAGCCTTGAGCAACTTGGCAAAGAGCCCCGTTGAGGTTGGATGTCATTGTGGTTTGCGCATCATCCTTGACGAACGTAGCCAGGATGATAAGAGCCGGGCCTAGGAGATGAAGGTCACTAGCGTTGAGCAGCGGTAGCAGCATCTCCACCACCTGCGCTTTGGTCTGGCTATCGAGCTGGCTCCGCGACAGCGAGTTCAGTGCGAGAGTACGGAGGGCGCTCAGACTGGCACCACGCAATACACGACTGGCCTTCCGCAGTTGCGCAGCCAGTTCCAGTGCGACATTCTGTACCCACTCGGCTGACAACTCGTTTTGCGCCTTGGTATGGGCAGCAACCGAATCAACAGCACGTACGGAAGCGAGCCGTGTGAGCTCGTTCTTCAGGCGGTCCGCTAAAAGTTCAAGTCCAGACGTTCGCTTCTGTGATGAAAGGAGGCCCTGCTCGCCAGAGCTCCTACCAAGTAACAGTCCCAGAACGTGGATAGCACTCCGTCGAACTTCAACGTCGGCGTCATTCGCTGATATCCGGTTGAACAGCGCATCAAATAGTTGCTCCAGATGCTGCTGGTTCTCCGTTCCGGATGTGGCTGCTCGGGGAGGTGTGAGCGCCTTGATAACTTGTTCTGTTGCTGCGAGAGCCTCTATAGACAATTTGCTGTATTTGTCCTTGACCCCAAGAAGAAGCGCGTCGATGATGGACGCCACATACGGCTGAATGGACTTGGAAGGATGAGTGTCGGCAATGGCTCCTATCAGCTGCAATGCTTGAGTGCGCAAACTATTGGCGGTGGCGGAAGCACTGCTTGTGGTGCCCCCAGCAACCTTGGCAGCTTCTACTACAGGGCCGATGAGTTGGTTCAGATAACCATCCAGACCACCACGCTGGGTGATAACGATGTCCTTGATTAGAGAGATGCATGCCTGTTTAGTAGTGGGCGGGCATGATGACTGCTTCAGAAGCTGCGCAATGCCCTTGACGATGTCCGGGCTGAGCTTGGCTAAGCTGGCCCGGGGACCGACTGGAGGTGTACTAGCTGGTGCTGGTGAAGCATAGCCCATGGACAAAGATGAGCTAGCCTGCAGGTCAAACATGCTGGCATCACTACCACCACGGCGACGCTTCTTGCTTGGCGGTGGTAGCATCATCCCGCTTTGATGAATTTCATCCGAGAATTTGACAGGCGAGGGGCCGTCACCCGACTTCTTGATGAGGTTGGATAGCGTGGCCATGACTTCCAGACGGACGTTGTCCTCCCGCTCTCTGAATCTCGTTATGAGTGCTGGGGCAACCCGCTCATAAAGGGTTCCGTCTTCGAGAAGATCGCCATTGCTTCGCGTAGAAATCAGAGTGTACAGCACCTTGGCTGCACACCTACGGACCTTCCAGCTCGCGTCCTCATCATCATCGTAGCCTGTCTCTTCTTCAAAGTCTTCACCCTCCAGCGCATCTTCTTCGTCACTCGGCATGTCGTCGTCATCTTCATCATCGTCTTGCGCGAGGTTCGGATCGTATTTGAGATAGCGTGTTGCTGCTTCGATGGCTTCGTTGGTGTACATGCGCATGTCCTGCGAGCAAGAGGCAAGGAAGCCATCTAAAGCGATAAGGGCGGCTTCCAGCACCTCGTCGATTTCGGGGTCACGTTCACCTTCGTCGTCCGAGACGTCCATCTCTTCGTCTTGCTCTTGTGTGCTCAATGCGCTGAGGACAAAAGGCGCCAGTGTCTTCAGGTAGGGACCGAACTTGCGTGGAATGGAACGGGCCATGGATCCTAGAATGGTGATGTACAGTTTCCGCTTGCTGCGAGTGATATGGGGATCACGTAGAAGTTCGATGACCTTTGAAAGGAAATTGCTCAGTAGCTGGTCTGAAAAGTAGCCAGCCAATACCGAGACGGCTGTGACGGACTTCTTCTTCATCATGGAACTTGCTCGGTCGTTCTCGAGGATTGCAAAAGTAATCTGCTGCAGTGCTTGGATTTCCACATCCTGCAACATGGAACCAAAGCACCGACCGACTTCGATGAGAACATCGAGGGCGTTGCTGTCTGAGCCCTTTTCCAGATCGTCCTGCAACATGCCCTTGGGCGGCTGAGTCAAGCCCTGCTGGGCTGGTGGTATGACATTGTATCCGATCAGACGCGGAATCAGGACCCTGCTGATGGCGCTGTATGCATCTAGTACCGACTTGCTGCGCGCAGCGCCGGCGGTGGGACGGGGGAGTGATATGACGACTTCTCGCAGGGCCATGGCGGGTATGGACTGGTCGACTGTGTTGCCTGTGGGGAGAGTAGAGAGCTTGTCGATCATGACAGGCAGCGTCTTGTCATTGATCCTGTTGACAAAGGGCCCCAGACACTTGAGGGCTTGGTTCTGAACCTCGCCATTGGTGTCGACCAGTGTTGTGAGCAGTCCCTCGACCGTCTTTGCCGAGACAACATCATCGTGGAGGAGCAGGCCAGGATGCGCTACTTGGAGGATGTCGTGTAGGTCGCTCAAGGCCATGAAGCGGAAATCGGGGTCATCGTCGGCGAATCGGGGAAGCAGCTGGGCTACGTTATGGGCGGTCGGGTTGGGCGGGACCGAAGAGGGCGCCATGGCTGGTGTTTAGAAGGCTTGCAGCCCTTCGCAGGTCTGGTATCACAAAGGTGAGCCCACAGTCTAGGGCGCGTGCAGTGTGGCGGGGCAGCTATGGTGGGGTTGAGGTTGCAGGGCAGCTCCAAAGTCGCAGTGGAGAGGTCGGCGAGTGAGAGACAAAAAGAAAAGCTGGTGAGAGAGCTTTGGTTTATTGTGCGAGGCGAGGTACCCGTGGGCCGGTTTGGAAGAGAAAGAGCGCGATGGAAGGTTTTGGACAATTGTTGCCTGCGCGTTGCTTTCGAGAGCTCCAGCCTACGCACGGCCTCTGTGACTTCGCAGGGGACCTTGAGCTTCCCAACATGGTAAAAGTATGGCACTGTTTTACTCTTCTATGCTTGCTGGACAAAGCCTGTAGTGAAGCGTATATATACGTGCTTTGTATGCAATACTTAGACAGCTACGGCGTGTCTTAACACTGCCTACTCGGACAATTGCTGCTTCGGACTGACTGGAGACACAGCTCGCTCCAACCAGCACAACAAAGGCCAACGAGCGTACACACGTCAAAGCTTCATGCATTCCGTCTACAGACCGTAAAAGTGTCGGATCAAACATGTCGAGGACCACACGTGATGCAAGAACGCGAGCTAGACCTCGGGAGCAGGGGCCACATTGTGCACTGTTCCGGTGACGTACCGATAATTCTCACGGCCTGACGTGATCTTCCTCTTGCGCGCATCTCAACTCCGATTCTGCCACCAATTGCCCATCGCGAGCTTCAATTGATCCATCTACAGCTTCACCATGTCTTTCATCAGGTCTTCCGCACTACGCGCCTCCTCATTAGCTCGCGCTGCCCGCCCAGCGAGGTATATCCGCACTGCCGAGCTCCAGCCATGGCAACGAGCTGTCCAACGCCGAACATATGCCAGCGGCCACGGTCCCGAGGGCGATGCTAAGAGCAGCGATGTCCCATGGTATGTCAAATTACTTTCCGATGATTCAGGCGTGCGCGAGCGTGGACATGCGGCGTATATCTTGGTTGGAATAGTGTACAGCTTCTGAATAGAGCATGGGGTGTGTGTGTGGGAGTACTATTCCGTTTTTGTAAAGCAACCAGATTGCCTACTTCTTATATCAAGTCTTCGATACACACTTGATGCTAATCGGATCTTCAGGATGGCCGCCGCCGTAGTTGGCACCGCTGTTGGTCTCTACACTGTCGTAAACCAAGATACAAACCACGGCGCCGAACACCACCCTCTCGGCGACCCACATGGCGAGGGCGGTGCCCAAAAGACTGGTACCGGATCTACCGTAGGCGAGGAGAACAAGCAGGATGAGCCTGAGGAGGAGACCAAGGACGAATCCAAGGAAGAGTCCAAGGACGAATCTAAGGAGGAGCCAAAGAGCGACCAGCAGGACCCATCCAAGCCCACCAAGGAGAACAGCGAGGAGAAGGACACGCAATCTCCTGACCAATCTGACAAGGTCAGTATAGCTGCAGGGTGAATGTTGATGGCATGCTAACTGGTACAGCCCGATCCCCGTAAGGAGGAGACCAAGAGCCAGAACGAGATGTCAGGCAAGCAAAAGGGACTGTCCAACGACAACACCGAACACACCTCGCAGATTTCCAAGCAACCCGAGAAGAGCAAGAAGGGCGAGGGTGTTGCTGAGACTGCTAAGCTACAAGGAACTGTCTCTACCGAGCGTCCTGGTGCGGAGAACAAGGAGGAGCGTGGAAAGGCTCAACAGGACAAGGACGCATAGATTATACCGTCGTCTCCATCCGATTCACCTCGATCGCCATAATACCTCCACGGTGCCGCATACCCGCTGCCCTTGTATAGCCTCGAATCAGATCAATTGATCATTTCATACTTGATTGTGTCGTGGGACTTCACTAGCAGCGTCGGAGTTTTTTCAAAGTCCAACCACAATATCCACCGGTAATTTGTTCAAGATTACTGGAATGCTGTTAGCGTAATTGTAATGCTGTTGCCATGATGCAAGCGTCGTTGGCTTGAAACAAATCGACGGTTCGACCCGCTATGTCTGCGCCACTGAGGCTGTGCTCATCATGTTCAGTCTGCATCGTTTCCACTTATGAACAATATTTGTCTAGATGCAGGAGAGTGTCCATCGGCGCGACCCAACAATGGTCATCGAAAACGCGTAGTGGAGGAGGCAGCCTCATGATTGGTTAGAGGATCTGGGCCGAGCCACCCGTAAGCGCCCGCCATCTCGCTCCGCGACGCTGTCACACCTCAACTCCAGCCTCGATTGGCCAAGCCCGCGCCTCACTGCATGTCTAAAAAGAGGGCCATCTTACGGCGGGAGCTCTACGAATCTCCATTCACTATGCTGCTCGCCTACGACATGAGGCAGGGCCAAGAGCCAACCGGAGCGCAAGGCGGCTCTGATGCAGGGCTGGCTTTCTTTGGACCTCGTACTTGTGCATGTACCGACTTGACGTGCAGGCCTTTGACCTGATATCAGACCTCCTGGCCCCCGGCTTGATCATCTTCTATAATCCAGCTTACCTTTGGACAACTCACAACTAACTGTGCCACCGGATATTGCCGCTGGCTCTGCACTCAAAGTCAATAGCGACTTCACATACGATACAGCTTATCTCTCGACGCCTCGATTGCAGGCATACGTTTTCCGTGAACCAACGCGCATCATGGATCCGCGACAGCATGGACACAGCCAGCAGCTTCAGCCTAAAATGACCTCCCGACAACACAACAGGTTTTCATGGCAGCAACCTCTCGAAGAAGATGCTCCGGCCTACCCACAATCGCAACAACAAACTCCACAGCATCAGCATCAGCCATACCAGCAGCCATACCAGCAGCCGGCACAGCTTCAGCAATCCCAAGTTAGCACTGATGCATCGAGGCACTTCTCCTATGCGCAAACACCTGCGGAGATGCGCGCCTTTGTATATACATCTTCGCCAAATGATCCTCCTATGCCACAGTCGATACCAATATCACTGCCAACATCGCCAGTGGGATACACACCTATCGATCCGCGCCCGCAATCGATGCTCGATGCGCAGCTTCCGGTCGTTCCGCCCCAATCCCAATCGGCTTACACGCCGTCGTCTTACGCGCAGGACGTTAAACCTCCAGTCTCTCCCGTCTCGCCTCAGCATACATCGCAAACGCAACATTTCTCGCCCGTCTCTCCGATACCACAGCCACAACCTAATGAACAGAGATCCGAAGTTGATACACAACAAAGCAGACACGCGCGGCAGATGAGCAATCTGTCCCCCATCAACACAAACATCCGGACGTATGCCATGCCTCCCATCCCTCCTACACCACCTTCAGGTACACATCAGACCTCGCCATTACCGCACAAGACACCAATCACTCCTGTCTCTGCCAATTCAATGCACAAAGACCAGCCACGGATCGATCCAACATCTCCCACGAACCGAATATCGCCATACCCAAACGAGCCCTACTCACCGCACGGCTTTACATCAGGTCAAAACAACAACTTCCATGCGGTCTTCTCTCCTGATGCTGCACATGGTCCCAACGGACTGGATTTTGCTGCACACCAACCAGGCCAAATTTCGCATCCGAATATGGAACTCGAGAAATCAAAAGAATGGTCGAACGGTCTCTGTGCGTGCAGTCCGGATCCTTCAACCTGTCTGACGGGTCTCTTTTGTCCTTGCATTCTTTACGGCCGTACATCGTACCGCCTTTCTCAAAAATCTGCAAAGAAAGACCCCACAGACATGCTCGGGCATAGCTCCACTAATGGACACTGTATAGTTATGGGATTGTCATGCGGACTATGGTGGCTGTTTCCCATGCTACAACGAACACGTATACGGCGTGCGTATAAGCTCGATGGCAGTTTTGGAAGCGATCTGCTCAAGGGTTGTTGCTGCTGTTGCTGTGTCACGGTACAGAATGAGAGGGAGGTCAAACACAGAGAGGAGGTTAGCAGACGGTGGGCCGGTCCGGCGAGTACAGATGCTTACACGAGGACTGGAGGCATGGTGTACAAGCCACAACAATAGAGAATGAGCATGTAGACCTTGCATTTGTAGTTTCTTTTCATTCAATGATACCCACGGTCCTTTTGTTGTGCTACAAGCACATCTTAGATGATTTGTCGTAAACAAGCATGTGCGTACAGTGCCCAGTCATGTGTTCCGTGCAATAGTTATTACCACTGACGCCTTCACAGCAGAGTACAAGCGCGTCCGCCTATATCCATTGCTTTGCAGAGCTTGCTTTATGTGCCTCGCCATCCTTCCTCTGCTGTATGTTGCCTGCATGCATCTCACCGGCTATCCCACCTGCCTCCCTTGAACCCTTCATCGGCCACGACGCCTAACGCTGCACAATCATTGCACATACCTGGACATCTGATCGTCCGCCTTTTAACGTTGTAAAACCTACAAACTGTTTCGGGAACGCCGTCGTCGATAGTGTGACAACGTATAATTCGTGCCATCGGAGTGTGTTCGTGGTTGCAGTCTTTGTACTGAGTCCAAAGTCTTTGACACATATCCTGAGTAGGGCTGTAGAGCTGAACGTATGACTTCGAGTATCACGATTTGAGCTTGTTGCTTTGAGATATATTGATGCTTTTGGTGCTATGTTCCTGCAGCGCTTGCAGATATGTGCTTTGGGACTTGAGAGTAGGTATGAGGATTAATATACTTCCTTACTGAGAAACCGTTTTGTAGGCATGGTTTATACATTCACGACTTAGCCAATCGAATTCCCGTCTTAGACTGATGAACTCCTCGTACTGTGAGCTCGCTCATTCACGTCTGCAAGTGTTGACATTGACAAGTATGTCTGTTATACTCTTCTGCAAATAGACAAGGCGGTTGCGTGTGTCTGAATGGGACGTGGCAGAGGCTGGTTAGCCGGATGAAGCAAGAGAGCTCAAAGTGTCTTGTTTATGAATCTAGTGTCATGTGCTTCACCGACTTGTAGGTAATCACTTACTCCGGTGATCGACCTATGAGCTGGCCGCCTTGGCCTTGAGCTCCTCCAGCTGCTTCTTAGCTGCCCACTGCTTCTCCACGTTGATCTTTTCCAGTATCTTGTCTGCGCCCTTTTCGATCAAGACCTTCGCAACCTCTTGTCCCATCTCTTCTGCTTCTTCTGCTGTTCGAACTTTTCGTGCTGCCTGGTACTCAACAAATTCTTTGCCATCTACACTGACTACCATGGCACTCAACACCAGTTCTTGGTCGTCGATATCTGGCTCTTCCTCTTCTACTGCATTTCCGTGTTTGTCGTAGTCTTTTGCTGGTTGGGTACCGATTGCGAGGCCCTTGCCGCCTCTCCATGATGTCTCAACACCGATAGGCACGCTGCAGCCTCCTTCCAAGGTGCGTAGTAGCGCTCGTTCGGCCGAACAGGCTCTTGTTGTCCGCTCGCATCGGATGCCGCTCATGATGTCCTTCATGGCCTTGTCGTTTTTCCTGATCTCAATGCCCAGAGCACCCTGACCAACCGCATGCAACATACCTCCGCTCGTGCTACTCAGATATTGTGTGATTCTATTATCGAGCCCCATCCTCTTCAAGCCGGCTGCAGCAAGAATGATGGCCGAGTATGGCGAATCTTCGGCATCCAGCTTTGCCAGCCTCGTTCCGACATTGCCTCTGAGATCGGCAAACTTCAAGTGTGGGTATAGTTTTCTTAACGTAGCGGCTCGTCGTACAGATGACGTACCAATGGTAGCACCTTGAGGGAGGGTCGCTAGTGTAGTCTCCTTCGGCAGACGAGGGGAGATCAAGAGGGCATCGCGGGGATCTTCGCGTTCGAGGATGGCGCCGATCTCGAGGTGATCTGGCAGCTGCGTTGGCATATCTATGCTGACTGTTAGTCTGCCCTATTACGCTCTTTTAGTATCTGAGTTCGATGAAGTACCCTTCAAACAGTGTACGATGATGTCCAGATCGCCAGACTCCAGCATGCTCTCCAGTTCACCTGTCCACAGACTCTTCGCGTTCTCGCCCTGGCTCAATTGCTGCAGGGGTGTGATCTTGTCCCTATCACCCTGCACCACAACAGGGCAGATGTTGAAGGTCCGGTCCGGGTAGGCATCTTTCAAGCTTCTCTCGACCGCGCGGGCTTGAATTTGGGCGAGTACCGAGTTGCGCGTGCCAATGTTGATAGGGGGAAATTGCGTGCTGGCCGATGTGTTGAGGCCTTCTGGATTGGGATGAGATGGTCCCTGGATATCTGCAACTGTTGCGGAAGCCATGGTGGATTGCGTATACGTCAAAAGAGTGGCGTGGTGTTGCAATGATTACTAGGAAAAGATCTGGCTGGAGATCTGGCGGGGTGTGTGGAGCATCATCAACGTCATATTTACCGCGGCCTAGCATTAGCGTCAGGTACACTCTTCAGTTGACGGGCATGTTGACCTGTCAAAGACGATCATACATGGGGTATAGCAAGCTTCCAAAATCTTGAAACACGATTCAAAATGAACAAGTACCGTTTCGCAGGGCCAACACACGGTATAGTAACCTCGAAAGATGTTGGTTTGAAGTCTTTTTAACATTGATGCATTATCTATTGCTACAGCGGCAGTTTGCCTACAATGAATCTAGTCATTGAAGAATGTGTTTACTTGTCTCCAGTGTTGTGGAGAGAGTTGGGGAGAGCTACATCGTCGTCAGCATCGCGGCATTATTGGACAGCTGGAGGACCTTTACCTCGCTCAACTGACTCAGGAACGATCTCCTGGATCTTCTTGGGCACGACCGAGTCCTCGCCATCGTTAAGAGCGTGGGTCTTGCTTGTAGATTGGCTGTTGGGGTTGCTGCCAGTGGGGTGGACCTACGGTCATATTAGCGAGCGTCAAGCCGCAATGTACAGATGTTGTGGACTTACACTCTCTGGCAGGCTCTCCTCGAGGCCCTTAGGGGCAGCCTCTTGGACTTTGTTTGGGACAGCGCTCTGTCCAGTGGCGTGCGAGGCACCCTGTCCGTGCTGGTTGGTTGAAGACATTCTGATGGAAGTTTGCTTGAAAAGGTGTGATTGTTGGATGAAAGGTCTGGAGATGGTGCGGAGTTGAGTAGTGAAAGGCATGTTTGGGATGCAAGTCGAATGGTATTTGAATGATTCTGATGTAGGGCCTGATTACAGCAGTTTATGTACGTATCAATGCTGATGTAACGCTTGTGGTGACGCCTCTAAGCCTGGGTCTTACCTGCACTCCAAACAACGCGTCATGACCGTGTAGTTCATATTGCTTCTCGTCCCATCGCTAGTGGGATTCTGCAGGATTGTGGATTATTATCCATGGCTGCAGCCTGAAATGCCACATATGGTGATTTAGGTATCGCGTGCGGAGCGGTCAGCACAAGATGATGCCGTCACGGTGAGGCGTAGAGCGACTCCGCGGCGAGCTTCACGGGGGCGAGAAGCCACATTACAATAGACGAACGTGATCATCGTAGATGTCGACATACATGTTTGCCTCCGACGTACCGACTTTCAGGGTCCGAGGAGCTATACGAACAAGTTTATGTAACGTTGGTCTGCGGTCGGTCTCTGAATGGCCCGATCGCGCTCCCTGCGTCCCTCTTCGGATTCTCGTATACTCGACACGCCACAACAAACCATTCCACGTTAGGTTCGTGTCATATGTAACCTGTGGTCTGGGCAACTGTCGTCATCACGTCCTCTTGCAAGATCTAGAGGAACGTAGATGCCTGGTGAACATGCGATTCGACCTTCTCAAAACATCAATTACAGAACGATGGGCATTTCCTTGCTTCAACCTCTGCTTTTTTTGCGAAAGACCTACGTATGGTGTTTCCAGCCCTAGGTTGTTTACCTCATTAATACGGGAAGCCGAAGAACTGCGCAGACGCAAGCAAAACTACAATGAGTAAGGCAAGATATGCTACAGATTGTCAAAATGTCAATGATTGCAATCGTGCGTGGTGGATCGATCATTAGTGAGAGTATATGTTATTCCAGGTTTAATCATTACAGCTTTGCCCTGACCCAGCTTTCGAGTACTTTTTGACTTCCCGTGCCCGAGTCACCCTTGTATCCCAGTATTCGTTCGAAGATCATCTCGTCGTGGCACGCTTTTGGTGTAACTACTGTAGTAACTAGTCCACCTTTACTACCAAAACCTTGTGTGAATTTCTTCGCAAATGCCTCGATGCCATCCTTTAGGATTTCGTTGTCACCCGCCCATATCAAGACTTCTTCTACGACATCGGCAACAGGCTCCCACCATTCTGGAGCTGCTAGAACAGGCTCGTTGTAGAAATCGCCGGCAAATGGAGAGTCGGAGCCTAGGAATGCTGATGCCCAACGAGAGAGGGTTCGCGCGTCAAACATATCACGTTGCGCGTTTGTGACAAATGCTGGTGTATTGGTTTGTGTCAAAGAGCACCACGGCGAAATGAGCAGTACCGCGTGAATCTTGGACGGAATGGACAACGGGGCGATCTCAGGATGTGGGTGTGCGAGGTGCGAGAGTAGGCCAAGTACAAGATTGCCGCCTGCGGAGTCGCCGCCCAATATCAGATCGGAAGGGTTACGGCCTTCTGTATGCACAAGGTAATCAAGTAGCTCGACTGCTTGCTTCAGCTGGCTGGGATACCTTGCCTCGGGTGCGAGGTCGTATGCGAGGAGGAGTGCGGATACATCGGGACCGAGGGACTTTTGGAAGTCGTCGAGCCACAGCATATGACCTGCAGTGCAGGGCGTTACATAGCCGCCACCTATTCATGTTAGTTGGATTTTACCAATTCTGAGCGTCCCGTCTTGCCATTAAAGTATACGAAAATCGTCTTCGCACTCCTGCTACCCAGCCAATGCGCCTGTGTTCCACTAGGTAGCTTGATGCTATCAGGTACGAACTTGTATTTCTCCGCATGCTGCATGTATGTGGGAGTTGACGATGCGCCGTTCGTGTACCGGTCTTGCGCAAGATCGAGGTTCCCTAGGTTGGTTCGGAACATGGCAAGCATGACATCTTTGAAGTACGTGTTGGACCCATTTTCGCCTTTGAATGGTGATGTGACGGAGCGTTGGAGAGCTGAGCCCACTGTTGGCAAGATTAGTGTTTGTTTTTGAGAAGATGACGTAGCGCATACTGGCTTTGAGAGTCGCCGAAGCGATGCCCAGTTTGCTTACATTCTGATCTGCCATGGTGTCGTTGTGATGGTACATGCGATGCGAACAGGACGCTCCCACCATCATCAACAACAACAACAACAACAACAACCCAGCTAGCTACCCCATGGTGCAAGTGGAGATGCAGACTAATCGTGCAGGTGCGGAGGGCATTATCCGATGAGCATCCCGAGGTTGGCGATAGTCCCCGCAATCGCTCCTCGGTTACCCCGTACTATGCCCCATGAGCTCTAACCTGCAGCTCGCAAAAGTCATCGCTGCTGTAGTGTCCCAGCTCATGACTCGGGAGAATCCTGCCACCGGGGCTGCTCATTCTCCTCCTGAATCGCAACCCACACATCCATGATCAGCATGGCGTCGCCGGCGGAGGCAGATACACCCGAAGGGGCCCCTAGAGATGATGGCTCGGGCGATGGTCAGCCCAACAAAAAGCGCAGGACTGGCCCCAATTCGCGTGGCGTGGCCAATCTCACGCCTGAACAGCTTGCCCGCAAGCGCGCAAACGACCGCGAAGCTCAACGTGCCATTCGAGAGCGCACCAAGAACCAGATCGATCGCCTCAATCAGCGCATCCGGGATCTGGAGAGTCAGCAGCCGTACCATGACCTGCAAGTCGTCCTCCGCGAGAAAGAGGCGGTCCAGGCGGAGAACGCAGATATCAGGAAGAGGCTGGAGAGCGTCCTGAGCATCATCCAGCCCATCGTTCGTGCCACGGGCGGTCTCAATGGCATGTTGACAAGGCACTTCGCAAGGAATCAAGCTGACGATACGTAGAACTGGCAGCCGCCGCCGAACGGTCGCCCCTTCCCATCCACCCTCACCAACAGCGCGACGCGCCTGTGCAACCTGCCGAACCACGACAGTTCCACATTGCCTCGCACGAGCTATCCACGGCCTCACCCCAGAACGGCGTGCATTCACCGAGCGTGACCGAGGGAGGAAGAGCTTGGCTGTATCCCAGCGATGCGCCAAACAGCCACCTGCGCCGCTACTCCAACGGCAGCCCCGGTCCCCATTTCGAGCAGTCGCGAACGCCCCATCTGCAGACTGAGATGCCCTTCGACGAACGTCTGGGCGTGGATTTTATACTCGACAACGGGCAAAGGAGAGCTGTCGATCCAAACCTGCCTCCACCGCAGCAGCCGCGACCCAGCAATGTGAGCAGCAGCCAGCATGCCATGTATGCGCCGAGCATGGTTGCGCACCTCACACTCCCTCGAAACCTTCCGGCAACATGTCCCCTGGATGTCATATTGCTCGACTTCCTCCAAGATCGACAAAATCGCGCTGCCGAGGGTGTGCCCATGAAGACACTAGTCGGACCACAGTACCCAAACTTCACCTCACTAGCGTATCCCGACCGTGTAGTTGATGCGCATCCGCTGTCAAAGCTGTTCACGGACATTCTACGCACATTTCCAGACATCTGCGGTAGGCCAGAGCAGGTTGCGATAGTCTTCATCATGTTCCTGGTCATGCGCTGGCAGATTGAACCTACGCAGGAAAACTATGATCGGTTGCCGCACTGGGTCACACCACGACCTTCTCAGCTGTTCACTGCCCACGCTTTGTGGATTGATCATCTTCCATGGTACGTACCAATCGCTGCTCTGAACTGTTTGGAAAGAGAGCACGGCTAACCTACTCCAGGCCTCGCCTTCGCGACAGACTCGTCACTAGCCAACCGCCCGTATCTTTCGAGAACTTCTTCATCCCCTTCACAACTACCATCTCGCTGAATTGGCCTTATGAGCCTCGCGACTGTCTCCTCCCGGCCTCAAAAGTTCACACCCACACCCTCTCGACAGCCTCGTCCGTATCCGTGTCCTCGCCTTTCTCCACACATGTAAACGCCGGCTCGCCGCAAGACCCTTCGACCCCGCAGCCCCCTGCTGCGAACAAGTCCGCTGGTATCACATCCATAGGCCCGCTGCCCAAGGAAGATGATCAATGGCTCATCAACCCGGCTTTCGAAACGCACCTCCGTGATCTGAACAACTGGACACTGGGCCCAAGCTTCAGAGGCAACTTTCCCGCATTTGCTGATTGCGTGAAGATCAAAGAGGGAAGGTGATGAGCAATGTAGATGTTATAATGCGTCGCGGTCAAGCGCTGACGTGTGGGTCAGGAAGGGTATTTATTTGGTATTGCATGTATATTTTATTGTATCATTGGAGGGTAATGAGGCGGCTCTATTGTGTATTAACAAGCATTTGGTATTGTATTTCTTCCGACGGTATACGCCTGGGCAGGCAGCACCGAGAAGCAGGCGGTGGGTGCTGGTGACAGGTGGCTTAGCATCATATTGGTATCATAACGACAACACGAAATTTATACCAACATCATCTTAACCCCGAGTTCGCCTGGTCTCTAATTGGTGAAGACGTGTGCTGGCCCCGCTTTTGTTTAGCAACGATGCCAACTCATCAGACCAACTGCCCCAAATTATTCGACCTTCCCTTCGCCGCAGCTGATACACCTTCAAACATACCCAGTATCCATACCATACGTCTTCTCACTATGGCTGTTCCTACACCAATCCGCGACCCTCTGCTGCAGCACATGTTCGCATATCTCAACCCTCGCCGCGATGAACTCCCCTCCCACATCGTTGAGACCATCGCTGGTGAGTAGCTCCCACTTCTTCAAATTCAAATAATTGATAAACCATGTTCAGGAAATCTCACATTTCTGGTGAAATACACTGCCGGTCCTAGTGTCCGCGCTTCCCAGATCTCAATTTCCGTGATCGACGTCCGTGGACCCAACAACAGTGAAGTCGGCCACAAGGCCACAGTCTGTATTCACGACGGCCCAGGCAAGTTTACAGTCGTGATGTGGAAGCAGGTAAATTGGGGTCAAAATGTCGTAATCGGGCTGGGAGAGAAAGTGGACAAGGCTATCAAAGATATCCTGGCGAAGGAAGGAAATGACGGATATGGTGACTTCGAGGGCTAGCAAGCAATTTGATCGATGCTCTCTTGTTGGACAAGAAGTTCTTGGAAGAAACTTGTTAGCCGACTACGTGAAGCTTCGCTTCTATCACCGTTCTCTCGACCTGGTGTCAGTTCATCTACAATAGGCTGTAAATATCGGCTAGTGATAGCATGAAGGATTCACATCACGTATCAGTGCCTAGGAAGAAGAAGAAGGTATGGGAACAGACATAGAAGCTCATCTGGAAAGCCTCAAGGCCGTGTACCGGTACTTCACCACCAACTTAGATTCTTACAGTGACATATACTTCCCTCTTGGCGCGCAGATACTCCGCCGGGCCCACTGTTTCCACCAGGACAATAGGAACGACGTTCTCAACGATTATCAGTTCATCATCTCCACTGTTGAAATATGCCTATTTCGCGCAGTAAATCGACCCAATATGACCATTGAATTTCCCGAACAGCGACTCTACGACTTCTACAGCCTTACTGCGATGAATGCTCCAAGAATTCTACCAACGGCGCATCGTCATTACAAGAAAGACGCTTGTTCATGATACTTTGTGGTATGTACTTGATCCATCCACTTCATCCCAGTCATAACCTGGCCAACATGCAAAGAGAACGTATCTAGCCAGCCTTCATCTTCCGATGATCCCCAATCACCTACGGCAGAGCGATTTCCCCACCAGACATCTCCGACGGCTCTCAAAACCGGTATTCTTGAATAAAGGGATATAAGGATCAGCCGCCTTGGGTGTGTTCGTCAACGAAGCGGGATGAACACACACAGTTATGTGCTGCTGTGTGAACAAGGACGATGAAAATGGCATGGTAGAAGTTTTGATCAAGAGCGTGATAGGGTACTAGAGAGTTTTTCAGAGGTGAAAGGGGAGAAAGTGTGTTAGCAAGACAGGAAAACGCAAGGTTAGCAACAGGTGCTATTATCAAAGGATCTGGAGACAGAGAGGGTGATTGGAAGAGTCTCAAAGTTGCGTGTGACATACGGAGATGTATCAATAAGAACAGTGCTGGGACGATTTCGAGGCACTGCAGCATGTGATAGTGGCGGTGAGGATGAGCATCTAGACTGTACAGTCAATGTTTGTATGTGTAACTGCAGTGGCTTGGCATCATGTTCTACTGCAACTTCCGCTTTTCCAAGCTCTCTCACTCGCAATACCACCTGTAGACAACGAGCACTCTCTTCAAACCTCGAGCCGCAACCGCATTGCCCGATGTCTGCGCCTCAGCCCGCAAGTGCGCTCGAACAGCGCATCTACGACCTCTTACGTCCCTTCCGCAACGAGTGTTATGAAGAAATCGATCCTGTAGACCAGGTCGCAGCGACCAATCGAGCAATTAAGCTTGAGCGTATTGTCATCGTTCTAGCTCGTATGTGCCAGACCCCATCTCACTTACGACACTGACTCACTCGTTCAGAAAACATCGCCTTCCTCGCGCACAATCATATTGCGAATACCGAAAACAACATCAGTACCTCCGATATCTTTGTGGTTACAAGAGGCTGGGCGGGAGATGGAGTGGCTACGACTGACGGTGCCATCGCTGTTTTGGTGCGTTATCCAGAAGGGTTTATGGGTGTTGTCAAGGCTACATTCGAGGCCAAGGTAACTATCGTCGATGCATTGTGTACCAAAGTTGACAAGATGATTGCTGAGAACTTCTGAAAGAAGCGGCAATGGCTGTAATGAGAAGGAATTGATGTGGCTATGGGAGGATTGGTCGGCAACACTAGGCAAGAGCGTAAGCTCGTGAGTAGTTCAGATAGTACGAGGTGTTAATTGTGGCCGAATGGATCTGCTAGCGCTGTCCTTTTGCCTGCACCTTACAACACTGTGTAACTAAGCTCGACCCCGAGCATCTAACGTGTGACGGGCTGGCCTGGTTGCAGTTGAAGTGAGGCTTGCTAGTCGGGAGATTCCTGGACGCGGCTCTGACTCGTTGATTACACCTGAATCACTGCCATCAGCGGCTGGACGCTGTTTTTCAAGCCAGACAGGTAATTGGTAGGTGGGATGGGAACATTGCACAGCGTTCAGTATAGGGCAGAGTAACCTCAACTGAACGATCAATGCGTCCTTGCCCAGTCCCGGTAAAAGTCCAGACATTCGGCGTTGGCTACGCTCGCGCTCGTCTTAACATTGAGTCCGCAAAGTATTTGCTTGACAGCTCCTTCTACCTTTTTCCCGTTAGTGGTAACAGGTATCTCTGGACATTCGTCCACGACAGCGGGAACATGGCGCGCACTGAGTGCTTGTTTGATCGTTGTCTTTATTTTTCCAACAAGATTGTCAGAAATTTGACGGCCTTCTGCCATCTTCAGGAAAAGCACGACCGTCTCATCTGTATCAGACTCTCTCCTTCGCCCAATGCAAAGCGCATCTGCCACATCTTCAGGGAAATGTTGGAGCACCACATTGTATATCTCAGCTGATCCAAAGCGTACGCCTGCAGGTTTGAGTATACCGTCACTGCGTCCGAGCATCCACAGCCCACCAGTGGCGGGATTGAAGCGCACAAAGTCGCCGTGATGCCAGATGGGCTGCTTTTTTTCGTTCGTGAACTTGTCAAAATATGACTTCCAGTACTTTGAATCTCCTTCTGGTCCCCAAAACGCCACAGGTTGACATATGAAGGGTTTGGTACAGACCAAGTCGCCCGGTTCGCCCGAGGCTGAGACGTCGGCACCTGTGTAGTCATACGCAGCGATCGCCATGCCTAAACCAGCGCCTTGGATTTCGCCTTCATAGACGGGTAGAAGTGGGTTCGGTGCGCCAAACAATGAAATGATATCCGTACCGCCGGTAATGCTGCCTAGGTTGATGGTCGAGGGGAAGGCGGAATATACATAAGAGAACGTCGAAGGGGCGAGTGGCGAACCTGTGGAATAGATCGCCTCCAATTTGTCCATGACAAGTCCAGCAGCGGATGGGTCAACGGACTTTTGCTCTAGAATGGATAGGTACTTTGCGGATGTGCCGAAGTGGGTGATGCCGAACTCATCTATCAGACGATGCATCGCTAGGTCGTCTGCAACGGAAGTTGACGGGTCGGACTTGTCTACATAGCGGAATGGAGAACCATCATAGAGTACCAATGTAGCCCCTGATGCCAGTCCACTGACCAACCAATGCCACATCATCCACGTACATGTTGTAAAATAGAAGAGCCGTGATCGGAGTGTCATCGAGCAGTGAATAATGTGCTCTTTCTTGTGTTGGAGGAGTGTACCGATGGCTCCATGGACAATACATTTGGGTGCACCTGTCGTGCCACTTGAATACAAGATATATACCGGATGGTCTGGCGGCAATTGCTTGAAGACAAGCTCTGACATTGACTTCAGTGCTGTAAATGTTGCGTAATCGTAGGTTTTGCCAGATTTTACAGGAATGGAGGTGACATCGAACTGTACTGAGGCTACAGTAGGGAAGATAACAACAGCTTGGAGAGATGGCAGGTCCCGCGCAATGTCGGCAACCTTGGGTAGTACTGGATGGCTGCGGCCGTTGTAGAAGGCAGCGTTGTCTGCAAAGAGCAAAGCCGGCTCGATCTGACGTAATCTATCGAGCACAGCGTGGACGCCTGTATCTGGGCTGACTGCTGTCCACACTGCTCCCAGCGACGTCGCAGCTAGCATTGCTACCAAGGCGCTTGTGTGGTTCGCGACATAGCCAGCCACTCGATCGCCTTCCTTGAGGCCCAGATGTATCATTCCGGCTTGGCACAGCTTTACTCTGTCCCTGAGCTCCTGCCATGTCACAGTCTCCCTTGTGGTTTCTGTTGCGGCGATAACAGCAGGTGAGGAAGGATCGACTGTAGTGGTGGGGAACAGGAGGTTCTCGGCGAAGTTGAGTGTTGCTCCCGGGAAGAAAGCTGGACGAGGAAACATGGGCGCGTCGTCATCCACAGCCTATCCATTGTAAGCAAATATAATGTGCATGAACCCAAGACGACTGACTGATGTTGGGGTTCCTTGGTGCCTGATACCCACGAAATCCCAGGCTCTTTGCCAGAAGCTGTTGACATTGTTGATACTCCATGCGTGTAACTCCGAGTAGTTGGAAAGCCGCAGATTATGTGTCTCATTCACCAATTTGAGGAACTGGTACATGGGTGTCGTTTTTGGAGAAGGATGCTCCCACAGGAGTTTGGGACCTGTTGGACTGCCATTGGTGCCTTTCGTTTCGTTCATCGTGTCGCAGCCGGTATGAGAAGTGCTTCCAGGAGCCGTAGCATCAGAGTTGGCAAAAATTTGAGGTTTACGGCTATCCAAGGCTTCCAACAATTCCTGACAGGGGCCTCGGTTCCCCCGCGCCCGATCTTGTGGAGCGGCAAATTCCGCTGGCGGATCGCGAAAACATCGCGGTTCCCCACGTCAGAACACAACAGCAACCCCATGGGCAGTCCGGTCCTCATCGTTTTCATTCCGCGTATCCAGTCCGAAACGCGTTCTTTCATCGACGGCAGGCTTTCTGTATATACTGTCTACGTCACTCTAGTGGGGCTGCAGGACTGCGCCACGCGTGTGCGAAAGCGTCAACTACGCGCCTACGCTCTCAATACGGCATGAATGCGCCTGTGGATCACCACAGCCCTCACAGCTGATTCACAGCCACCAAACTCAACATTCTTGCTCTCATTATGCCACGAAAATTAGCGACCTCACCGGTATGGAGGCACAACGTGCGGACGCAGTGCTGAACATGGGAAATGAAGAAGTAACCAGGCCTTTCATTTCCAAATCGCCATCACTACCTCATCTGCGTGTTTCAGTACCACGATCGGCACGTTGGCTGGGGCCTTTTTCACCGGTTTCCAGGGCGTTGGAAGCGTAGTCTGATGGTGTGTAGGACAACGCATTCATGCCTAGCCCTAAGTGGGATAGCACATGGTCTTTGCCCTCAGGCTTGAGCATTTGTTACTGCATCGCCTACTGTCTTCATGGATCTTTTTCATATAGTTTGTTAGGAAATTACGAGGCACATTCGAAACAGACCGTCTGAGCGAATCGAGGCATTGGCAGCAAACACCATGGGAAAAATCGGATGCAGGAACAATCTTACATCTGCCATGGCTGGGTATCAGGATCAGACGATCACCTGGACATGCTACGCGATGGCACGGACGTTTGCCTAATTTCCTTCCACGCAAATTTCACATCTGCGACGCTTCGGACAACAGTTCCATCTGCTTTGCACCTCCAGCGTTGTATGGCTCGTTGTCTGGAACCCTCCGGAACTTCGGAAATGCACTCATGATGGGATCGAAAGTCCTCAGTTGAAGCCAAATGGACCCGTATGAGCCTCTTGATGATGAGATGATGGTCCATGCCATCTGTCGCGACTACAGCACCAAGGAAGGCGGGACGATCACTGAATGCTCGAGGACTCATCTTTAGCCAACTTTTCGAGTGAGTGTTACTAATGCCGACCCATATCTCAGGTGGCCAAGACTTTGCCGTATGTGCTCCGAGCGCCCGAAGATATATGGTTTTGGGGACTGGTACCTGCATCTGTCATCTGTCAGCTAGATCGGGGGTGTGACGTGTGAACACTCGCATCCTGCTAGATCCACTGTCCTGCCTATAGCTCTGGGACTAGGCCTACAGATGGGTTCCTCAGGGGTATTGCCAGAACTGGCTGCAGGACCGCTACAATGCTAGTGCTTATCTTGGACTGAGCAGTGTTGAGGGCTTGCCAGTGGATCCAGCACTTGCTATAATCCTGGACATGCCATCGCAAGTGCGGGTCTTGTTTGATGCTGCAGATGTTCGCGTCTTTTCGGATATCTTATTTGCATGCTTAGCGCAAACACGTTTCGTCCGCAAGACATTCAGTTCCCTCGCCACGAATCTCTGACAACGGGATAGGTAGGGGTTGATACGCACCAAGCCCATACATTTGCGAGATCGACATAGTCAGGAGCCTGCGCCCCCATGCTGAGGGTATGCGACCTGCATCTACGCTTCCATAAACGGGAGCACTTGAGTCGGCCGATGCTCTTCCTTGGGTGTCTGTGAGTTTTATGGTCCATGTCCTGGCCTCTTTACCCCCTTTCTCCGCTGAAGGTACACACATGAAACTGAAGATGCACGGCTGAGCCGGAAGTTTGCGATTGGTCTACCAGTACGATAAGACTCGGATCTGTTGGATGTCTAGCCTGATATCTTCACGCATCTAGAAGATACCCGTGATACTCTAGTATCATGATGACAGACGACTAATGCCCTTGTGTACAACGAATTTGATTGTGAGTAGTAAGACCCTAAAGAGAGGTAAAGCTCGAAAGATTTCACACCAGCACCGGGAGCAGAAACGCCACCGGATCGCATCACAATCCAACGACTTGGGTAACAAGTAAACGATGCAGCTTACAACCCTGTACCATGCCCTGGTTCATTGCTGCTCTTACCAAAACGGCCAGAGCTAGTGAAGCTCCATGCTTCACGTTGCCGTAATAGATCAAGAAAGGGCGTCAGAAAAGGAGTGAAAGATACGAACACGTGCGAAGCAACCACACTGGCTTCAAGTCTGGGATACATGGGCACCATATAGACTTAAAAGGTCCCAGTACTGACCTGATATCAACATTACCATCAACCACCTTAGACTTTCCAGTATCAAATCAACCTTCGAAATCCAGCTTGTCGAAGTTGCTGGTGAGTTCGATGTTAGTTTTCTCCCTTGAGGTTTGTCTCGAAAGACTTTGGCTTACATTTCAGCACTTAGTACCAACCCCCAACACGGTCATTTTGATTCGCAAACCTTGCAAATATGGGCAGTCGCAGTAGGCGCGATGCCTTCTCTATCGAAAACCACAACCACACCATGTCTTCTTCAGCGGCCAACGAAATACGGCGTTTACCTTCAACCGCCCCATGCCCATATCATGCGGCTGTGCTTGCAACCGATTTCCGGCAATCTGGATCTCAGTCGGCAACATTCACACGCGAGATGCTCCAGTACACCCCACCCTTGACTCTGACGCAAGATTGGTGTATCGGCTCTTCAGCAAGCAGTGGGTGCACCTGTGCGTCTTCTGGAGGACCTGGGAGTGACAATATGTCCCGCGAGATCGATGCCATTATTCGAGCTTCTAAAGTTGCTGCCGCAGCCAATCCAATTCCCCCACGCAACGACAAATGAGACCGTGCCGGATCGGCAGTAGGAAAACCGTTTGAGTAAAGACTATTGTGAAACCTGGTATGGGTAGTTTCTGGATGGGGTTGTTTCTTTCTTGCAAAGTGCCAGGTTGCGAAGGTCGCTACGCCAAGGAACCTCCTCGGCACTGACATCTTAATGGAGTTCTTTTGAAGATCAAAACTGGGCAGTTGTTAGTACGGCTATCTTTGTAGCATACGATGTATTTTCACGATCTACTTGGCCAATTATATCCAGTTCGGCAAAAGATTTATCGGTCGCCGTTTGCGCCACAGTAAGCGATCGCTTCCAGTGTCGGTAGCGTGATTAGGTACGTGGGCTTCGATACGGTACATCAGATAATGTCGCCACTATGTTCAACACTGACGCATCTACGTGCAGGAGTGGACGCTATGATCTACAAGTCTGCGTCGTTACTGCAAGGTCGATCGAACGATAGGTGTGATATTCATCTCATGAAGGCCATTCAGATAGTGTTTGCTGCTTGGTCTAGCTGAACAGAAATGAACCCTGAAGCCGAGGACGGGCCCTCTTTGGCGCGGCTTTTAAACGTTGCTTCCAAGATTGTTCACCGACGCATCAGGAATTCGAAGATTCTTGGCCTGACAACCTCGTGCTAATGGTTCCATATCGCTGCTTGAGTTACTGTAACATCTTCGATCTGGAATGTAGAGCATTATTTTGCACTCATATGCTCTACAATAGTCAAAAAAATCTTGCCAATATTGAGATGATCACAGCGTCGTGGTATGTCATCGCAAATACCGCGGCCGCAGTGCGACAAAAGTCGGTCGTGAAAGGCATCGCAGTTCATCATCTAACCCCCTAATCTCGATTCTGTTCCCAGACTCGGTTGCACGGTACGCGGCAAACCGGTTCCATGGAAACCTCTAGTGACTGCCAACATAGGGGCCAATATCTACTTCACAGGCCTGGCTAACCTACTGAGGTAGACAAACGATGCCAGCGGGGCTTGGCCTCACGAGGCGGTGTGGAAGTGAGACTACCAGCTGAACTACTCGGTCCTTCGATGCCTCCAGTCAACAGACACCACGCCCGCCTACAGCCTTAGTGCTCACTCTCACTGAGAAATGAAACATGCTAGGTCTCTCTGAGATTAGAGATCTAGCCAATCTTCTATCGCTGTCGAATATGTCGACATTCGTAACGATACCTTGCAGTTCACTCGGCAGAGGCACAGTACCAAAGTCAAGGCGATAGTCTCACGCTGCGCCACAGCGCAATTGCGGCTATGATCATAAACTAATAAGTTTCAACTGCATGCGAAGGATTCGGATTGCGAAGGATGCATGTCAAACGAATCGCGCCTCCTATCCTTGTTGGCCATCTGTGGCGCGGTTGGTGGTAAGTGAGCAGGCTGCAGACATGCAATAGTATACCGATCCATTACAATCTGATACGAAACCGAAACTACAAAACATGGGAGATTTGGAGGATCTGCACGAGGAAAATAGTTGTGGGTATGAGGGCCTGTCTTTTCCGTCCACGGCGTCTTCATAACCAAACAAATAAGCTGCTCACCCACCCTCATGCACACAGACGCAGGGGGGGGCGCCTAAGTCTGCAACCAGGAATCCACCACGCTGCCACACCGCATGAACGATAGCGACTTGAGCTTTTGGTTGCGAAAATCTTCAGCCATTTGCCTGCAAAGAAGGATGTAGGCTTTACCGCTAACCCGGCAATCAGTCTGAGCCCAGCGTGCCAGTGTTAGGCGCTCCACGGCCGCGTGTGCCCAGGAATCGGCACCTTCCATCAACAGCAGGCTTCCAGAAGACTGCCGCAGCCCACCGGAAGAAGCTTCTATCAAAGCGCAAACCGGCGGTGACGCCACCAAGACCTTATCAGCTTACTTAGAAATTGTCGTCCGAAGAAGAGGTGCACAGTACCGCCGAAGTCGCAAGCCTTTCGTCACTACTTGTTTACACGTACGCAGCTCCCGTTGCGCACATCTGAGAATAGCTGTCTAGTAACTTCAGCAACAAGCGCGTGGCTGCAAAGAGACACCGCGGTCCTTTAGTCTTCGAGTTTGCGGAAGTAGACTTCGCTACGGCCAAGTTCTCGTACAATTTTGCTACTTCTCCATACTAAGACTGGCCAAAAGATTCCAGAAGAACGGCTGCATGGAACTAAGTCCGGGGGATCGGGTTGTGTGGTCCTGCCTCCTGCCCAGGTAACAAGGCTGTGTAAGTGTACAGCAGTGTGTCATTGGGTGACACTACGAAGTTTTACCCGGTGACGTTCTTAAGCAACGATAGGATCTACGGGGAAGCGGCTCATCATCCCATTCCTTCCTCTTTGGACCGACAAGGCTGCTCAGGCCTTGCAAGATTCTCTGCACCCTTGAGGGCCGGCACCCTTCCCCATATACATAGCCTGATTTCTACCACTCAAGTGGTCTGTACCTTGCACAATGGGTGTTGCCTAATCATCATCTTACCACATTGTCATCATAACCCTTATCTACACCGATCAAGGCCAGATTGAGAAATATACATGCCTAAGGCAGTCTCTCACTAATTTCGACAACGTAACTTTAATCTTGGGAGGGGACTTTATGACCCGATATCCAAGTACTACTGCATGTTTTTCTGCTCCACTGAGTACTTGGTATTCATGTTCGATCATGTAGCATGATAAAAAGTAACTGCATGCGGCTTGCGGTTCCGTGTTGAAGAGACCGCATCTTTCTTGGTACAAGCTCACTCTCAACGGTTCTTGCCCGATGCACTGCTCACTCGAGCTACGTAGCGGAGATACTCGGCTTTCCAGCTGCTTTATTTTGAGCGTGTCTGGACTGTATCAATCGCTCGGGATGCCGATCCCTATTTCGCGTGTAACTATGCTCGTCCGTGGAACGAGTTTGTTTCACCGCGTGAGCAAGGCTACATCCGATGCATGACACCACACGGCAGGCGCTCATGTTTGCAGACCCACCCCAACCTCTTAATTCTCTTGTCTGATTCGGCCGCGGAAGCTGCAATGAGTGCCATGGTCATGGGTCTGTTGATTCCAGAAGTTCGCTTGGGTTCTGTATCCACAGCCACGATCCCACGCCAGGATAGGTGTACTCCGACTCTTGCCTGATGAGTACAAGAGCCCGTAGCGGCCCCTAACCCGTATCCCCGATTCCATAACAAAGATCTAAACCTTCTACATACAGCTAGCTCACTAGGGTACTAACAGACGGCGAAATGAACAGGCCGAGTCATGCGACTCCGTGCTGTCAGTCGTAGTCAATATTGGGGCTGCGCAATGAGTGTGTGTTCTACACAGAGGAAGAGTGGCTCGTTGTATCTCAGCCAATGTCACAGCGTATGAAGTATAAGTAGCGCCTCACGCGCCGCTGTTGAAGTGTAGTGGGTAGTCTTTCTCATTTCCTTTAGAGTCTTGAAGAACAGAATGGCTTCTTCAGTACCGACGGCAGTGGTTGTATCAGCCGTTAGTCCTGGCTCTTTTCAGAATAATCGCCAAGTACATCTCCCGTCGTTATCTCATGGGCACAAGAACTCTACCGAAGAACATGGTAACGAACCCGCTGGCACCGCTATGCAAGTGCATCGCAGTGACCTCGACTGTGTTGGTATGTGGGCAGACAAAGAAGAACCCCAGCTCACTCAAGCTTTGGTAGATGCAGGTATTGTAGCCTTTGAAGTTTCGGTCCGGAAGCTACTGATATCGTCTAGTCCAGCTTCGTATATCCCGAAGAGATTGCTCACACCATCGCAATATACACGAAGCGTGTTTTGTGTCCAAAAACCACCTCCATATTATCGAACTCCTCGAGAGGCCATACGTTTTCAATACTACCGGTAGCATGTTCCAGGAACAGGCCGGAGGTACAACAGCCCCAATGTGCACATGCATTGTGATGATCGAGGTAAATGACGACGAAGCACACTCAGCGGCGACGATGACGAACGGTGGGGCAGCGCAATCGAAGGATCTGAACGGAGCGCGGTAGAGTAAAGCCCTCAGTCAATGTCTTCTATCATCAGATAGAAAATGATGAGATGACTGGTTGATAGCGCTCAGTTCAAGGTAGCAAACTAGGGAGTGTGGAAGTAGAGTATTGGAAGAGTCCTTGTTTTTGTTAGACAAAAGACCCTGTTCTTTACGTCTTTTCACCTGCACTTGCGTCATACGCTATCTGATATCATGTTGCGATGTTTTCGCACGAAATAGATGTCTCACATCTTCATTCACCCTTCGAAGTTATCAATATCAGCGACGACAGCGAGCGGCAGTACAACGCCCATCGTGTGTTAGCTAGATCGCCGTCAAAGACAGGTCTAGACTGAGAATGCGAAAAGCACTAGTTGAAGGCCCTCCTGTGCTGCTTATCGATAAGACAAGCGCACGACCCACCCCTCGCACTCATTCTTTTCGTAGGCCTAGCCCTCCTGTAATGCCAATTATGCAGCTTAGGTAGCATTTTGTGCATCTCAGTTTCGACCTTTTCTACGCTCTTACTGCAGTTGATGCAATTTCTGAGGCGACTACATGTCTCATTGAGAAGACAATCATCAATCCAGGTGCCAGTTCGCCCCCACATTCGACAATTCTTCTACCCCCCTAACGCGGCAATGGACTTGTCCACGGATGCCACCGAGCGCGTTCGTATGTCGCCCCTTCGTACTGAACGGGTTCGGCTAACAGTCATGGCAGAAGGGCTCGGTGCATCATGATACGCATGCTACACCACCACAATTCATTCAGAAGGAACATTGGCGATATCAAAGCATGCGTAAAGCTGACCTAGATACCGACCCAGACATTTTTGACCTTAGCAAACGCGACCAGTTTAGTGAAGATCACAAAGACATCTGGCGCCCTGCAGGCATCATTCCCGCGACTCAGATTGAAGCTGCTTGCCAGGCATACGCAAGGGGCAAACCACTCGCTATACCTGCAGAAGATGCGCAGATCTTCGAACATCGCGACTTCCCTGGCCTTCAAGTTATATCTGGACTTCTTCCCCCTGAGACACAAGTCATTTTTACGTCATGTCTCATGCACCGAGATCTGGCAGATGCAGGCCACAAGATCAACCTCCAGGCGGATTATGATATCCCGTACCCTCCGAAACCCACATCGGACGAACTGCGATTCGACAGTAGCTTTTTTCTGCGTCAACGAGCAGCACCGGAGGACTGTTTAATGCCGAAAGTTCAAAACAAGCTGAATCCTCTCAACAACGAGCAATTTTTGTACACCAAGCTTCGTTGGCTAACACTGGGCGAGCAATACGATTGGCCTACTCGTAGCTATGCAAAGCATGCAACGCCATTCCCGGCAGATTTATCAACACTTGTGACTGGTCTCTTTCCCCATATCCGGCCAGAATCTGGTGTGGTTTTGATGTACTCAGCTAAAGACTTCATGCCTGTACATCGCGACGTCAGCGAGCAGTGTCAGAGAGCGCTTGCAAGTTTCAGCGTCGGATGCGATGGTATCTTCATCATGGCACGAGGAGAAGATGATGGAGAGGGTGAGAATGCGCCCAGAAGCGTTGCCATCCGAGTCCACAGTGGCGACGTTGTGCATCTGACCGGCGACGCTCGCTGGGCCTGGCACGCAATGGCGCGTTCGATACCTAGCACATGTCCATCCTACCTTGCAAGTTGGCCGGCAGGTACACCAGGCTCTACAGCAGCCGAAGAGAAAGCCTACAAGAAGTGGAAGGGCTACATGGGCACCAAGCGCATCAACGTAAGCTGTCGGCAGGTCTGGGATTGAGAAAAACGGCAGCCACAGGGACGGCCCGTCTGGGGTATCCCATTGCAGTGGACACGAGTTCCTTTATGATAATCGGATCCGTACACTCGGTGTCGTAGTTTTGCTGACGGCGGCCGCGTAGCGTACTCTACGGTGGAGCAATCCTCGGAGTGTTAGTAACCCTAATTGCAGCACCTATGTGCAACGTCAAATTCAGTCCAACCCGAACAGTCTCTTGAATTATTGCTTAGTCTGCCACGGATCTATCGAAGTAAGTGTAGGCTGTGTTCTATTTAATGACTGAATAAGTGCAGCATCTTCAGGCACTGTTTCTCCCAAGGCGCAGCGTTCAGGGCAGTACCAGCGTTCCCCAATGCTCTCCAATTTCTTTTTCCTTGGCTTAGGCCACCAGCTCTTCTTTACGGGTTGACAGCCCGCCCCTAGCGAGTCAGCTAGCCCAGTACGGGAACCTGACGCTAGTATCCGCTATCATGGAGTTTTGGTTCGTCGGTAAGCACACTGCGCACTAGCTTTCGAAGCCACTAGGATACTGTGGTCGATTACTGCCAAATGAAGCAGACGGATCAATGGGCCCTGAACGCCATGCGGCAGAACCCTGGTAGTTTCTGACATGTTGCTATCTATCGGTGGAGGCTGCGACCTGCCCTTGCTTGCCTCGTGTTGAGGGTGTGAGCTTGTGCTGGTGCTTAGTGCACCCACTCTTGATTCTCAGGGTCCTGGGGGAGGCGCAGCACCAGATGGCTTGAAGTTTATATTACTCCCACGCCTCGGCCCTTCTCTTTGTTAGTGTAACGTTCACCTCTGCATTTGTCGTTAATATCCTCTGTTCTTGCTCATCTTTGCGTCGCGTTGCTTTTTGGAGATAGCTTGCGTGACACGTCATGGGGATCCTGAACCTTCCTCAGTTTCGTTACCACGGACCGTGGGTTCAGATGCTAATCGCCGGTCTTGGTGTTGGTTCCTCTGCCGGTATCTACGTTGCGCTTAATCTTCTAGGAGCTGGTGGTGGGAAGCCGGATTCAGCGCAGGTAGTCCAGGTTGTCAATGCGACGCTATGCGCAGGTACACAACCATACATGAATCTTATGGGTGACCTATACTGATCATCCTGTAGTATGGTTCTTCTCTTCGTCCTTTGGTGGCTCTATCTTGAACAAGCTTGGACCTGGCCTTACCATGTGCATTGGCGTTCAAACCTACGCCGTGTACGTGGGATCTCTCTGGTACTACGATGAGACAGGCAAGAGCGCTTACCCATACGCCGCCGGTCCTATCATCGGTATTGGTGCAGGAATGGTCTTTATCACTGCAGGCTACGTTGCAACTGGCTACCCCGAAGAAAGAGAAAAAGGATCCTATGCGACGATACTTATGAACATGCAAGCGCTCGGTTCGGTCATTAGTGGCATTATCCCAGTCATCATAAACAGGAACTCGGATACTGTTGCTGGTGTACCTCGATCAGTGTACATTGCTTTCATAGTCATCATGGTCATTGGTGGCCTACTGTGTCTAACTTTGCTTCGACCACACAAGCTCACGAGAGACGATGGCTCTGTTGTCGCCGTTGATCGACCAAGAGGAGTTTGGGAGGAGCTCAGAACGAATCTGTTAGTCTTCACAGACCCCATACTCCTTATGATGCTACCGGCATTTCTACCAGCTGAAGGGTTTTTGGTGTACAGTGGATCAGTAAATGGTAGGCGTTCGAAATCCGTTACCAGGTCAGCGCTTATATCTCTGCAGCTTTCAACAACAATCTCCGCACACGCTCACTGCTTTCTTTCATCGCTGTTGTCATACAGATACCAGCAGGGTGGGCGTTGCAATACGTCCTCGATTACTCGGGATGGGGTCGCCGCAAGCGCGGACTGGTCGGCTTGACAGGTGTTTGCATCCCTCTAGTCATTGCGTGGGTCTGGGAGATGGTATGTGTAGGCATCGACGGCTCGTTAACACGAACTAACATCACGCAGATCCGAACTCGAAACTACGATCGCAACAATCCACCCACCAACCCTACAGATTGGGACGAACCAAAATTTGGATGGATTTTCTTTCTTTTCATGCTCAACTGGACCTTCTCACAGCTTTGGCATAACATCGTCTACTACTGGATCGGCGCCCTTACGAATTCTCCTCAGAAGCTTACGCACTATGTTGGTGTCTTTCGCGGCGTGCTTGGAGCGGGTGAAGCAATTTGTTTCGGCCTCGATAGCATCAAGATACCTTTCATCGCTGAGGCAGGTGGCATCTTATTGTTTTATGTGATAGGGATCGCAAGTTTCTACTACTTGGGAATATATCATATGCAAGACACAAACTACGATCGAACCGAGGAGGGCGTGGTGATACCCAACCATATTCTGGAGACGGAGGGAGTAACACCAGGTCAGGAAATAGTTTCAAGAGACAGAGAAGAAAAAGAGGGGCATGTCGCGGAGAGCGAGAAGGATGAGTCGAGTGGGAGTGGGAAGGTCTGAATCCCCATCACACGCGTTCACCAATTTCGGTATCTTTTACCAACATTTCTCATCAAATATGTTGTAATGAACCATTTCGCAAATCCTGAGCGTCATCCGAGGCTACCGCCGATAATACTGGCAACTATCGTTCCATCGTCTGACCCGCTGGAAGTATGATTCTAATCTCCACTTTTGTTTTTGCTTCTATGCCGGCCTATCGCCCGATCCCTGCGCTATAATAGGCCAATATAGACGGCAGTGTAGCACCATGCATAGCCAGGTCATAAGAAGACGTAAGCCTGCTCATGAACGTGCATGCGGCAATGAGAGACCCTCGCTCTGATTGCCATTACCACCCGCACACTATACCCCAGCAACACGCAAAGCTCTCCGTCTGTAGGCCCCTCGGTTATGCATGTACAAGTCATGTTCAACTCAGTCGATCGCTACCCATCATGTAAACTATCCGAAAGCATGGCAATGCACAAACGGGCACAAACGGCATAGTTACCCCCACTGTATCCAGCGACGGGCCGTCCCCATGGAGTTGCGTTATCGTACTGCATGTTTGCGGCGTGGTCGTCGCTTGATGAGGGAGTGGTTCACATTCACCAAGCTTGCATGGGCGATACTTAGGTAGTGGGGCAAGGAACGAGCTGACTGTGATCGAGGTGCGTACGTTGACATCATCGGCACGGTACGAGACTAATGCGCAGGAGCTTGGAGGCGCAACGGAAGCATGTCTCAATCCGGCGCGGGGTCGTGTTCGGGCGTTTGGAGAAGCACTTAAAAGGTGGAGACTAACGGGCGTTAGTGGACGGGAATACGTGTTCTAGAGCGTAGCCCAAGGAGTAACGATCTGCGGGGATCTGCATGCTTCGGAAAAGATTTCGCTAAGTAGTACTGGAGAGAACTGAGCGTGGCACAAATCGTTGGAGAATCGTGTATTGAGACGTTATACACTAGTTTTTCGTCAAGAGCTGGAAGTCGGTGGTAACTTCGGATACTTAGCAACTCCCTCCATCACCACACAACTTCTCGTGCATCTTGGCGACCTTACATAGCCACCCTCTGTTGCAGTCCGGCTCATCACTCTCGTACTCACTGCCGGTCCAATACTCCTAGATGTCCAGAAGCTCGAATCTGACAAGCAGCGTACATGTAGTCTCATGACCGCCCAAGTCTAGCATCCGAATGAAGTTCCATCCGGGCATAGCATACATCAGTCTTATCGCTGCAACAGCGAAGATTGGGTTTCGCGAGAAGCTGTCATCGCTTTTGATTAACAAGCGTAAGAAGGTCAACTCGTTGTCCTCGAATTCCCATTCTAGGACATCTTTCCAGACAGGATCGTTAGCGGGCGAGTTATCCTTGTGCATGAAGCCGGTCAATTTGTGGGGCTTGTAGGGGGCGGTTTTGCGCTTGGGTGGCATGTTATTCATGTCGTTAGGATGCACAAGGGTACACGTTAAGTAAGGCTTGATGTCATCATGGTCGCGATCATCTGGCAAGGGAACGTCTGTTGCACCGGCAACGTGTAGGCGAAGTTTCTTTCGGCGTCCAGTGTTGAGGTTACCAGAGCCCCCTGCACGAAGTGCTGCCGGTTTCAAAACATAGCCACCAGAGCCGGCAAAGAGTGCTTCGTTGATCTGCGAGCTTGCGCCGAAGGTTTGCCAGTTGAGAGCGCATATCTGGGCGCCAATACCCCAAAATGGTACTGGTGCGAGATTTTTGGAGGAGATGCGGGTGCCCTTGGGGTAGACGCGCATCAAGTGGTGCGCATTATGCCGTGCGATCTTAGCGCTGTTGGCAGGAAGGTGGGCTCTCAGACCTGACTCTGAGACGTTGATAAGCTGGTGATGGGGCGCGTTGTCAAGCTCTGCTTCGAACCAGGAGTTGTTGACAGGTTTGACCGACTGAGCATACACCCCGAGCTCAGCCAACTCGGGGATGATCGTACCAGCATTAGTGGCCTTCTTTTTCTCTGCATACTCATGATGAGCTTGCTTCTGTTCCTCTTCGTCGGAACTCGAATCGCTACTGCTACTTTCCTCCTCATCGGGTAGATGGTACTCCACGATGACCGCCACTTTGTTCCCAAGCTCAGCAAGTGTAACATGCTCATGGTTACTTGAGTCATCTTGTTCACGTGTGCCCTTGTCGCGAATGGCCTTGCTGAGAAGTCGGGGGCCAAGTACCTCTTGCATGATCTGCGCTAGGCGGAGCTGGCCATGCGCTCCGCAATGGTTTTCTAGGGAGATCATGATAGGTGCAGCATTCTTTTCGCTAGCAGCTTCTTTGTCGACGACATCGCGAATCGTCTCACATACTTGGCGGAATGGTATGTTAGAGACGAGTGTATACCCGTGCGTGACTTTCGGCTCTTCTCGATTATCATCGTTGTCCCAGGCGTCGATCTCTACACAACGGGATCCTGTGTGCAGCGCGATCTCGTAAGCAGAAGCATGCGACTCGCCAAAGAGTTGATGTGCCATCAGGTAAGTGTTGTGCGACGAGCTGATGAAGTACTCGGGGAGCGGATGGTCCCTGTTGATGACCTCCGCCGGAACCTTGATGTGGCTTCTGTCGAGCAGCTCTCTCAACGCCGTACTTGGCTCCTCACTCTTAAGGCCGGCTTCGGACTCTTGCAAAACGCCCTCTTTGACGAGGAAGCTCTTGAGTACCTCGCTCACGCGCAGCTTATCTTTTGTGATATGCGACTGCCTCGATGCGTGACCGCCGCCTGCTACGGTCCCGGCATCAACAAATTCTCCCTTTTCTTCATCATCGATCTCTTTTTTCGAAAACGGATTGAGTCTGGAAATGCCTGATACGAGGTCGGCCATGTTAGAATAAATGTAGTTGTGGCACGTAGGTAAAGATGTGAGGAAGCACAGCCACTGGCAGGTTCAGCTGCTGGCGGGGTCAATTGCTAGGCTTGGCTGGCGTAAGACCGGCTAACACGGAAAGTATGGCTGGAGGGCGATCATGCCTTCTACTGTCGCACTGAATGGCGCAGAATGCTTCTTAAATTCAATGATACAAACCCCGATGATGCAAGCGATCCTTCAATCTACTATGAATCGTACCCCACTGCTAATCATAGATGTCCCAATGAGGTTTAGCCAGTGGAATCGCTAGGTCCCTTACTGGACACTTCCCCTTATCTCGCACCGGTACGGAAATGCTGCATTCCCATAGCATATATGAGTGATGGTCACATCAACTTAGTGAACACTGTTCACACGTTTTGCTCCAGTATCAATACCAGCTCGTCTAAGCCGCGATTCCGATATTGCCAGTCGCCTACAACGAGAAGCGTTACATCACCTAGGGGCTGCTGGTGCTTTCGGGAATCTGCTTTCTTTACAACAATCCGTCCACCTTTATCCTCCTAAAAAGAATCGGGGATCTCCAACGAACAAATATGATCGCCGAGGTCGGCGTATGTCCTGTCACAACCATATTCTTTTGCGATGTTGCTTATGGCAGTCATCGGTCTGACGAATCAGATGAAGTCGTAGAGTATTTGTTCGAAGCCACCGGGGCGAACTTCGACGTAACACATTATGTACGCGGCTACTCTCCCATCTCCATGATAGTTGCACTCATAGTCGCAAGCCACGTGCCCATTATTAGGACCGGAGTGGACTATTTCCCTTGTGAACAGGAACGGGACTTGCTGAGTGGTAGCGCAAACTTTCAGTTATTGGCTTCTAGAGATAACAGAGACCATGAGTTGGCCAGCGAGAAGTACATGGAAGGTGTCGTCAGCGTGTGACCAGATGGAGTTTTCCGTCGCTCCTTTGCGGATTACGCAGTGAAGAAGCTGCGAGAACGCAACACATTTGCCTGGCTATGAGAAGAGGACTACGTGCTGCCTGGAGAAAACGCTCATTTTCTCATCAAATCAATGAGCCAGTCCGATTTTGGTAATTATTACAAATGTATGTTTTGAATGACAAAACCCATTCCCAGTCGAACGCGCGAAAAACATCGAGTTCATCGATGCCTTCCCGTTCTCAGCCGACACGAGAGCCTGCTTGAGAAGTCGATCTTCACCCAACTCTTTTGCGGTGAGCCTTGCAACGATTATCGAGGAATAGTAATCCGCATCTCGCAACAGTATCCCAAGATGGCCAAGCAGCATCTCATGACTCGAGTCAGAAGTAGCTTCTGTTGTTGAGGGTGCTTTCATCCTACATATGTCACCTTGTCCAATTGCGCCGGCTACTGCACTTCGAAGGATGGTTGTGGATCCGTTGCTGGCGGCATTGTGAGTCTGCCCGATGCACTGACTGCTGTCGTGTACGATGAGTAAGTTTGTCAGTTATTTGGTATACAACAATGTTGCTTGACGACATAGCATAGTATAAATCCAACAAACATGGGGTTGGCATCGACGACCAAGAGTTCATCTAGTCTGTTAAAAATGATGGTGTACCGTACTTGGACTTGATTCAGGTGACATCGGACGGGCGGGTTACCTAAGTGTACGCTAACTAGTAACATCCCCGCTTGCGCACCTTTCGGAAGCGGGTCCGCCTACCAACCAACTGCCATCATCTGGTTACAGACTAGCAAATTCACTACACGCTAAATGGTATTTTCCGACGTCATGGAAGCTCTGACAACCAAAAGCTCCGCATGATACGCATTAGTACTGGATGCGGGGTCTCAGGATTGACCTCGGCGCTCATGGCCCTAACATAAAGCATCGTCAGAGCAAGACACTTTCGTGGTACATTCTCTAAAGTTGCAATAGAAGAAACATCAATACTTTTACAATGGCTAAACAAGAATATAACTTTCCAGCATTCGATGACCTGCCAAAGGTGAAGGATATGCCACAAGGCAGCATATGGGGTTTCTTCGACAAGAATGGAGAGAAAGACGAAGTCGGAAGTGAGGAAGCTCCCACATATAGCGCAATAAACTGACCTAATGTTCGATAGCTATTAACCTTCTCACTTCGGATGTCGTGAAAGCCGCTTCCAAGGAGATCAGCACCGGCGAGCACATCCAACTTGATTGGGAACTTCACAACGTCCAGTTTCCAGGCTTCAACCGAAAAGAATTGGAGCAAAAGCAGATCGACTTTGCAGAATTCTCCAACTTCTGCGCTAATGATGATGAGCTTCACATCAACACGCAAGCCGGCTCGCAGTGGGATAGTCTAAAGCATTTCGCGCATCAAGCGAGCGGCATGTACTACAACGGTCTCTCACATAAGGAGGCAGCTAAGAGCGTCACGAACGGTACGCACAAGTGGTGCGAAAGAGGTGGTATCGTTGGAAGAGGTGTTCTATGTGACTGGCTGAGTTGGTATGAAGAGAAGAAGGGGAAAGCACCAAGCCCGGTATCGAGACATGAGATTCCAATTGAGGAGATAGAAGAGACGCTAAAGTGGCAAGGCATTACGCTGAAGCAGGGTGATATTATGATGATACGAAGTGGTTACGTGAGATGGCATAAGTACGTGTCCTGTTAGTTTCTCAGTTTCTCAACATGACTGACGATAACAGCAATGCCAACGAAGCGGAGCGCAAGAGTGGTACGCGTGATAACAGTGTCGCCATCGGTCTTCAGGCCAACGAGAAGACTGTCAGATGGCTCTATGACCGTCACTTCTCCGCGATCGTTGGCGATACTGTTGCTTTCGAAGCCTGGCCACCGAAGTTCGAGGAGGGGTGGTGCCTTCATGAATGGCTCCTCGTTCACTGGGGTACCGCTATCGGTGAGATGTGGGACCTCGAGAAGCTTAGCCAAAGGTGCAAAGAGATGGGCAGGTATACTTTTTTCTTGACCAGTGCGCCACTGCATGTTAGGGGCGGCATCGGAAGCCCACCAGGAGCTATCGCTATCTTTTAGGTATACTTCTTCACCTCTTGCATGTCCAAATAGCACAGCACTAAGACATTGCCACCACGTTCTGGCTCGCACTCAGTTTCATTTTCTTCTCATGTACCTCGCGCCCAGTACCTTCAACGCCTTTCAACAGCTCTTGACGCTCTCTAGCTTTTTCTCGCTTTCACTTCTTGCTGCTACTACTACATACTCCCGACGAAGAGGCACTACAGAGTCAATATTAGTGCGGGAGCCCTTGTATCCCATCTCTTTACCATCGCCTTCTGTGAGGTCGTTACTAGCATTCTTCCCAAAGAGCTGTTAGCTGGTTATTGTAGGGTTCTTCGGCTAGCTTTCTCCTAACGTCCAGTGTCAAGGACTGTCTAAACCAACTGGGATTTACAGAATGCATGATAGGACTTCCTGTACAACGATGTTCGAGCCGGCTATTTCGGATACAACAGGCTCCCACGGCATATCTATGCCGCGCTTGTGGTGAATGCATGTTGCTATGGTATCTCAGAGAACCGCCACCTCTATTGCGCAACCGATTTCACCCATGTTGCTGTTCCAAAGACCAAAAGGTTTCAGAGTACTCCTCTGGCCCATTCAACTTATCTCTAATATAGCATGCGTAAACCACTTCATGTACGACGGAGAAAGTAAGACCAGACGCGAAGCGTGCATACTCAAAGAGCGTTGAATTCCAGCTTTCCGCATATACCTTGCACGCCTCATTCATTAGGACAAACAAGCGCGTCCTCTCTCTTTGTTGGCAGACTTAAGACTCTCCACGGATGAAGATCCTTTTGCTGAACGATTCCTTGGCTGTAGTCATTATGGCGTGTGTTTGGCCGTTGTCGGTAGTCTTGCTCATGTCGTCAGAGAAGATGCCAAATCTGCGTTCAAAGCGCTGGGCCATGTTCTTGGGGTCTTGTATAAATACACTCTATTCTTCCTCTCTCTGTTTAATCTGACGGCTCCTCGTAGTGCAGAGAGTTCCGATCGCATCCTTTGGAATTGTCGTGTTGGCCTCCTTTACGATAACGCAAGCGACAAAAGATGGTTAGAATCGGGTTGCTCAAGAAAATTGGGAGGTCAAATGAAGTGCTGGCTCAGTTACCTTCCATAGCTTGGACACCCTTTTCTTCTTTATATGGACCTTCTCAAGCAGCTAACTGCTCATAGCAAAGCCATGAATGATACACAAAAATCCTAATTAATCTATTACCACGGGATATGAAACTGACTGTAGAAGCTTTAAATAAACGAAAGAAGCATAAAAAAAGGAGAGACGATTCTTTGCTAACCCAGAAGAGATAAGGTGAGTGGTCTCGTTCAACGACAAATCCTTGTGCGCATTAGGGCGTATTACCGCGTATTCTCTTTCGCAACGAAATTCGCAGACCAACACGAAACATCCGAACACTAGACCGAGGAAATGCCGCGCGGCACTGCGCCTCTTGTAGTAATGCTTGAGAGAGATAAGAGAGCGCAAGAGTCGAATGCGAGAAACATGGATCTTATTAAAACAGTATATAGTAACGTGGGTAACTCTCAACTGACTCCATCGTCATCCGCTTCGCCACCTCACACCATTTCCTTTATATTCTTACATTGATTCATTTTCCCTCGCTTCTCACGCAAAGACAATCGCTAGCATCAGCCTGGTTTCGCAAATGGCGTCTAACGCCCTCACATCGAGGGGCCAAGCCGATTTCGATCTCTATCCCTATACGCCTTCCGGACCCGCTGGCTATGCATTCCTGGTGCTATTTGCAATCGGTGGTTTGGCTCATTTTGTAATGCTCATCCCATTGCGAAGTTGGTTCTTTATTCCGTTCGTTCTGGGTTGCGTAGGTTCGTAGCTACACGATGACCATCACGTAGTACAATTGACTAACATCAAATCTCACAGGTGAAGCAGCAGGCTATTACGGTCGCGCATGGTCCTCATCCGATATCCGAAATGGTAGCCCTTACCTCATACAACTCATGCTCATTCTTGCGGCCGCGCCGCTCCTTGCAGCAACCATCTACATGACGCTCGGTCGTCTTATCCGCGCTCTCGATGCTACGCACCACGCTGTATTGAACCCGCGTTGGACGACAAAGATCTATGTTATCATCGATATAGGCTCGTTCGTGTGCCAGATCATGGGCTCTGCAATGCAAACTTCTGGTGATCCAGAGGGTGTCAAGACAGGAAATACCGTTGTGATCGCGGGACTGGGCACGCAATTGGTTGCATTTGCTTTCTTCATCTTAATGGCAGTGGTTTTTCACCGGAGGCTTAACAACAAACCCACGTCCACGTCACTTCGGACTCATGTCAGATGGCAGCGCTACATGTGGGCTTTGTACAGCGTTAGTGTGCTCGTTGTTGTGCGGAGTATATTTCGGCTGGCAGAGTTTGTGGAAGGGCCGGAGAGCAAGGTTTATCAGACCGAAGCGTACTTGTATGTTTTTGATGCGGCGCTGATGTTCGGCGTCGTGGTCATCATGACAGTTTTGCATCCAGGGGTTCTGCTTAGGGCTGTTAGAAAGGCTGAGATGATACCGCTTGGGGATGATGATGAGAATGGGGGGTACTTGCTTCGCGGAAACGGCTCGAAGTAATATCTTGGGTAAGGAATAGAATTTTAATCATCTCCAGCTGGTAGTACAGATGACGAAAATACAACCTTCACACGTACATTAGATACCGGATAGACACGCTTTCCAGGTTCCCAGAAAACCACCACACGTATAAAGATAAGTCAGTGAAATCAACTCAACAATTTCGATTGCGATTGCGATTGCGCCCGAAGCGTCAATCGCCGCTGGTCCAGTAGGTTACCTCGCTTATGGAGTTATAAAAATTAAAGTGCTGTCGACCACGGACCAGAAGATTTGTGGTAGATGTCTTGTCGCTGAGACCATAACAGCAAGAAGGACCGTACAACGCCGCGCATACTCTATCACAGGGTTCTTCGCTCGCCTTGGCGCAGACAGAGAACTTCGAGAGCGTGTTGATAGTGTTTCGACTGCATCTGTTCCTTCTACGCCCATTTTCTTTTGCCACCACCGATTTAGGATGATTTACCTTTGCAACTGTTACCTTCATCCGGCGTCCAACGTGGTTGGTTGCAGAACTCCATCAGCCCCTCAATTCTCTACTTCTTACTCCCGGCGATACCGTGTTAGCTTGCCGAAAGTTTCCACCACGGCTTCTTATTTACTTGTCTCTAATCATTCGCTTGAGTATCATATCCTAGAGCTACTGCAGGTTTTCCACGAGAACCTCGGTAATCCAAGCGCCCCCAGGGAAAATGGATCTCGCCCCTCGCTCGTATATATGTACTCCTCTCGATATCTTTTCCATTGGTAGAAACCACTACCGCCTCTACCTGCTTACTATAGGGCTGATAGTCCCGGAAAAAAGATCGATTCCGTTGTCGCCAGCAAGCACCCGCGTGTGTTCGGATCTTCGGCAAGTTCGGCCACTAATCCAGTACAATCGCGAGGGTGAGAATCAAGGATTAGAAGAACGCGATCGGTGCACTTGCTGCTGAGATCGATTGCTTCATCGAGGACTTCTTCGAGGATATTTGATTAGCAGCTGAGAGGTGCGAAGTGAGGGGTGGTACAAAAGATCAAAGGATATATGTAGTACGTTGAAGTGCGGGTGAAACTACAGGCCAATGGTTCGTACGCTTGGCAGAAATCTACTGAACAGGAGCGGCAGGTACCGAGCACGGGTAAAAGAAACATAATGGCATCTCTATCATGACTGGTAATAGGTAGCAATATATGATGAGGTACGGGCAGCAGCCGACAAGCTTAGTGCGTCGGCTGATCTGCGCTATACCAGACAGGCACGTCGAGAAGTCTGTGTGTAGGATCGTCCAGGGCGGGCAGATCTGAAGGGAGAGCGCTTCCAGGATTGGCCTTGTCTGGAATTTCCCGGTTTCAGAGCCTCACGTGTTCGAATGGAAGCCGTTTGATGCGTGTGTGGCGTTCATGACCTTAGGACCATGAGAGCGACGCGCCAGCACGACCCATTGTAGTGCATTGGCGGCGAATGAGCTGGCGCCCCACGAGATTGGACGTCGTGAACTGGAAGATGGACGTCGTCATCGTGCGAGCGGTGTGGCCGGCGGTACTTGCGCTAGCAGTGGGCCAGCCGTCTAGCCTGATGCCAAGAAAAGCTTGGTATTTTGACATGTGGCGCATAGAATACCACAAACAGAAAGGGGGGCGATGGAGGAAGATGTTGTGGCTTCTCTAGGAAGAGATTGCAGCGAAAGAGAGCAAGAAAATTACAGTAGAAAAGACCTGGCGAAGGTTGCAGGGAAGATTTTGCAGGCAAGGGGTGGCGCCACACTTCGCATAAGACGGAATCGAGATTGTGGCGCACAGCTCAATTACCCATGACGCAACCAAGACACATGTTTTGGCATCTTTTGGGAAACCTGGCGCCGATCGATCCCGCAAACATACCCGTAGGCTCGTCATACAGACCAGGGCGACCTCGTTCTGGCGTGGCTGGCCCCATGTCTCAGGGAAAGCGTGTACAATTGTGGCATTGGACGGCACATCACCAGGGAATTGGGCTGCCGCGCTGCTTTCTCTGCATGTTCCGCGGCATTCGATCGATGGCAGCGGGAAAATCATGGCCGGTAGTCGCGGGGTCAATCAAGTTGGTCGTGGTCGGTCGCTGTTCCAAGCCCAGACTCTTCACAAGCGGGAAGCTACGACGCAGTGACGTAGTTGCTGCAATCGCGCGTGTTACCCAGCCAGCCCAAATACAAAGCTGCCTTTGCCCTCACCCGCCTTCCCTCCCACACAAACCACTCTGATACCCATTACCTCGAAATACCCATCTACCCTACCTCCCATTGTTTTCAGCTCTGCGTCTGCATTTTGATACCCCACCTTGATACCCACAGCAGCAGTCCTACACCATGAGTTCCGTAAACCGTATGGATACCTACCCCGCTTCCCCCTCCAAACACTACTAACTCGTCCAGGTCCGGTGGATTTGAAGCAGAAGGAGAAGGATGTCAACAACAAGCTACAACTCTACGGCATCGTCGAGGGTAGGTAAACACGTGCAACCGACGCGTCGCACAAGTAATGCAAACAGAGCTGACCAACTCTAGCCTTCTCCAACGGAAAGGTCCCCTCTAACCAACAGATCGATGTTGCGCTCAACTCGGCGCTTGCACACAGGGCACTCAACTCACCGTCTAAGAAGCTGTCGAGCGAGGGCCAGCACCTGGTCTCCGACCTGAAGAGTGTCATCGAACAGGCCAAGATCCTACTTCTCACCAAGAACGAGGGCAACCTCCTCCAAGACTTCATCTGGCAGGCAGAGCACCTCGGTAGCAACAGCGCCAGTCTCCCCAATGCTCCTGTCGATAAGGACACAGCAAAGCAACATGGAAACGAGGCGCTCGACGGTCTACGGACTCTCGGCACCCTAATCATTAGCAATGGCCAGTTCAGGAAGCTGCTCTCCGACGCTACCGTCCTTCTCCGTGACATGGCTGGCGATGCCGCCCAAAACACTGCCAACAAGATCAAGCCCTCAGAAGACCGTCTCAACCGATTGGACGAGCCTGCTGAGGACAACACCTGGCACGACACCTCCGATCTGAACCGTGAGAACCTCCGCAACCAAGCTAAGAACAGCCTGCCTTTCGGTAACAAGAACAAGGACGAGGCCAAGAGCGACTTGAAGGAGCATGCCAAGGACATCAACCAGGCTGCCAACCCAGACGGTTCGCGCGATCCTCAACACACCGCCGAGCTCGGCGCCCATGAGGGTCAAACTGGTCAGAGCACTGGTATCAATGCTCGCGGTGCGCTAGAGACTGCTAAGCAGAAGGTCGATGCGAACACTTCTGAGGAGGACAAGAACATGGCTCGCGCTCGTCGTGACCAAATGAACAACTACCTCAAGGGAAAGATGCCCGAAGAGCGTCGCGAGCAGACCATCTGGCGTCTGAAGAAGATGGTCGTCGAGATTCAGGGACACCAGGATTACCAGCGTGCCATTGAGACTCTGCTCAGCCTTGCCGAGCAGTACTCTGGCCATGGTAAGAACCTGGGCCAGCAGGGCAAGGGCTCTGTTCAAGGTGCGCATCAAAATGATGCCCTAACTACTGCTGAAGCTGATCTCAAGGTGCGTATCTAGGCTTCCTCTCCGAAAATAAATGGCTGACAAACTTGAAGACTCTGCTCGAGCGCTTCGCTAACAACACCTCGTTCGATGACCTTATTGAGTCGATTAACCAGGTCTACAAGGACGCCGACCAGGACCCCGAACTGAAGAACTGGTTCACACGCATTAACCACTTCATCCGTAAGACCCTACAGCAGCAGGGTTTCATCCTAGAGGATCGTAGCAACGAGGAGTGGAACCAGATTTATGACGATGGTCACCGCCTCCTCCGTGGTCGCTACCGTGGCCACACTGACCGCATCGCCGACGAGTTCAAGTTCATTGGCGAGCAGTTCGATGCTGACCCGCAGAACAAGCAGTTCGCACAATCTGTCAACAAGCTCTTCCTTGACCTCGGTCAGGATGAGAACGGCCAGACCGTCTTCAAGCCTCACCTTCTCAAAGATTTGAGCGATGTCATCTTGCCTTCCATCTTCGAGAACGTCCGCTACGTACCAATCCCGCGTATCGAGTACAGCGATTCCATGGTCGACGCTGTCGTTGAGAACCTTGTCATCGAGGGTGACAACCTTGCCCCCAACTCTTTGGAGTTCGGCTCGGACAACTACTGGCGCTGGGGACGCAAGTCCATTTCCAGCAAGAACAAGAACAAGGTTATGCTCTCAGTTTCGGGTGTTCAAATGGACCTCAGGGATGTCTCTTACTACATCAAGCGCAAGCAGGGCTTCCCCTCTATCACCGACAAGGGTGTTATGGACATCTTCATGGGCGGTTCCGGCTTCAGCTTCAAGGTCGAGATGGAGACCGCTGACAAGGCCCGCGAAAACCACGCGCAGACCCACTTCTTCAAGGTCACCAAGGTTGAGTCTGACATTAAGAACCTTCAGATCAAGATGAAGAAGAGCAACCACAAGCTTCTCTTCAACATGTTCAAGCCTCTCCTTCTCAAGGTCATGCGCCCTGTTATTCAGAAGGTGCTGGAGAAGCAGATCAAGGACTCCGCCAACCAGCTCGACGGCATTCTTTTCGACATCAAGACTGAGGCAGACCGTGCGGAGGCTGAGGCCAAGCGCAACCCCGACCCCCAGAACCTCCAGAACATGTACCAGCGCTACGCCTCTGCTATGCAGCACCGCGTTATGCAGGGCAAGCAGAAGAAGGAGCAGGTCAAGGAGAAGGCCAGCGACACCCAGGTCAACATGGCTGTCACTCAGCACGACTCCATCTTCAAGAACATCTCCCTGCCCGGAGGTATCTCTTCCAAGGCTACCGAGTACAAGGAGCTTGCTGCCAAGGGTGAGAGGTGGGAGAGCCCTATCTTCTCTATTGGTTCCGCCAAGGAAACCTCCAGTCTGCCTCAGGTTGGCAAGGTCACTCGCAAGCCTCACGGTCGTGCGGGTGGCTACGGCAGCCCCGGTGATGAGTCTCGTGGTCTTGGTGCCTCACAAGGCCTTAACCCATCAGCAAACCAGTACGACAGCCAGTACAGCAACGCTGGTGGTCTCGGTGCTGGCCAGGGCCTCACTAGTGGCCAGGGTCTTACTGGAGGATCTGGCCTCACTGGTGGTCAGGGTCTTACTGGAGGATCTGGCCTCACTGGTGGCCAGGGTCTTACTGGAGGATCCGGCCTCGCTGGTGGTCAGGGTTTGACTGGTGGTGTTCCCTCCACCACTGGAGGTAGCCACGGCTTCGGCACTCAGGTCGACGATGCTTTCAACACTTCGGGCACCGGCGCCCCCGTCGGCTCGTCCGGCCTTGGTTCATCTGGCCTTGGTTCATCTGGCCTCGACTCTACAGGTCTGAACAACCCCGCTGCCACCACCACTGGCTCTACCACTCACCCCACTGGCGCTCCTGCCTCCGGAGAGTTCAACACTACTTTCGGTGACCAGAACCCCGTCTTCCAGGGCCGCGCTTAGATGCTTGTTCGTCGACCAGTGATACCCGGTATGCTTGGGGGCCGCCAGTCATGATTACGACTTTCCTACCTTTTGATCATGGATGATACCACGATTGCGCCACGGCGCACGCGCACATGAGTAGCAAATGAAATGTTTCTTGGTTGTTCTTTCTTGTTTTCGATGGATCGTGGGACATGGAGCATAATCGTGCCCGTAATGGAGAGGATGTTGCGTGGGCGGACCTTATCCTGTTAACAGGCTTTGGTGGAACAAAATTGCTAGTTCATCGCTGCTGCCGTCCTACCGTAATAATAGCTAATGCATTGGTGCTTTGAATACCCACTCCTCACTTGTTTGATTTCATGCCGCCTTGCTATGTTACCTGGTAATATGGTGACGGCTGTCTTGAGCTATGCCAACATATGTTTACACTCCAATCTACTAGAATAGACGCTTATGCGCCCAACCATACCGTGTAGCAGAGGCTGGTATGGCAAAAGGTATCAATGTGTAACAAGGAAACTTGGACTCTGGAGTTGCAGTGTAGTGCGAGTGTACAAGAGTAAAGGTTTCCCATCCAATGTCTTGATCAATGAAAGAACGTGTCCCTCGAGCCAACTTGGCCGTGTTCATTCCTACTCCTACTCCGGCTTCGTGACTTCTTGCTTGCGAATCCACAAGGCGGTATTGGTGGAGGTATGTGAACTGACCGCACTGACGGGGGATTGCGCGATATATTATCGATGCTGCTGCGGCGAACGTAGCGGTATTGGTCGTACCCCATTCGGTCCTGGTCCCGCGGAGCTGTGTAAGCTCCATCGTAATAATTTGTTCTTCGATGTTTTACTCCTGTTTTGTTCTTCAAACCGTCGTTTTCTAGGAAATACCGCGATTCATCGCTGCTTGTCATAGGCATAGGCCGGAAAACAGGGGGACCTGGTAGCCTGTTCAGTGGTGTGGGGTTGTAGGGCGAGTCGTACCAGTCGTCGTCCGCCTCGAAGTCGTATGGCCTTCTTTGTAGTCCGAATCGGGGACTGGTGAATTCAGCGTCATAAGCGGGATTGAACGAATCCACTCTGCCGCCTGATTCGCTTGGAAATTTCGGTATATGTTTACGTTGCGGTACACCCATGCCATAAGCCTCGATTATTCTCTTCTCTTTGCCCATGAGTGTTCGATAAAATGATGAGATCATATCTCGCAGTTCGTTCCCATTATAACCGATGAGTAGGCAGGACCCCACCGTAACCACTGTGAGTGGTATAGCGACAGACCAAAACAAGTCCTGCTTTTGGTCCATATCCCTGATGTCTGAAGCGTTCATACCGAAATAGCTCGTTACAAACGATAGCGGTAGGAATATGACTGTGACAACCGTGAAGACCATGATGGCTTTGCCATGATCTTCTTCATTAATCTCGAGCATCTGCTTTGTACGGTCGGAGAGTGGAGTACAACGCGAAATTAAATCAATGTAATCCTCCCGAGCCAGAGATAGTTGGTCTAGGCAGTTTTGAACGAGAATACGTTCATACGGAAACATGCCTCGGCGGGCTGGTATGGCTGTTTCATACATGGAATCATCGAGGACGCTCAAGTAGTTCTGGATAACAGTGCTTTGCCATCTGTTCACTGATATCAGGATTTGCAGTTCCTCCTGGATAAGATTGATAGAGCGGACGAGGCGCTTGCTTGGTCGATGGTTGACTTCGAATTGCTAGCAAGGGTCAGCTATAAATAGAAGAATATCTGCAAGCATTTGCGCCACTGTCCTATACCCCTGATATAGCCTCCAGACTAGTGTAATCTCTGTACGTGAGGTCAAGCATGGGTGCACTTACAACTTTGGAAACGTAGTTTCTGTACATATCGCCCGCAGTCCTATTCTCTTCGAGAGGTTTGGCAAATAACCGTCTCATCAACCATGCACAGGCATATTCCGATCCTAAGGAGAGGTGCTTAAGGACGTCCAGTGGTTTATCCGACTTTGCCATCTGCTTCAGCGCATGCCGAGCGCTAAACAGCGACAGTTTTGCGCCGTTACCAAATCGTTCCAGCACTTCGAGTCCTGCATCCGAATATGGGGCGAAGGTAAGATGAGCGGATTTTCCTGATTGAGCGTCGTCATCGTAGATCTGGCGAGTCTGCCATAGAGCTCGCTCGATCGCCAAATAAAAGATCACGATTCTCCGGAACGCTTCAACAAGTTCTTTTGGCAGGCTATACAAAGACGACATTCGACCATCTTCATTTTGCACTCCGTCAACAATTTCTTTAGCTTCGACGAGAATTTCCCTTGCAGTCGCACATGCTTGGGTGAGTATTCTCAAGGTTCCAGCGTTTGTATGTTCAAGCCAAAAGTGCGCAGGACTCATAACCCAGTCCTGGAGTTTTGGAATACTAGCGACACCAGCATGTTCCCCACCGGGAGTCGTCGTATATCCTCTCTCTTTCGTATTGTCAGGTTTTTCAACGCGGTTAAACCTTTTGTGTCGCTGCAAATGCTCAAATGCAGTTTGTGGACTAGAGAATCTTTTCAAAGATTGGCACCGCTTACACCGTGCCATCGATCTTGCCAGTTTCGTATTTCCATCTGGGATCGATAGTAGAAAAGGCCTATGACCAGTGCGAAGAACCCAAGCACATTCCGTCGTAGCAGGATGCTTCCGGTTGGTATCAGAGTATTCGCCAAAATAGTGTTCTATAGAACCGCGTTGATCGATGATGACTGCCCACTCCCTAACATTATCCAGAGCGCCCGAGAGTTTACGGAGAACGCAGGCGCTATCGAGGTCACTCACCCATAGCTTCAAAGTTTCCTGAACAACATTAAGAAGTTCGATCGATTGCTCTAGAATGCCAATGCGTTGATTGCCAACGACGGTTTGGTGGAACGTAGCGCCAGGTTTCGGTATTTTTGCTAGTTCCACGCGATTTTTGAGATCGGACAAGCTATCACCGAATTCCATTTGCATTCTCTCTGGCAAAGACCGGTAGTAGTCGGTAGAGGTGAAAGCGTTATCGACACCGTGATCTGTCGTTTCTAAGGGATCGAGGGTCTCCGATAACATAGCCGCTTCCACCTGCTCCAGATAGGTAATCGGTTTCTTGTCAGGCTTTCCCAGAGCTGTAGGCTTTTTTGCGCCTTGGTGTACAATATTGCGAGTTGGATCTGGCCAATGAAAAAATGGTGGTATAGACGTCGTAGACCTTGCAGCCGCGGATGCTGACGTAGACCCGTTGAGAGAATCTCTCGCTGACTTCTCATCCTCTGGGCCTTCTGATATATTTATGTTGATTGCAACATGATCAGCTGCTCGGTTGACAATTTCCCTCCAGTCTCCAGGAAGAATCGTCGTGCTTTCTTTCAAAGTCTCATATCGTAGATGGAACTTGCTTTCCGGTATGCCAGCTTTGGTCATGTAGTTGTTTACAAGCTCGTAGGCTGTTGCTTCTAGCTGGAAGTAGGACCTGCAACTTCCAACAGGAAACATGAGTGTCTGACCACCTTGATCAGTGATAGTGATTGATGTCAGGGGGTTCTTTGTGATATCTTGCCTACTGGTTGGCTTGATGTTCTCCTGAACGACGTTGATAGACCCATCCATATATGAGGACAGAGGTCGATGTCCGTGGCTTACGACTACACCAGGTCCGATATTCATCATCCACAGATTAGGGACATGGACCACGTTACCAGAGCGATCATCGCTGAACTTCCTGCAAGACTGCTCTTCATCTCGCTCTCGTACTGGTTCGTACAAATACATTGCCTGCATGAGGGTATGAGGTGGAAAACAAGACTTGTTCGCCTCTGAGCCTTGTTTTTCTGGTGGCTCGAGACTGAGATATGGTACGCAGCTGAAAATGACAGGTTGAGAGTCAGACCCATCTGGATCATCGACTCGGAGGACAGTTCCGGGCTCAATGAATCTTCCACCCAAGAAGGGTTTGACTTTCTCCGTATAAACCTTTGTCAATAATGCGCGAGTGCGCGCCAGCAGCCGGTCTGAAAGGCCTGGTATGGCCAAACAAACGTCTTGGAATCTCTCAAAGTCGAGCTGCGAAGCCTGAATGTGATACCATGTTGTTCTCACACCTTCCTGTAGCCGAGCATTCTCTGGGCCGGGTAATGTATGAATTTGGAGTACATATCGGCCCTCAAACTCTGTCATCATTGCCTTCGTGATCTTCCAAGTTTCAACATCACTTTTACATATTGCCTTCTTCTCTCCATGTATCCCTAAGTCGTGATTTAGCATGTTGCTGCGTCTTGGCTGCTTGATCTGCGCCTGGAATGAAAGCACTTTGCCCTCAGCGTCAACTGGAGTCGCGATGGAGCGAGGGACCGATGAATGTATGTAGTCCTCTGGAGTCGGTATCTCCTCATTACTCGACATCTCGCTTTCACTAGACTCGTAATCGGTAGAGTACTCTCCCGAAAAGTCATCTTTGAAAACATCTCCAGCCAGATCGCTTTCTGCAGTGGCAGCGGTTTCTGATCTTGACGATGGCGATACGGACCGTGGTTCTTCAAAAGTAACAGTACGCAAGACTCTGGGACCACCAGTCCCATGACCTTCTATGGTGTCTCCTAGATGAGCCCGTAACGGCGGCCCTGACTGTGGAGAATTTGCCGAGCGATTGACAAATACGATCCGGATTGTCGAACCGGGTGTGACAAGCTTACTCCAAGCACTCGGCAAGATGTTAGCGCCTTTGACATTTTCTACCTTATAGGTTCCCTCATTGATCTTGTCGAGGTAGCTTTTGTCTGTTTCTGCGTAGATTTCTTTCCAAAGTGGCTCGATATCCTATGGAAACGGATCAATCAACAAACTATCGAAACATGACTCTAAGCAAATCAGAATTCGAATATCATTTGTACCTGTACGTACAGAAAATTGTTTTCAAGATCATGAAAAGAGCGAACGTCGAGCGAAGTAAGAAACGTACTCACCTCTTTTGAGGAGCAGTGCTCGAACGGAAAGACATAGCGAGAGCCAAGGTGATCGCATAGATATATGACTTCTGGTCCATCTGTGTCATTGTTGTGCGTTTCCATTGGTTGCTGGGAGCGCGCATCGCGGGATCCTAGTCCATGGGCGGGAGTGATGGCCTCTTTATCATCTTCAAATGTATGAAGTAGTGACTCTGACGCTCGAGCATCTTTTTCGTCTTGGATCTTCGTTTTGGTTTGTCTTTCGTGTCCATAGTCGTCTTGTCTTTCATCCGTAGCCTGATTATCAAGAGCCGGGTGAGTTTCAGTTTGGTCTTGATTCGAGAGTTGCCTTGCGGCTTCCGCGTCTTGCACTTGAATCTCCATGCGAGAACAACTTTAGGTTACAGAAAACGACTGTGAGCCGAGAAGAAACGAGGCAGACATGATGCGAATGGAAAAAAGATCCGAACTTGAGTTGGGGGCCAGCATGCAGGTCAGCCCGTCAGCGTCTAGCTACAGTTCAGCTCTTTGCTAGCGTCAGCCTAACCGTCTTCGCATATAGTGGGGCACACTTTCGCGTGCCGTCCCGCACGTCCAATAGCAGTGACAAAGATGATGCCCATTTGTACATGTTCTCTCAAACTAGGATCTTAGAGGTGCATTCATCTTATCACGACGTAGAAGGCGTACGATGCTGCGAACTTCTCTAAGGCATGTTGCGACTATGAAATATGAATTCAAGCCCAGATCAAGGGCGACTGGTAATTACAAGGCTTACTGCTACTGCTACTGCATACTAGATGTGACAAGTGTGGACAAAGGAAACAATCTGTGGGGGGAACATGCTACAATATGCAATATCGTCGAGCAAAAGTATCCAACTGGTATCAGAAGGCCCCATCAATGGGCAGCGCCAAGGCTGAAGTCATAAATCGTAATGGTATCGTAAGGAGAAGAGGTCAAGGGAGTGTTTGCGCGATTAGTGATGGCGGTGGAGGGTGGGAGTTTCGAAGAGGATACGAGGGCCAGCGTATGTACAATTGGTGTTTGGAAGGAGTGTCGGGGATGGCAAGCGAGGGTCATCTGATGGAGAGAGGCTGCTGCGCTGGCAGTATGGGTGAAGACACGAGGCTTGGGGTTGCTGGTTGGATGTTGATGGTGCTAGGAGCTGCCTGCTGTATGCGTGTCTGAGGCACTTCCTTCTTCTTGACCAGCAAGCTCTTGAACGCGCCGAGCCACTTGGCTAGGGCATCTTCGTCTGAAGCGCAGAATTTGTAATTCTTGTCCTCGCATATGACCTGCATGCAGTATTGCTTGCTTCGCGAGAGTGGGTCTATGTCGACGGCATCGATTATGTTGGTGAAGGGGATGATGTGGGTCGCGGAGTATTCATCGTCGTTTTTGTAAAAAGCAAGGCACTTTGGTCGCAGCACCACCCAGATCTTCTTCCACTGGCGCACGCCGCCTTTGGATTTGAGGACATAGAGCCAGCCGTGGTAGACGACGCGCTCGTCGTCGGGTGTGGCGCCGATGTTGCTCTGCTGGCTCGCGTTGGGTTGTTGCTGCTGTGGTGTTCTCGGGGGCGGAGAGTTGGCGGAGGCTTGGTTGGTGTCGGAGAAGTCAAAGTCGGAGATGGAGCCGCGCTCGCCGCCGGAGTAGTTGAGGGCTTGTGAGGGACGGCGGGCGCTGTGCATGTTCTCCGGGGCGATGGAGCTCGAGGGTCTCGGCTCTGTCTCGGAGGAACTGGAAACAATGTTTTCTCTGGTTGCGCGGCCAAAGCCTGCAAACGTCTTCTTTGTGGCTGTGGGACTCATGACGGTCATCTCAGCCTCGTGCTCGCCAATGCGCGCCTCGGTACGTATGAGGTGCACCCAGTCCTGAGCGTCTTTGTCTGTGGATGCGCCGAGGTGGTAGTTGCGGGCGGGCGAAAAGATGCCAAAGACGTGCTCCATCTTCTTCTTCGAGTCCCTCTGGCGCGCAACTGCCGTGATCTCGGAGAGGTTGATCTGGTGGCGCAGCTTGGTCTCGTGCTTGTCCTTGTAGATGGAGAGGCAGTTGGGGCGCAGGACGATGTAGACGGGCTTCCATTGCTGTGCACGTGTTAGCAGACGTCATGCCACGGTGGTCGCGGGCGTGGGTGCGTGCCTTTGTCTTCCTCGTGCGCTTGACGACGGTGCCGGCCTTGATGATGCGGTCGAACTCGAAGCAGCCGTTCTGGTTGACGGGCGACATGATGTCGACGCTGGCGCTGAGCGTCTTGATGTTGTGTATATGGGGCGGGTCCAGCTTCATGCCAGCAGAGCGGATCGCAACGGGTTTGGCGGGCGTGTGCTGGCCGTCCAGTGTCGCTGCCATGTCGGCGGTAGGAGTCACATTCACGGTAGGCGGGGTGGGCGGGATGAGTGGTCGCGGGCTCGGTGGTGGGAGTGAAGGTAGGCGGCTATAGGGGCGTTGCGATGCTCGAGCGCGTTGGTTATATCCCGAGTGTTATGGGAGATCGACAGACGGTAGGCGAGGGGACAGGGGGAATGCATGGGGCGCAAACCGCACCAGCGACGGCAGGCGCACAGGCTATAAGGACATGGCAGCCAGGCAGGCAGGCCGGCCCAAGTGGTGAGGTCAAACAAAAGGCCGCCGCCGGCGATCGCAGACGACGCAGGACGGGAGGGGGGTGCATGCGACGCTTCGGCAGGGAGGCCGTTGGGTTGCATATGGCTATGTCAGCAGGGTCTGACGTCTTGGTGCAGCTGGACCGCCACCAAAAAATGAGCCATAGTGATGACGGTTTGGCGGGGACCTTGGTAGCCGCCGCTGCGTTTCATCCAAATCTTCCGCCATGCCCCAAAACCACACAACAAATCTGTAACCTCAACACCTGCGGCACTTGTCCACGCCCCTCCAATTTGCCTTTTCCGGTACGCGCGCTTTTGATCTGCAGTGAAACGGCCTCTCCCGCGCTCCACTGCCTTCACGTCGCCACGCGAAACACGGCGCCCGCCCCCAGTCCTTGTCGCAACCAGTCTCGACCACAACACTCGACCAGGATGCCTGTCGTTCCGAGCGACAAGCTGGTGTCGCTGCAGCAGGCGGCTGATGGCATCAGGAACATTTGCATCCTAGCTCACGTGGTAGGTCGACTTGCTGATGCGCGTGAACGCGACATGTGCTGAATGCGGCAGGACCATGGCAAGACGTCCCTCACCGATGCCCTCATAGCCACCAATGGCATCATCTCCCCCAAACTCGCTGGCAAGATCCGCTACCTCGACTCGAGACCCGACGAGCAGTTGCGCGGCATCACCATGGAGTCGTCCGCCATCTCGCTATACTTTTCCCTGCTGCGACGCTCCGCGCCCGACGCACAGCCAGAGCCCAAGGAATTCCTCATAAACCTTATAGACTCGCCGGGACACATAGACTTCAGCTACGAGGTCTCTACCGCATCACGTCTCTGCGATGGCGCTGTCGTGCTTGTAGACGCCGTAGAGGGCGTGTGTAGTCAGACTGTCACAGTGCTGCGACAGTCGTGGATAGAGAAGCTGAAGCCTTTGCTCGTCATTAACAAAATGGACAGGCTAATCACAGAACTCAAGATGAGCCCTGGAGAGGCATACACACATCTGAGCAAGCTGCTCGAACAGGTAAACGCCGTCATGGGCAGCTTCTACCAAGGCGAGCGCATGGAGGACGACCTCCGATGGCGCGAGAAGATGGAAGAGAGACTAAACGCTGCAGCTGAGAATACTGACACACGATCCTCATCCATACCAGAGAACGGTGAAAGCATCGATACCACGAGCACACCCGCCGAGTACGAGGAGAAGGACGACGAAGACATCTACTTTGCCCCAGAGAAGAACAACGTCATCTTCGGTAGTGCCATCGACGGCTGGGCATTCACGGTAAGACAGTTCGCCAGCCTGTACGAGAAGAAACTAGGCATCAAGCGCTCCATTCTCGAAAAGGTACTATGGGGCGACTTTTACCTAGACCCCAAGACGAAGCGCGTACTCAGCTCCAAGCATCTCAAGGGTCGCCATCTTAAGCCCATGTTCGTCCAGCTCGTCCTAGATAACGTGTGGGCCGTATACGAGGCCACTACGGGAGGTAACAACGGGAAGGGGTGCGTGGATTTCCTTTCCTTGCGTGATTCATGTCCATGTATCATAGCAATATACTTATACTTTTCATTACAGAGATCCTGCTATGGTCGAGAAGATTACCAAGTCACTCAACCTTAACGTTCCAGCACATATCATGCGTTCTCGCGACCCGCGCGCACTCCTAATGGCACTCTTCGCAGCTTGGCTTCCACTATCAACCGCCCTCTTAGTTTCAGTCACCGAATATCTACCCGCCCCCTCCAAAGCGCAAGCCGAACGCATGCCCGAAATCATCGATAGCTCGCCAGGTGCCGATTACGTTGCACCAGAAGTGCGCGACGCCATGACCAACTTCAAGGCCTCCAAGGATGACCCTGTCGTAGCCTATGTCAGCAAGATGATCTCAGTGCCTTCTAGCGAACTACCTCAGAACAAGCGAAGAGGTGGCGCACTCACAGCTGAAGAGGCAAGGGAGATGGGACGGAAGAAGAGGGCAGAGATTGCCCGGCAGCAGGCTATCGCCAACGGCGAGGACGCTGACATCGGTGGAGTCACAGACGCATTAAGTTCTGCTGCTATTGGAGAAACCGAGACGCCTGTAGAAGAGACACCAGTGCCCGACGTAGAAGCCGAACACCTCATCGGATTCGCACGTATCTTTTCTGGTACCTTGAGTGTTGGCGACGAAGTGTACGTTCTTGGCCCTAAATTCACCCCCGCGAACCCACACGCCTCTCCGGAGCCACAAAAGGTCAAAATCACTGCGCTGTACCTGATGATGGGTCGCGGTTTGGAGCCATTGACCTCGGTGCCTGCCGGTGTCGTCTTTGGCATTGGTGGACTCGAGGGCCACATCCTAAAGTCCGGCACTCTCTGCTCCCAGCTTCCTGGATCCGCCAATCTTGCTGGTATTCAGATGGGCTCAGAACCTATTGTGCGCGTTGCGCTCGAGCCTGAAAACCCATATGATCTAGACAAGATGATCAAGGGCTTGAAGCTACTTGTCCAGAGCGATCCATGTGCTGAATACGAGCAACTGCCTAGCGGAGAACATGTCATCTTAACAGCTGGCGAATTGCATCTTGAGCGATGTCTGAAGGATCTTCAAGAGCGATTTGCAAAGTGCGAAATCCAGGCTGGCGAACCCATTGTGCCATACCGAGAGTCAATAGTGGCTGCAACCGAGATGAACCCACCCAAAGACCCTAATCTACCACGAGGAACAGTCATTGGCGAGACTGCTAGCAAGCATGTTTCTGTTCGCTTACGAGTTCGCCCACTACCAGCCAGTGTGACAGAATTTCTGGGCAAGAACGCGGGTGCGATCAAGAAGTTGTACTCGGAGCGACGAGCCGAAGACGAAGGAGAGCATCGCGTGCACGGTGCTGAGGATGATGGCATACAAGAGGCTGAACAACGCGAGATTGGACAAAGTCTGAACTTTGACGAATTTAAGAAGCAGCTCAAGGAGGCATTCGCCGAGGCCAAGGGACAGAAAGAGATCTGGACCGACGTGATTGAAAAGATTACAGCCTTTGGTCCTCGGAGAATAGGACCAAATATCTTGGTCGACGCGACCAAGGACGGTATCTGTGGCAGGGCGTATGTATATTTGTTTTCAACTTCCATTCACAGCTAATCCTTTGCAGACTCCGCGAGTCATCTTCTCCAGATGTTGACGCGGACCATACCGCCGACCGCACTATATCCGCACGCACCTTCTCCTCTACAATCTCCTACGCCTTCCAGCTCGCCACTGCGCAAGGTCCCTGCTGTGCCGAGCCTGTTCAAGGCATCGCCGTCTTTCTCGAGGACGTCATCCTCAACATCCCCGACGATGAGAGCGCACAAGATCGCGGTCGCTTGACTGGTGAAGTCATCAAGGCTGTACGTTCCTCCATTCACCAAGGCTTCCTGGACTGGTCACCTCGTATGCTTCTGGCAATGTACAGCTGCGAAATTCAAGCTTCCACCGATGTTCTCGGCCGTGTCTACGCCGTTTTAACGCGTCGTCGTGGAACTATTCTTTCTGAAACCCTGTCCTCTACTTCCTCTGCTTCAACCACTGGCTCGCAGACCTTTACCATCAACGCACTTCTTCCCGTTGCCGAGTCCTTTGGCTTCAGCGACGAGATCCGGAAGCGCAGTTCCGGTTCCGCGAGCCCGCAGTTGAGGTTCGCTGGTTTTGAGATGCTGGATGAAGATCCCTTCTGGGTCCCTTTCACGGAAGATGAGCTTGAGGATTTGGGTGAGCTGGCCGATCGAGAGAACGTTGCCAAGAGATACGTAGATAAGGTCAGGAGGAGGAAGGGACTTCGGGTTGCGGGTGAAAAGGTGGTCGTTGATGCCGAGAAGCAGAAGACATTGAAGAGATAGTCTCGTTGTGGAGTATATGAGGCGGAAAGTGTGAAACTAAAGAAAGAAACTAGAGGATATGGTAGAGAAAATTCAATGATAATGAACTCCAATGCCACACAGCAGTTCTTTACAACAGACATATCTAAGTGGACTTGTCTCAGAACCTAACGAAGTGCTTGTTGACCATCGGGAGCTGGCCGACTCTTCACTCGCAACAGCCTCATGCGGACACAACCTTGTTTCTGATCAAAATCACATGGCAATTGTTTGATGGTTTTTGGTTTCGTTGAGGGATTCTCGTATGTTGGGAAAGAATGTATTGACCTTCACATGCTGTCCGAGAGTATGGTGAAGACGCTCTTGGTGTGTAGCCGACCAGTGGGTTTGTCGACGGAAAGAAAGAACTGACAAACACAGAATGATGGAGTCTGGTTGGCCGAAGAAAATTGTCCATATAGCGTTGAAGATGTGTGAGGCTGTTCGTACCATATATCCACTTGCGTCATTTAAGAAGAACGAACTTTTTCGTATCAAGTAAAGCAAACGCCGTGCTTTTCTCATTGTTGAATCCTACATACTCTATTATTAGGACACCTTAACAAAGTCAACACAAAAGCGGACTGCATCCGCAGCCTACAGGCTGGGTATCACTTGTACAACGATCTCTCCCGCGATCTATCAGCCGGAGATTCAAACGACCATCTGATCTCCAGAGTTTTCCTTCCATATCGCCATCGTCTAAAACTTGTCCAACAAACAAGCTCATGCTTTTCCTCAATGCAGAGCGCATCACACCTTCCGCAATCCTAACCTCAAATCCACCGATTAAGCGCTGCCCGGCGGCCCGCCCATATTCAGCAGGATATCAAGCATGTCCATGCCGCCAATGTCCGGTCCCATGGCCGTTTGATTAATCTCCGCACCCCACTGATCCAGCAGAGGATCGAGTGGCAGAGCAAGCCAATCCTGATCTTGACCCGCACCCCAACTCGCTCCGCTATTTGCCCATTGACTCCAACTCGTGTTGTTGCTGCCATTCGAATTCGAATTATTCGCGTTGTTGTTCTGAAAGTTCGGATAATTGCCAGGTGGTGGCATGATGCTGATGGAGTTGCTGTTGGGATCGTAGGGTTCCGCTGAGATGCCCCAAAGAGGTGTTGCGCGACCGCTTGTGCTGAGGCCCATACTGGGCGAACCTGGTACGCTGGTACCAGTGCCTGAGAAACCTGTTTGTTGGGATCCCATGTACGGCGGTGCAAGATGGTTGGTATTGTTTAGTGGAGCGGGCGGTGGCATCAGCGGTACTTGATTAGGGCTTTTGCTGCCGGCACGCGAGATGCCACTCGAGCCGTTGGCAGCCAGACGTACGAAACGCGAACGGATTCGGTGAGTCAGTGTTTCGACAAGATCGGCGAAGCGGTTCCCGACGTGCACATCGTCGACTATGCTCGTTCGTAGGGCATCGACCGAGTCGCTGAGAAGACTAAGACTGACAGCTACGTCTTCTTCAGTAGCGCCTAGCGCGAAGGTCTTGAGCAGAATGATGGCTACACTGACAATACGGAAGAAGGTTCGTACTGGCGCATGTCGTAGGTAGCCACCAGGATGCAAGCCTTCGACCACCACTTTGAGCACATTGCGCGACGCATCGATGACTTCGTTGATATAATGGCGGTCGTTGGCGTACCATTTTACAAGTGTGCTAAAGGGGATAGCGCCACCATCGTCATTGCCGTTTGAATTGCCATTGCCATTAGGGTTGCCATTGCCGTTCGGATTGCCATTACCATTTGTAGGGCGTCCGTTCATGCCACTAGGCTGGGCATGGGTCTGTAGCGGAGTGTTATGTGTGCAGCGTTCAACAACTGCCTGCAGCGCAAGCGAATTGAGATATACACGCGTGTACTCGAACTCGATGATGAGAACGTGACGAAGTTGCGTCGGAACTAGAAGCTGTTAGGCAGAGTACGGGAGAATGACGGTGGTATTCTTACCTTGGGGTGCTCTATCGAAGCACTTCCTCCACTCCACTAAGGGGCCTTGGAAGAACTTCAGCATCTCCTCGTAACCTCCCGTCTTAAGCAGCTCTCTTGTTTTACGTCGGTTAGAGAACAACTTCAGGTTGCCCATCTCCATGACCTTAGCGATACGAGCCCAGAAGTCAAGCACAAGATCTTGTACGGCATGGCGCTCCTGGGTCGCGATAGACTCGAGCGGAAGGCGCTGGCCATCCGAGCGCATGCCGAATTGTGCTGGAGGTGCCTTGATGCGGCTGATGCGCTCTTTGTACAGCTCGAGTGGTGAGGGGCCGCCCACTAGGTTCTCGTCACGCTCGAGTTTGGGAAGCATGGATGTGAGACCCAGTCTGCCACTGGTCTGCGTGACATAGATGATGAGCAAGTCGCGAAGATGGTTCTTCCGGCGGTAGTAGGCCTTTACAGTCGCGTGCGAAAGATGCTGGTTGGCCTCTTCGAACTCAGTCTCGTTGGTCTCGTCGAAAACACCAATCTCAAAAGCGAGTGTCATGGCGTTGCCCAGCAGCATCCAGCACATGCGATCACTTCGCCAGCACGGCTCTAGCCAACTGTCGATACGCTTGTCGCCCACACCTTTATACATTTCAGCTTTAGGTCCAGCCTCGTACGGGTCGTCGGGCAAGACGAGCTCATCGTCATCATCGCCAGGGGGGAAATGCAGTGCGCGAGGATGCCACTCGGTAAGTAGCATCAGACTCTCGACTGTACCAAGCGTACGAAGGCCCTTTCTTGATAGGGGGTTCACATCAGAACCAGGCTGCTGACCGGCGCCACAGAAGCCGCCGCCAAACTGCTCTTGTCCGAAGATCATGCGATCTATCATACCCTGCAGGTACTTCCATAGCTTCTCGTGAATGAGATATGACCTAGATGTGGCGCCCACGCCGCTCGAACCGCTGGGTTGTGAATACCTCGCGGAGATGGTCAAGAGAGTGATGACCAGCATCGGCTCCTCCTTGAGCAACTTTGCGTGAAAGGCATGATCGCGATAGTCTGGTACGACGATGGGTGTAAGCGGCGACAGAAATGCATAGAAGTAGTCGATGTAAGCGATGGCTTCCTTTGCGGTGAGCCATCCGGCGCGGACAAAGCGGAACTTTGACCAGGCTCTCACAGCATCGGCGAAGGCAGCTTCGTTTGGAGGGTCAGGTAGCATGGGTTGCTGTATGGCGGGATCTACCGATGGCTCTGCGGTGGCTCGCGAATTGCCGCGCGCATGTGAGGTCTGGGGTCTAGGGCTTGCGAAGTTGGTTTGAGAGCCTGGCGTGCTGCCCAGCGTCGGGCGCTGGAGACTGGAGCTGCTGCCTGTGCGCTGGTGGTGGCTGTTCATGCCAGCGGCCTCGAAGAGCAGGTTCAAGGCATCGTGGCCGCTGTAGACCTCGCCGGCCTGGAGCGTCGCGACCGTCTCGTTGTTCACCTTCTGGTCTTCTTCGTCGTTGGGGGTGCGCTGGTGGCCGGCCGACGTGTTGGGTCGTCGCAGCGGCTCGTATCGTCCGACGGAGCCGCCTGGAGTCAGCGGCTGGGAGATGTAGGCGGCGTTGTTGGCCGTGGTTATGGTGAGCGGCTCTGGCAGGCCATCGGAGCGCTGGCGCTTCCTGCCATTGCGCACCTCGTAGTCGTCGGCGTCGTCATAGTCGTCCTCGCCGTCGGCCTTGCGCTTCCTGCGCGTGGCAGAGAAGAAGCACTCCTTGCTCTCCCTCCTGCATCGCACGCAGGGCGGATCATGCGGGTTGTCTACGGGACCAAGATCTACAGGCAGAAGAAATACACATCAGCAATTGCGCGACGATAAGGCTCACGGCAGCCTCGGACGTACCGCATCGCACTTTGCGACGCCTGCATGGTATACAGGCCTGGTATGTGCGCGTGTGCTGGGCGTTCTGTGTCCGCGGCGGTGGAGAAGCGTTGGAGCCCGCAGTCGACATGGTGGTGGTGGATTACGGTCGGCTTGCGACGGCTGAGAGCTGGCGGACTTTGGCTCTGATAAGGGCTGGAATACCGCCGAGGCACCTCAATTCCAGAGACGCGGTACCTGCATGCAATGCGCGGAATGTCTGCGCAGCGGTAACGCCTACAGGAAGGTGGACGTGTAAGACTGCGCGCAATTCTGCTATTTGTTATCGTCGACTTCTGGCTGACGGTACTGAGGCGTGCAAGTGCTCGGGAGCGGGTCACGAGCGTGGGGGCGTTGGCTATTGCGGAATGGCGTGTCCGCTCCTCCAATCCTCGTCCTAAACACCACGTAACAGTCGCGAATCTGCTCGACCGCCTCTCGACAAACCACTGGGGTACGCGTCCAGTAGCCGAGTCGCCCGCTGCCTGTTTACGTCAACCACCGACGGTCCGTCCGGATGTCCAGGTGTACCTGCTGCTCGCGACATGTGATCCGCTCGTGCACTCTGCCTGTGGCACAGCAAGTACTAGCCCAGCCAATCACGAGCTTGTGTTTGTGCGAGTTGAATGACATCTTGATTGCTGGCACCTACACATTGCCCAATTCCATGATACTCAATCATACCAGAAATGGACAAGACTACAGCAAAAACATCTCGCATCCTTCAACGTCCATCCCATAGCACCCTTGGCACCTCCTAACAAAAGAAACCGCACGTCATGTCCGAGAGCTGCAACGCTGTTAGCATCATACCACCATAACACTCCAAGCGAACTTACCCGCGGGTGGTCGTTCTGGTGACCCTCATCACAACCAGTCTCGTCGCGTGTCCACGGCTTCCAATCGCATATGCCTACCGCGTCCGGGGTGCTCTGAGTCAAAGTGCTCCAGAAGCCGCCCTTTGGCTCAAACTGAAAGTATGTCTGCCTGTCTTCCGGGTTGTACGCCACCTTCAAACCGCCCATGCCCCCAAGCCTCACAGCACGACCGTCGATACGACCAGTACCCTCAGGATAAGTAACAGCAGTGGCGCGGTTTTGGTCTTCGACACTGTAGAGCATGCCGAGCATCTGATTGTGCCAGCCTTCAGAGGGCGTGTGCAGACACTGCTGGAAGAGTTGGAGCTTGAAGGAGCAGAAACCCGGGGCGTAGTTGGCAGTTGAATAGCCGCTCGCGACAGAGTCCAGTGGGGAAGAAAGAATATCTGGAAGGGGCTCGTTGCGAACGCGCTTCATCGACGACTTTGGGCTAGGAACCGCGCAATCGAAACTACAGCTTAGAGCTTGGGACTTCAATGGCAGTCAGTACGATTGCATAATAGAGCCGGAGACTACGCACTCTATGGATACGATCTTTGTGGTTACAGTTTAGCGGTGAGCCGTCCCATGACGTTGTGGTGCAGCTGAACTCGTCGTCTTGGTGCTGGCTGGGCCAGTGAGCGTCGCCATAAAGGACTATCGCGCGTCAGTTCTGTTAGATATCTCAGCAGATTTGCAACAATACTCACAGCCGACACTGTCCCTCTCAAATCCGATCTTCAGCTCTTTCCCCACAACCACGCTAGTCAGAGTAAGTCCGTCCGTCAAGTCGATTGAGTCGGTTTTCTCCATGAATTCGTTGCCAGCGCCATCATATACAGGCGATACGTCGAGGAATGTGGTGATCTGGTCCTTGTCGCAATCTTGGGAGACAATGGCATCGAAGCCACAACGGCCGGATGTGAAGTCTGGTGCCATCACTTGAGCAACTACAAGAGTAGTCGACGAGAGAAGTGCCGAAGCAACCAGCATAATTTTGATAAGCATCGTGGTGTTCTTCTGGATGAGCCTGTAGTGATGGGGTAATTCAAGAAGGAGGTGAGTTCAGGAGAGACGTAAGAGTGTTATAGTAAGAGAGGTAGGGTGTGACCAGTGAGGGGGAAAGCTCGGATAACTAGTGCTCCTAGGAATATACGCTTCGTGATCCGGGTTGGGTGAGTGAAAATGGAGGTTCCTTGATAAGATCGAGGTAAAGAGAGAAGGCCGACCGCACTTTCCAAAAGACAGTGTAATCACTAAGGTCTTGGAATCAACGACCAAAACAAGATCTTTCCGAAATATTGCACGATGACGGCGCTTTCAACTGCCGCTGCTATCCGTGACAGACTCTCCTGTTCTGCGTTTGTCGTTGCATGAGAGATTGGCCTGTTGACAAATTAGTGCACGAGATGTGAGTGGAGCCTAGAGCTTGTGGTGAGGTTGCGCAAACGCAGCGTAATACAAGAGACGACTCCAATCCTCTTAAGCGCGAACTCTGCAAACACCCTGCTCGTGAAAGTAGATTAGTTGTGGTGCGAGGCGATCGCACCAAGTTCAATCCGGGAGAGGCACTGCTCGATCTTCGTTACGATACTGAAGCTCTCGAATGAGGCACGGTCGTCTCGCACAACGGGACTGCAGGCTCAATACTGATTCTTCGCAGGAGTTTAAAGGCGCCGCTAAAGTCATGGAGGCGGATACCTACTGTCACGCGATACAGCTCAGAATCTGGCACAGTGACCAAAGACGAGCGAGCGTATTCTCCGAGAACACGTATAAGGCGTTGCTCGTTTGTGTAGGCGAAGATGGCGAAGACGCCCACGAGATGGAGCGCATGATGGGCAACCCAGCCTCCCACTCAAACTTTGGTTTAACTTCGAAGATGTCGAAGTCTGCCAAGATTCCAGTTCCTAAGTATATAAATGATCAAGCCTTCGAGAAGTAGCTTTGAAGGCTGAAGTAGAAGCGTTGGATGTCGAGCTCTCCAGTGCGTGGAGGTACCATCGGCTGAGGGAATTGCTCAAAGAAGATATAGTCTACCTGCAGATACGAATCACAGAGGGAAGATAATCAGGTTATCATTGCAAAGTTTTCAAGAGTATATCACCACTGAAGATGCTGCATGCATAGCGTCGCGGTAAGCTGCCTGATGGAGGTGCAACCAAAAGTTCCAGCAGAGTGCTCGTTGAGAAGTGGTGCGCGAACAAAAGTCGTTGATCAGTCGCCCAGTGCCGCCGCTCGGGCCGATGGCGGCATAGATCAGCGCTCGAGCTGCACTTGGCTGCGATGGTTCTGCATCCGTATCCCGCCCCCACCTCTGCTACACTAGAGACGCTCCATGCATGGAGCACCGAAGACCACGAGATGCTCTCTCATGCGATCGCTGCCGCGCAAAGAAGTTAAAGTGCTCGAAGGATGCGCCCATCTGCACTTCCTGCGCCCATAGCGGTTCGCACTGCCATTACAGCGGCAAAGTCGCTAGATCGCCCTTGACAAGGGCATATCTGACGAGTGTAGAGAAGCGACTGCACAGTTTGGAGTCACTGGTCACGCAGTTGTTACCTGGCGTCGATGTCGAAGATCTGTTGTCATCTTCCAATGTGGCTGGTACTGCACGATCAGTCATACAGTCCCAAACGCCTGAGGTAGCTCCAAGCCCGCAAGGCAGTACTAACTCAAGTACACATGAGCCTGCACTTCCTGAGGCTGTGCCAAACAACGTTGATGGCTTTAATTGGCAGGAAGAAGACGTCAACGTGGATGGGTTGACGGATGGCATGGCCGCCCTTTCGGTCGAGCCAACTGGTGTAGGTTATCTTGGTCAGTTGCTTCACTCAAATGTCGGCAAACAAAGCTAAAAAGATGTAGGCTCGACTTCTGGTGTAGTTTTTCTTCGGTGCCTCCTTGACTGGGCCGGCTTTCTGCATCAGTCTGTCGCTCGACCTCAGCAGAACCTGACGACCCCATCTGCTTCTTTCCGGAACGTGTTAGCATCATCACACATCTCACACGCAGCTCTTACGACGCAACTATCATCGAGCTTGATCGATGCCTACTTTGCCAACTACCACGTTGTCTACCCCTTCGTCCACGAGGCAACATTTCGTGCTCAATATCACGAGGTCGTTCCGCGACCTTCAAAAAAGTCGTGGAACATGCTTTCTCATGCAATTATAGCACTTGGTGCGTGGACATTAAACAACGACCAAATCGGCCTGGAGGATTACCTGTACCGTCGGGCCTTGACATTGGGTCAAGAGGAGTCGGTGTTTGAAGCCGCCAGCCTGACATCTGTGCAAGCACTTATACTCCTGAGTAACCTCAGTCAGAAACGCAATAGCCCAAATACGGGATGGAATCTACTAGGTCTCGCTGTTCGTACAGCGCTGAGCCTGGCACTTCATAGGGAACTTCCTCACTGGAACATTACCCTGATCGAACGTGAGACAAGACGTAGAGTATGGTGGGGCCTATACATCTTTGATAGTGGGGCTTCCACGACTTTCGGCCGTGCCATCATGTTACCCGACCAAGAGACGATGGATGTTCATTCGGTACTGAACATTAAAGATGAGGTACGGCTGCCCAATGGAGGAGACATAGACGACGTGAGACTGACCGATACTAGTCGCTTACGCCACAAACTGTAACGCTCCCTACTGAGGTTGACGAGGCCACCATCTACTCGTCGCTAAGAGCGCAGAGTAGTTTCCACCTGCAGACAAACCATATTTCGAATAAACTACTAGCCGAGCCCGGGCTTTCCGCTGAGGCCGCGCTCGCTTTGAACAGCTCTGTGGATTCATGGACACACACAGTTCCCCCATACTTCCAGCTGTCCCGAGCACCCAGCTCGTCAGTCCAGTGGTATGTGTTCGCGCGGTCTCGGCTGTGGTGGAGATTTTGGAACCTCAAGATCATTATATTCCGACAAATTCTGCTACGCCGAGCGATCTCCGAGCGAGGCCAGATACCAGATCAAGCTACGCAATCGACTCAAGAAGACTGCAAGCGGATATGTCTCGAAGCTGCGCATTCTACAGTTGTCTCGATACATCAATATGCGATGCAGGAATTGAATAGACTCGAGGGTTGGTACGCGACGTGAGTATATCATCTTGCTTAGCAAGGTGAAATTTGAAACTGATTAGTCTGTAGATATTTCCTGTTTCATGCGGCACTCGTGATAACGCTATGTATCATCAGCTTTCCGCGCGCTGAGGAGACCACGACTTGGCACGACGACGTTCGCTTGGCGAGAACCACCTTTCGCGAACGGCTTGTTGGGGATTCATTATCAGCACGTTGTGTAGCGATTCTTGACCAAGTCGTGTCCGATGGCGACTTAAATTCAGGCGGACTGCAAGATCTGGAGCTTTCCAAAGACGCTTTGAGCACATTTCCCTGGTCCATCGAGTCCAACGAGTTATTCAACTCTTTTGATTGGGATTTTACGACGTCCGGGTTCTGAAGCGGAGATCTATCGAAAAGGCAGGAGCTGCTCAATTTTCAATAACCACGTCGGGTTTGACCAACAAGGACCGTATCAATTCGCCGTTTGGAATGTCGTTTTCTTCCGCTCTTGCAATAGCAGCTGACATGGAAGTCTCAATACCAGCAGCAAGGTGACGTTGCGCTAGGCGTGTGCGGACGGTGTCTACAGGCGCATCGACAAACCACCTACAGAATGTCAATACGCGCTTGAGGAGCAACATTCACGAGTATCACCAACCTTTCGTCACACACTTCTGCAATCTCATTCCATGGATTCTGTCTCAGAAGCGTATAATTACCTTCGACAATCACGAGTCGCGTGCGAGAGGATATCTTGATAGCTTCTGGCACGGGGTCTTTAGCAGCATGGTCAAAGCTGGGTGCAGTAATGCAGATGTCGGCTTCGCCATCCTTGGTGACAGCAGCTTCTTTGAGTGCCTTGACAAGAGTCACGCATGCTTTCGCATCGAATGTGAATGGCGCTCCACGTCTTTTGAACGCTACTTCGGCATCGTCAAATGTTGACAAGATTTCTCGCGTGTAGTGGAAGCCGTCCTAGCAATCATTAGAGAGGCTACATCATTGATTGCGACCAGCTCCTACCATTGGTACAACAGCAACATCTTTATTGCCTCGAGCAGTGAGCTCGGTGATGAGCGCATCAGATACCGTCGACTTCCCCGCGCCTGGCACGCCTGCAAGCGCAACAAGCATGCGACGACCGGGATCGGATGCTTGGCGAGACAGAAGGTTTTCCGTGCGCTTGGCCAAATCAAGTATGGCTGCACGTAAGGCGTCCTTGCTGGAGTCGTCTGCCATTGCTGATTGTCTTGCGATAGATTGGAGAGAAGTCTCAATAAACTGCAAAGACTTTTGGGAGATGTTCAAATCGAAAGATGCAGGAGAGAGCAAAAAGTTCTACAGCGTTACGTGCGACACGCGATGATCTAAAGATCACATTTGCGTTGTGGAGTTCGGACCACATCCCTCCGAGCACAAGTCATGCTGGAGACCCAATTTCCATACCTGAATCAGGCAACTTTACCATGTGGGCACGCGGGGAACCCGCATCACATATACGGCTAATGGCGCAGACACATGGAGTATCGTGGGGTCGGACGACAGTGCTCCGAAGCTGTCCGATCCCAGTTATACTTATGAAGGGTTGAGATGTGCACCAAGGGTATATAAGCATGAGGTGCTGCCACCACTAAACCACCCACTCACATTGGATCCCTCTTCTTCAAGACCAACGTTGGCATACTCACAAGGAACACTGCAGAGATGTCCTCGGTTCACGATGTCACTGCCATTGGCGCTGCGCCAAAGATTGGTGTCTACAAAGAGCTAAGACAAAACCCATACCTTCTTGGTTTATCTGCGGTCCGTTGAAACGAACCTTTCTGTGCCTGCAATTTCAGCTAACATGCATAGTTCGCTTCCCTCGGTGGTTTCCTCTTTGGTTATGACCAGGGTGTTGTCTCTGGAGTGCTGACCATGGAGTCTTTTGCCGCATCCTTCCCCAGAATTTATACAGACAGTTCTTTCAAGGGCTGGTTCGTTTCAACATTACTGCTTGCCGCTTGGTTCGGTTCTCTCGTCAATGGACCAGTAGCCGATCGCTTCGGTCGGAAAGGGTCTATCATTATAGCTGTTGTCATCTTCACCGTCGGCTCTGCACTCCAAGCTGGCGCAGTAAACATTCCGATGGCTTTTACAGGTATGAAACACTCTGAGAAACACGATTGCAATCCATGCTGAACACCGCATCTAGGTCGCGCAATTGCCGGTTTTGCTGTTGGCATGTTAACGATGATCGTTCCAATGTACATGAGTGAGGTCTCAACTGCCGGCATCAGAGGTACTCTAGTTGTTCTTCAACAGCTTTCCATCACGCTCGGTATCCTCGTATCGTACTGGTTAGAATTTGGAACTCAATACATTGGAGGCATACGTTGCGCGCCCGACATTGCCTATACTGGTGGTACTGCGGCCGAGCCTGCCTTCGACCCACGAAACGACGTTGGCCCTAACGGCTGCACCGGTCAAAGCGATGCCGCATGGCGCGTACCCTTCGCCATCCAGATATTCCCTGGTCTCGTTCTCGGTATCGGCATGCTTTTCTTTCCCGAATCACCTCGATACTATTGTATGCGTGACAACGAAGAGGCTGGTGTCCGAGCGCTGGCCCGAGTTCGTCGCACCAACCCCGATGATGAACTGCTACAGAAAGAGTATCTTTCTATCAAAGCTGAAGTCATGTTCGAAGAACAATACAACCGCGAAAAGTTTCCTGGCAAGTCTGGGGTATCGTTGTACCTGGCTGGCTACTCGACCCTTTTCTCCACCTGGCCGTCCTTCAAGCGTACGGCCATTGGCTGCTGTGTCATGTTCTTCCAGCAGTTTATCGGGTGTAATGTATGTTCCGATTGCGCGCATTGCTTGACATAGATAGCAAGCTAACATCGTGATCAGGCAATCATCTACTATGCACCTACAATCTTCTCGCAGTTGGGTCTTTCTGGCAAGACCACTGGCTTGCTTGCAACAGGTGTATACGGGATAGTTAACACGCTATCCACGCTCCCAGCGCTGTTCCTCATCGACAAGATCGGTCGCCGCCCTCTCCTTCTCTGTGGTGCTGCCGGTACTTGCATTTCTCTCTTGATCGTTGGCGGTGTCATTGGCGGTTACGGATCAACGCTCAAAGACCACCCCGCAGCTGGCTGGACAGGCATTGCATTCATCTACATCTACGACGTAAACTTCTCATACTCGTGGGCACCAATTGGCTGGGTCTTACCCTCGGAGATCTACAACATCGGTAACCGGTCAAAGGCCATGTCTCTGACTACTTCATCGACATGGATGTGCAACTTCATCATCGGTCTTGTCACACCAGACATGCTCGAGAGCATCGGTTTCGGCACATACATCTTCTTCGCCGCTTTCGCTTTGATTGCGTTTGTGTTCACATGGTTCTTGATTCCTGAGACAAGGGGTAAGAGCTTGGAAGAGATGGATGCTGTGTTTGGCGATAGCACTGCGCATGAGGAAAAGACAAGGTTATACAACATTGCGCAAAGTCTGGGACTTGAGGAGGCTCAGGCTGCAGCGTTTGACGAGAAGCCTATCAAAGCGTTGCAGACAGAAGTGATGAAAGTATGAGAATAGTACGCATAGAGATGGAGAGGCACACCCGACAGTGTCAATCCTCAAGCACCATCGAGAATTATCATTCACTATGCACATGTGAATTTCCTGCATTGCTAGGGGCCTGTGATATTTGCCTTCAATGACGTCCTCTTTGTCATATACATCTTCCGTCACAGTCATTTTTCGTTCTCCGACCTGCCGGATCATGCACCAGCACTTTCTGACGCATCGTCTTCGTCATGATCCAAGTATCCCACAAGTCGAACTTCCCATCACTTCTCACAGACCTGGGTCCGACATTCTGAACAGAGATTGGAACTTTGGCCATATGTCGTTGAGCCATTTCTTGATACACCAGAGGTAGAAGAACACGTTGCTGATACGTATCACTGCTGAGGAACTTATTGACACCGCAGAGACATCAATATCTGGAGGTTGAGTATGGCGAGCCCCCACAGGGGGTACATGTTGGCATACAAATGCTAGCAATACAACGCCACGCACGAAGAAAGTAAAGCGCGCCTATGCGGCTGAGTGCAACAGAGCTAATTCCCAGACACCAATAAGGAAAGCGACAAGAAACGAGCGCCATGACAGAGCAATCGAAAGGGTATTAGAGACAGTTGTGAAGATATAAACCAGCCACCACCAGGGCTTCATATAAGAATGCACATTTCGCGCAACGAGCGAACGATGCAGACCAGACGAAAAGGAGTCAGTGAAGGAAGAAAAAGGTATCAGAAGAGAACAAGAAGGTGAGCCCAATCCGACCAATCCTCCAAGAGGTCTCCCAAGATTTCGTTTCCACATAATGCGTGCTAAAATTCCCCAAAAACGCCAGAAGAGAAAAGAGAAACAATCCCTAGGGTATACTAAAAGACGCAAAAAAGATACGACTTACAATAAACGCGCATCTAGAACCTAGACCCCGCCCTCAAACTCCCGTTTGCACTGGTGCTGCGTGCTGTGCTAGCACCACTGCCTGCTCTCTTCATACGCTTCTCCATGAGCCCATTAAGCAGACGATCTAGTTCGCCACTCAGGCCTTGCATGGTCTTGGTCTCTTCAGCGAGATAGTCCTTCATGAGAGGATGATCACGGCCGACTGGCACAACACCTGTGGTGTCATTGATAACAACGAGCATGTCGCGGATCTCGCTACCGTCATCCAGGTAGGCACGAAGCGAGGCGTCGGACCACGCAGAAAGCATTGTGCTTTCTGCCGATACAGGAGGTGAGGGTTCGCGATCTTTGGTAGGGATGGGTGCTGGTCTTGACGGCGGAGGACCGACCGGTTCAGATGCACGATGCGTGGGCGATGACGTGTTGTCAGACCTGAATGTCGAAAGGGTGTTGTTCTCAGGAATAGTCTTCATGGGGCTGTCGTCAGGTGTAGGCGTTGATACTGGCGAGCTGGTTTCTTGACTTGAGCTATCAGTAGACAAACCTGGAGCGTGGTGAGACTCCGACTCTTTTTCCCTGTCGGCAACAATTTCCTTCTGCAAGGGCTGTGCATCCGCTGCGGAGACGTGAACTGGCGACTCGGAAAGACGACCTGTAGACTCTACATTCTCAGTTTCCCCCTGCTTGTCCCGAGCATCAGGATCCGCGAAAGGATCGCTGCTTTCATCCGAGTCGAAATCATCCAATTGCACACGCTGCTTCGCCTTTGTAACCTTCTCGCGCTTGACTTCCCCTTCTTGTTGAGGCTTCATGATATTACTGAATGGGTTTCTTGAGCTTGTGGTGTTGGATGTTGAGTCTGGAGACCTGGTTTGGTCTTCTGTTGTTGACTTGCTTGTCTCATCTTGTTCAGGTGATACCAGACGCATAGTCGAAGTAGCTTGTTGTGCAGCCGGCTGATTGTCAACACTGTCCAACTCATCTGGTTCAGCGCTCAGCTCTGTTGGGCTTTCAGTCTTCAAGATGCCCTTTGTCTTCTGCGGCGAATCGTCTCGGTGACTTCTGTGCACCTTGGGCTTACTCAATTGTCTCAACGGTGCTGGAGCTGTCACTTGTTCAGCTGACGACCGTTCTGCAAGTTCGTCTGACGGTTTTGATTGTGGCGAGCTGCGATCCGCTTCTTCCGGTTTCTCGATGTCGCTGTCCATGGAGTCTTGTGCACCTTTACCCTTCCTGTCCTTGCGCTTGAAGAGTCCACTGAGCATACCTGACTTCTTCTCTTTCTTCTTTTTGTCGTCCTTGACCTTATCCGCGAAACCATTCTTTTCCAGACTCTCCAGACTAGGCCCACGCTCGCGAGAGCCGGTAGTTGACGTGCTTGAGTCGTCGCGAAGCAGGTTAGGAGTAAGTGTGATCTTGCGTGTTTCGGTATTTTCATCTTTGAAGAAAGAGTCTGTGTTGCGCAGCGTACCATTGCGAGAGACTTTGGGGTCCAAAGGCCGATCTACCGCGTCTTCGCTTCCTCTTTCTCGGTCTTCTGATCGTTTCGCAGACTCCTCGCTTGAGCTTCGTGCATCACCCTCGGTTTGGCCATCCTTCTTTGCACCATTCACCTTCAGTGGTTGTACTTGGAGGTTCTCTTCTTGAGCAGCATCGCCGTCCTGTGTTGCCGCTTGCTGCTGTTGTAATTGCTTTGGCTCTGGTCCACCAAAGAGTTCGCCCTCACCCTCGTCGGACGAGTAATCGTAGTCTGAGGCTTCGACGTAAGTAGGTGGCGCGAATTGTACAGTTTTGGCATTCCTTCGTCGCATGGCCTTCTTGAGCGGATTTTTGGATTTCTCGGCGGTGTCGCCAAGCATGGTTGCGGAGAGGTCTATGTTTCTATGCTTGTTGAGGCGGGCTAAGCGTTCTGTTGGTGTCTCGATGTGTTCGGCGGGCAGATAGCCTGTAGCTTGAGTTAGAAATAGTTGAAGGTTTAGCTGCGAATGCCTACCGATGCTGTTGTCCTTGACAACTCGTACCAGCCACCAGTAGCTGTTACTATCATCGAGTAACACCATGGTGTCACCTTTGGTTGCGTTTGCCTGACCTTCGACGGTCGCGACGAATGTGTGCAGGGCGTAGACGAATTCGAAGTCGATATCTTCTGTTTCTCGTAAGCATTCGCCTCCCCATCCTGAGTCGATAAATCTAGGGTCATCAGAAAAAGAGACGTCATTGGATGCATCATCGTTGTCTTGGTCCAGATCTGCGTCCCAAGAGTCGGCGTCACTGTCGGTGGTCCAGGAATCCTCTTCATCTTCGGGTTGGCTAGCCTTGAGTGGAGTGTCATTTGTCGTTCGAGGTGAACTTGGGGCAGGATCCAGAAAGGGGTCTTCCGGTGTGTTTAGAAGGGTACGATCAATCGGTTCCAATATGCGTTTGACCTGCTCCTCGTCCAGTTCGGACATTAGTGATGCCTGAGAGTCTTCTCTTGTCTCGATGCGACGTTGGACGGCCCTCAGTCGTCTCGTCGTTGGACTGGTACCCACCTCCGCGAGTAGTTCTTCGTTGTTGTCCGGTGCCGTGGTGGCCCTTGTCCAGGAATACTCACCACGATGATGCTCCGTTGACTTGATTTCTGGGTGCAAAGGAAATAGTAAAGAAACGGGGATCGATGTAGGTCGATCCCGTGAGGAAAGATTAGGGACAGAGATAGGAAAATGAATAGGCGTATTCGTAAACGGAGAAGAAGAAGAAGGAGAAGCGATAGTTGAGAGCACGGGCGAAGACTGGGGAGTCAGAGACTCTCGTCTCGCCGGCCAGATCGCGGGGTGAAGAGGTAGAGAATACCCACCATCGTCTATCGAGGGCGAACTCGAGATCTTGTCCATCATGTCGTCGTCCATGTCCTCCTCATCGGCATCCTGCATGTCGGCATCATCGTTGTCGGCGGATGCACCGCCATTCAGCCTGACAGCCTGCTCGTCTTGCTGGGGGCCATTTCGTGGATTGGCGTTGTTCATTACCGTGCGGTCGTCATCGGAGCCGGGGTCGTCTCGTAGCTGACTGCCAGCGTCGCTCCATGCATCTTGCAGACGGGCCTCCTCGGAGTTGCGCTCTTGCTCGACCTGTCGTATAGCAGCCTGCTGATGGGGCGCTGCTGGACCAATTCCAAGCGGCGCCGGATGTTGGGGCTGGTGGGAGTGGTCCTTGGCGGTGGGCGATGTTTTGTCCTGCAGGTCGATGGTGTCTAGACACATGGGTTAGCAGGCGCACCTCGCATTGCGCACTCGGTGTATGCCTTCGTACCTGCTCTGATGATATGGGGTCGCGTCATCCTAGCTCATTCCTCTGCGCGCGTTGAACGATTGGGGGTCGTGGTTCGGAGGAATGGCCAGGTGAGACGAGGCGCGATGGGTGGCTGGGTCGACCTGCGCAGGGACGTGGTAGCGCGAGTCGAGTTGCCGTGGAAATAGCAGCAGCACAAAGAGCAGAGAATCGCGTGCGTGGTCCGGGGAGAGCGTTACAGGCGTCGCATGCGTTCTTGGGGCGTGTTTCGAGCAAGGAGCGGCTGAGCCACTGGTCGTGGTGCGGCAATCGGGCGCGAGTGTTTGGGGGCATGCGAGTGACGCGGCCGGGAGCGCGAGAGAATGGAGCGAAAAGCAATATGGCCACGGGTATGTCGCTGCCAGTGAGGGGCACGCCGTGGGAACTGAGGTCGTGACGCTGGCCAGGAGGGTGAATGATTTTGGCGTCGTTTGCTTGTCCTTCCCCGAACGCATGCCCCTGCCTTGTTCTGAAACGTCTCACGCGCTAGCCTGTTCCTGGCCACTTCACTACAAAAAGGAGATGCGGCTCGGTCCTTTCAAGTCGTCTTAAATCACCGCACATGAGACCGTTTCTGCAGCCAGCTGCTTGACTTTCTCCCTCGTTGTACTGACGGCGTCATGCGTTCGGCTACCTGGGTTGTCGTTTCCAACTCGACGCTACGGCCGTGTTCCGCACTCCGCAACCGATGAAACACCAAACTTGGAACCCTATCAAACGTCACTGGCTCTGGTAGCCTGCGACACCCAGCATCAGCTGTATCCCACACACTGTCTCGAGCTTCGCGCCTCGCTGCACAAATGTCTCATTGGTCTGCATCATTCTATCAACGAGGAACAACACTTTCCATTCACTTGATCAAGCACATTCCAAAACCGCGAGATGCTCTGACACGCATCAGCTTCCCGTACGATTAGCCAATGTGCATTCGGTCATGATCATCTACCGCTTAGATGAAGAGAAGACTACGCATTGATCAGCAAAGAACAGTTATCATGATTACCTAGGTGCTTAGATGCTCTTTCCCATGAGCTTCACTCGCCAACCCGTCCTACTTACTGACGGAACGCCCTTGCACCTTCCTCACAAGCGCTCTACGCTGTGTGCAGGCTTCAACGCCTCTACTTCTCGCGCATCGCAAAGCGACCTGTTCTATCCAGCGCCTCTATTCGAGCGGAATCGCTTGTACTACCTGGTCATCAAATAGTTTTGCGTTGTGGGAATGCATACCTTGCCAAGTTTGCCATCTTCTTGAGCAGCGAAAGCGAAAAGCGAGTTTCGACAACACCAAATCCATCACTGATGCGGCTACCAGAAAATGTGTAAAGAACAATGTCTTGCGTGTGTTACTCTTACGGGTTAGGAAGCAAGACGCGGTCCCACGTGCTGTGCGAAAGACAGAGGCAGATCACTCGGAGATTTGTGCTCACGGAAGTTCCTCGGCCTGTGAGCTACTTATTACGTAGCTGTTGCTTCGTACTAGCTGCGCCTGCTCCCCTTCGAGATCTAGTCATGTGTTATATCGAACGTCGTTTCTGCCTCGATGTAACGTTCTCGTATGCGCATTACCAGGTTCGCTCAGCTCTAATGTCATCATCGGGCGGCTGGAAGAACATATCTAGCCAGCCTTACCCGTGCGAAGCGGCGCCACTCGTGGTCATGTCCGGGCCGACCGATCGAGACTAGACCTTTTATGGTTTTGGCGCACCTCCTTTCGACCAGCTCACATCGGCTTGCAGGCTTCATCTGGCCTGAAGCTTTCCAGAAAGCCGCTCGATTAAAAATAGAATACGACGTTCATCTCTAATAGACTGGACCATTGAAACAACCGGCGGGTACTCTGGTAGATACGATTTTTATGCTGTGGTACTGAATCGCGTAAATTCGAGTATATACCTATGGCGAGACCAGACACTATTTGCCATATCGAGAGCTTCCCGTTTCTCTACACTCGCTGCACCCTACATTGACTTCTCGATATCCCGTCTTCCACCATGGTGGCCCACATAATCAAGCTCTTGGCTGTTGCCACCACCGTTTCGGCATCCATAGTCGAACTGCCTGTTGTCGTTAGGGGCAGCTATGCCAGCGTCAAGCTGGATATTGGCACACCTGCCAAAGAACACCGCTTGTTATTTGATACCGGCTCGTCAACGATTTTCCTTGTCAACACTGACTGTACCGAGGCCTCCTGCCCGGACGGAAAGATCTCGGACTACGAACGAGTAAAGTACAATGCGTCCGCCTCATCAACGTCCGTCAACCTTGACATTCCCGCGTCGATTCCGTACCTAGGCGGCGAAGTCGCTGGCGGTACCTTCCAGGACATTTTCAGCACTACAGACGGCGGCGTAGAATGGAACCAGACCTTCCTGTCCGCCAACCAAAGCAGCTGGCGTTTCATCACCGCCGACGGTTTCCTCGGCTTAGGCTTTTCCACCATTGCGGAGAAAAACACAACGACCTTGGTCGAACAGTTACTGTGGAACGGTCAACTGGATGCTCCACGTTTTGGACTGTACTACGGAAAGAACTTGAAGGATGAAGGCGAGCAAGATGGTGTTTTGACCATTGGTGGCAGCCATGAAGACAAGTATGTGGACGGCGAGATGGTCTACGCGCCCTTGAGGAAAGAGGCAGAATATCAGCTCTGGCGTGCGCCACTCAGGAGCGTCAACGTACTCGTTACAGAGGACCCATCGGCACCAAATGCCACTATCGAGATTCACAACGGTCGTCTTCCCACCACCGCTGTAACGAAGGGCGGTTTCCCAAAGGCCAACACGACATGGTCAACGTATCAAGCCGGAGCTGTTTTCGATACGGGAGCTGGACGCCTTTCCGTCCCGACAGAGATTGTCGATGCCATGTACTTCAACCTTGGCTGGAACAACACCAAGCTTATGAATGGTGAGGAGCGCATGGAGTGTCAACATTTGAATGCTTCGTGGGCAGTCACTCTGACTCTTGGTGAGGGTGCTCCCGAAGACGATGTGTCATTCACTATGCGAGGTGACGAGTTCACCGAGCCTGGTGACCAGTGCATGCCGCCATTTGACGATAGCGAGCAGTACGGGTTCGCGCTTGTCGGTGCTGCGTTCCTACAGAGATATTACTCCGTCTACGACTTTGGTGCTGACAAGGTCGAGGACTACCAGCCAAAGATTGGCTTTGGAAGGTTGAAGAAGGAGTACGATTACCTGTACCAATGATCATGGCTCACACAGCATTCTTCATTCATTCTTGTAGATATTTGTAACTCAAACCCATATAAGACTTTTGTATTCTCATGTAACTACTTACATGCCTGTCCATTTCCGATTGTGTTGTATTGTCTGATTGATCTATGACATAATGTGAATTCCTATCGCTCTCCACACTCAGAAACTATCGGGACTTCATCATGAGCCCTCTTTCCTATCTACTTCCCTTATCTCCAGGTGGGGTCGTGCAGTACCCCTTGCAACTCGCATATGCAGTGTCAAAACATGGGAGTCAGGTTTAATTCTGTCGATCTTTTCCATCCTAGAATCGCCCATTGTGTCGAAATACCAGAGCTCATGAAGATTGACATGGTAGTGTCTGTAAAAGTCCTTCCGTCTAGCAGTCCACCGATCACCAACGACCACGGTAGCTGACCAATGGCCGTTCCTGAAGAAGAACACAAATGCGAAGACAGGATATGCATCGGATTTGAACTCCATATAGCCGATGATGGCGCCAGTGTGCGTTGCGTGCAGCCACTTTGCGGATGGATCCCAAAGGCCATTGGGTTCTACTCGGTTGACACGGACACTCGCAGGCTTAATTACTCGCATGACTTTGTCCGTGATAGTCGCGGCTTGCGTAGTTGTCAACGATTTGACTGCAGTGAACTCAGTGTACACCACTTCGGTCTTCACCGAGGGGCACTTTTGAGGCTGCGCGCGAACAAATAAATCCGGCCCCACTCGCCTGAGGTATACACCAACAGGTTTGCCCACGGTACCGAGGGAGTGCTTTACTGGTAATATAGCAAGTCCGGTATCGTTGTCCCATGCGAGACCTAGAAGATGCATGTACGGGGTCAGTACATGTCTCACATGCAATTCGTGCAGGGACATCTCTTACCCAGCTTGAGACGGATGCCACGATTTGTAAGGTAAAAGTCCCGCGGACGTACTGTCGGCTCAGGTGTGATTGATCGCATTTGTCGAAAACTTTTCGGAGAAGGAGCAAGGAGACCTGTCAGCTCCTGATCCGAGAATTGGTCATTCCACAGGAAGATCGAGTCATCAGCACATTGGCTGAGTATCTGTTCTTGCAAGCGGATGAATGCTTTTGACCCTTCTCCATACAGCATTGCCATGTTAATATCGAATATACCAAGGAGGCTGTATGCCATGTCTTCGTCCCGGGTGGTCTTGCGCTCAGCTGCCCACGAGAAGCGCTGAGCAACAGGCACCTCGCTCAGCTCCATCTCTTGCTTGAGGATCTTGTCAGGAATTCCTGTGATCTCCGTAATCTGGGTAGCCAGGCTCGATTTCGTACCTCGAAACTCCCATTCTTGGTTGTAGAAGACGACATCCCTCGGCGCAATGAGTTCCTGTAGTGTCCAGCCGCGAGAAAACCATTTTGATGAGATGAAGGAGTAATCGCTTTCAGTGACGTCGAAGAGATAGGCGAAGCACACCCGAGCTTCTTTGTAGTATCTGAACATAGAGTTGATTGCTTCGCTAAGCTCTGCACTGCTAGACTTGTTGATGCAGCAAGTATCGCACCATACATATGGCAGTCTGTACCGAGGTGAAGAAGCTATCCTGCAGGTCTCGATGATCTTCCGGTACCCTGGCTTTGCGAGCGTGGATTTTGGACGGTCTTGCGGAGCAACATGCATCTCTTCATAAGTCAACTCGTCCTTGGTAGGACCCCATACGTGCGACAAGATGGCATACCGTTGATCTGGATCAGCATAATCTCGAACATGCAGAGCCAGGGTCTTAGTGTCGATAAAGATCATGATGGAACTGCGTATCAGGCGAATATTGTTGGGCCGCCTGAGGATTTTGCCAGATCTCCAAAGACTTGGACTGGTATTGACGAGTTGTGGAGATGAGGTTCTCGATTTCGATTTCGACCCCACCACAAGATGACAGGAGGCTGAGCCTACAGCTGGCCTTAAACCTACCTAGGTATGCGTCATACTGCGCACTTCAGCTGATACCAGTGCTACAATGAACGATGGATTGATTCGCGCATCGCCTCATGCAGCGCGATTCAGTGATAATATTAGTGGTGTATGTGCATAAAGCAAGGTGGACAAGGTTCGGTGTTCAAATGAGGATACTAGGCCAAATCTGATTAGCTCCTCTCCTTGCAGCGACATGTATGATTGTATGGATTGATTCTGTCAAAAGTTATGCAATCATGTCTAAAATACGATAGAACTAATTCAATCACTGCTCAACTCGCCTTCTTTCACAGGCTTTCATCTCTCGTCTTTCCTCCCTCCTTTGATGTTGTTTAGCTTGTTCCTTTGCTTCTCCCTCTCGTCCATGTCGATGTTGATATTGAAATGCTGGCTTCGAATCTTCTCGTAAAATTTACCAGCAGTAATGCCGTTCATAGGTTCAGCCCATTTGCCGGTGACTTCAGTCTCTAGGGAATCGGATTTGATAATAGTAGGTTCATGAGCACGGAGAACGAAGACAATCGAAAACCGGTATCTTTTGTCATCGACAGAAGCGCAATTAGTGGAAGAAGGCTGCGGAGCAGATTGGGTGGGGCTTGTTGGAGGTTCCATGGATCCATAAGCTACGACGCGATGGCCACCAGCAGGATATCTTCCATTGGAGAGTCGTTCGAGTTGCCGTCCAGCAAGCATAGTAGCTCCTTTTCTCCCAGAACCCTCGACTACTTTCTCTACAGCGAACCAGTCGGCTCCATCCCAGACCTCCAGGCCAGGCACATCCCCCACCACCACACTTAGTAGTCCTAGATCAGCATGCGGTTCAGCGACGACCTTCGCTTCCCATCCTTCATATCGAAATAAACGCAACATCGTCGCTGTTTTCTTCTTATCTGAATCTTGAAATAAACCACAGGGTCCTACGTATTGCTTCAGTCCCTCATCTTCGCCGTCTGGCAATCCCAGGGACGTCGAGATTCTGCCCAACGTGTTTTTGCAGTGTTGTCCGATGAGATCCCAATATCTCTCAGCAGGCTCTCTTAAGACTTCCGGGCAATACTCCAGGGTTCTCAAAGTGATGAATTCCTTTTCTCCTGGGATCTTGGACCAGCCCTCTTCAGACCTAAGTTTGTGCTTCCATTGCTGCTTTTCCTTATCGGGCTGGTTGAAGAAAGCTTGACTTGCTGCGAATAGCTGCTCGTAGGCAGTCTGAAGAGGATGAGATCCAGGCTCTGGCGCATGGGGCTCGTTCAAGTCTGGGGATGATTGTGCTGACAAACAGTTTGGAAAAGTGACAGTGGTCCAACCGAGTCTCGATAGAGTTTGTTGATGCTCTGGTAGGACTAAGGGTAACATTCCCGGCTTCAGTGGCGGCCGCGCTTCTAGTGGTGCATCTTGCACTGATTGCGCACCGTTCTTGTCGTTGCCCGTCGTTTTCCTTACCCGAAATTTTGAGATGATGCTTGAGATGGAGAAGTGGTGCTTGGATGAGCTTGAGGGTAGTGTGGCGACCATATCAACTAGTTATTAAGATACAAACACGTTGGCTGCGAAAGAGGAACTATAGGCAAAAGAACATTGGAAGTACAGCGGAGGAAGGTCAGAAATTATGATTACGGGTGTGGTCAGGGTATAGTAAAGATACGGCATGGAACAGCCAGGTGACGTTTTCCAGGCTACACGGGCCAAGCCACAATTGCACAGCCCCACCATCCACGGGTAGGCTTACGGGCTATTGCAAACAAAGCGTGCCGGTCAAGACCAGAACTTGCACGGCATATTTCAACGATGAATCCAAATACAAACAGGTATTTACACGGGACATAAAATGGTGAACATGCTGCGATTCATCATATCTCTACAGCCTCAACCTATTCTTGTCCCAAAGCTCCCTCTCCCTTTGCACGAACCAATCGTGCAAAATGGGATTTAACTTGACAATCCCATCATTCGTCTCACACCCAAACTCCATACCAGGTTTCCACGTCCCTCCCTCAGCACTGATTTTCATACTAGTCATGTTTTCCAATCGACACAGTGCTAGACCCACATCTCCAATGCCTCTGATGAACTTGCCTGCTGCACGCCCCTTCTTGATATGTCCGTTTTCATCTAGCTGCTTAATGTCAGTCCCATGTTCCGGTAGGGCAGCTGTTTTGCCGGGGTTGTCGATATGGACAGGCAAGATGCGCTTCCGGACGATGCCGGTGTGTTTTGTGCGAATGGTAAGTTCCTGGCCAACGTAACAACCTTTCTTGAAGTCTATACCATGCGAGAGATCAATATTGCACTCCATTGGCAATGCGCTCTCTCTTGCTATCTCTTGTGGTCCTTCGGGTATGCCATTCCTGTAGCGTTGGAGGTGGTATTCTCGTACGTCCACTGGCTCGGCTCCCTCTATTACCGTTGTTGTATTTGCGCTCGCGAGATAACGACGCATATCTGGGCAGCGTGGATCGCTCATTTCGGCGATTATACTTTCTGATCTGCGTTGCCCGGCTTCTGAGCCCCAGGCCGCCCACACGCCTATCTCATCTGCACTCACATCCGAAATCTGCACCTTGCTCCGGAGTTTGTGCCTCTTTAGATGCTTTTTCAGAGACTCGAATTCACTCTCATCAACTTCAATGTAGCATGCCCAAGGCTCCTTCTCCTGCACCAACTTTGGCCACACCCAGACAAACACATCCCACAACACTCTGCCGCGCGCATCGAGAAAGGCTGCGTAGAAGGGCGATTGTCGGCTTTCGTCGACTTTATTCGTAATGAGCCCTTGCAGAAACTTCACAGTATGGGGGCCAGTAAGGGAGATAAGGCGGCGATGCGGAAGCGCTGCGAAGTTCGAGCCAGCAGCTTGCGGAGAAGCCTCTATCGAGTAAGGGCGTCCCGAAGATATTTCACGAGCATTCCTAATGGCTGATGGTCGAATGTCGGCTCGATTGCGAAAGAACGAAGGGGCTATCGGTCGCGTTGAGATTCTGTCGTTTGAAGACGACGCGGTGCTAAATGTTCGGTGCGCGTCGGCGGCGGGTCTGGGCAGACAGCGCAAATTCGTCCTGCAAGCATCGCATATATATTTGGGCGTCTTTCGTGATGCACCCAGCGATAAGGCAGCCATGATGGTGACCAGGTTCTCGGTGTGAGATGAGGGACGTGATGGACAAGAAAGAGCTCTGACGGCATGCGGCATTTGCGGAGTTAAGACTAGACTAAGAGGTGATCGAATATGCCAGATCTGACTCCTCGAACTAAAATCACTATTCAGAACGCTAGAAACGCCTAATCTACAAGACAGAATATGAGCACACGCTATCGATTTGAAAAGCGTTCTCGGACATTCAACGCCGCTGCTCAATAATTCGAAGTATGGTCGCGTCAAGCCAAGAACTAGTCGTTCTTACGACCCGTTAACCTTGAACGCTCGCTATTGCCCTCTTTTGGGCTCGCCGGCCCTGACTCGTCGTCACTCTCGTCACTCTCGTCACTTTCGTCACTACTCCACTTGTCGTCCTCGCCTACAGCGAAGATGGTATCGCCATCAAGACTCTCCCTGGGAGGAACAATGGGCTTCTGTGCTTGTGGTGCCGGCAATGGCGACACATCGCGCGCGTTGTTGTTTGACCTCTGCGCTGGGTCGTAGGATGGAGGCTGATCTGAGCCTCTTTCCTCTTCATCAAGAGAATCTCTGAGGGATGCGATCTCGAAACCTTCATCATCTTGGGCAATCTAGAGTCGTCAGTAAGAATGTATAAATGGTATAGTTGTATGAACGTACCTCATCACTCATGGCAAATCTCCGGTTGTTGGCTGTTGGCCTCCACATGTACGCAACAAAACACACATCCGCCAAGTAGACAAGATTTAGCCAGCCGTCAAGCACGAACCATCGTGTTTGCCAGTGTGTCGGAGCAAAGTCGGGGGTCGAAGCTCCGGCGAAGGTGAAGCTGTTGATGAAGAAGAAACCGAAAATGACAATAATGCTCGTCAAAATGCACCACCATAACCTCTTATACATGGTAGCTTTGACGTGCTGCTTTCGCTCCATCAAATCCTTCATCGTAAGGTTGAGCGAGTTCAGGGTCCAGATGTAAAACGCCGTAAGTGTGGCTGAGAGTGGGAGGATGACCAACAGAACTAGAGGTCCGGCGTCATCGGGACGAACAGTAAGTGAGGCTACAGCATAAATTACGCCAAAGACGAAGTGTGCTACAGCAAGCCAGCGGACGACCGTCATTGTCTTGCCGAGGGAAGGCTTGACGACGCCATATCCCATACATACGATCAGGAGCAGGAAGAAGGAGAAGGAGTTACGGAAAGCGTTGAGTACGGCGACGACAATCATGAGTGCCTTGGTGCCGACGTTGTTACCGTGGCGGTTCTGGTAGTCGTAATAGCCCCAAGTCATCAGCATCTCGATGACCAGAAATACTAGGATAGCAGTGATGTAGTTTTGGACGGCAAGAATATCGTGACGGTTCTGGAAGTAGAGGAAGCCCCAGAATGCCAACACAACAAAATACACAATGGTGATTCCGCCGTAAAAAGGCAGCTTTGCGATCTGGGCGGCTTGCAGCTCTCCATAAGCGTTCCGAAAAGTCACGATAGCCTCGAATTGCAATTGCTTGTCTTGCGCATTCGCAGCCACACAGTAATAGCCAGTTTTGATTGGTACTTTGGTCTCTGCGGTGGAGATCGGGTACTTGATTGCTTTCGGGTCGTTCAGGTCGATAGCTTCGGTCCTGATAGGCATTTGCCAGAGGTTCTCGACGTCTTCCGCGAGTACCCATTCGCCTTTATGTGTGCCGTTGCAGAGGTTTAATTTGATCGATTCGTCGTCGCAAATGTAATGGCGGTTTTCCTGAGAAACTTGTCAGTTGGATCATCCAGATACCATGCAAGGCCCACATACATCGTTCACGGGCAAATCGGAAGGTGCGCCCAGAAGCAAAGTGTCTTTCCATTCCCAGACCACGACACTGACAGTCTGGTCCTTGATTCCTTCGTTCTTCTTCGGATCTTTTATGAATTTAACAAGTATGAAGGGGTCGACCTTGCCTCCCCACGACTTCTTGCTGTACATGCCACTGGACTTTGGATCAGCATGCTGTCCATGTGTAACTCATGGCCCGGCATTTTCCTCATACCTGCATTTTTGGGTCTCCTTATCAGACAGCGTCACGTCCATCGCTGCTACTGCTGTCACAGTAGTTAACAGCAGTAGAGCGAGGTTGCGCAGCCGTGCCTTCATCTTGCCGCGATGTGAGGCCAGCTGGCGGAGCTGACGGCTGGGGGTTTACAGCGCTTCAGGCGGAGGGATGCGGTTCGAGTCGAGTCGGCGATAGTGTCTTTCCGTCAATTCCTGGTCCAAGACGGGTCATGGGTGTAGGGTCGTGTTTAGTTGTCGATGTTTAGCTTGCGCGTTCGTCACCTACGAGTCCGCCTTCCCGGTAGCTCTTAGCGCGCTTCCTAGAATGTGGCGCAGCCTTGGAGCCTTCAATGGGCAACCATCACCGAAACAGCCGACCAGTCAGCCCTACCAAGCCCTTTCACCAATAACCCCCCCCCCCCCCAAAAAAAACAAGACACATGCACATCATGCCAGGCAAACACATGGCTGGCACCTCTGATGAGCCTTGCAGGCGATGCAAAGACAATATTTCCGTCCTCGTTGTGCGCTCTGAGCCACTTTGCCAGTCAGTCTACGCCACCTAGAGGGGAAGAAGAATTTGCTAAATTTGTGCAGTGACTGTTTTGCCCGCTATGTGCATACAAAATGCATCAAGCGCTTGGAGTCGTTTCGTGTGAATTTTGGAGCCGAGCAGCAACGTAGGATTCTAGTACCCCTGTCGTTCGGCGTCTCATCTATAACTCTCCTTCATATACTGGATCTGCATCTAAAGACGCAAAAGAGCAAGACTGGCCGGACCGGATTTGAGATCAGCGCGATATACATCGAAGATCCGGAGCAGAAAGTGCAGGCTGCTCAGCTGCTCGACAAGGCTCGCGAACAATACCCGGACCATCACTATGCCTCACTGCCGTTGCACGATGTATTTCGCATGGTCCCAGACGATGCCTCAATCCGGTCTCTGGTGCCACGGACCGAGGAAACCGTAGGCTGGAGCCCTGAGGAGCATTTCGTTCGCATGATTAATTCGCTCACATCGGCAACTGCTCGTGCAGACGTGTTGTCTACCCTTCGAACAAGGCTGATCGTAGAATATGCCAAATCGACTGGTTGCGAAAGTGTTCTCTGGGGTGACAGCACCACCAGACTCGCTCAAAAGACACTTGCTGAGACCGCGAAGGGCAGAGGTTTCTCTCTGCCTTGGCAAGTCTCCGACGGATCGTCGCCATTTGATCTCAACTTCCATTACCCGCTTCGAGATGTCCTAAAGAAAGAGCTAGTATCTTACATCAACATGGCCGATCCTGGTCTATCATCACTTGTTCATGAGACCTCATCAGGAGCCACCCAAGCATCGACAAGCTCAAAGAATACCACTATTGACGATCTCATGACGCAGTACTTCGAATCGGTCGAGGAGAACTTTCCAAGTATCGTTGCAAATGTCGTACGCACAACAAGCAAGCTTGAGGCTCGACCCGATGCACTTTCAGACCCAAAATGCAGCCTGTGTAGTATGCCTGTACCTGGCGGTCGATTTGGCATCCATGGCTGGGGTGGTGATCAGCAAGATGGGGATGACTTCGAGTCTACACATGCCAGAAGAGACATCTGCTATGGCTGCACAAGGTCGTTGCCTAAAGCCACAATGAGTACGATCAGTAATTGAGCGCATCGCTGAAATTTGCAATCATTTTTCATCAGCATTGCGAACCATCGCCTACTCTGATAGACCCTTGCACGAAGCTTGAAGGATTTATGCAGAATGGTCTTTCTATGTTCATTTGCTCTCTAGGCCAACATCAATCTACGCGCTCGAGCACTACCGGCAAAACAATCAATAACCTGGCATTATCCTGGAGATCGACACATATTCCCGGATCTTGACCGAAAACACTATCTATACTCATCTATGTCGGTACAACGATTCCCGAGCCTCATGACCAGATGTCCAAGTACACAGTATAAGAGAGCCACAGATAGCTGTTCTATGTTCAACACAACAATCGCAATGAAGCTCTCCAATTTGATAGTTTGTCCTTTGCTAAGCGCATCGACATGTCTCGCACACTGGAACTACGACCGTGTAATCGTTAATGGCGAGATCATTGGCTCACCATATGAATACGTTCGCAAAACCAACAATTCCAACTACCCTCTTCAAGACGTCAATTCCATATATATGCGCTGCAACTCCGGTGCAGAATCCGGTGTTGCAATCAACACCAAAACCTACACCGTTGCTGCTGGCGATATGCTAGGCTTCGCGGTCAAGGATACTTTCGGCCACCCTGGGCCACAACAGATTTACCTATCTAGAGCGCCAGGCCCTGCCGCTGAGTACGATGGCTCAGGCGACTGGACAAAGATCTACAGCTTGACCTATTCTTTGAACTCGAGCTACGGCGCCAGCGACGGCATCCTCAAATGGGCAACCCACAACGCGCGAACGTTCAACTTCAAGCTTCCTTCTGAAACACCATCAGGCGAATATCTGCTCCGCGCCGAAGGTCTCGCGCTCCATGCAGCACATAAACCAGATAACTACCAATTCTATATTGCTTGTGCGCAGATCAATGTCGTGGGCAGTGGTGTGGGTGTTCCGGGCCCGACGATCAAATTTCCGGGTGGATACCAGTGGAATTCAACGGGCGTGCTGATACCAGAGTTTTGGAGTAGGATTACGAACTATACGGCTGCAGGACCGACATTGTGGCCAGAAGGAACAATGGAGGCGCATGTTTTGGATGGCACAAAGAAGACCGGCGCGGACTGAGGTTGTGTGGCACCCAGCATAGGCTATGGCTAGCGGAGAAAGCTTGCTCCATTATCATGTCCGTCTTTGCCAACGAATCAAGGCAGACTGCACGTTATACCAATTTCATCTAAAGCTAAGCAGGTCGTCTAAGCATCTAATCCATCCCGCTCAACCATCCATCGAACAATGTCAATGACTTCGCTTTGTTTTCCACTGACGCCCTTCCCAGGTTCTTTCACCATACCCTCAAGCACGTTATCCAACATACCCCTCAACCTACTAACCAGCACTCCGATCCTAGCCCACCCTCTCAACCGTATCCATTCATCTACCACCAGTCCGCGTCCAAGAGTATCAACCTTGATCTCACCAGCAAATAACAACAAGCTGTATGCATTGAAAGGCGTGATATCTCTTATGAAAACTTTACTTGTAGCCATCTTATTGAAGTACGCAACGAAACTCGCATTATGTGGGAATGTCTGACTGGCGAATAGCGTGGAGGAAGGATGAACAAAGACACGTCCGTTTTCCTGATTGAAGTATTTGATCTCGCGGGCTGAGGGGTCAAGTTCTACGGCACCAGCAATTCCAGCGGCGAACTTTTTGTCGGGGAGTTGGATGCGTGCGATTTGTGGGTTGAAAGACCCAGCGATGAGCGCACGGAGGAGTGCGTCATTGGCGTTGTGCTTGTTGTATGACCCATGTGTGGAAGGATTGAGAGAAGAGTAGTGCGTTGGGATAAAGGAGATTTCTTTGAGAGACGAAAGGTACTGCGTGCGATTGGAAGCAATATCGAACATGGTCTGAGGAGAGAGGCGGTTGTCTTGACACCAGAAACGAAGGTCTCGTGTTGACATGCCTTTACTGCGCAATGCAGCCCATTGTTCGTAAGCTCGAAGATCTACAAGTAAGTCTCCTTGGTTGTTTGAGAAAGATGCGCGTAGGTGGTCGAACTCGTTTCGGGTCTCCTGGTCTCGCTCTCGTGGTGATATAAACGGACTGCGAGCGGTCAGGACAGCCGCGATGGTCAACACAGCTTCAAGACAACCGAAGGTTGCGCCGTAAACAAGAAGCTTGCCCAGACGAAGATCCGCCGGGATCATGGACATGTGGCGACCAAGAGCGGTCAGTTCGTCGTCGGTAATCGCACCCATCTGTGAGAGTAATCGGATTGCACCCTCCACCGCTGTGCTTTCTGGTGGTGTGAGCGCTGAAGCAAGGAAGCTTGAGACATCCTGAACACCCATCGCCTTGATAGATAGACACATCTGCTCGAGTGGCACACGTCGAATCTCAGGGTCTGGCCGCTCCATCATCTTGGCTTCGGCATTACGTGTATACAGCTTATAACAGTCACCTGCTCGGACACGGCCTGCTCGACCTCGCCGCTGTTTGCATGCCGCCCTGGAAGCCCAGGTTTCGGCTAGGCGAACCATGTTGTTTTGTGGGTCGTAGCTCGTCTCCTTGACCCTACCCGTATCGATAACAGCAACGATATCCTCAATCGTAATCGACGTTTCTGCGACGTTGGTACATGCGATAACTTTACGTTTGCCGTGGGGAGCGGGAGGGAAGACACGCTTTTGCTCAACAGGCATGAGTGACGCATGTAGAGGCAACGCGTGGAGGTTTGCGAACTGACTGAGCGCTTGAAGTGTGCGATCAATCTCCATGGTACCAGGAAGGAAGATGAGAATGCCTCCATCCTTATCACCGAGCTGACGATCAATATGACGAACAGTTTCCGCAATGAGGTCGTAGTTGATACCAAAGCCAATACTCCGGAGGTTTGCAGAAAAAGACTTGTCCTCGATGGCCTCTTCATCCCCTGTTCCATACCCCTTGAATCCAGTGAAATGCACGACGTCGTCGACGTAGTAGTCAGTCACAGGGTGGGTGCGGCCTTCGATCTCAACACGGCCCACCGGCCCGACCTCCTTAAAGTACGCTTCAAACACAGCAGCATCGAGAGTAGCGCTCATCAAAATGACTTTGAGATCTTTCCGCTTTCGCAAGATCTGACGTAGTAAAACGAGTAAGAAATCAGTATCCAAACTGCGCTCATGTACCTCGTCAACAACAACATGGCTAACATCGGCTAGTGCAGCAACAACATCGTCGGCATTGCCGCCTGACGTTTGGAGGCGCCTCAGGAGAACACCAGTTGTGACGAATGTGATCTTGGTGACTCCAGGCTTCTGTTTAGACTCTCCACGAATAGTGTAACCAATCTCATCACCAACCTGAGAGCATCGCTCATCAGCCACACGATCGGCAAGACCAAGCGCAGATATTCTGCGTGGTTGAGTACAGATTATATTCGCAACAGCACCGAGTTGTCGTTGAATCAAGTCATCGAGGACGAACTGCACGGATTGAGTCGATTTTCCTGATCCAGTTTCACCTGAGATAATAGTGACGTTGCAATCATTGACCGTTCGTACGATGTCATCTCTCAACCTCCAAGCTGGGAGTGACTGTCGAGCTTTCATCATCTTTTGCTGAACTGGGGAATTCTGCTTGGCCTGCCAGTCAGACAGCAGCTTTTGACTAGTAGGTGTTCTGGGTGTCCAGTCTATGGGCTTTCTGGGCCTGCCTTTTGCTCTTCTCTTCTGGCTTTGCTGTTCCGACGAATGATCTGCTGCCGCAAGGCCAGATGATACATCGGTCAGTTTCCCTGGGTTCTGGAAGATATCCCCAGCGTTCGATTGGATCCAATCTACGATATCGTAGATCATGGGCATACCAACGAAGTTGGCCTCGGCGTGTAACAGCGCTTGTCGGATGATGCTCAAGCGGATGTAAGCTGGAATGGCCGCTTCAAAAGTAATGATAGGGACAACGGCAGGGTAAGGACCGAAAGGCTTCCTGACCTGCAGTATGAGCCTCTTTCCCTGTTGCTTAACATCTAGCTCGATTCGACACGATTCTGGAGCAGGACGTGAGAACAGACGGTCGTATATGGCTTCAAGAGATGACATTTCCACTTCCCAGGGATCGTCTTCGGGGGACATATCAGGATCACCATCCGTCATCGAAAGATCAGCCAGATCCTGTGCGATAACGCTGTCCTCCTCGTCCGGTCGCAGCAGACGGGCTTGTAGCAAAGCTGCAGCTTTCCTTTCATCGCTGCCTTGGCTGTCGTAAGCCTCCTCGCAGAGATCTGCAGAATATCCGGCAGCAGCAAGGCGTTTTACAGCACCTTCACGCTTGAGATTGGAGCTGGCCATGCTGACACCAGCCACATAGCCTTCTGGTAATGACCACGATGGCAGATCATCCTCAGGCACATGGATGAGGAGCCACTCGATGATCTCTTCTCGGTCTTTGCAGATATCGGCAGCTTCTTGGACATGACTCCTTCGGAAGCCAAGCTCCTCTATCTCGCCGACTAGTCGATTTTTGATAGACGTGTCCATCTCGATACCGTTCGGGTTCCACAGTGCGTCCCGGCGGATCAAACGCTCTGCTTCTTTTCGCGTCCTCTTACCCAACTCAATCTTGGGTACCCTCTCCCATCCCTTCAACAGGTTCCTGCTGGGGGTCGGGCCGTTGGAGTTTGGCATGGCCGCACCAGGCTGTTGGTTATGGGCCTTCTGCGACTCTGCCTGTTGCTTCTGTCTCTTCTCACGCGCCTTCGTCGCTGCCTCCTTCGCCTTCTCCCGCTCTGCGAATCCGAAGAAGGGGTCTGCCTCATACATCCATCCCTTTCCCTCCTGCTCGTCCCTCTTTTTGAGGTCCATGAACTGTCCCTTCCAAAGATCTTTGTACGTTGGGGGGAGCATCATGTGGAGGTTCTTCGCGCTGGCAACTCGAAAGAGGGTATAGGCCGCGGCAAAGTTGCGGGCTTCAACGGCGGTAGGCTGGTGAGCCTGTTCCTCGAGTTCGGAGGGGATTTTGATGGGTGGTAGGGTGGTCGTCTCCCGTGTCTTCTGATTCATCTTGGACAGTACCACAGCATACGCGAAATGCTGGTCACCATCTTTGCGCTGCCGAACATCAGTAATGCCCTGCTACTAATTTGGCACCGCAACTCACGATACGGTAGTCAGGTTTGCTCCACTGCTGCTTCTGAAAATGTTCCGACAGCAGATTGACTGGGAGCTTTCCTGTCCACGATGCGCCTGCGATCAAAGTCCTCGTATCCGGCTTCTTTGGTCCAACTTCGGCGGCTCCAGCAGCAGCCTTTCCTTTGCCCTTGCCTTCGTTCTGGCCAGCATCACCCCCAGAACTCTCCCCCTTCTTCTTCTTGGCTTTGCCGTCCCCAAAGACGATGAACGATGTGTCTTCCTCAGGAGGTACAGTCTTCTTGGCAGGCTTGCCACGGGGTGGATGGGCGTTCTTTGGCATCTCTCACGATATGTATAAAGCGACCAGATCTCTCAGCCTCCATAGAGGTATGCTGGACTCGGAAGGGTAAAGATTGGATTATCTGTTTTGCCTGTGGGCGGTGAAAAGGGCGCCGTCTCTAATAAAAGGGCTTAGCCACTATGTCTGATAATCCACCACTCTTCGGGGTATTCAAGCGCGAAAACAGAAGCTGTAATGGTAGCCATCGTGAGCTCTTGGACCTTTCCCTTGAATGCGATGCGCAATCCGAAATTCCGATGATTGCAGGGATGCCTCGGTACACTTGGACCATCGCATCAGAGCCTCATCGTCATCGTCACGTTGCGCTCACTCGTCGGTATCGATGCGCCAACTCGCTTCGGGCTTCAATTCGGCCTTCGTGTTTCGCGTTCCTTGCATACAAGTTCGATATAAGCACACCAGATCCTCGCACATTCCGAGAAGTCGCATCGGGTCAGCAATGACCAACCAGGCTGCCGCGAAGCATACCCACGATGCAATGACAAAGGAAGAGATAGCAGGCGCTGAGACGCCGAATCAACCTCAACCTGCAGTCGCTCCCGGCTCGTCGAAGCGCCCCAATGCATGTACGTCGTACCCCATGTCTTCCAACCCATAGCGCAACCTTAACTCACGGTGCAGTTACAGAACTTATGTCACAGACGAAAAAACCAAAGCCACCTACCATACCCGCCGCAGACGGCCCAGGCCTTGTAGAGAAGGCTACGAAGACAGTCAAGCGCTGGGACCCGCGGAATGGATTGGGCGTATACATCGAGAGTCCCGAGACCAACCCGGAGAACAAAGTACTAGAGTACGACGAGGACTTTGTCGTGATAACAGACAAGTACCCAAAAGCGAGGTGAGTATTCATGCAGTACAAGGCTAAAGCAACCAGTGCGCTGACAGTATCTCAGTGTACACCTCCTACTCATTCCACGAAAACCCAAATATTACGATCAACATCCTCTCCACGCGCTGTCCACAGACGCCGCCTTCCTTGCCGAAGTAGAGAAACGCGTCATCCGACTCAAGGATCTCGCTGCCTACGAACTCCGACGTCAGTATGGCGACGTTAGCACCACGGACAAACCCTACAACGAGGCTCTGGAAGAAATGATGTGCTCTCGCAACCCACCACCAGTGGAAGAACAAGCTTCCCTCCTCCCACCCGGTCGGGACTGGTCAAAAGACATCGTCGTAGGCGTGCACACCCATCCCTCGATGAATCACCTGCACATTCATATCTTCAGTCGAGACATGCATTCAGACTGGATGAAACATAAGAAGCACTACTTGAGCTTCAATTCTAGTTTCCTTGTTCGATTAGACGAGTTTCCACTAGAGGAAGGAAGCGAGAGGTTTGCACCTGGTGACTGGCCCAGCTGGGATATGAAGTGCTGGCGATGTTCTAAGAACTTCAAGAACAAGTTTACAGCGCTGAAACAACACCTGAATGAGGAGTTTGAGGACTGGAAGAGGGAATGAGCATGTACTTGTGCTCATCTTCTAAGATACATCTAGAGACTAGATCCTTGTCGTATTGGTAAATGCCAATGTGCAATATGCAATCGACGCCTCTACGAGTGTCTCTTGACACTTGTACATGTGCATTGGGCGTTCTAACCCCCCCCCCCCCCCCAGATTGTGCTTTTCAGAACCATATCGTAAAAAACACACTTCAGATCTCACACTTGTAGGGTCGTTGAACGTACGTGTCAGTTAGCGTAATCATGGTTTCCTAGTCTACCGAATCCCATGAGATATTCCTAGATCCGAACTTCTGCTACGTATCTCCCGTTTGCGTGCTTATCTACGACAATTCGATTTCATCATTCTGTCCCCCAGACATCAAATCTTACCATGCTCATCCTAGCGAATAACCAGCGTCTTGACCACGTTGGTGTCGATGTCGTGCAGCTCAATCGGGAACTTGCACGAGCCGCCGAAAATGCAGTTCTTCGTGCCCTTGATATGATGGGTTTTGTGGGGCGCCGGGCAACAGTGGCCATAGATACACCTAATATCCTGTAGAGGTGAAAACACAAGGTCAGTTGCATATCTCACATGCATTTTGTACAGCCCCAACTTACCTGGCAACCGCTACCGTTGCTGCAAGGTGCCATGCGAGCGACGAGACGGAGGGTAGCCACCTCGCTTTCAGTGGGCTTGTAGGCGTGGAGGTGCGTGCAGTTCTTTTCGTAAGGGCACTCGTTCCGGAGGAAATGGACGTTGCACATCTTTATCTTCTTGACGCGGTCCACTTCGATCTTGTCGTAGTCCTTACATGGTGGGTCGATGCGTTGACCGGCGCGATTGCGAGCGATGACTTCCTCGCGATTAGCCGGCTTGTATGTGGGAGACGAGTGGTTGACAAGAGGCGGTGGAGCAGCGACCTTGGCAGCCCAGTTCATCGGCAGCACTGGCTTGGTTGCTGCAACCATGCCGTCCGAGGCCAGTGTCGATGTTGATGGCGTTCTAGGCAGTCCCATCATCGTAGCCCGGCTCGGCAGAGGGCTATCCATGACTGGAGATTTTGCTGGAGGCGGGAGCCGGCTAGGGAGGCCTGTCGATGATACAGATGCCTTCGAGCTGTCATTCGAATCGACCCTGCGGGCAGGAACAAATGCTGGTGGAAGACCGCCACTATATATAGGAGCCCCCCAAAACACGATCTTTGTATCGCGGAAGATACCAGGAAATTTCTTCGTGTCATATGGCAAATTCACGAGCTCCTTCTCAAACGGGACGCCTTCAAGAAGAATGATCTTATTGACCAGCTCAGGACGATCAGAGCATTCCTCTAGCATCCGCGCGTAACCGTTGTCGTGCGAGCAACCGAAGAGAATCCGACGGCAATGATAGTCATGGCTGTATAGCTTGCATGATTCTGCGAAGGTTAGTATGGGCTGGAGGTTTTGCTAAGATTTATTGAGAGCAGCAACTTCGGAGTCTCTCACCTATGATCTTTTCGTCAGCACGGTCTTTTCCCGCGCCAACATCGATGAAGTCAAACAGCGTTTTGCCCCGTGTAAAGCCGCGCACAAACTTTTCAAACTCCGAGGGATCTTGGTAGACTCCTTTGCGTACAAGCACGTCGCCGAGGCCCTGCACGTTCGCATAGATGCGGCAGACGATACGGGCTCCGTAGGGGATATCGTTACAGTCGTTGTCAACGTATTCCTGGACGGCAACGGAGAGATCTAAAGCAGCGCGACGGCCACCTTGTTCACCGTCACCAAGATATTTGTCACAAAACTAGGCTTTTGGTTAGCAAACCCGTCATCAAAGCGCAGGCCGAAGAGCCCTACAATCATGCCATCGCCGTCAATGAGTACTGTGACGAATGGGTTATCGGACTAGGTACTTAGTTTCAGCTTCTTCTCCATACTCAAGTAGCCAGTTGCCTCGCTTGCTGCTGGAGTCGTTGTCGAGGATGTGTATTGGGGTGGAATTACCATCTCTCGCAGCATGTGATTGTGCTTCTTTTCGTACTGCACCTTCTCGTTTTTCCATGCAGTAACCCATACGCGGTCGCGTTCGCGTTCGATTGCTAATGCCTGGTACTGCTGATAAATGTATTCGTAACGAGTAACAATCTCCTTTAGGGTGAGTCAGTTCACCTCGGGTGGACAGACGTATTTCCTGTCAAACCTACTGCCAAAAACTGCGTCTTTTCCTCTTCAAACTGTTGAAAATGCTCGAAACGCCTGGTGAAGGCTGTTAGGTCAGCGTCTGAGAAGCCAAATGAAGCAGGGCTAGCAGGCCCATGGCCATTGAGCGAAGGCGGCATCTCGGAACGCAAGCGGGCAAACTTGAGCTAATAGCGACTGGTGAGTGCTCAGAAGAAAGGCACCGGATTGAGCGAAAGCTTTGTAGGGCAGAGCTGATGGAGGCTCTCGCGTATAATGGGCGAGAGGAGAGGAATTAGAGTGAGAAAGAAGAGGTTGTGGGAACAGTTGAGCGCTCCTTCCAGGGTTCACAGTGAAAGTGCCAGGCTCAAATAGGCAACCGTTGGTGACGGTGAGTTACTGTACGATGACCTGAGGCAATGAAGACGAGAGAAAATGTCAGTCTGCCATTTTATAGTGCAATGCAAACAGGTGCAATGGGCAATGCCGGCGGGAGGCTACTCGACGCGGAGCGGCGTATATGCGATCAGAGCAAATAAGCATATCAAGCTGCAGATGAATGGTCGCTGCTGCCTTTGTAATTGAACGAGCCACAATTGCGGCGTGGATGCCATGCCATGTGTAACACGACCCAGCGCGTAGAATTGGACGAGTCTATATTGGGAGAGGCGGCCAGGGAGAGCAGTGAAGCAATAGATCATGGTCATACAAATAGCAGTACGCAACAAGACGCAGCACACAGGGAGTCGGCAACATCAGACTGTCGCGTGAGGTGGTGAAGGCGAGGCGTCCCTGGAGAATAGGTTCGCATTGCCGCGGCCCTGGTTCCGTGCTCCGACGCCAAGAGGAAGCTGCGCCCGGACGTCACTTCCCAGAAGCCACGTTCGAATTACCCCATCTGTTCCCACACGCCCTCTCTCCTCTTCTTCTCCCATCTCATCGTCTTGGTTCGTCTTCATCATGGTCAATTGGAAGTTTTCATCTCTACTCTTGCTCTCCCTACGAGCTCTCGGCACCGTTGCTGAGCCCGCAGTAAGCTCGGAACTTCCTGACGCAGCATGACATCAGATGGCTAACAGTTGTACTCTCAGGCTGAGAAGCAAGCAGTCGACGAGCCTCAAACTCCCAACCTCAATGTCGCCGTCTCCGTGTCCTTCCCCCAATCTGAGATCTTTGGCGTCAAGCTCATCAACGGCCAGCCCACGCAGGCGCGTCTGTCCGTGGTCAACAATGAGCCCGCTCCTGTCGGCGTCACCATTGTCGGTGGCTCGCTGATCCAGGAAGTTGCAGGACAATCCCAGATCCTTCGCAACCTCACCCGCCAGCGCTACTCGATCCAAATTCCTGCTGGCGCCAACGAGACAATTCCTTACAGCTTCACGACAGAAATGCACCCTCAGAACCTTCGTCTTCAGCTCGTGACTGTGCTGAAGGATAGCAAGAATAACCTCATCACCGTTCCGGTCTACAACGAGACTGTCAGCATTGTTGAGGCACCTACCAGCTTCTTTGATCCTCAGATGTATGTACCAAGGCACCCTTTACCCTGCGCACGCTCGTGGAGCGCCCTGTTATTTTCAGCACGTGTACTTACTTCTTTGCTCCAGTATCTTCCTATACCTCGTTCTCCTCGGCGCGTTCGGTGGAACTGTCTACTTTGTTTACAACACCTGGATCTCTACCTTCTTTCCCCAGAAGAAGGGCCGCGGCAAGGGTGGCGAGCGCGCTAAGATGTCCTCAGGCCAGAGCAAGAAGGTCGATCCCGCCGACCAGGTTGCTGTCGTCGGCGCTGATGGCCCCGCTGTTACTTCAGGTGCAAAGGCCTACGATGAGAGCTGGATCCCCGCCTCCCACCTCCAGCGCCCAGAAGCCAAGCGCGTCCGCAGCGGTGCGAAGCCCCGAGCTTAGACACCCTGAGTTCAAGGTCAAATCTGTTGGGACAACTGGGTAATATGAACAACATATTAGCATGCGCGGGATGTGGGTATGCTTGCATATCCTAGACTCGAACGCAGTTGGACGTTGGAAGATACGTCACTGTGTTGTACGCAGGAGGCTTGGATAACGATTTGGATGTACTATATTGCGACGTCTAAAAGTTGGCCGATCTTGTATACTAGGAAAAAGAAATGTCACTATTCTTCTGACATCGAATCGTTCACCATACACTTCAGCATGCGTCGTGGATGCAGCCAGCAAAACACCTGCTACACCGCAAGAATGACGAGACGCTGAGCTCACAGGTAACTCTCGCGCCCTCATACCCGCGGATGCAACACTCGCTTCTCATATGCATTGCTCTGCAGTTGCATCCGCAGTACACATGTATTGCGCCGTGACCTACGCCTCTCTATCTCCACGCTAGTGCAAGGCGCAAAAGGAATGTTGTAGAGCAGATCCCACACCGTTCGCTCAGCCTGTTTGTGATCTAACAGCTGCCCCGCATCGCGATCTCGTCGCATGTGTCCTGCATGTAATTTGAGAACTTACTCAGCTCATAATAGCATCTCTCGTATCGAGATAGATAGATATTTCCCCGACCTCGGAGATCTACCTTGCATCATATCCTCCGTCTTAGGCTGAAGTTCACAAGACTCTGGGTGGAAGCCTACTAGAAGCCATTCAACCTAGCACATTGTTTTACAAGAGCCCAGCGGAAGCCCACCCCGCACTTTAGGCTGCGTGCATGACGTGTCGCAGCCTTCCGTCTCCAAACAAGCACGCACACCATTACCATACAAAGTTCAAACACGCATCAACTGCCACCACACACCTGGGCGCCTTGGCTGCTGCTCGACATGTGTAGGTGCGTAAGCTACAGGTACATGCACAACATGTGCATGCGACTGCGAATCTCGGGCCTTTTCCTTTTTTGCTTTTCCGGTCGTTTGGAGTGGAGGGTCGGCTCGCAGTGACTGTTGCACAGTAGTCGCACACGGAAAACCATCCGGGGTAACGGGAGCTACTGGGCGTGGAGTAATCCACGATCGCGTGCATAACGTTTAGACTGCCTTGATCGTATTTGTCTCTGTCCAACGAGAATTATCCGCCGATGGGGTCCGGATCCGCATGTGCAAGACGTGATGCTCACGATGTCGTGGGGTGATCTTGGCTCGAAACGGAAAAGGCTTCACATGTCATGGCGCGGGCGGAGTTTGGGGCACGCGCGCTAGATGGTTGCGTGGATGGGTGGGTTGGGCGACTTGCTTGTGACTCCGAGGGTAGAGGCTTAGTTTGGGTCTAGCAAGGTGAGTCAAATTGGGCTGGGTGAGGGATATAAGATGGTCGGCAGCTGCTGGTGATGAGGCTTTTAACGGACGATCCATCAACTAGAAGGAGGCATCAAAGACCGTATAACTCTACGTCTTACTACTATATCATCGACATCGATCAACAAGCCTCGCTTCTAACACCCTAATACTGTCACCACCTATATTCGTCGTCTAACAGTCGATACTATACGAACAAGTCAACCAACAACTTTACCTACACAACCACAATGCCGCCAGTCAGCCAATTCCCACCTGCGCGTGTTTTCCTTAAGAACGCTGCATCTACGCCATCGCCCATCACCATTTCGACATCGAGGAGAGCCAGTCTAACGTCACCGTTGAGCCCGCGATACACGACCTCCTCCTCGAATGCTTCACAGTCCATGGCGCAGATGTTATCGCAAAGACCCAGTGCTAGAGAGGCTCAAGGCAGTGCACGGAGAGTGACAAACTGATGCGCATCAATGTATTGTCCTTTCCGGGTAAACAAAGGCTGTGCTAGTGCACCATATCTACGAATCACCAAGTCAAGCTCAGCGCATTCGCTGAGATGCCAGCTTCGCATGCATCATGCAGATGAAGTTTGCTGAAACCTGAGCGGAGGGGTGTGTGCCGCGCATTATGACACCGGTTGTCAGTTGCGCGACGAGGAAGACAGCGATGTTATTTAGAGGCATCTTAGAGGCAGGAAATTTCGTGCTAGAACATCATGCGACGCAGTTTGTGCGCATCCGTTCGCGGCAGGAGATATCTGAGATGGTTGCGAAAAGTACTGCAAAAGTCGTAAACGGCGTTTTGGGCGCCACAAGGTGATGCCCATTGTTATAGATCAACGATACCCACGAGTCTCCTTCAATTCAAGATATTCATCTACTGTTGTTTTGTCATCACAGCGTGTTGCTCTCTTTGATACACACTAGGTGGAAGTACACCATGAATCTCTCAGGTCTCGACACGTATCCTCATCACCTGTCTTGTTCTTTGATCGACTCATCATGGCTTAACATGCCCAGGTGGTATGGAGCTTAGCCTTCATATCAGAACTCATCGCGAATGTAATTTTCAAGCCTATAACGACTGTGGGTATCCATAAATATGCGCCTTGCATAGCCATCTCTTCAGAGCCATGTCTCCGTCGTCATAGTAATGACTCACGCCTCCCAACCTCTAGCCTGATAGCTTCTTACCAAACGAGCTTCGCGCAACCAAACTTCTAAACCTCTTTCCGAATATGTACGCTGGAATGGTAAGCGCGCAGATCCCCAGATTGATAACGGTGATTCCGTCGAAGACGGCGCGAGGCCCAATATTCGCCATGATGCCGTTAGCATATGTTGTCGCAATGAAAGTAAACACTGCTTTTGTAAAATTGATTGTCACAAAAGCCTGGTTCGCGTCTTTGGGATGGCAATCGATTACATAGGTCAGACTGGCTGTTGAGGCGAACGGTACGGAAAGCGAGTGGATGGACATGAAGACCAAGGGCCAGACAATGGGATAGCCAGCTGAGACGCTCATGCCGAAGCCCAGAAAGCCAATGGTAGCGAAGATGGTCGCGGGGATCATAAGCGTCAGACGAAATTCCGGTTCGAAAACGCCGTGATTGCGACGTGCCATGAATTTGGCGAGGGCGTCGGCTGTCCAGCCAGAGAGAGGTGAGCCGATCAGTGCGACGACAAGGAGAGGCAGGTTAGTAAGACCGACTTGTGCCGGGTTCAGCGAGTACGGTGGTGCAGAGAAGATATTGACGGAGAGGACGGAGATAGTAAGCAGCCAGGTCTGAGAACAGAATCAGTACATGCTTTGCGAGCAATCTGAAAACTTGACATACAAAGTAAGATCCGTAAACGATTGTACTGAAGAGTACTGCCGGGAAAGCAATAAGTGGCACTGGCTTCCAGGCGTTCTTCCAGAACGACTCTTGTGATAAGCGGCCACGGAAAATTGCCAGCTGGCTTCTATAAGGCTCCCTGTCGTCTTCGAGCTCGAAAACAGACTTGTGTTTCTCATCAACTCCGAGCTTGTCCATGGTAGGCCGGGGGCCATAGTAAGTGGTCTCAACGACGAAGAAGTACATGCCGAACAAGATGGGGATAAATATCAAAGCGGAGATACCAAAAGTCGCTTCGAAAGAGATGTTCTGGATGATGGCACCAGCGATTGTTTGTCTGGTTATGGATCAGTACATTCACTCAAGGAACGAGATACAGATATACATACCCAAGAAGAACGCCAGAAGCCAGCATACAGCCCCAGACTGCGATACGTGTACCGCGTTGGTGCACGAAGTACATATCGGAGACTGTGGAGGTAACAAGTGTCTCGAGAGGTGCTGAGGCGATACCCTGAACAACTCGCATGACAGCGAGAGAGATGAAGGACTACTACTCGTCAATGGAGAACGATCTAGCTCGTCTTCTAGTACGCACCCTTGTGAAAAAACCCCAGACATTTGTTGCAAGAAGGATCACGGTGGATATGATGAAGAATGGACGCTTGCCCCAGATATTGGCTCCAGCAGCTGTGAAGAATGTAGTGAACCCGATCCAGAAGGCAAGGAATCCGATGACAAGACTCGCTACCATGTCGATGTTGACCTTGTATTTCATAGCAATGAGGGGAAGCGCAGGCGTCACCATCGGTCCAAGGGATGTAGTGACACCTGAACTAAAAGCGAGAAGAATCATTATACACTCTTTCCTTCTAGGTGACCAATTGAGCGGGTCATTGGGGCTGCTTGAAGGTTGTGGCTGCAGAATAATGTCGCCATCGCGTTTGAGTTCGCTCGAGTCTATCTTAGAGTCTAGAGAAGGCCCAGACTCGTTGATAGTAGACGTACCCGGAGGTGCGGCCATGTGGCGATCTTCCAGAATACCGAAACCCATCTTGGTAACAATATGATCGCTTGTGTGAAGGAGTAAGAATAGCAATAAGAGTCGAAAGATTGTAACAGACTGCCGGCAGTCTTGTCGAACGCGCTGCGTTCAAGAAGAGAATACGAAGAATGTACAGGGAATAGCAAGCGACAGTAGAATGATGAGGCCAGCTCTGGATGAGGAGTCCTTTGGGTCAACCTTTTTATCACCACATCGCTCAGGCACCACATCAGAGGCATCAAGGGTAGCCTGATACTATCGAAACCCCGCTGAAGCACTCGGGACAAAGCCCTATACCAACCATGCCTGTTGATCAACGCCTTACATGGGGCGACTGCCGAAGCATGACCAGGCCTGGCCGAGCGCGATGTCCAACACAGCATGTTTCAGTGTGTCGGAACTTTCCGACGATACAAAAGACCAATTGATAATCACAACGGACAATCGAAAATACGGTATCGGGTACCGGACATAGTAATCGGACTTGGCTAAGAGCATATTTACAGCATAGTCGCTGCTTGTTGCTTGTGGACTCATGCTAAGCACCGCAAGATACTTTAGAAACATCGACATCCTGTCAAAAGCAATGCGGCCAGCATTTCCACCCACTTGCAGCATACCAGCTTGTGGTGTGTTAAAGACACTTTATCTTATTGCAGCTTGGAGCTTGATAGGCGAATCCAGTGGCACGTACGGAGTGTTCGATCGCGGAATTAATGATACAGTTGTCCCCAAGTTACGAGTTCAGTCCATCTCAGCCGGTAAGTGGAGTGCGCAGATACTTGACAAACATCACGGAGACCCTCATAATTTCAGGGTAGCCTGTAACTTTTGTCAGCATAGCTTGCGCGTTCGTGCGTGGGTAAAGAGCTCTACGCGTTTCGCGTCAACTGCCGAAGACAAGATGTGTGATGATCGCGTGTCCAATGCGTGACGTATCTTGCATTAACACCGCGCCGATCATGCTGCGAACCTAGGCGAACGCACTTCGAAAGTCGTTAGAAGTTGATGTTGATGAGAAAGTCGAATGTGACGAGGTAGGGAACCCGTGGATCTATCGCCCTTGGCTCTATTCAGTATGGTGCCCGACGTCATCGCCATCGTGGAGCAGCGACATGTACCCCGCGACGGGTCATGGCGTAGTTGCTATTGGAAGAAAACGCTACATCCTCCACTTCAATTGCCATTTAACCGCAGTACAGCCGTTCACTGGAAGATATATGTTGAGGAAGGTGAGCTGTTCGAAATCGTTGAGAGCTCCCCGTGCCATCAACTCCCAGAGTCCTCAACATCATGGCCATCGGCATTGCTATCATCGGCAGTGGCATCTTCGCCAAGGAAGAACACTTGCCCGCTATCCAAGATACTCCATCATTGAGTTTGAAAGCAGTTTACTCGCGATCACTCAAATCGGCAAAAACCCTGTCCGAGAAGCTGTCTGACGTGGAGCTCTACAGCGATGACCAAGATGGCAAGAAATTCGAAGATTTACTGAAGAGGGACGATGTAAAAGGGGTAGTTATCGCGTGCGTATACCAATTGTCTGAGCATAGAACTTGATCTGCTTACACAGCACAATTCAGACTACCAATCCTAGCCCAACCAGACTACATCAAGAAAGCCCTCGCAGCAGGCAAACATGTGTTCGCAGAGAAGCCTATAGCGAAGGACCTAGCCACTGCTCAAGATTTACTCGCATGGACCCAAAACTCTTCTAATACCTCTGCGACCTACACCGTGGCAGAAAACTTCCGATTCATCGACTCCTACGTCTGGGGTTCAGAGCAGGTTGCGTCTCTGGGCCGTATTCTTACCTTCCGCGTGCGCGTTGCGGCTATGGTACAGGCAGGTAGCAAGTACTATGAGACGGAGTGGCGTAAGAAGCCGGACTATCAAGGCGGTTTCGTGCTCGACGGCGGCGTGCATTTCGTAGCTGCCACTCGTCTTCTGCTCCAAGGTGGTAAACAGAAGATTAAGAGGGTCAGCGCATTCACAGCACAGCTTCAGGAACATCTTCCACCAATTGACACTCTCAATGCCACTATGCAGCTCGACAATGGCTCGTCTGGTACCCTGTCTATTTCGTTTGGCACGACCGACACAGGCTCTGAATATCTCGTTGCATGTGAAAAGGGCTCAGTACACTGTGCTCGTGGCAAAGTCACCATCACCAAAGACGGGAAGGACCCGGAGACAAGAAACTTCCCAGACGAGGGCAATGGCGTGAACCAGGAAATCAAGGCCTGGGCGAAGAGCCTGGAACAAGGAAAGAGGAACGAGATGCAGAGTCCTGAGGAGGCATTGAAAGATCTGGAGATTCTTGAGAGTTGTTTGAAGAGTGGAGAACAGGGCGGTAAGCCGATCGATGTCACACAGTAGATGATACAGTGAAAAACATAGAACAAGGCCCGAAATGGCGGCGCAAGATAATTCATCTCTGCATCTTTGTCTCCTGTTCTTTCTCCAAACAGCTGTTTCTGGTTGCGAGAATCTGTCTTTACCACTTTTTTTGCACTTCCCTTCCTCTTTTTAGTTGTTATAAAAACTATAAGTTTATTCACTATTGTATGTTAACTTGTTATACAATTAAATAATTTATCGTTTATAATATCCTGTGGTGCGGGAAGCTCTACAAGAAAGGCAACATCGTGCTTACAGGCATGAGTCTGTACTAAGGATAGAATAAGAGTAGTTTGCGTAGCTCTTATTCTTTGGTTAGCTAAATAGAGAATTGTATAGGATAGAGCAGAATCACATAGAGAAAAATAAGTTGCATATAAAGAATAGGAGCAAAAAAGCACCTTATCCCATTGAGCGGGATAAGGCGACGTCTAACTAACCCATTGAAGGGTTGTTTTTCGTTTCCAAACATTAATCTCTGTTGTATCCACCTAGTGTCTGGATGTTACTGGAGGCAGAGCAGCTCGAACAAGCGACCTTAGGTGAGCTTCGGTATGGAACGATTAACCAAGGTTCCTTGGAGTCGTTAATATTGTGGTTGCGGACTCCATTTCTTGGTCGTTCCTTGCGAAACTCAGCCAAAGTGGCTTGCTGATGGAACAATGCGGATTTAGATTGCCTATATATGGAGAGAAGGTTGGGAGTGTGGGATGAAACTCAAGGCGGGGTGAAGGCGGGTTTGGTGAAAGGGAGCACGGAGCCTGAGCTTGCGGCGGAGTTGGGTATTCCAGTCTTTGTGCGATGCTGGAGGGTCGAAGCGCTGTCGCGAAGCGAGAACGATGGTGATGGGAGTGATGACGAGCCCGGGTGAGGCTTCCGCAGTGCTTGATGGTGGTGGCTCAAGACTTGGGCATATTACCATTGAGTAGTTTCCGAGAGTGTATTGAGGCTACGACGGTTGTTCAAATAGCCATGGCAATACGTGAGCACTGTTAACGTCCTCAAGATCAGCCAGAAAGCCTTTAGGGTAATCAGGCTCGCATATAGCCTGACTTGGAGGGACGACTTCTCTTCGTACGTCAAAGACGGCGATTCATAGCAAAACGCGAAATCAGATTGTAGAGCTTACACTTAAAGATTTTGGTTAACAGGAGTCAAAGATAGCAAGGAGAAAGGCGAATGAGACAATCTTTGATAGGATAAGATAGGTTGTGCAAACTGCTTAGCAGGTGGCTTCATACAACGATGCTGCTGTTGCTCCTTCAAAACAGACAACTTATTCTGCAATGAAAAGAGATCGACACGTGAGTTTCCCACATAAAAGAGACAGGCGAAATATCTTACAGAATGTGATCCAGATCTCAATTCCACAACGTTCATGGGCAATCAGTTATGCTCTCACTCGGAATTTTGACCCTGCTCTTGCATCTCCTTTATCTTGCGCTGCGCTTCCAACTCGAGCGCCTGCTTTCTAAATGCATCAATCTTGTCGTCGATTACCGCAATCTGGGCTTCGACCCGCAGAAGCTTTTCCTGCATCATGTTCTCGTAGTCGTCATCAGTCAAGACCTGCATGGGACTCCACTTGCTCTTTGCAATCTTGTGCATGAAGTTTTCTTTGGGTTTGTCTTCACCCCTTGCTCTCAGCTCGGCCTGTTCCAGGAGTTCGCTGGAATTCCTGGCATCGAGATAGTTGTACCCATGCTGACCTCCCCAGCCAAACAAGGTGAACATGATGGTACCTGGGATAACATTCCGAGGGCCACGAAATAAGAGCCCAAGATTGAAGCCAGTCAGGGCACCAGCAATGGCTGACGCGCGAACCTTGTCGGAAGTAGTCGGGTTAAGGTCATTGCGCGGGTAAGAAGGCGCACCTCGAGTGACGTTCCACCAGTTGAGCAGGCCAGCGTGGTTAAGAACAGACGTGCGTATACTCCAGAATGTGCTGCCAATGGCGAACCACTGTGCCCCCGAGACAATAGAGAAGAGAACCGGAGTTTGTGTGCGAACTGTGCCGTACAAGGCACCAATCACAGTACCGGGGATTGCTGAATCACGTCAGACGAAAGCATAGTAAGTGAAGAGCATTAGCTCGACCATATGCAGGCGTGAATCGAAGCAGAAGTGTAACAGTGAGAAGAATGATGAAAGGACCATGTGCGTACCTGAGGCTCCGCCGACCAATGCTGCTTGCCTGGCAACCTCGAGGGGCTGGGTGACCTGCTCTGGGTCATAATTGGGTTTCATCGCTCTTTCATTGATGCGGTCTGGCGTGAGAGAGTGGTGCATCAGTTTCGGGTAAAGGCAATCCAGGGCTCGGCGTTCGTAATGCCGTGGTTGCAAAAGAAATGCGATGACTAAGCGAGGCCCAACGGACGCACAGCTTAAGATTTCCGTTCGGGAAAGAAGAACTCACCCCACACACGAAACAACGACAGACCCCGCAACCACCTACAACCCAAACCGAGAGTAACAAACGCTCTCGAACCCCAAACCAGACAGCGTGCGGAATTTGTACGCGCCAAGTCTGCAAAACCGCAATCATGGGTAAGTTGCGCAAATTGCAGGCGTCACTCGAGCCGGCTTTTTTGCCCCGCTCTGTACCGCGCCCAAAACAAGACGACCATGGCTGACAGGTGGTTTGCAGCGCCCAAGAAGAAGGAACAGCAGAAGATGGCCCTAGGAGACTTCCTAGCAGACCAATGTATGCCCCGCCCACTGGCCCTCGAGGGCGCAGACGACTGACAGAACGCAGCGCTAGGATCATGGGCCGATGAGATGGAGGATGCGCCCATGCCTGGTGAGTTGGATGCATACTGCTTCTGGACCAGTTCCCGTGCTAACATCTGCAGGAGTTGGTAAATATACCCCACCAACAGTCGCAGCGCAAACATGCAACCCACGGTAGACTTACACATTTGCAGGTGCCGGCAGAAGTTCTGGCTACGGAGGCGATAGGCCCACCTTTGGCTCCGGCGGCGGCAGCGGCTTTGGTGCTGACCGCGCTGGCAGCTTCGGTGAGAAGCAATCCTCTACCTGACTTCGCATATGCTAACACTCTTACAGCCGACCGTGGATTCGCGACTCGCGAGGCCCTCCCCATGCCCTCCAAGCCCCCGTACACCGCTCACTTGGGCAACCTCTCTTTCGATGCCACCGAGGGTGACGTAACCGACTTCTTTGCCGACTGCGAGGTGACCAACGTACGTATTGTCGAGGACAAACTAGACCGCAAGCCCAAGGGTTTTGGATACGTCGAATTTGGCAGTGTCGATGGACTGAAGAAGGCTCTCGACCTGTCTGGCACATCTTTCCAGGGCAGGAATATTCGTGTCAGCGTTGCTGAACCACGTACGTTATTTCCCCCCCATACGCGCGCGGAAAACAATTGACATTATTGCAGCAAAGGACCGCCCCGAAGCCCGAGACATCTCAGACTGGACCCGAAAGGGACCCCTTCCCGATCTCCCTGGCCAGCGCAGCAGCTCTGGACGAGGCGGCTTCGGCGCAGGCCGTGACCGTGCCTTCGACGCAGCATCTGACGCCGGTAGCGAGCGGGGCGAACGTCGCCGCCCACCTCCATTCGAGGGCGACGGCAAGCCCCGTGACTTTGGCAACTGGGAGCGCCGAGGACCTCTTTCGCCAGCCGCTGCTCCTGCTCCCAGCGAAGGTGGCCGCGCACGAGGTGGCTTTGAAGGAGGACCACGTGAGGGACGCAGGCAGTCCCCAGCCTGGGGTGAGGGTCAGGGCACCGAAGGCTCTCGTGGGCCGCGCCGTGAGTTCCAGGAGCGACCACAGTACGAGAGACAGCCCACTGCTGCAGACGCCGACAACCAGTGGCGGTCCAAGATGCGCCCTGACGCACCTGCTGTCAAGTCACCCACATCTACACCCGATGCTAGCACACCATCATCGCCAGCGCCGCAGCCTGCTGCGCCAGCCAGTCGTCCCCGCTTGAATCTGGCCAAGCGAACAGTCTCCGAAGCTCCAGCAGCTCAGGAGGTCTCCACCCCTTCAGATAAGCCCAACCCATTCGGTGCTGCACGTCCCATCGACACCGCTGCTCGTGAGAAAGAGATCGAAGAGAAGAGGCAGTTAGCTATACGCCAGAAGAAGGAGGCGGATGACAAGGCTCGCGAAGAGAAAAAGGCTAAGGAAGCTGCAGAGAAACCGGCGCCCAAGGACTCGGCGCAGCCAACGCCAACGAAGAAAGAGGAGAATGGTACCGAGGAGAAGCCCAAATCCAACTTCGAGATTCTACAACGGGTTGATGAGGGCAACTCTGCTGGCCAAGATGAGGATGCTGAAGGAGAGATTGTACACGACAAGGACGTCAAGCCGCAAGAAATCACTCGCGACCCACCAAAGGCTGAACAGGGTTCATGGAGGCGAAAGTCTAGCACGCCTGCGGCACCTGAGGGCACCACTACCGAGGCTATGGACGATGACGGCTGGAGCACTGTCACGAAGCCCACCAAGAACGTGAAGAACAACCGTCGGGGAGGTGGAGGTGCACCGGCTCGTGCCATTGCGTCTTAGGTGGGCGTACCTATTGGCTAAACTTCGCCCTGACGCTGTATCCAGGATGATCGCAACGCATATTTGACGGCGTGGTGGTGTCCCTTGTATTTCTGGGCCTGTGCTGTTTGTCACAGCTGTTTTCATTCGACGGTCTTCCGATGTTACTGCTTTACTGCTCAATCATCGCCCTTTCTACGGCCCTGTTCATCCGAGCGTGAGTTGCAAGGCGTCCGTAGCTGGACTTGGAACCTTTCATGAGCTTCTTTCTGCATGCCCATTACGATGCCGTTCCTTGGCGCTGCTCGTCTCTAAAAGTATTGGTCTTCCTCCTAGACCTTCCGGACTCGGTAAACATAGGATATGCCATAGTTTTGATCATCTCCTCTCGCAACTTTGTCTGTTATCATGGCTCAGCCAAGCTTTCTTTGACGGATCTGTGCTACTGGACTAGAGGTATTATATGCACAGGCATGTATTTAGCTGCAACAAGAATTTTGAAAGTATCTACACTCCAGTGTTTGACGCAAGGTCTCGATGATGTGGCTTCATACTATGATCTAAATCTGCAATTCTGATGAGTCCGGCAGGAATGTCGCATCTCCGAAAGCCCGTGCTTTTTAATGCGGCAGGCCAATAAAGTCTCAAGACTTACTGAAGGGTATTAGTCTTTCCATGAAATAGGGTAGATCGAAGAGCGTAAGGCCCGAAACCCAAAAAGTCTAGCCATGCTAACGCGTAGCTGATCGCCGTTGACGTGCCGCGGGCAGGGTTCAGGATGCAGGATCCCGGTACGCGCGCCACAATACGTCAGATGTGCTCAGCTTGTGTCCAACTTCGATATCTTGCTTTGGCGTCGATTGACCTACGCTATCACTTTTCTTTTCATATCGTGCAATGCATATAGTGCTTTCTTCCAATTAACTTAGCTACGAGTCCAACGTCCATCGCCCTAAATTCTATGTAGAGAAGGATCCAGCACAAGCTTACCCTCAACAGCATAGTATTAAACAATTGGTATTAGGGCTTTACATGCTCGGAGAGAAGTAATCTGTTTGATACAATGGCAGTCAAGCCGTCATCGCCAGAACCCAACGCAACACCTGCAACGCCGATCAAGCAGGCACGGTCCAGGAAAGCCGCCACACCAAGCCAATCTGAACAGGGAAGAGCGGGGTCAGCAGGAGGAGTGGTTTTACCAAAAGATTCCTCAGCAAAGGTTTCAGCATCATCATCCAAAAAGGCTGTAGTTGCACCAAGTACCGATGAGGTTACCGCAGCCGCGTCGAAGACACAGAAAAAGAAACCCAGGAAGTTGAACAAGGAGCCTACTTCAACACCTGCAGATACTGCAAAGTCTGCGGCCACAAACAAATCAGATGTACCATCATCCTCTGAACTCGAAGCACTGAAATCTCGGGTGAGAGGCTTAGAAGCCAAGGTTGAAGAGCTCTACAAAGCAGGTGCTATTCCCGACTCTCGACCAGGCCGCTCTCCTCGCCGACGAGGTAAAGGCCGAAAAGCTTCATCCTCAGCACAGGTACCTACGCTCAATACCACAGTCAACGACAGCAACGCTAGGGTTCAGGAACTCGATGATGATGACGAAGAGGAAGAAGCAGACGAAGAACTTGTGCGCCTTGAGGGTGAACTGGAGGTAGCAAGACAGGATCTGGAACACTATCATCCGTCTACAAGAGGAGGAAGGAGTGGAGGAGCAGAGTACGTCGAGGAAATTAATAGAGGCTCCTCAGGAACAAGTGCTGGTGCAGACAGACAAGTCACCCTATCAGGAAGCTACCGTATCCCCATCCCTGCGAATGTCAATCTCGAAGACGTAAAAACCATCAAATCAGGTGTTTCCGCTGCGCAGAATGTTGCGAGGTCTTTTCTGGAACAACGACGCGCTGCTGCTGCCCTGCGTGCTGAAAACAATGTTTCATCATCGCCGCAATCCAATGCCAAGACTACGAAGGTTCCTGCTTCCAAAATGTCTTCTGGTACTACACCGAAGCCGAAGAGGAGTATGAGTTCAAGCATGGAGGTCGCTGTTGATAACAGCGATGGAAAGCAGAGCTGGTCTGAGTGGATTGGCGGATATAGTATGGCCATCACGAGGGCGGTTAGCAAGATTGAGCATGAGGCTGCTGTAGAGGCACAGCGGAGTGGTGGAAGTGGGAGCGGAAGTGCAAGGCCAGCGGCAGGTGGGCGGAGGACGAGTGCGCCTATGTCTAAGCGGGCGGCTGGGAAAAGACCTGCTGCTAAAGCCACGCTAAGCAGCGAACAGGTTCATGGTCTGATGAGTTAAATGGTCACGGAAGAAAGATTGTACGATATATAGTCCGAAAGATCATTCAAAGGTAGTTTGGAACGGCATTGAAGGACTCAAGGGCAGCTACGAGGTATCGCATGTTGTGAAGTTGTGCTAATAACGACAGCAGCAATATCTTACGGTATACATATATTTACGTACCAAGCATGTTAAACATACACACCCTTCAGCACTCAACCACTCTGTGTATTCGCCCCGCCATCTTCTTCTGCCGCCGCTTGTCCTTCCTTCACGTTTTCGTTAGGAGGCAGTGTTTCTCCTTGGGGATCAACGCCCATGGGCTCTCTCTGCGAATCTTCAACCAGAGGGGCATCTTCCTTTAGGGCATTCGCGGGCTGGTCTTCTGTGGCTGCAGCGCTAGTTGGGATATGGTCTGCCTCCGCTCGAGCAGCAGCTGCTTCCCCAGGTGCCGGTTCCAAGGGTGTCTCCCTTTGTGCTTCACGACGCACCTTGCCGGATCTGCTCGATCTTGAGGACTGTGCAGTGTGGCTTTTCGTATTGCTCGTCAATGATGAACAGGACCTGGAAGAATAAGTGTTTTCTGACTTCGCACTCTCCGCCTTCTCTTCCGTGACGGATTTGCTTGCTTGAGGAACGACTGGCACATCCTGCCCAATCCCAGTGCTCATGCCGTTATCTTGTGTTCTTGCCTTTTCCCTGTATTCGGTACCTGCGTCAAGCCCATGAAGAGTCATACCAAGCAATCCGTTCATTCTCTTCTTAGGCCTTTGGGTCTTCCAGCTAACAGTGGTAATAGGTTTGCCTTGACCACCTGCAAGCCAGAATAATGTTGGTGGGAGGCGCTCATAGCCCCGCAGAGCAGAAGGCGAGCCAGTGCCACCTCTAAGGCTGACGATAGGTGATTGTGTTCTAGGTTGAATAGCAACATCTGTAAAAGGGGCAGAACGATTGGATGGAGGAACTGTAGGAAGGGCAGGTGTTGAGGTGAGACCGAACGTTGGTAGATGGAAGAACATAGAGCGAGGCTGTGAGTGGGTAGCTGCGAAACTTGGTGTGCGTGATGGCAGCAAATTAGTAACGTGTCCGCTGCCAGCTGCAGATTTGCCCACCCTTGATGTCTCCTGGCTTCCACCACGTCTCGAAATTCCCTTGGGGAGACGTGATATACCATGAGCCTGCCTTGAAGCGCGCGCAATTTCAGCCAGGTTCAGAGTCCTCGCTGGTGGCAAGTTCTCGTCGTTGTCCGAATCAGTGGCATAGCCATGACCAGGCCTGTAACAAGTAGCAACTGTTTGAGGGTTAAATCACAACCACCCGTATGCGTATGTTTTTCTCCCCCACAACCACCTCGTAATTTTGGTATGATATCGTCACTGAGCCCTTCCTGAAAGTCCGATGGCTGATCGTTTGAAGTCGGTGCTGCTCTCGAACTTGTATGTCTCGTTCGACGTCGATTATTACTCGATGGTCTCGAATCTAGTGAATTTTGCTGTGATAGATGTGTGGCGCGTCTGGAGTACTTATCTCCGCTGTGCAGCAGTGCATTAATACTAGCTTGCTGCTCAGGACGCGGACGTGCAATCACGACATGACCACCCGTGTCGAGACTCCTTTCAACGATTAAGGTACTGCGTGGTGGTTGCAGCGATGAATGTTGCTCTGGAATAGGGCCGAAAGCTGCCGAGAATTTCTGACCATAGAAAACCGTCTCAGAGAAGTCTGTCATCCGATCTGAAGCCTTTTTGAGACGAGCAGCGCAGGCAAAGTCGATTAATGGGCTCGGTTCACCGGCACGTATAGCATCTAGGTGTTGAGATACTTCACTTTTTAGGACGTAAGGGTAATCCTTTGAGTTGGGTAAGCCATGGTGATAATGCAATCTAGGGCTTATTGGCCTTACGTCGTTCTGCTCAAGAGCACTTTTCCGCCGTCGAGGAACATTTGCGTGCGCGGCAGTAATTCTATTCTCTAGTGACTGCGAGCTCCGCTGGTCAGAGGGCGGTGTCAAGCTGTCATTGACAGCACCAGATCGCTGAATTGGTAGCGCTGCTTTCCTTGGTGGGTTACCTATCCTTTTCGCTGCAATTTCTGGAGGCACTAGACGCGGGCCCTCTTCGGATGAAGAACTGTGCTGCGGAAGAGACGCATTTTGAATCGTTACTTCTCTCCTGGCCGTAAGGTCCGTTCTCTTCCCCAAAGCTGGTCTCATATGAGAATGTGCGCTTTCGGATCGACTTTCATCGCATGATACGCTAAAAGGTGACTTTGGTGGTCGCATCCCGCAGAAGCTGCAGCATGAGCGTTCAACTTTGGAAAAGGAACGATAATTACTGGGATCATAGGGACAATGCTGGTTGGGCTCGGAGAGAGATGCAACTTGTATCTGAATGATTGGCAGTTGTTGGATAACCTGCGAATCGGCATCAGCGATAACTCGCTTTACAACCACGTCTTCTCCAAGTGCCGTACTCAATCGAAGGGCAGAAGTGGGTTGTGGGGTCGTTCTCCGTATGGGAAGAGCAGTCATAAATGTATTGAAGCCAGAAGAGATGCGTCGCTTGAGAGTGTGGGATCGCTGGGGTGCAGAGCCTTAAACTGCTGGCAATGCAGATTTAGGAGTGGGTTTCCCTGGGTTCGGCATCCGCAGTATATGAGTGTTAAGCTTGTGCAAGATCTGGCGCTCAAAACGTAGACGAAGCGTAAGCGACGACCTTGTATGCTTTGGGTACCTTTGTTTCTTCCTGGTAGTCTGAGCGTGGATCTGCGAACTTGAAAGATCTGAATCTGAATTGTGTGCTTAACGCCTTAAGAGTTGCGGGCCCCATGTGAATGTCGACAGCAGCCGTGACGTGGTATATTGATGAAGCATTTGCGAACGGTTTATTAGCGAACATGGCGGCAAACGTGAAGACGAGGAACAACACCGAAATTGCAGCAATGCTGTTCCTCACAGAAAATCGTAATCTCATGTAGGAGAAGTATCGTGGTCGCAGGATGTTCCAGCTTGCCGTGTAGGGATATGATTGTTCTGGGCTCCGACCAACAGCGTACCGCTTATCTATGGTTGTTGGCAAAACTCATAGTCGACTCAGTACCTGTGAAGGCGTCCCTCTTCAGCCCAGTCGTACACGTCTCGTAGATGATTTCGATCAGATGCACGTTCTAGCCTCCAGTCATCATCATCGTTGTCAAAGTAGTCACAGTTGTGATTGCGCGACCGGCCCGGAGAACAACCAGCGCACCTACCACTACGGTCGCCAATCTGGTCTGTGAGAACTTTGCAGACACTGCAAAGCACATGGACCCGGTTGCAGATCGTAAGTAGTGTGCCTGGGGCGTACAGCGCATCATTTACCCCGCATTTAAGACAGAATCTTGCATGTGCCTGCGTGCCACTGCGACACCACTTCCCTTTTCTCATATCATCGGCGAAGTCCTTCCAGTGGTTGAAGCTGATGCAGCTATTGCAAGTATAGAGTTGTCTGGATTTTGCCCAGGTGGTTCCTTCGGCGGCCAGAAATTCGACGTGCGTTGGTGGAGGAATGATGGATCTGAAATAGCGAGTCGTGAAAGCCAGGTTGACTTTGTTGCTTAGGTCGAGAAGACTGACTATTTCCAGATGAAGCTCGACGGGCAAGCGAAGTATCGGCGGTGAAGCCATGGTATGCAGACCTTGTGCGTGTTGAACAGGCCTTTCAGATCAGTTCGTCTGAGCCCAATAAGTCAGTTGAGGTTCTTTGAAAGATCTGCATCCGGCTTACGGTTGACAGGTCTAGGTGGCTATGGGTCTCTCAGTCGACGCCCTTTGCTGCCTGCTATGCAAAACACGGGTTGAGAGCGCAAGGTGTTTTCTCTCTGCTTTTTGTCAAGCGAAATCGCAATACTTATGAATATCGCAAGGGCAAGCTGTGCTACAACGCATGCTAAAGTTGGGAAAGTGAGCAGGCTATGAGCACATTTGCAGTTTACGCCCCTTGTGCAATGCAAGACGCACGTCAAGTCACACGGACCTCCAAGCCCGCGTATCCGTAGGTTCCTCAGGCACAACGAATGGTGGAGCTTTTGGCCGCGGCATCACTGCCGTGTTCCGCCAGTTGCCTTTCTTGGTATCTAACACGATTTCAGGGTCCGGAAATTACGCTGAGATGTTCTATGTCCGTTGGCCTCAGCCGCACCTAAAATGGGGCAGTTTATAGCCTCATTGGGATAACTGAAATCCGGTCCACAAAGGTTTTGATGATGATAATGTATTTCCAAAAGCCATTTCCACATTGTGGTAACTACTCCTTCTTCAGGTCGTTGAGCACCATGTAACGCGATAGGGAAATCCAGCCCCAACGAAACCAGCGCATCTGGCTTTCGTGTGCCGTGGTCATGGCTCTCTGGGCAGTCCTGTAACCGGCCGGCGAGCTGACAAACAAGAGTGGAGTTGGGAAGCTTCCAAGCTCCTTCTTCCGGATGATTGCGCCAATGATTGTAGCAGGCGCGTCCAGTAAGCTAAGATATTTGCGGAATATGGAGGTAGTGGTGAGAGTGTACAGCTTGACAGGGCACTCCCACCCACTGTGTCGGTGCATGAGTGCCTTTAAAAAGGTATGCGCTCCGTCGTGGAGCGATTTGTGATTGGGGTGGTCGGAGACGCCGTGCGCATCAAAGGTGATTATAGCGTCAACGGTCGCCTGCGGTGCCTCCTTGGAAGAGATTGAGGTCATGTTTGGAGCGAAGGCGGTGGTGAGTAGATTGGAGATTAGACGAGGGTGCCATGTTACTGTCATGGAATCTGGGAAGTTCCTGGGCAATGATCAGCATGTCGCAGCCATGCAGCGTTGCATTGCAGTGCGTACTTGTCTTCTACAACGAGAATATCCTCCTTACTTCCGACTCCCAGCTGCAGCCCACTTTTGACCAGTTCTTTCTTACGAATCTCGCCAAGACCATCGGCATCCCCTGTTATACGAGATTAGTGGTCGCATCTGAGAATACACAGGACATGTGCATGCCATACCGCTACTCAAGCACAGTATCTTGACGTGATTCCCGCGTTCTGGACGCGTCAATGCCAGCAAAGTCGGGGCAAAGAACATGGCCTCGTCGTCAGGATGCGCTATCAACAGTAGTATGCGTTTGTTTTGTAATGTGGGGAACGAAGCGCCGAGAGTGCTGGTATACATCCAGAAGACGAAAATAAGGACAGGCACCGAGGCCCAGACAGTCCAGCTCATCTTCAGTAATGGCATACAGGGTACACGGTGAATATGTTGGAACCGCAATTGTTGTCTACAAACTCAAGCCAGGGGAGGTAGCGCGTCGGCATTGGAAGCCACTGGGGTCCTGGAGCGAGCTTTGACCCACGTCATCTTGGAGATTCTCTCGAGCAAACACGCGACGTGCTCAACCCTACCACTCGACCCCTCTGCACATCCACCACCATGTCTACCGGCAACCGGAAAGAGCGACGCGCCAAAGAATCCAATGCAACTAGGAGTGGTGCTGCAACTGGCTTCCAGCCCACCAACGAAATCGACCAAGACGGTGTCGAGATGATTCTGAAGCACCCCGACTTCTCCAAGCCAACAGGCAAGACACTATTCGACTTGGCTGAAGAGAGGCAGAGAGAACTAGACAAGGCGAACGGTAGGACGCGAGTTGTCAAAGTGCCAGTATCATCCGCCTCTGCCTCGGCCGATGATGGTCCCCCAATTGGTCCCCTTGGGGACTCGATTCTCTATTCCGTCTCCATGGCAGCACTCCACCTCACGCTCGACGTCCTCGTATACAGCCAATACCGCGAGGATATACTCTGGAATGAGATCATGTGGCGGGCACTGACAGCGTGGCCCGTATTCTTTCTAGCAGTCTACCTGACCCACGTCGACTTCTCATACCGATTCCCCATACTTCGAGACGCTACGTTTTTCGGAGGTTCCGTCGTAGCAGGCTGCTACTTGGTATACTCGGGCAATAAGCATGGCTATTTCTATGTCATGAAGTCGGCGCCCCCTATTGGCACACTCTGGATTTGGAGTGTTGTGGAGATGAGCCTGCCTTTTGCGGCCACCAGCGCAGCCGCCGTGCTTGGATATATCTGGTGGAACGGATTCGACTTCTTTTGAAGTCGTAGCAAGCGGATATATGGTACAAGCCGCACCCACCATCTCAAAGCATCGTGCGCTCAGGCACGCATGTCGCTGACGAATAAGTCGGGATATACAAAGTATTCGACGGCGCCCTTTTCTATCAAGATTTAGGCTGCTGCAGCTCATGACAGCGAATCAACAATAAATCAATGTCCGTACTCACGAGAGACGCTTAACGCTTATCAGCCGCGAATTGGCCATGCAACGAACCCCGCTTTTGCGCAGACATAGAAAGTCTACAATCGCATGTGCCAATCAGTATTCATTGCAAAAACGTCGCCTGCGCTCAGCACTCAATTTACTTCATGGAATTCTGATGGCTTCTCGTCTACCCTTGCACCTTGATTAAGATTATTCGTCTTTGGTCAGCGACCAGTCCAGCCCATCGCTAGCCTCAGCCCTATAAGTTTCCTTGTCCCTAATCGAGATGCTTTCAACTTATGCCAGAGGGTCTTCTGTACCCATCGAATCCACAATCGATCTCGAAAACATCCGGAACTGGCGCCGAGCTTGTCGCAATACACACGGCGACTGCTGCAATGACGACCATGCGGGGACCTTGGCGCAGCACATCGATCGTCTAACACTAGTTGATGTATTTAATGGCTCACTTGTCACTCTATCCACTTCGTCGCCAATTACCTACGTTGCTCTTTCCTATGTGTGGGGTGCCGTGCCTATGTTTAAGACGAAGAGATCAAACATCGACATCCTGTTACAGCCGGGGGCTCTATACAACAAGCAAAACGGCATAGTGCTTCCTGATACGATCCGAGATGCTATATATCTGGCCAAGGCTCTAGGTGAGCGTTATGTGTGGGTGGATTGTCTGTCCATCGTTCAAGATGCATGTTCAGAAGAGATGGAAATCACATTGCGGGCTATGGCTCGCATATACGCAAGTGCCGACTTTACGATTGTTGCTTCCGATGGAAACGACGCAGATCATGGCCTAAGAGGTGTCGGAGGTCCTTCGAAGAATCGAATCCCTAGTCCCCAATCCTATTCCCATCTATGGAGTGCCTACCCAGAAGATTCGAAATGGGCGAGTAGGGGCTGGACGTTTCAAGAATCTCTGTTCTCCCGTCGTCTCCTCATATTTGGCAGCGCTGTGTCCTGGATGTGTGGACGCTGTGAGTGGCGAGAGGGCATCCATATGCTCAGATGTACAGAAGATATCCACACCACTGAGGAAAATGAATGGCCAGCAGAGCGTCCGCATCTTGGCGTACCAATGGGTATGATGTCATTGATCCCTACGATACCATCGCTTGGGCGGTGGGGTATGCTTTTGGAGAATTTTTCTTCACGGCATCTGACATATGAGAAAGACGCTCGGGCAGCATTTGCAGGCGCTACAGAGATCATGAATGCCACTTTCCCAGAAGGTATACTCTATGGCATGCCGAAGTTCTTCTTCGACATTGCGTTGCTCTGGTTACCTAAGGACTTCGTGTTGAGACGTGAGGGTGAACCTAGTTGGTCATGTATGGGCTGGAAAGACGGTATCATAGACTGCTTGTCTGCTTGGTACCCTTTCTACGCTAACATCTTTCGTGATTCGAATCACTCATCAGACTGGGTTCCCATTGCAACCCTGAGATCTGTGGCAGAGTACCGGATGGCAGATACAGCAGATGGGATAGACGCAGGATTCAATGGCTTTTACGAGTACCAGGCTTTCCGAGACTCTTCCTGTAGACAACTCCCTACGGGTTGGAGGCGACACCGCCACCCTAATGGCGACTACTTTACGAACATTCTCTCCTCGCGAAAGTATTCATTCCCTCTTCCCGGAGTAAGTTCTGCCAAGCGCCAGATACACACCCCATCTGCCCCCGTTCTCCACTGTTTCGCCCCATGCGCTACACTGACATTCGGGTGTACGGTAACTTGCGACAAAACACACCGCATGATGATGGTCTTGTGTAATGGCGAGGAGATGGTGGGCAATCTTACCCTGATGTGCAATATTAAAGAAAACATACCTCCACACGGCAGCCTTTGTGAGCTCATCGCCATCTTAGCAGCCGAAACCTCCCTTCCAGAGCGTGTAGCACAACGCGGGTGGCCGATAATGTCTTTTGGGAAAGACAGAAAGCTTCTTTCTTCAACAGCACGAAGTGATGAAGGGGGCGTATCTTTCTACAATGTCATGTGGATCCAATGGGTTGGAAATATCGCTGAAAGACGTGGATTGGGTATCGTACATAAGGAATTCTGGGACGCATTAGAACCGGAACCCAGAGAGATCATTTTGGGTTGAGTCACGCACCGACTTTGAAAAGGCAATCACGATATGCACTTATCGAAATTATCCACTCCTTCCTCAATCCTCACACTGTGGTGTGATGGACCAATGAAAGAGACCACAAAAATTATGCCAGAGACCGCCCACACGGAGCCATCAGACAAGACCAGTACCACAATGGTGCCATGCAGCTGATCCAAGTCGGTCTATGCGAAAGCATGAGCTCGCCGACCCTGACTGGTAAGTATGAAGAGATGAATAGGGCGTAAGATGAGAGTTTATATAGACGATGGAATAGACCACGAGGTGGATTTAGGGGGAAGGCAGCAAGACACATGTGACATCACGTGATTAAAGCTGCCTTTAGGTGGGTGTTGCGCGATAGGATGTCCCGTGTTATTGGCAGTTTCACGTTGCACAAAAGCTGACATGTGAGGGCACGTGATTGTAGCAGCCTACGAAGGATTTGCTCTACGCTTCTTCAAGTATCGCTTGGTTGGCTCAGGGATCATCGATCTCTTCCATTGGAGCTAAGATGACATTCAATTAATCCAGGTCTTGCGCACACGACACACTACTGTCCTTCCTCCAGCCTCAACGCTTCCAGCCTACTCGTACTTTGCGGATCCAGATATGGTCGCTCGCCCAAGCTGACAACTCTAAACCCCTTCCTCGGGCCTTGGCCGTCGGTATCATACGTCGCGGTGTGTAACACGCTCCTGTTGTCCCAGATCGCCACGTCATTTGGATTCTGCCATCTATGTCTGATCTGCAGATCGTGGTTTTCAGTAATGAGCTGTAGAAACCAATCTATAGTGCGCTTTGATTCTTCTGCACTCAACTCATTGATACGTTGAACATGGTGCCCGACGCTGTAGAGAGACTTCCATCCTGTGACGGGGTTCGTACGGACGCAGGGGTGAACAGCGCTCAGTGAGTCGCCAGTGTTCTCCGGTGCACCTCGCGCAGCGGTGTAAACGGGGAAGTTGTTTTCTTTGGCAGCACGATTGAAATCCGGCTGCGCGTATGTCGCTGTAAGAGACTCGAAGAACTTCTGGTATGGTTTCGAGAGGCGATCGTAAAGGTCATATCCAGAGGCCCAAAGAGTGTCTAAAGAAAGTTCAGCCACAGCGCCAGGACTCTGGCTGCTCGCGAAACTTACCGCCCCCAGATTTTGGTAGCTGAGTCATCCTTAAGATCGCATAGTCGCTTGGTACTGGCTCGAAAGTGATGTCGCTGTGCCAGCCACTTTTGCCGCTCTGTGACCTCTCCTTGAAGAGCTGCTTCGCCAGGTCTGAGCTGATGACACTGATCTCATTGTCGTTGCCCCCAAGACGGTTTCCGGCATTTCTGACTGGATGAATATGTAATTTGGATGTTTCTGGCTTACCCGAGAGCTCGCCGAGACGTTGTGCCAGCTCTTTCTGAAGTTCATCGGTCAAGTCATCCTGCTTGCGAAAGTAGACAACACCACGCTGAGAGACTGTTCATCCTGTTAGCTGTTACAACTTTTGAAATGGTCGAATGAAGCTTGCTTGTAATCGCAAGGTCGCGTATCAGCTCATCAGAGTTTGGTGCGCGCAACCATTCCTTCAGGCTCACATCAACGAACTCGCGACCGATGACTGGCGTGACTTCGAACGATTTATATGCATTCAGTACACCTTTCGACTTCAAGGGTTCGCGTGGGTATCCATGCTGTGCTGTAGGGTCATTGCTCTTAGTGAAAGTGGCAGTAGAGGTGCTCGTGGCCATGATAGACGATATTGGAATGGACTTCTAGGGCAACATTCACAATGCATATCTTAGTAGACCATGCTACACTTATTTGCTACTCTTACTTCGCCACATTTGCTACTACCGGGTACATATTCATGGACGGCTTGATCAACAACAGCTTCTCGATTTGCAGATTAGCATTGTTGCATCATCGCATGGATAGTATGGCGCAATCGCTCTCGGCACAGCTATAATGATGCCTGCATTCACTAACTGCAATCATGACATCCTATGGTGCGCGACAATGGACAATGTGTTGCGGGGTTGAGGCTACGACATGTGGGGGTAGAATGGCGTGCTGCTCGGCAGGGTCGTATGGCTGGCATTGACATTAATCCGGAAATAACGTGCTGCAGACATTTGTGCTCGAGCATTTGGCGATTGCGACAGAAGAGAAGTAGTATTTCTGTTGGTCCTATCCCTAGCGGAAAGTGAGAACGCGTGGACCCAGACGCGACGCGACTTCCGCGTGGCGGATTCCTAGCCCCCTTCATTCTCTTTCACTTTTGATCTCAGCATCAACACCGGAACTCAAAAAACTCGAAGCGCGTCCAAACTCGAATCGATTCAGTAATCTGCCAAGGTGTAAAGATCTCACACTGAGGATTATGTGTGGGCGATGCCAGCAGTGACTGACGACATTACCGCCATTCTCACAACATACCTCGCTAGAATGCATGGCATTCTTGACAGGCTATCCGTTGGCGATCAAAGACGGGTCCCACTCGCAGAGAACTGATTTCGACCCTGGTAGATGACGGTTTGCGCCAACCCCACGGAGCCAAGGGTATTTTTTGAGAGTGAACGTGCCAATATCCATATGGTATGCGTTCGATGAACGACCGTTCAGTCGATGATTGAACCACCCGGCTGCCTTGAGGCGTTATAGAAGTACGTCCTATCATATGATGGACTTGTCGCATGCACCTGTCATGTCAAGGCGCTCTTTTCCTGTACTCTACTCGGATTGGGCGACCCTACGCAATCACTGAAGGATTTTGAACGGATTCAGACAATGTGCAGAAGGTGTGCTGCATTGGAGCACATCGCTGCCGATAGGTAGTCTAGCATGCTATACTTGAGAATGATTTTGTATCGCACAATCCACGTTTCTTATCTACGGCTTTTGGAACCAAGCTTCTCGGCTTTCGTAGCCTTGACTGAGCAGCAAGGGTTTTGTCTTTAGCGCATGTTGTCAACTGTACCCAGAGTTGCATCATCTGTATAGGCAGTACCTGGGTATGAGCATTTCCGGTCTCTTATAACGCTTTCCTGTTACACCCAAAGATCAGTACCGACCGATTGGTCTTAGCCAAATCAACAACAATCACGAGACGAATACCATTACCCTCTTTTAGACGTAGCCATGGCTGCATCTACGCCAGTAGAAAAGCAGGTTCCCTTTGCACAAGCTTCAGACTCAGGATCGTCACAAGCCTCCAAGTCGGTATTACCACATTATGGTTCATCTGCAGACCACCCCTTCAGCGACCCAGCCACAGCTCAGCATTGGCGTCGAATATACGAAAATGCCGAATATGAAGGACGGCATCGATTCAACCCACAGTATACATGGGAAGCCGAAGAAGAGAAACGTCTTGTCAAGAGAGTAAGTAAGAGAATTCAACACACTGCATCAAGACTAACATCCCGGTTGTAGCTCGACTGGCGGATAGCGTTCTGGGCATGGATCATGTTCATTTCTATGGAGTTGAATCGCAGGAATATCAATCGAGCAATCTCGGACAACTTGCTTAAAGATCTGGGTGAGTATCATTGGGCTCAAGATTACAAACTGAACACTAACGAACTACAGGTATGAACACTAATGACTACAACTACGGTCAAACTGTACGCTTCATGCACGATACTGTGTCTAGAACATCGATTAATACGAGACCAGATCTTCCTTGCTTCTTTTCTATTTGCAGAGCTACCCAGCGGCCTAATTAGCAAGAAGCTTGGTGCTGATCGGTAAGTTCATCTTGCTCATCCGTCTCTTCATCAAGCTTCAAGTGCTAAAGATTCAGCAGATGGATTCCAACGATCATTTGCACATGGTCCATTGTCAGTGCCGCGCAATGCGCCATGAAAACCAAGGCCCACTACTTCATCATCAGGTGCATCCTCGGCCTGCTGATGGGCGGTTTCATCCCAGATATCGTCCTCTGGTTGACGTACTTTTACAAGTCGAATGAACTTCCGTATCGCCTAGCATGGTTCTGGACTGCTTTAAGTACCTGCAACATCCTTGGATCACTGCTTGCAGCGGGTATACTACAGATGAGAGGACTCAATGGCTGGGGTGGCTGGCAATACCTGTGAGCTTTGCGCATACTGTTATCCGACTCATATTGGTCCTAACACTGACAGGTTCTTGATCGAAGGCGCCATGACGCTTGTTATCGGCATTTTCTCCTTTGGTCTCATGCCCCCTGGTGCCTGTCAAACTAAACACTGGTTTCGTGGCAAAAACGGCTGGTTCACTGAACACGAAGAGCACATTCTCGTGAACCGCATCCTCCGCGACGATCCCTCAAAAGGCGACATGAATAACCGTCAAGCGATCGGCCTCCCACTCCTTTGGAAAGCAGCCTGCGACTGGGAGCAATGGCCCCTCTACCTCATCGGCCTGACAGCCTACATTCCACCGAACCCACCTCAGAACTACCTTTCCTACATCCTTCGCCAACTTGGCTTCTCTGTGTTCGAAGCTAATTTACTCGCCATACCCAGCCAATTTCTCTACGCAGTCCAACTTCTAGTTGTCACCTGGCTATCTGAGAAGTTCAAAGAACGGTCCATGATATCCAGTCTCTCAAATATTTGGATCTTCCCCTGGCTCCTCGCTCTAGTTGTCCTGCCTGCTAGCGCAAATCCCTGGATCCGGTATGCACTGCTTACTGGTCTCCTTTCCTACCCTTACTGCCATGCTATTCTCGTAAGCTGGAATGCAAAGAACTCGAACTCTGTTCGTACGCGTGCTGTCTCAGCGGCTTTCTACAATATGTTTGTTCAGTCTGGCAACATCATTGCTACAAACATTTATCGCGATGACGATCAACCACTGTACCGCAGGGGGAACAAGATACTACTTGGTGTCTGTGTGTATAACGTGTTTTTGTTTTATGGTGTGAAGGCGTTCTATATTTGGAGGAATAAGGTGAGAGAAGGACAGTGGAACGCTATGACAAAGGAGGAGCAAGAGGACTATGTCATCAACACCAAGGATGAGGGAATGAAGAGGTTAGATTTCAGGTTTGCGCATTAACGAGGAGACCGAGGATGGAGACCATTCGTCCGTTTCTGTACTGTAGACTTGTGTAAAGATCAGGATCTAGCCCGTCCATATCTTTTGTCTGTATGACGGAATGAAACCCACTCAATACGATTGTGTTCTTACATAATATCACCTGATCATCTCTATACCCAAAGCAAGACTTGAGGAATCCGATGGAGTTTGAGTATTGCTATCTTCTACGGTATCATAGACTAGGCCTATGGACACCACGACATCTCCGTCTTCCGTGATGGCGATCCATCAGCTTGTCGACTGTCTTGAGGAGCTTGTACACGGCATGCATATCGTCCACTTTGTTTTCGTATGCGGCGTACCAAGACTCCATACCTCTCAAGGCACCTGTGACGGCGAGAAGCCGATTTTCTTGAGCCCTCATGGGGTAGCGACTTAGCTCGAGAGCATCTCTTACCATCGCCAGACCCATGTGGGGATGCTTTTTGCGGTTCTATCGCCGTTCAGAGAGCCAGCTGTCTGTCTCTGCCCATAGCTGCTTAGTCGCTTCTGGTATAGTAGAGTTGTTTGAAGACTTGACGCCGGCATGTATAGCATCCCATAGTGAGAATGCTGACTTGAGATCGTCGGGGAGGTTGAGTGATTGCGGGAAGTAGCGTGATGATGCTGTTTCAACGACGCGTGCTTTGGTTTCGGGGGCAGTTGGATCGGCATCGTTGCTGAGAAGTTCATCGAGGTATGACTTGACAGCTATACTGAGTGCACAGTTGTTGGGGAGTAGAAAAGGTAGCCTAGGAGATGTCAGTATAACACGCAGATAAGTAACAGTTTAGGTTACTAACTTCATTGCAATGACTGGTATCTCAGCATGCCGATTGCAACAACCAGTACAGAACATCTGTGTGGCTGCTACCTCAACCAGATCTCGGAGCGCCTGGCGAACAACGTTGATAATAGAGTTGTAACCAAGTAGATGCTGACTAAGAGGGCCGGTAAAACCAATCGGGCGGTGGTGGAGAATACCCAGGCCAGCAACACGAGACACTAGCATGTTCGAGTTCTTATCTTTCGCTGTGTAGCTGTCAGTTGTGCAAAATCCTGTCAGGCTCGTTGTACTTACTGCTACCACGCATCGGTGCACCATTGTACGCAGAGAACATGTCGATATCGGAGGTCAAGAGGCCCATCCGTACCAGCTCGACTGCAATCACCGCAGCTTCTTCGTGCTCCTTCTTGCCCTTCAGACCCTCTATGACGGAAACTAGGACTTTACCCCAAGGTGTCAGATTATGAGTCTTTGTATCAACATACTCCCGTAGAGCAAGGAATCGCCATATTGAGTTGTACAGTATTTCGGAAGTGGACGAAAGCGGGCTTTTAGGGTCTTTCTTAGCGATCGATTTGGTAACGAAATCAGTGTTTTGTAGCGATAGAATGGCTGCACCGAGAGTTCCGCAATCCTATTGCAAGCGTTAGTACTATTTCAGTGACTGAGCTACAGCTCTACTGACCTTGTACTGCGCGATGACATCCTTGAATGTAGCTTCCTTTACGTTCCAGGTGTCAACAATCAGAGGAGCCTGTGCTTCCGATGGCTTCTCAACAGGGATGGTTGTGGACGGCCGTTTACCGTTAGGGTCTACTGGCGAATACCAATGTGTCTGATGGAGAGATTGGTGTCGGTACCAGTTATGCAGAGAGCTGGAGAGAAGGTTGACGACCGGTGTTCGCAGCGGAATGAGTTTGGAGCTGACGAGTTCCTTGTACTCTGGGGAATTGCCACCGTCCATTGGGGGGACTTCGAATACTTGACAGGTAGTACGCCATTGAAGTATACGTGGGTTGATGAGGCCTTTCGACATGTAGTGGAGGATCTCATCTGGGAGTCTCTGACCCAAATATTGACCAGCATCATTGGGCATAGACGCGGAGTTTTGAGGCTCGACCTTTCCTTCCTCCGTGTAGACGGGGTGGTTCTTCACGGCCAATCGTGCTTTCTGGTATCGTGTGACATATTCTTTTCCTGCCGGTGGAACATCGTTGTTGTTGACGACCACAGAATATCCAGACTGGCCATTGCTCATGATGGTCTTGATGGCGCTGTACGGCTTGATCAGCTCAGCCCTGTTAGGCGCATCGAGGATGGGGTGGGTTGGGAGGAACGGCGTGCCAGCGAGTATGCATGTGTCGAGGAAGATATCGTCTGAGATGTTTGGAGCGCCGACGAACTTGGACAGGTCGGCCACGCATTTCTCTCGGCGGATGAAGCTGAACTGCCGGGATTCGAAGTCCCAAGATGTGATGATTTTGGCGCACTCGAAGATGAGGATGTCGGACGATCCGGCGATGGCGTGAAGATATTCGTGCTTCTCGAGATATGCCAACTAGACACAATTAGCCATTGCCATGGACTATGTGGAAACTGCTAACCTGGGCCCATGCGCTATAGGGTGCAACGGTCCAGCGAATGTTCTGTTCGGTCAGGGTAGACTGTAGCGCACGGAAGAGGTCTTCGGGAGTGACGTAGGCTAAGAGCAGTCAGTAGGGTATACAGTGCCCTCTCACAGCGGTTGCCGTACTTGATTGTCCGAATTTAGCGACTGAGGCTTCGGCCTCGTGGCTGTCGTACAAAGTCCAGGCATTGATATTCACCGCTGCTTCTTCCGTCTTCTGCCTGAAAGGATCTTCCTGTTTTGTGATGTCCAGGCCGCTGAAGACGAAGTAGGGCTCGATGTCGAAGCTGCGGAAGTGGGCTAGGTCGTCCTGGATGTGCTGTGTCAGGGCCAGTGGAAGGCCGCCCAGGGCTGGGACAAGCGGTTCTTTTGCGCGTGGGTGGTTGAGGATGCGCTGGTTCAGGTACTCAGCGGCTTCAATGCCTACGCGACAGTTGCGCAGCTGTTCGAGCTCGCCCGTCTCGCCGAATGCGGCCGTCCATTGCACGAAGTCGCGGATCATGGTGCCAGTCGCGCGTGGACTTGGTGGCCGAGTCTGTAGTAATGACGGGTGGTAATGAGTGGATAAGAGCAGAGTTGCGCCTCCGAGTAATGCTGTGAGAGTCGTCTACGGTGAATACTGTAGCGACGACGTGTACTGATGTCGTAGCGGTGGTTGCGGGGGTTTGGGGCAGTAAATTGGAAGCTCCGACGCAGCTCCACGCCTTGGCGACTACCGAATCCCTGATCAGCCGGGCGCTAGCTCAGGTACAAGCCATTAGGGCATACAAGTAGACGGAGTTGTGCCGAGTGGATATTCGGACGACGCATCAGGCACTTCGAGTTGAGTGGCCTGCATCCAGATATATCCGACGTCTGATTCTGTTCCCTCTGTAGCTCTCTTAGTGCCTGAATCCCGCCTCACCTCTGCCCCTCACCTATCCCACCTCCAGGCCTTCGCACCTTACATCCGCAGTCATTCAATATGTCTCCTCCCGAAAACGACCAAGGCCCCATACCAGTCATCGACATCTCCAGGCCATCCGAGACAGTCGCTCAGCAGGTACTGGACGCAGCTTCTACCCATGGCTTTCTCTACATCAAGAATGACGGTGTGACCATTCCACCACAAGACATCGATGACATGTTCAAGGTGGTGAGTCGTCTCAAACACGCCGACGAGAACGGATTCATTCATCGATATGTATAGTCCCAAGGGTTTTTCGCCGCCCCCAAGGAGCACAAATCGGAATTCGCAATCCACTCGGAAAAGGCTGGCGGCATAAACCGGGGTTGGGTTCAAATGCAAGGCGAATCACTAGATCCCCAAGGCCAAAAGGTAAAGTCTCGTCAAATTACAAACAGAGAGAAAGCTAGTGTTGATACAAGCATCAACAGCAAGGCGACCCAAAGGAAGCTTTCAACATCGGACCTCCCAACCCAACCCTTCAACCCCTACCTTCACCACTCCGAGAATCGTCTGAACTGATATCACGTTTCCAATCATCATGCCATGCCCTCTGCACAAACATACTCTCTCTCCTCAACACCGCCCTACAAATCCCCGATCCCCATTACTTCAGCACCCGCCACGACCAATCCCTTGGCCTGTCCGGCACCATCTTCCGCATGCTATACTACCCGCCAACCTTATCCCAGGGAAAAGAGTCCAAGCAAGGCGAAACTAGTATTCGTGCAGGCGCACATTCAGACTATGGCAGTCTCACTCTTCTCTTCCGACTCCCGGGCCAACCCGGTCTTGAGCTGTCTACGCCTTCAGGTTGGAGAGCCGTGCCTGTGGATCCATCCCCATCGACTAACCAATATCCTCCTATCTTGGTAAACATAGGTGACTTGCTGTGTTACTGGACGAATGGAATGTTGAAATCTACTGTCCATCGTGTTACATTCGAGGGTGGACAAGAGAGGTACAGTATGGCGTATTTCTGTCATCCGCTGGACGAGGCGAGGTTGGATGCTGTGCCTAGTCCGGCAATTGAGCGATTTGGCAACAGAGGGGAGGAAGAATTGAGGAGTCAGAGAAAGAGGCTGGGACTAAGAGAGGATGGATTGGGTGAGGAGATCATAACAGCCAAGGGACACTTGGAAAGAAGGTTGAAGGTGACGTATGGGATATGACAAGATCTATTATGCTTGGAATGGTATTACGAACGCCACACTATGCCCTTTGCCTAACCAAAACACCTCGCTATGCTTTGCGCCATGCCATGCCATGCAATGCGGGGAATCCAAAACAAGTCCTCGTACATGCACTATATGTAGATACAGCCAGGAGTCTTTATCCCCTTCTCTTCCTCACTGCCCTTCCTGTCGCACCTCCTACATCCTTCACAACCCCAATGCCTTCAACTGCTACACTCTTATCTTGTACAGTACCACCTAGCTTTCTGATCATCTGTTCTCTGGCCTTGGCCGCACCTGGAGAGTCCCAACCTAGTTCCTGACTAGGCTGGTACTCCTCTACAAGCACCGTGCTCTCGTTCTCCTCCTCAATCGGTGGGTTCCCGGAGCTGTCACCGGCCGACGCATTGGATCGCGTAGACGTGGCACGACCTAATTGCCGTCTTTGACGGGTCTTGCCGGGTGCTTGATCAACTGACGTTGGCGCAATTTTGCGGTTCGCGCGGAGCTGAGCTAAGATGCTAGAGTAATCCTTTTCTTCTGGTTTGGGTTCCTTTATTGACTCTTTTGTTTTTGGTGCCTCCTGTGGAGCCGGCGGTTCGGTACCTGCCGGAATCACTGAGTCGGGTTCCGGATCAGGAACTACGCAATCTGGGGCAGTGTTGCTCTGACCAAGCTTTGACTTGCGGGGTGCGGGAGCTATGAGTGACTCGGCGGATGAGCTCCGGGGTCGTGAGAATGGTTTTGAAGCGTTCGAAGATGTTGATGGACGACGTGGGGAGTTGGCGCTGGTTTCCTGGAGAGGGTACGATGCTGCACCGTCCAATCCATGTATGGCAGACTCGTCATCATGGGTTACATTGTCAGCATCGTCATTAGCGTTAGCCACCGATTCTGTTGCTGATGCAGGTGCGGTGTTTGCTGATTGAGCGAGAGCAAGAGCACCAGGCCGTTGCAGCCGTTGTTGGCGCTGGGGCTTCGTCACGATCTTGGTGGGCTGTTGCTTCTTCTGACGCAGCTCCAAGCTTTCCTCTTCAGGACTCGGCGCAGTAGGCGCACTATCCTGGGGCTCAGATCTCTGCTTCGCCTTCTGTGGCTGGGGTGGTGCTGGCGTGTTCAACTGATATTCGGCATACGACTGCAGCCGACTACTGCTCAGACAATCCCATAGCCATCTCGCATGTACTGCGGGTATCCGCTTGTCCGTAGCGAATTTGAGTTTCGGAGTGTTTACGGTAGGAGGGTTGCAGATCACAACCGAGGTCTTTGCAGATAGCTGTTCATCGTACGAGGCGCCTGTCAAGATTGTCAGATCATTCCAATGGATGCGGAGCAGGAGCCGTACCCATAAGCGTGACAATTTTTGTCACATGCAGCAGCTCGATGCCGGAAAAGCCCGTGGAGTTGATGGTCAGGCCAGAGAACCCTGGCTACGTCAGCAACCAATAAACCAACAGTGATGCGCAAACTTACCACTAATACTAAGCTTTTGGAATGGTCGACTCAATACATCACTCGCGGGGTCTACTAGACGTTTTCCATAGAGACAGCGCTCGACCCACCAATTAGTGACCAGATTGAGATGTGAACCGGCACGCTCCGGAAGTGCCGTCAAATCGACCTCAACGTCATGGGGTATTACAAAGTAGCCTCGCCGTAGATCTTCGGATGAGGCATTGTTGAGATCAGCCACGCGCATTACGTGCGCGCCGTTGCTCTCGAGATGCTGCCGCAAAATGTTTGTCTAGTGGAGACGTCAGTGAGGTCTAGAATCTGAGGTGGAGAATGGCGAACCTTTTCTACATCGAAGCCATGAGTGCATACGACGCGACCCTCAAAAATTCCATCATGTTGGGACGCGTCGTTGGGTTGTGGTGGCAAATGTTGTTCATGACTGTCTGCATGGTCATCAAGTTGCGCTTCGGTAAGCGTATCGTTGTCATGAATGGAGGCCGCTGGCGTGTGTGTACGAGTGCTTGTACGCGTACTATCTGGCTTAGTAGCAACGTCCTCTGTCCACTCATCCTCGTCTAGCTGTCGCTCGAAACTGGGCGCCGTGATGCCTGCCCAGAAGGCATCACTCTGGCTTCCTACCTTGGTGCTTGCCGAGCGACGCAGCTTCCTGCGAAAAGGGTTCAGAGCCTGGCTTGTTTCTGCGTCTCGTGTGCGCTTGCCCAGAGCGGGCGAGGCGGGCAGTTTGCGATCCCAAGCACCATTCCCTCGCTCCTGGACGGGCATGGTGGGGTTGTAGAGGGCCTCGTCCAGCACCATGCCCCTCTCTAGACTTTGGTCGAGCCATTCCAACGCCACAATCTTCATCCTCCAATTCAGGGCGTGTTCGTACTTCTTCCCCGATGGTGCGGCGGCGATGAGGTGGGTGACGGACTTGGTGAGATCGCCGTGGTACTCGGCTCCGTTGGCATCGACAGTCTCCTGGATGCGCTTCCGTTGCTCAGCTGCATTGGTCAGTATCGTCCCATGTACGTAGAGCGGGCGACGTACGGTTGTCGAAGCCAGTGAGGCATATTTTCAGTCCCGCGAGAGTCGGCATGCGGTACTCCTTTTCCAGCGCGGCCATGTCCAAAATGTCGTCGCCAGCCATCCACACCTCCCTCAGCGCCTCGAGCCATTCTGGGGACAGGACCTTGACATCGTCGCGCGACTTGGCGACATATCGGTATTTGGCACTGTCGGTGCTGCCAACTATGAGGTGGGTTACATCGGACGTGAGGTCGAGCTTGATGGTCGCGCCCATCTGCGCGCCAATGGCTGCGAGTTTGGCCTATACGGCTGTCAGAGCGGGCGAGATGTGAGGATACTGGTGGACGTACGCGCTGCTCGGGGGCGATGGAGGTGCAGCAGAGGATGGCCCCAGCAAGGGGCAGTTGGGCTGTCCCTACATAGAGTCAGCGATTGCGTTCAACGCATGGCGGTCGTGTCAGACGCACCGTAGCCTACATCGTTCGCATCCATGGCACTGACGGGCACCTGCAAAAGTCGCAGTGTCGTGTGCTTAACGCCGAAGAAAGCGCGTCTGGGCTAAGCCTCGTCTTGCCCACGCGTTGCGGGGAAGCCACACTCGCGGTCACGTGGGTTCTGGCGGTGGAAGCCCTATGTCTCGGCCACATCTCGCTACTCCTTCCGCACTGTCCGCCTTGCTTCCCATCTTGGACCATCCCCAGATGATCCGAACCTCGCCACATGCCACGAAAAAAAAAAGCTTTCTCCTCCACTGCCGAGTACCCACCGCAGCCAGAATGACGACTGCTTCGTTCCTGGCCTTGAGCTTGGGGGCGGCTGAGTTGGCAGCCCGCCCTGCTCTCTGCGCCGATCCGCCCACTCACGATTGCTGCAACTCCAGATTCAGAACCCCAGGCGCTGATCCCTACGCAATTGGGCCTGCTGTTTTCTTTTCGGCGATCGTGGGACGCAACGCGCTGACGCCCTGTTTGTGTGGTTGCAGTCGCGCTATGCCGCAGGATGCCCGGGCATGCTCTATCAAACTGCTCCAATATTGCAAAATCAAGGCACAGGCGCCCGCCGTCCATGCACAGCCAGAGGGCATCAATCGCTTGGTCTTTCTTGACACTTGAGAGATTGCGCGTTGCCCAGGGACAGCGTGGCTATGGAGCTTGGGGTCTAAGCGATCCCGTCACTCTCCATGAGCGCGTGCTCGTGCTCGCCTACATAGATGTAATCTCATCCGTGCGGGCTTAGTCGTGGGAGGAAGCCTGCCATGTCGTCGTCGATCAAAGTACCGTGCCGGGTATCCCGTAGTCGGTCGCTATCCGCCAACGGGTCTAGAAGCACGTCTTAGTAGATGCCCATTGAGATCTCACCCCTGCATCGAGTCCTGCAAACTCTTGGTGCTCAAGATGATGTAATGCATCCGAGCCTCCGTCCGCGCAAGCTACGCTCCCATAGCGCTCCTAGTAGCTAGCACTTCATATACCCGCTGCGGGAATACTCGTCTGTTACGCTGCTTGACGTGCTCATGAACGTTTCCTTGCCCCATCTGGCACCGCTGCCTTCTCCACTTTCACAATTCTGCTAAGCAACATCTCAAATCCACCATCCCAGCTGCTGCGACCCCGCCGACCAGCAGCACTGCACACCGTCCGCGTCATCCGTCCTGTTCCCTGCACTCGACGCCGGTACACTTTCGCCGTCCCTGCACTGACTTAGTCTGACATGCTCGCGTCCTCGTAACATGCTTGCAAGTCGGCTAGCTGCAACTCACTTCAAAACACCCGCAAGTCCCTGTTACTCGCCGTTGTTGTCCTGACCAGAAACCTCCCCTCGTCGCCAGCGCAGTCGCTCCAAACAGGGTATTCCCGCACGCTTCCGACGCACCGGCAACCTCACCGCTCCACAACACTACAGTGGCCTGTCGTGCTGATCGCATTTACACATCATTGACTAGGTAGCCTCACCAAACTTTTTGATACCCTGTCTCCCTCTGTGAGTCCTTGTCTCATCTCCCCCTTCACCGCGTTCGGGCCCTTTGTCTAGTAGCGCCCAACCTCATCGTCCCTTCCTAAAGCATCCACATGGAACCTGGTTGGGTTACCTAGTCCAAGAAGCCTTTGTACCCCTCTCATGACTCTGAGGAGTTGTACAAGCCAAATTGTTCTCGACCTCTACAATTACACCTTGTATAAGACTCGGCGCGCTGCATGCCTTTGCTCAACACCTTGATCGTTCTCCCGTCCTGCCCTTGACCTCACTAACGCATCGTCGCTATGCCAGAGTACCACACAGTCTACTCTGAACGTGGCCGATTACGATACCTCCCCGACCATTTGGACTGTCCTCCGCGAACCTACCGCGGCATCTTTGCAGGTCGCAATCGTAGACCGCACCGCATTCACATCGCACACGTCGGTCCTGATCCGACTCTACTTCGTGTCCAGAGACGCCAAACGACTAGCAAGTCGTACTTTACAGAAAAGCTGGCGGTCCCACGCGACAGCGCTAAACGTTTCCTACGGTCGTTTATCGACACCCACTTTTCTTCCAACACCGAAACCACAGACATTCCTACGCCTCGATCGTCGACAAGCACTACCAGCAGCAA